AGAAAACCATGAAATCAGATGAACAAACATCCTGGCCGTAGTAATACATAAAATGCAATTGAACTTACCCTTGTCATCTGTTTCGTCTGACCCCTCTTCATGAGATACATCCACAATGACATCTGAGGCTGATTTTGGTTCGGATACCCCAGATTCCACTTCTGATTTTACCTCTGAATCATCTTTTACTTTAATCATATCAGTCTTGTTAGGTTCTTGAACATCATCTTTCAACTTCCCTTCATTCTCAAATGGTCCATTTGATTTTGGTTCCGATGAAACTTCAGAAACATCAACCCTCTCTGAACTCACCTCTGATATCGTCTGCATATTAGACCCTGTTTCACACCATGCCATGAACTATGTCAGATAACATAATTTTCCTTCCAATATATTTCTGAGAAACATTACAACTAGTTGATTAAAAAGTCAACCGCATGTTATATAACCCTGTCTTACACTACTTATAGTTATCCAGAAACCAAACGGTCTAAGCTACACTAACAAAAATTGATATCTGTGTAGTGCTAGTGTAAATCATCAAATGAATGCAACGCTGGACTTACCCATATCAACTGAGCCATTGTTGATTTCTGTGGAAAGTTCATCCATCTTAAAAGACATACTGTTTTCATAATCCAAGCTCAACTTTGCCATGTTCTTTTCCAGCAGCCTCACCGATCGCCTTGTGTTATAGACGCTCTGCACCGAAGGATTCTCCTTCTGTGTGGTGTTCTGTCGAGCAGAAGCAGCGGGAGCCCTTCTCCGGGTATTTGGCGCGGCAGGAGTTTTAGGCACCTCAGTCTTTTCTTGGTCCATCTCTTCAGAAACGGCTCTCCTCGCCCCGCGGCGACTTTGAGTCAATGGCTGTGAGCTTTCTGGTTCTACTTGGATGGGCTTTCTACGAGTCGAGGTTCTGCCGGCAGTACGAGGGATACTTAGTGATCCGTTCATGGTTTTCTCCGGAGATTGCTGGGGATCCGATTTGGATTGGTTCAGGAACTCTTCAAGCCCTTCCACCTGGTACAGTGATTTGCAGAACAGTCAGATTCCAATAAATTAATAAATCCATCCAGCGTGTTGTTTGAAATCGAAAGAATGTTAAGATGATGGGAAAACAGGATCAAAACAACTGTATGTTGATAGACTCTTTTATTTTCTTGTGATTCTCGGCATCCAAACAGAAAAGGATGTTCTACGATTCCCCTGTTTAATTTATGTTGAGAAATTATGAATTTAGGTGAGCAATATTATAGAGGTTTGTAAGGCGTTAGATCTGTTAGCTAGCCCCATAACTACTGAGCTCAACTCAACATTAATGAATGATTATATAGGTTTTTTCTTTTTCCGGTAATTAATCACCAACCAAACATGAAAGAATGTTGAACATGTGGTTTACACTAGAAAGTTCGTAAAGAGAGTATATTAGAGAATTCAAACCAACACAGAGCAATTCCCAGAATATCTGAATCTGAAAATGTACTGATTTTGGTGACTTCCAATATCACTTTTCTTGGCAACCAAACGGATTTCAAATCTATAATGTTAAAGAATGTAGAACCTGTGATTAATTAGAAAGTTTTTAAAGAAAACTATATTAGAGAATCCAAATCAAACACAGCAATTCCCAGAAGATCTGAATCTGAAAATGTACTGATTTTGGTGATTTCCAATATCACTTTTCTTGGCAACCAAACAGATTTTAAATCCACAATAATAAAATATCAAATAGGTATGAAGAAAAGGGGGATCAAAGTATTACGTGTTCAAGAGCCTTGAGAGAATCTGCCATGGCGACATTGGTGAGGTTAGCTGGGAGTTTGTTCTTCTTGCACAGAGCCTGGAGCTCCTTTCTTGTGAGGCTGGAGAAATCCATAGTGTACGGGAAACCCTAGATGATCAAAACAAGCTGTTTTGGTCTTCGCAAGAGAGACGGCTACAGATTGAGTGAAAAATGTTGAAGCGTTTGAGAGAATGGGAGAGCGATTGGGAATATTTATACATGTATAGCCCTATGTATGGGCAAGACCAGTAGAGACGTTTGGAAAACCCTAGAAATTATGACCGTTGGAGCGCGGATTTGAAATTTGAAATTATTGACAACAATTTCTTTTTCTTTTCTTTTTTTAGCAAGTGAATAAATTATAAACTTGGGTAACGTGGGTAAGTATTGGCATAATTGTGTAATCGCGGACATGGGCAAAGTATGGAAAATTCGCATTTGGGAAGATGCACATCACATTTAACCAATTTAGAATTGCACTTGTTCAGTGAATTGTTGAGGTTTTTTTATTAACCTAGGCTTCCTCCAAAATATTATAATTTCACAACCTTTGTTTTAATTAATTAGGAATTAGAAAAAATTAATTAAAATGTAAATCGCATAACCTCAATAACTAATATGATCATACATCTACAAGGAGCTTGTAGCTCAACTTATTAAAAATATTTATTTTTACATCAGAAGTCCTATGTTCAATTCTCTCCTCCCTCAATATTGCTCATATAAAAATATTATAATATGTCTTTAGATTTTTTAACTTCCCACATAGTACCAACCACTAATAAATAAAAACCTAATTTATTTCCCCACAACCCATTGATCCAGTATCAGGGCGGAGCTATGTAGGGATCGAGTTTGATCCCAGACCACCTCCCCTTAATTTGTTTACACTTTGCATTTAAATATTATATATGATATAAATATTGTAATATGTTATGGGAGCTTATTTCTCCACTCCTATTTTCTCCACTTACACTCCCTTTTGCTTTTTAATATTTTTTAATCAATTTTGTTATTTCTCTTTCCTATTATATCCTTACCCTACATTAATTTATTTTTTACTTAACTTTTATATTGTTTCTTTTTCTTTATACTTAATTTTTCAACTTACACTCCATTTTCAGTATTATAGAGAAAAAAAAAAAACTTAATTTCTTATTCGAGAGAAAGAACAAAATTGATTAAAAAGCACTAAAAAACAAAAGGGAGTGTAAGTAGATAAAATGGGAGTGGGGAAATCATATCCCTATATTATATTATATTTGGGATATTTACAGTAAAATAATTTTTTTTTTGTCTACAAATTAACCATTAAACTCCATAATCACTCTTTTACTTTCAATTAAATCTACTAGGTTATGTTATGATATTTACACTAAAAACTCCTAATTTTTTTTCTTCTCGTTCTCTTCCTCTTTCGTTTAATTTAAGCTTAAGCTTTGTGATTTTTCCCCTCCCTTTTTATATGTATGAGCAGGGTACTTTAATATTGGGATTTATGAATTTTTTATATTTCTTTAATAGTGTAGTAGATGATGAGATTAATATTCAACCATTTTATAAAATTAAAGACAATTATGATTGTAATGAATGAATGAATTATTAATCAATACGAAATGATATTATGAAACAAGCTAAATCGAGTAGTTAGTATCATATTAACTTATTATTTAGTTAGCGCTTGAGTGCTCCTATTTGAATTGTTTTATAAAATTTTATGAAGGGTCTCTCTAATGCAAAATCTTGATTCCATCACTGTCTAGTATGTCGTATCTTATCGAGCGCTTATTTCTATATGCAATTTCATATGAGTTATCTTTTTGGCTTCCTCTTTACATGTTATCCATTTAAATTAATATTAAATGATAGCATCTCAAGTGGTGTGATATGATATCAAAGGTTCTCAACTATTTTAAGAAACCATTTTGACGTTTATTTTAAATGTTGTTTTAAGTAAGTACTATGTTTATCATGTCTCGTGTGGATTGTATTAAATCTTATGACTTTTTATTGTTCAATACAGGAATTGGAAAATCAATTCATTAATGGAGGGAAGTTTGATATTTAAACTTCTGGCCACTCACACTTTTTGGCATGCATAACTAAACAGAATATGAGCAAATCTATGTGTGTTTTTCATAATGGTTTATTTGAAACAAACTAAAGATAAAAGTGCATAGATAAACCAAATAGATCATTTTGTTGATGGACTTCTAATTTAATTGTTTTAAATGTCCATCTTAAGATTAGATAGCATGCTTATTTCATTATATTATATGTATATGTGACATCGGATAAAGAGAATAAGAAAGAAATTGAGGAATTCATAATATCTATGTGTACCCTTTATATAGACAGATGGGAGTTACATCAGCTGAAAAAGTTAGTGTGTACCCTTATTGCACCCGAGTTCAATCCTTCTTCCCGCACATTAGTTTCTAATATCGTTTAGTTAGGGTTAATTGGAGGTAAGTGCAAAGTTATACATTTCACATTATCAATTGGGCCCAAGTGGACATTCATAGAGATTAGGCAGGCCTAAAATGTGAACAAGCTAAGTTTCGAAAGGTCAGAAGTGGAGACAGGCCTATGAAAGCCCAAATCGTAAAAGATCGGAGCCCAAAGTTGTAGCAATCCACGTGTTAAAAACTGAAAGCTTGCGCAGCACGCGTTGCTTCGGAGCATGCCCACAAAACTCGTACGATTTCCTCCACAGGCCACAAGCCACAAGCCACAAGACACAGACAAACAGACCCCACTCTTTTGCTTGGCTGCTTGGCCTTAGCCTTAGCCCAGCTTCTTCAAACAAACAAACCGTCACAAAAACCATGTACACCCGAACCCAATGGTCCCAACACACAGAGTCCCGAGTATTTTAATTTCGAAATTTTGATTTATAAAAAAAAATTTACAGAGAGGAAAAAAACGTAGGCTTCCGGAGAGAGAAAGAGCAGAAAACAAATAAAATAAAGCATAGAAATGAAAAATCCCCAATTCTGAATGGAAACCCTAGCCCCAACCCGAATCCCTCAAATTGGACCCTCCATTTTCGTCTATCTTCGGATCATCCGTTCTTCACTGTTCTTTGCTGGAGGCTGAGTCAAACTCCGACTCCTCTATTGTTCACAGAAAGAGAGCAACCGAGAGACACAGCGAGATATAGAGAGACAGAGAGAAGAGAGAAGAGAGATATAGAGTGCGTGAGTGTATGTGTGTTATGGGGAGTACGGAATCTGGTACGGGCGATTTCAGCGTAGGATCGATCGTTTGGGTGAGGAGGAGGAACGGGTCGTGGTGGCCGGGGAAGATAGTGGGCCCAGAAGAGCTCTCCGCTTCGCATCTCACGTCGCCTCGCTCTGGGACCCCCGTCAAGCTTCTCGGTAGAGAAGATGCCAGTGTGTATGTCTCTCATAGTTCTTCCCTAAATTTTTCTTAATGGTGGCTTTTGAACCCATTTCATGTTACTGTGGGCGTTTTGGGTTGTGATTGGATATTTATGTAGAAACGAGAAAAATAATTACTTTACTGAGTGTCTTCTCCGTTTTATTGTATACATGAGCTAATATAGCGCTTTTGCTGTTTTACTTGAAGAAATCACAAAAGCTTAGGACAACATGTTGGAGCAGAGGTAGAAACCCATACCAGAAACTTACTGCAACTCAGTGGTCAAACTCGTTTATAGGGTTTTAGCATCAACGGAAATTTTAAAACCCAGCACTGAAACCCAATTATATCACGTTTTGCTATGCCATTTTAATCAATCAAGTTTCATTGTACATACAATTGGTTGGCACCTTAGAACTATTTAGCAGAATCATGGTTCAGGCCTTCTGCCCCCTTTGCCTTATCCACCTAGTGGCACAAAAATATAGAAATTATGTACCATGGATTTTATTAAAATGTTATTATAAGAGGGTCGTCTTCTCTTCTCAAACTGGAGAGTTGTAACAAAGTATAACTCCCATTGTTCATACTTACTGATTCTTCTACTTACATGCCTGCTTTGATTTTACCAACTGTTTTAGTAATGATATTCCGTGGTATTTCTTCTCAGTGATTGGTACAATTTGGAAAAATCCAAGCGTGTTAAGGCGTTTCGATGCGGCGAGTTTGATGATTGTATTGAGAAGGCTGAATCATCTCAGGGTATGCCTGTGAAGAAAAGAGAGAAATATGCACGTCGAGAAGATGCTATTCTTCATGCACTTGAACTTGAGAAGCAGCTGTTGAGAAAACAAGGAAAGTTAGGTATAACTTCTGAACGCTTGAACAGTAAATTATCTGGTGCTGTGAAAAAGGAGTTAGTTATATCTTCCGAAAGTTTGGGAAATGACAATGTAAAACCTGGAAATTCCAAATCACATCAGTTTTCTAAGCGACTGGACACGTCTCATAGAAATGATATTATAGGCGGTACTCTGTCTTCCCAAAGAACCAAAGAGGGAAATCAACTGAGTGGTGAAGATGATCATGCTGAGGCCATACCTCGGATGAGAGGCTTGCAGGACTTTGGTCTCAAAATTGCCCCTTCAAAGCGAAAACTTTCATCTTCTCTTGCTTTAAATGGTTCTTGGAAACCCACGGTTGATGGTACTGTTCAAGCTCTTGCTCGTGGTGGTCTTAGCATGGGAGGAACAAATCATGTGAACGGTAAAAATTCTTTAGAGCAAATGAAAAGTTCACATGAGGGATTGAGTGATGAACTTTTGGCCAAGAGACCTGATAAACGTCGTCCTCTTGTCCAAGTTTTGCAGAATAGTGCAAAATTAGCTGTCCCACAGTCCTTGCCACCTGACAGTGCTACTGTTTATACTTCTGTTTCAGGAGTGGAGCAGACGGGAGTTGTTTGCAAAGCAAAGAGGAGTAAATGTGTATATTTGCCTGCTGAGTCTGGTGAATCCTTGGAGTATGAAGCAGCTCCTTCAAACCAAGTTGAGATCTCAGCTTCACCAGTTGGTGCTCGTTCTCATGCCGAGGCCTTGATTGAAGAGAACACTTCTGGCTTTACGGAAGATGAATCTGATTCTTCTGAAACTGATTCTTCTGAGTCCGAGTCTGATTCTTCCGAGACTGAACCAGATATGGATGAAGAGATGCCTTTACTCTCAGGTTCAGTTTTTACTGTTTTTTATATTTTGTCAATTCCATGGTTAATGTAGTTGTTAGATTTTGCTGATGCAGAGTAGCCCTACTGCTCAGACATGTTAGAAAAATCAGCTCTATGATTCTTGCTTATAATATGCATGCAGGACAAATCTCTTTTAGTCTTTCTTTTTGCAGTTACCTCCTTTATTGTTTGGTATGCATATCATATTTCTTACTGCCATGAAAGTGCATATTATGTGTAAAATGATAACCTCATTGTCAAGTTAGAGTGTGGTTAGCCCTTTCTTGGGGTATGGTGATTTTCATGTATATGCAGCTCTCAAAGTTTGTCATTTTGTGAACTTGTGTGTTTATATTTATTTTTCACCTTTTATTTTATTATTCTTTACAGAAATTTGGTCAAACTGCTTTTAGCCATTGAGCCATGTTATGGTTCATGTGAGGTTTTTGTTGATTTTCCAGTCAAGATTCCATTATCTGTACCATGTTATGGTTCATGTGATTCAGAAAACTTGCTTTTAATTTTTTGCACTATGATCTCTTGACTTCAGTTAACATGAATAACTTGTTGAATATGCATTTCACGCCATGGAGTTGGTTTTCTGAGCTTTGGCCTCAAGGTTTCATAATGGCTATGCCACTTCTTTGTCCTCAACCTTTAAATCTTTTCTGTACATGTACCTTTAGAACCAGAAGTTGGGAGATATGAAGCACGAGAACATGGAATCATGGTTGGCGACGAGCCTGATGAATCAACACATTCTGGTGATATGTCTCACCTCTACAGTCATGACCCTTTATTTGCTAGTGAGGCTGTGTCCAAATGGCAGTTGAAGGGGAAAAGAAATATCCGCAATCTTACAAAAAGATCAATGGATGCAACTGACGGAAGAGGCTATATTTATGGACCATATTCTGAAGAAAAGGTATGTGCTTTCAGCCAAAGGTTGTTATAGTTCCATGTTTCTGTTGATACATTGATTTTAATGATTGTCGTCATAGGGCTAATGTGGAAAATAATGATTTTCAGACTGATTGGGAAGACTCAACCTGGGAGGATAGGTCTGCCTGGAATGAGTACTGGGACATCAAAAGAGATCGCTTTCACCCGGTTTATGATGGCCGTTATCATTATCGCAGGAGGCCGAGATACTTGATAGATGTAGACTTGAAGGTCCAGGCAAGTTACCAAAAAGAACCAGTTCCTATTGTTTCTCTGATGAGCAAGTTAAATGGGAAGGCAATAATAGGGCACCCAATCCAAATTGAAGCCTTAGAAGATGGTTCATCCAACTCGCTTCTTTCAACAGTTGATGAATTTGGTGAGGAAGCAGTTGACAATAATGGGGGTGCAACTGTTCCACATGCATGGAGGACTGCAAGGAGGACGGCAAATGTTCGAGTCCCGCGCCCTCATTTATCGTCTGCATTGGATGGTGATGAAGCTGCTGACGACCTTCCCCTTTTAGATGAAGAAAGCAGACCACCATTCAAGAAATTAAATTTAGGGAGTTTCAGTAATAAGGCAAGCCAGGGTAAGAGGAACCTTCTTCACAACTCCCGGCTTCCCACTGATAGAAAGTTGTCAAAAAAGGTGGCCAAGAAAGTCAGCTTATCATCTAGCCAGAAAACGAGGACTTTATCTTCGATAGCCATTGAGCAGAATTTTAGTAACAAGCCAATACATCTTGATAGCAGTAGTGGTCAAAGGGAAGGGCTGATGAAACCGGAGTCTTCTGGACCCACAACTGTAGCTTGCATACCCGTGAAATTAGTATTCAGTAGGTTACTTGAGAAGATCAATAGGCCCCCATCAAAAGCAGCTAGTACGGTTTTATTGAATAGCGAAAAGGAGAGAAATTCATGATAGATTACTTGTACATTGTTATATAAGCACAATAAGTTTATACTGCTAGCACAACATTTATTGCTAATATCTTCTTTCCAGCGGAGCACTACCAAACTGGACCGTATAAGTCAGCATTTTTCTGCTGTCTTTTTGAATAATCGGATGAAGCAGGTAACCGAGGAAGCAGCCGTGCACAGCAGACAGTGTTGTCAACTGCATTGCATTGCATATTTGCTGGATGTGGATTTCTGAGGATTTATTTGAAGGAACAAAGCTCATGTTAGTCAGATGAAGTAGGTATAGATAGAATTCATAGGGAAATGTACATTTATTTCCATACAAGCTTATGTATCTTGCTCTGTTTATCATAACTAATTTAAGAAGTATAGAAAGAAGCGAGGAGTCTTCTGTAGATGTTTTATTGAATTTGTAGTTCTCTCTCTGTATCGGATTAATTAACAAGGCAAGAATGGGAGCACTTTGCGTGCGTTGTTGATATTTCATTCTTTTTTACTTCTCTCTCTCTCTCTCTCTCTCTCTGTGTCTCTCTGTTTTTCAAATTTGGGTCCATATTATTTATTACTACTACTGGTAAATAATGAATCTGTAATTACTATTTAATTGGCACTTTCTTACAAGTTGTTGAGAAAGGGTCTTCTCTTAAATAATAGTGATAGAGAATCAAAGTTTCATCTGTCAATTTCATCTCTTAAATACCATTTGTTTTTTGTTTTTGAGAAGTTATACCTTCGTCATTGACCTCAAAAACTTGAATAGCCCAACCCATTTAAACTTGGATTGGTTCGGTCTGTTTCAGCCCAGTCCAACTTTCGTATCTTATTGACCCAGATTTGGATTATAAATAAAAAGTCTTTTATTGGTTAATAAAAAAAAAAGTATTTTCCGCAATCCATTTCCATTGGGAGAATTGGTTTGCAACGTGGTTCTCATCACAGGGGATCCGAACCCTTTGACAAAGCCACTTTCATTGTCTCATTCACAGAGGTAGAGACTAGAGTAGAGGGCAAGCTCGGAAAGGGAAAAATTAGAGGGAAAGCTTGGAACTTGATCGGAGAGAGAGAAAGAGAGAGAAAGGGGCCTGAACTGGTGAGTTCGTTTTCCTTCACACCGTAAACGAAACGAGAATGCCACGTTTCCTGAAAACACTTTTATAATGAAATTCCATTGCGATTAAAGGGTTAGCAGGTTCTCGATTATTTCGGGTTTTCAAAAGTAAATTTTGTTTCTTGAACAGTGAATACCATTTATCATACGGCATGTTAGGCCCTCGGTGGTAAACATTATCACTTTCTTCTTTCGGCAGTTTGATAGAAAACAATTGATTAAAAAAAAGGAACTTCATAAATTGTGATTTGTTTAACTTAAAAGTTTTTTTTCTTTGGCTTAGTATCACAGCAAGATTCTTTCTTTTCTGTTGTTTATGTTTGTTTTCAGAATAATAATGCTTCTGCAATCTGCATACTCGGATTTATGGCTTTGGTTTGATTAATGCAAGAAAAAATTCATATATATATATGTGGCAGGAATTGTAATAGATTATAGATGAATTGGACAAGGTTTTCCACCAAGGTTTACAAAGCTACTGCAGCAGATTCCAAATGCGGTTCGTCATTCTGTTATACTCGAAAACCCCATCAGAAAGCTATTCACGACACTCAAAGAGGAAGTCTACCAGCAACTTCATGGCCTCAGGATGGAGTTGGTGCAGCTACTGTGGCTACAGATTTTCGAGATTTTGAACAGAGGTTCATTGTTGCAAGAAATGTCATTTGGAGGTTTAAAGGAAATTCCATGTGGTCTAAACAGAGCCCGGTATCTTTATCTCGTCAATTTGGACACAAGGCTGGTACTGGTCGTGATCCTGACTTGACTAGGGACTTCCTGGTACAGCTCTGGGTTGCAGATAGGAAAACGGTACACTCCAAAAGAAAGAGAAGAGGGAAAGCTGTTAAGTATAAGAAAGAAACACCATACCACTATTCATCCTATGGATGGTATCCGGATGCATTTTTCAACGCAGCAGACCCTTCTGGCCAACCACCTCTAAGCCAATCCATCTCGGGATTTCTGAAACCAGAATCTCCAGAAGAGGTTAATTTTTGTCTCCTTTTTTTCCTTTTCCACGCTTAGAATTTCAGCTTTAAGATTTATACACGGAGCTGCAATGACCTTATTTTCCATGCATATCCGGGTATATGTTTTGTAGTAAGTATGCCTGTTTAAACTTTTAACTAGTTCTATGCTCATAAAGAGTAGCAACTCGAAGGTAGTTTTACTCGTATGTAACTGGAATGTTGTGATTGCTTTTACTGTTGGAAACACGTTCTCTTATCTAACCATGCTATAACTGTTACACCACATTTTCCTACTTATGCTCATCTTTTCAAGTTCTTAGTATCCAAATCATCCCCCGATATGCCTAGTTTAACACAAAATGTCTTACTTGCCATTTGTTGTATTCTTTAGGTCCAGGTGATGCCTCTTCTTGCTAGATCAAATCTGCTGATTACGAGGGATATAGAGTGGGCAAATCTTGTACTTGGCTTTGAGCAGGTGATTATTTGTCCTAACAATCGTTCTTTCATGCTAATTTGTATGCTCATACTCTCATGATCAGAAGACTAAGATTATGTGCTCAACCTTGCTTGTCTTGTATTGTCTGATTTACTTTGCTGATATTGTGTGGTAGAGGGGATTGCATATTTGGTGGTTCTTAAATTGTCAAATTGACTTCTATTGAAAGCTCTTGGTTTTTTCTCCTCCCCTCAAATTTTTGGCCTTCAATCTTCCTGAAATCTTTTCTGAATTTAATAGGTATACTGCTTCTATTTCAAATGTTTTCATAAATGCTTTTATAATGCTTCATCTGAGTGAACAGGTTTTAAAATGTCAAGTAAACACAGTTTTGAAGTATGGTTAACAGATGCTTGACTCACATCCTCATTCTCTCTAGATAATGTGCGCCTTATATGCTCTGCTATATGACATCCCTTTCAGATCATTTTCACTCAATCTGGCTTCTAGTGGTACTTTAGTTACTGATTGTATTTGATATAATTCCAGGAAAACCGGTATGGAATAGTAGATGTGTGCTACCCAGAGTCGGTGAGTAATTGTTGTAACTCATTTCATCCTCTTGAGGTTCCCATACTGGAAGTTTAGGTTTTAAGTTAATTACTCATTTTCTGTTACTCGATGTTTTGTAGCCTGTGGGTTTGATTCGTGAGCAGAGCCATGTTATTACTAGACAGGTACTTTCTAACCCAATCTTTACAATTTTTGACTCTTTATTTTATTGATATTCTGCCATGTACAGTATATGTAGCATGAGCATGGCATTGTTTCTCACTTGTTAAAGTTTATATGCTGGCCAAAGTATAGAATTACTTACGTTTGGCAACTTATTGCTTCTTGTCCTTTATGTTATCTTATAGAGGTTTTCCAGTGCTTATGCTTGCTTTTCATGTTGCAGTTGCTTCGCCTGAGGCGCCCTTTTGTTGCTTATATAACTGATGCCACGGGTAATGAGCTCTTTAGGGTGAGGATATAGGGCCTTTTAAATAAATAAATTGTAATAATTTGGTGGATGCCCCAATTTTGGATATATTGACGTTTCAGCTTGACCCCTCATTTTACCTTATTTAGGTTCGCCGGCCTTTTTGGTGGATAACCAGCTCAATTTATGCAGAGATCAATGGCAAGGTAGGACAACATGACATATTTTCTCTGGTGGTGGTCACGACAGTGTTAAAGATTGTTGAGTTTGTGAAATAGCATTCTGGTTATTGATGGTGTTGGATGTCTGTTACTCTCTAGGAAGTTGGTGTGGTTCATAGACGATGGCATCTTTGGAAGAGGGTGTATGATTTGTACCTAGGGTAATTTCCAAATGCTTTTTTCTCTTCCTGTAATTATTTATTTAAACTCAAAATGAGTTGATACATATCATCAAGGTTAGTGCCCTATATTGCACATTGTTCCCTTATACTGCTTTGTTGTTGAAACTGTGGTTTTATTCTTGGTCTTCTGCATTGCTTTAATCTTTTGCATCTAACCCCAAGATAAAATGGTTTGTAGGGATAAGCAGTTTGCAGTTGTTGAAAACCCTGGCTTCTGGAATTGGACTTTTACTTTGAAGGACATTGATGGTGAAGTTTTGGCTCAGATAGATCGTGACTGGAGGGGTTTTGGCTTTGAGGTTTGTTTTTGTTTTGTTAATTAGTTTCATCGTGTCAATGTAGATAACTGCAGTCAATTATATAAAGTTACTATCTTGTGAAGAAAGTATGTCATATTTTTGAAGATGCATTTGGGGACCTATATCTTTTGAGATTAGCAATTTATTGTAAATTTGATCTTATCAAATGATGAGTTTCTTAGTTGTGGTTCAGTTTTTACGTATATTTCTCGTGTTCGATTCCTGACGGATGTGTAGTGTGGGCCACCTCCCAGTGTTTGTACCAGCTGTTGGGATTGGAGGGTCTGCATGTGCCTTCAGGGATTGATTAGTTGAGTCCAAGACGTTAAAAAGAAAAAGAAAAAAAGCATATTAGGTTTGAGATAATTCTTTGATTCAACACTCACGGAAGCGTAATGCTCTATATTTCTGTTGCCATGGTTCTTTTATATTTGCATTTACCGGTTAAAATATTAGTTTTTATGTGGCATGCCAGCATATTATGTTGCATGCATACCAACTAATGTTTCATTATGCTTCCACATCAAGCAGATTTTTACTGATGCGGGGCAATATGTGATCCGTTTCGGGAGTTCTGATCCCAGCTCCAAGACCAGAGCTGCAAGCTTGGTAGAGTACCCAATCAGAAAATGATATTCTCCTTACTATGGTGTATTCCATTTAATATTCTTGCCACTTTTTTATGGCAGATTGAAGAGTTGGAAGTCAGACGTCCACTTACTCTGTTGGAGAGAGCTGTAACTGTTGCTCTGGCTATATCGTTGGACAATGACTATTTCTCAAGACATGGTGGATGGTAAGCCAATGACTATTTCTTAAGACACCACGGCTAGAATGTTCAGTGGAAGTTCTGACGTTGGTATGTATTTGCACATCGTGGCTTTGGTATGAAGCACTTATTTGTGCTATAAGAACTTAGAACCAGCTCCAATTTATAGACTGAGGCACTCCAAATTTCTATCATCTTCGTCGCATTGTTTTCGTAGTTTATCTTGGAAACTGATATATGTTATTCTTTATCTTGTATATCTTGGACATTGTTACAGTACTTAATATGCTGCCTCATTCTCAATTGAGAGATAGAGAGTTGAAAACGCACACTAATTTTGTTTGCACGTGCCTGTGCCTGTTTTTTTTTTTTTTCGTTTCCAGGGGATTACCTTTTGTTGAAGTAGGAGAGTAGGTCTGGCTGGCTGTACAGATGAAAATCGATGTGGTTACGCGGTCATTCTTAAGACACGAGGGCTCAAGACAAGGCCCGGCTGCTTGTTAGATGTGATTCTAGCGGGGATGCAAATGTTCTTGTTTCTTGGTGAAGACATTATTGTACCATCGAGTCATTGAATAGCTTACTTTTTATGATCGATTAGGATGACTTGCAAAGACCATATCTTGGTATTCTCTGCAGCACAAGAGACATGCGCAAAACCTGAAAGAAGAGAAATTTAGTTAATTCTAAATTGGAATTTGGGTTTTGATAGATAAGTTGGATCATCCTATATCAATGAACTAAAACAGAACTTTTGAAAATGAGAACGACTGTTGGAAAAAGTTTTGTTCCACCTATAACAATAAGAACGACTGTTGCGTAGTTTTCACATGTTGAAAACACAAGCTGGAAAGTTGCACAAGAAAAATAGAAAACGCATGTCAAAGTTGCCTGCCAAATTTGAAAGTAAAATAGAGGACCACTGTTACAACTAATGGCTTACAGGTTTAAAAAGATCACGGCTTTCACCTTCCACCTTCCACCTTCCACCTTCCTTGAGGGCGTGGGGCTTTGTGTACCAAACGCGTGCTTATCATGTCAACGCTTCTTTTTCTTTTACGGTTACCAAACATTTCCACAGTTAGCATCGTCGATCCAAAAAGCTCAGTTTTTTTTCTTCTGCTGCGATTTGCATGTACGCGCGAATGTATGGATTTTGAAGAAAAACATTCTTTGTAGATTCGTTTGATTGGTGCGAAGAACATGGCTTCAGTTCACGGAGGTAGGTACTAGGTATTGCACTGAATGTATGAAGTTAAAAGTGATGATAAAGAAGAAGAACTTTATATCTGTTTTCGAATGGAAATTGATTGGTTGTGGATTGTGTTGCTTTTTCTGTTTTCGTGTCAACAGGGATGGCTGTTGTGATTATGGGTGTCAGTGGTGCTGGGAAATCGTAAGCCTTAATCTCTGCTTTCTTCTTCTTCTTCTCTTTAAATTCTGTATAACCACCGGGTAGCATTGATGAGTTCAAAAGTATTCTAATTTCTGGGTGCGAAAACATACTCTTCTAGATATTAATTTCAAGGATCTTATAAAACTAACAATTCTTCTAGATATCAATATGTCGGAAAATATGCAAATAAGCCGTAGTCTTTTTCTTGAAAGAGTTTCTAGAGCCCTTGATTTGTATGTAATGAAAGCCTCCTCTATATTACTGTCGTTTGATGTCATGACTGGAAATCTCAGCACAAGAATATCTCCAATGGGACTGTTAATTCTTGGAAGCTGATTTCAGTACATGTGATGGTTTGTTCAAATGTCCAGCTTTTTGTGATATTATAAGTAGAATTTCATTAGTTTACTTACTGTTAGCCTAAACAAGATCATTTGTTTATTGATAAATCTCTCTTTCCAACCAATTCTAACTTATCATGTCACACTGAGCCAACAAACTCTGTATATCTCTTGAGGAGTTGCAGAGCCATGTTCAGAAGCACAACTGTGTAAGAAAAATATGGGATTACATTGATTATATGTGTATGTTTCTTTGCACTTCGGTTTACAACAGCACATTGGATCCTAATGACCTTGTCAAATGCCTTTTATGTGACCGGATTTAGATATCATGGCATAGTTAAGAAAGTTGTAGCTTCTTATATCTGATCTTTCACTTTTCTAGCTTCTGCTTCTCATGCATTTCAATATTTTGTTCAACAGGACGATAGGTGAGATGCTGGCAAAAGAGACAAACTCTAACTTTATAGATGCCGATGATTTCCATCCACAATCAAACAAAGGTACATGCAGCTTTGTATTTGATGTTGGCAACTTCTCTGATTTCTGATTTCTTTCCAATATTCTACTATATTTGGATAAAAATGATAAACAATCTTCTATCTTCTGAAATATTCATTTCTTAAATCAGAAAAGATGCGTAAAGGGATCCCCCTTTCAGAGGAAGACCGGATGCCTTGGCTTGAAACACTTCGAAAGGCCTTAAGAGAAAAGTTGGTCGATGGAGGAACTGTAATTCTTGGGTGTTCAGCTCTGCAGAAGCGATACAGAGAAGTTCTACGATCTGCCGACCCTAATTATGAACCTGGAAGTCATGTCAGTCTGGTGAAGTTCGTCCTGTTGGATGCGCAGGCAGAGGTGCTGGCTGCTAGATTAGAGAAAAGAATCGCAGAAGGGAAGCATTTCATGTCGCCTGCACTTTTGCAGTCTCAGTTAGACTTGCTTCAGATTGATGATTCTGAAGGGATACTTAAAGTTGATGCCACTTCAAGTCCTCAAGACATAGTAAATACCATTCAAAGATTGATTTTCAGCTGAAGAGTTGAGATTTAAATTAGGAGTAGCAGCCTGGCAGGAAAAATTGTAGATTTCTTCCCATTCTGGTTCGAAAGAATCTACCATCAAACATTGTTCTGAAATTTTTTTGGTGCAGATATTATGCCACTTTATTTGAACAGATTATTTGATTGATCATCATATTAAACATCGATATTTGCTTCTGCTTAATTTGATGGTGCCCTATCTTAATTTTCTTCCCATTATAATGCTTCAATGATCAGTTTTAAAAGAGTTTCCACCCATTGCGTGACATAGGAAAGGATTCATTAGCATGTTCATATGAAGATATATGATCTAATCCTATCCTGTGTTCTTTTGAATTAAACCAAACACTTAAGCATAAGTATCAAAGACAGACAAAACACAAAAAAGTTACGTGGTTCGGCAATTTGCGCCTACATCCACGGGAAAGTGAGAAATCCACTACTAAAAATAATTACAAGGATTTCTCCTATTTGCCTATAACTCTTTATACTTTTATACAGGGAAGTTGTAGAAAGAATTTTGTACTGAGAGGTGCAGTGCACATGTTTGAGACCTTGATGAAGAGTTGAAACACAACAAATATGTTTTTTTTTCAATATAACTTGCGCTTCATGTTCTTGATTGGTCAGCGGATACGATTCAAATGAGCAAAAGGCTCAGGGTTAGATTTGGGAGCTGGTTTAGCCACCTCAGGGACCCCAAACACATTCCAGAATCGCAGTGTTTCATCACCAGCTGCTGATGCCACTGTGCAACCATCTGGGCTCTGAAGATAATTTGCAACATAAGAGAATTTAGTATTTTGTCCAAGAGGAAACATGATTTATGATGATTATAAAGTTAAGGTTGTTACCTGAGCCATATAAAGAACTCTAGAAGTATGGCCAGTGAGTTCTGCAATTTTAGCCATTGAGGGGTACTTCCAAAGAGTAAGCTGATTTTGGGTAAATCCATGTGAACTAAGCAGCTCTCTTTCATTCTTGTTCCACAGCAAAGCACAAACCTGAGAGCCAGTGTCGACTGAGTTCAGGCATGCACCTGTGTGGGTGTTCCAAAACTTTATGCACCGATCACCCCCACCTCCACCAGAAGCTAATAAGTTGCCCTGGAAAGGACACCAAGCAAGGGCTTTCACAGCAGCTGTATGGTCTTCAAGCCTGTGAAGCCACTGAGTTGGTGAATTAGAAGATGCCACTGATCTGTCCCATATATGGAGGAGGTTATCATTTCCTCCACTAGCTAATTGCTGGCCTGAGGCTGACCATTTAAGCCCACAAACCTCTTGTTCATGTCCTCTGTATGTCTCAACAATGTGTGATCTAACTCTTACATCATTATTAACGATACAGCCATCCATTCCTCCTGTTGTAAGAATATGATTGTTCCATGCCAATGAGCCTACTCGCGATCTGTGGCAACCTCTCAAAGTTCTCAGCTAAAGAAAGAAACATCACAATAACCAAAAGAATGTTAGAAAAATTGGGTAGCAGGTAATATAAAACAGAAAGGGAGGAATACGAAGGTACAAAGATAAAAGACAACAAAAACAAACCAACCTGCTTATTAGCAGTTGAATCCCACAACTGTACTTCAGAATTGTCCAGTCCAATGGCAATGTGGCGTCCATCAGGCGCCCAGCTGACACTGGTAACAGGTCCGACTTCATCCTCAAATGTGGCAAGCTCCGAAGTAGAACCATTGGTAGCATCCCACAAATAAACTGTGTTTGCAAGAGCTATCGCGAGAACATTGCAGCTTCCCCAATCCAACAAATTCAGGTAGTAATCATCCACTAGGTCGGGAGCATCCAGTGTCCTCTCTGAAGTCTGCATATATGATCAAATCATAAGTTGTCAGTTAAACACAACAAATACTTTCAAAATAACCAATTAAGTTCAAGCAAATATAATCCATTCATGAGAGCAAAATCAAATATACACGTACTTGAGGAATGTGCCTTCGGGGCTTTGCTGGTTTATCTTGTGGTAAAGAAGAGAACTCGCGTGGGAAGAGCTCTACAGGGGCCGGAGGCTTGTTCTTGAAAGCAAGGATTCGTGTCCGGTTCATGTTCATGGCCTCAGCCAACTGCTTCCGATAGGCCTCTCTAGACGGGGAAGATACCATAGCTGGGTTTTCCTTACCTTTCCTACCTTCAGTCAGCATGAAGTGAGCGAAATCAAAATCCATCGCTGATCTGTTGGGGATGAACCTGTCCAGCTGGTAGTCACATAACACGAGGACATCAGAATATCATTCTATTAAATATTAAAACCCACATTTTAATCACATTTCTAACTGTTTTTCAAATTCAATTTAACATCAGATCCCAAACGCTCCATATACACACATGCGGGTAACCAGAATCAGAAATAAAAAGTCCAATGAATAAATAAAATCCAATTAAAAGTAAAACAGAACCCCTAAAATCAGCAATCAAACAGATTGAACCCTAATAAAGATAAACGTCATATAAAGAACTTGGTATAGATCGAAAATCCAATTCAAAATAAAAATTTCAGTAGTCTGATTTTATTTTATTTTTTTAAAAAAACCTCACATCAGATCCCAAAATAGATGAACATGAACCCCAAACGCTATACATACATATAAAAGCGTAAAAAGACTCAGAAATAAAAATTCCAATCAGTAAAGAAAATCCAATTCACTCTAGAATAAAAACCCTAATTTCCGATATAAAATGGATTGGACGGTAATAAAGATCAACGTGTAAAATAAAGAAGCTTACATTTTCCCTAGAATTCCTTTTCTGAAGAAACTGTTCTCGAAGAGGGCACCTAGAATCTGACTTCAAGATAGACGAAGAACTCATTGATCCTGCATCCATTATGTTTAATGCGCACAAAAGAATATATGTGTATATATGTGAAAAAATGAAAACAGTACGAAATAGCAGAGAAATCAAAAATGAAAATTCCTGCAAAAAGATGAATTAGTGTAAAATAACCAAGCCTGCAAAAGAGAGTTAGATTCAGGAATTGTATATCACTACGCAAGAAAAGAAAATTGGAGGCCGCGTTTTTAATCTCTGAGCGTTGCAAAGAATTGCGTATTCAGAGAAGAGGGGAGAGAGAGAGAGAGAGAGAGAGAGAGCAAGTGATTATTGATAGGTTGAATTAGTGGGTTTATATAACGATGAGATGAAGGGGATGACTAGGGTTTTCAGGTAGTCTGAATATAATCTTTGGATCTAATTTCAGAAGGAATATTTTGGATTTGGAGAAAACCTGCAACGGCTATATTTACACAGAGCCGTTGTAATTTTGTGTGACGAAAAATGCCCCTGCATCGACCCAGGCCATTGAGACGACAGACCATCCACATACAGGGGTACTACAGTAAAAGGACATTTACCACAGTGGTCAAATACCGCTGAGTTCGAATTCGTATCTAGTAATTTCTTTTTGGTAAAAAAAATCTTATAATCTGACTTTTCAAATTTTCCCTTAAGTGAAGGATATTTTTTTCTCAATTAAAATTATTTAATATTTTCTTTTCTTTTATGATTTATTAACACTTTTAAAAAAACTGTTAATTAAACTTTCTTTATTAAAATACACATAATTAATTTAATTGATGTAGCATATGATATGTACATGCCACATCATGTTATATAGAAATGTATGATAAAAATGTGGTAAGTGTAGCATTACTATTTTTTTTTAAAGTAAGGAATAATTGGAGGGTTAAAACGGTAAGATTGATGTTTTTTACAACCAAAAAAGGGAAGAAAAAAAAATGGCAAAGTCTGTTAATGCAATAATGGGGGAGGGAAAAGGAACATGTGAGGTTGGAATGCTCACCACTTTAACTAGGGTGGTGAGCATACACCTTGGGTTAAAGTGGTGAGCAAAAATATTTCAGGTTTAGGGAACTATCAAAGCCTCCCCCACCATTCTGTCAAAATTTCTTGAATTTTTTACAAAATATCTCCATTGGTCTCTATACCTTTCTGCCAAAATCATAACAAAAAATCAAAGATGCTGGATCAAAGGTGGACAAAGTTTGTGAATCCATCGAGTTCATCCATGCAATATGCCACAATCAAAATTTTGGAGAGATTACTACCATGGATGAACCAGAAAGCATTTCCCTTAGGTTTAAATAATCTATTCAGCTCCTATTCAAACACATTCGGTTTCTTGCACAATGTGTGGTATAAACAAAATCAAATACAATCCTAAGGAACTCTAGCGACAAACCGAAACAGGGATTATAGAGCTATGCCACCAACAGATTATACACTGCATGAAGAAAACTGCCCATTTCCTACAATGGCAACCATTACTTCTTCAAAAACTGATCATAGGCTCTCTTACCATTAAAGTTCAGTGATGCAACAGGAATAACTGAACAAAGATATCCACGAATCATGTGAATTGTCGTCTCATGTATGTGTCTTCGTGGACGAATACTGGTTCTTGAGTGGTACTCGGTGGAGGGAACTGGGGTTGCCCCATAGCTATTGCCCCTGGATTAGGAGGAGCAGAAGTGCCCCATGGACTGTTACTGTCCTTTACTGAATTTAAGGTGACATAGTAGACAATTCCTAGTACCACACTTGCAAGTGACAAAGCCGCACCTCCAGCAAACACTCCAGGTTTCACAACATAACAGTAGTAGTTGCCAAAGTACATGCTTTCTACACCATGCCGATCATTGAGTGTAGCACCAGTGAGCAGCAGAAGAAATGCTATAACAAACGTGAACCTGCACCAGTGTGGAGTGTGGAGTATGGAGTGAAGCACATCCATTGTTAATCCATTTTAAACAGACAGAAAAATTTCAAAGCCAACTCAACTTAAACATTTAGATGCACCCAAAATAAGAGGAAAAAAGAAGTATTGGTATTTTCTTTTTAAACTGTACAACATTAAGAAACTGGCAAGATAAGCAATCTTGTTTAACCTTTCAGCCTGACAAAGGCCAAACTGTCAAAACCAAGCATGCTTTTGGATTAGCAGCCCAAGTCATTTCCTCATGAAAGTATAATATCATAAATGATTATAATAAAAGTATCAGACGATAAGAAGTGTTCTACCATCGATTCACCATTCACCAAGTTTCAGTTGAGAATTACCAGGAAACAACAAAGCAGAACAAGGCTACTGTCCAGTTAGAGTTGGAAGGCTGGGGGCTCCTCTTGCAACAAATGCAGCCCGTTGAAACATTTATAATTATTTGAGCTAGCATAAGAGCCACTGCAGCAGTTACACCAAGACCAAGAGCTGGACTCCGAGGGTATTCACATTTAGTAATGGAGACAAACTGAACCTGAGAACCCTGTAGGGTTATGAAACAAAGTAGTAGGGTTATGAAACAAAGTAACAGGTCATTTCCAGCATCGTTTCCACTACATACTGAGTGTCAACAAAAAATGGGGAAAAACTAAACCCAACATCAGAGACAACTTGTTCAAAGGTTTTGCCTCAAAAAATGACAACTTGTGAGAATATCTAACAAATTGAGGTCCAACAATAACTGCCAGATGGAGAGGGAAGACATACTCTCTCCCTTAACCTCCATCTTAGATTCTTACACAAACACTGCTCTTTTGGCATTGAAGGTTAAGATGAGTTATTTGTTCAAAAAGAGAAAGATTAAGATGAAAGGATAGCGCGTAGAAGATAACACGAGATTTTTAATCAAGTTGTAAAACATTAAGGCACTTTCAAAACACGTTCTAATGCAGTGAACAACAGGCAAAATTGCATTGGCAAACTATACTAGCGAGTTTCCGCACCCCCATTTTGGAACCCGCAAAAGTAAAAGCATTGAAAGCGAATAAAAGAGCTGAAGTTTGGAAGTTTATGCAGAGACATTCAAAGTCAACACCAAATATGATATTAATTTCCAGTCTGGCAGTCTTCTAGAAAGGGGTAGGAAGCGTTGAAGTCAGTCAAAGAAGAAGCCATTTTCTTATGAAGCTAAACTAAATAGGAGAGCTGGGTTCGGGTTCCAAACAAATAAAATATATAAAAAAAAAAAAAAAAAAAAAAAAAAAAAAAAAAAAAGGTTTCAGAACAAGTTACTTCAAGCAGAAGCAGTGGAACAAGAAAAATAACAAGAAAGAGGAAATTAGCGGAAAATAAAAGAAATCATCCAAATTATTCTCAGTTTGGTCAAAGCAAAGAAAAAATTGAAGCGCCAAGCTTGGAAATTTTCACCCTAAGCTTTCAGTCCACCATACTAATACAATTTCTTGGCCTATTTTGGAATATTACAACAAAACTGAAGATTCCTCTTTCACTTTCCTTATTTCAGAGCAACCAAAACGCAGGGTTAGATTAGTGTATAAGCAGAAAGGAAACAAATTTGAACCAACCCATATGAAAAAAGGACAAGAAGATCTAAGCAAAACCCACTTAATCTTTTTCGATTTACCTTGATTCTTGTAAACTCAGCACCAATACCTGTAGCAGCTGATAATAGCCCCAAGAGACCCACTGCGCAGCAAACCAGCAGTACCTTTCTCTCCATCTCTCTATCTCAGCTAAAAAGAAGCTCCCTACTCTCTATTTGGGTTGGGCGTAGATTTCGATTGTCTCAACTCTGAAGAAGAGAATACGTAAAGTTGGTGAAGTACTGTGGTGAGTTGCGTGAATTATGATGTCCCAAGATGAGGAGCCCAGAGGGCACTACTCGACTGGAATGGAACAGGTAAAAAAGCGCCAAAAAAGAGAAAAAAAAGGTTATAACTTTTTATAACTATCTTCGAACGAGGTGTATTTATATTTCATTTAGGGTTATTAACCGAAATGTTCCCTCAATTTTTGCTCCAATCTCACTTTGGTCCACAAACTAAAATTTTATTTCAATAGTCCTCCAATTATTGTATAATTGTTCTTACTGTCAAAGTCTATCAATTTTGCCGTTTAATAAAAATGGATCTCCATGTTTAAGTACAAAAGGGAGCCCAAAATGAAATCTCAGCCCAACAACAGCTCAAACAAACAGAAGGCCCAAGACAATAAATGGCAAAAGCCCAATCAGAGAAAGAAAAAAACAAAAGAGAAGAAGGTTTTGCAACTTTTTTGTGAAAAGACCGGAACAAAACGTCCTGTTCTTTGCAATTGCCCGTTTCCCCAACCAAACGTTCCTTTTCTCATTCGCCATTCGTAATGGTTCGTGGAAATGTCATAACATGCGTAGGCGGACTAGTAGTAGTACTGTATAATAATCAAATTGGAGCCACCCAAGTCCATGGTTTTTGTTTTTGGCTCATCCCATATATATGTGTACTTCTGTGAACCAAATTTATTTTAAACCAGTGATGCAATTGAACCAATTCCATATAGTTTTTAGAGGAAATTACACTCTTGCAATAATTGATGCCTGATCTGAGGACTGAGGGGGCAGTATAATTTTAAATGTACTAGTAGTGGTATAACTAAACAGGAGGAGGAATTGAGAATGTTTTCATTGAAGACCATATACAAGCAATGCTCCAACCCCGGCAAGACCAGCCAGAAGGCCAATGATGACACCAATCGGAGGCAAACCACCACCAATTGCTTTTCCGGTGTTCACGTCGTATCGTGCAAACCTTTTCTTTGGTGCTCTGCATTGAGGGCATACGTATGCTTCCGGCTGCATTGGCATTGCATTGCATTTTATTAATATAAGATTAAGAAGATAGCTTATGCATACATGGCATGCATGCACATCAAAAGCACACTTGTCCAATTACCTGCTCTTCAAAAGGCTTCTGTAATGTGTATATGAATCCACAGTCAATGCATATATGAGTAGCTCTAGCCTGAAAATGGTCAATGGCGCACCAAATTCAATGTGGAGAGTAACAGAAGCTTATGAGAGTTTATGGGGAAGGGAATGGATTGATGCTTGCCTTTTGAGCCTCAGTTAGTTTCCTTCCAAAGCGAGGAGGAGCCGGACGCTTTGGCAGTCGTTTAACATCCACAAAAGCACCACCCCTGCATTAAAAATGATCAGAAATCAGTTTGCAACTTGTGTTTTGGTATTATATATTTCTTAAATTTGCAATCTAAAACAAGTGATTGAAAGAGAACCTGCTAACAACAAAGTAAACAGAGTCTGGCTTAGCTTGGACGGCAGTTTTTGTAAATCCCAGCTTATCTGCCGGCCATAATTCATCGCCAAAGAAGCTGCTAGTGTAGAGGACCTGGTCCCCTGCCTTGAGCCCTGCCTTTGCTGCATTCCCACCTCCATCCACGGCCTAAATCAAAGACATATATAATATAATTAATTACAAAGCTGCCATCGCCATGCCAATTGTATCATATGTGATATATATATATATATATATATATATATAATGGTGTGGAATTAATTTTATAGAAAGCTCATTGAAATTAGATCATTTTGCTTCCCTGCTTGGTACTGCAGCTGCTACATTAATTAACATAATAAAATATTAAAGCAAATTGCAAATTGCAATTGATTGAAGAATCTTACAGTGATGGTAACACCACCTCCGGGCTTTTGACCCAAAGTGAGGCCTAATGGCTTGTCAACCTCAGCCTCAATTGTCTTTGAAGCCCCGGCAGTTTTTGCTGTAATAATCCCAAGCCCTGTTCTTGTTCTTGCGTTACTCCTCTTCTCAGCCTCAGCTACAGCTACGAAAGAACCAAAGACACCCCTTTTGGCTTCTCCAAGTGAAAAGCCTTGGAAGCTACTTTTCTAGAGAGAGAGAGAGAGAGAGAGAGAGAGCAATCCTTAAAAGACAGGTTCTGGAAGAAGGGCTAGTGATATTTTGGGCATTAATAGAAACAATTGGGTACGTACCTGGCATTGATTAGGTGGCAAAAGTTTTGGACTTGTAAGAAGCTGTGGAGTTTTGATGGAGTGGTGGTACTGGTGCCTGTTGAGGGTGGCAGAGCAAGAAGAGGAGGAGGAGGCAGCTGCAGCAACCACCGCTTGTGACATGTTTGCTGCTACTACCAAACTCTAAAGCGTACGGCCAGATCACACAGATAAGCTGGAGAGAGTGAGAGAGAGAGAGTGAGAGGCAACCACACGCCCTCTGTTCTTGTATTCTTTAAGGTGGTGTTTGTTGAAGCTGTGCACAGTGTTGCAGCAGGACGAGATAAACTTTGATTGGTTGACAAATAGCCACACGATCGGCTTTGAGTTTTAACGGCTAGCTGGCCACAAATTATGAGTAGCAATAATACTTTTCAAAAAGAAAAATTAAATTTTGAGATGCAGCAGCAGCATTGTTCAAACAAGGGCTGGTTGGCCCAAAAGGGTTCAAGCCGGCCCAGCAGTACTTTCATAAGCGGGTCGAATGCTTAGCCAAGCCTGGCCTACCACGCACTCAGGCATCATCCTCTCTTTCGCGGTCGAATCGTGAATGGTATTTCTTGCTTTAATGGAAATGAATTGAAATGGACCCTCTCCATTCTATAGGCCTCGTAGTTTGGTCAGTTCAGACATTTGAATCTAATTAGACTCTATTGGTCGGCGCAATTATTTTTCTAAATAACCAGCGACCGATAATACCACTCATTCATTTTATACATTCGACCATTTAGCATAAGCTGGCTCTTCACACATTGTTGGTATACCTATACGCAAATTTTAACAATAAACAAAGACTACACATGTTCCTCATGATGATACTCCAAACAACCTTTCTTACTCTCTACAATTATATTCATTTACACTCCCCGCACATTTTTCTCTTATAGCACATATTTAATATAAGTTAAACATATCTTAGTAGAGAAAAATCCAAACAATAATATTTTCTCCACGTAATTGTTGTTTTTTCTTTAGTCCTTCCATTTTTTTGTAAATTATATGTACGATCATTTGAATCAGAATGGGGATTTGTGTGAATAATATTTATTAGTTTTTTCTTGTAGACAAATTTTAAAAAAAACAATATATACTCGTATTCGAAACCGAGATTCATGCTAACATAACATTGTTTGTACCATATATAATCGGACTATTTTGTAAAGACACTGACATTAGACAAAGGCTCACGAGGCTCAACCCAATCTCTAAAGCCCACAAACTTCCATAGGCAAGGCCAGCCTTCGGTAACCTAGCTGCCAAATTGGATTGTTGAAAGCACCTCACAAACTATCCCATATATGGACTCGTGGCAGCCTCTAACACGATGTCCACAGTCTCACATCGAAATACAATTCAAGGTTCTTTCCCCTAAGGATATATAATTAGGGCTCTTACCCCCAAGACATCGGGTAACTTGGCTCAATTATTCTTACTCTGTCCAATTACTTATCTCCTCTTCTCTTTCTGCTTACTTAAACATTGGAGGGCCTTCGACCGATACACTAATGCCTAAGGTCGTACAGTGCTATTTCTCTTCTCCTTGCAGATCATTCTCTCTTTTGCCGAAGGATCCACAAGATCGAAGGCAGAATTACTTCTAAGTTGGGTCTAATAGTGATCATTCATTTTTGGACATAAAAAATTTGACGATGTTTGTTGGAATTGAAGCCACGACCACACCATGTGGAGGGGGAGCTTTTCTGCACACTAGATGCCAATCTCCTGGGTGGAAGTTGAGCACCAAACCAACTGGGTTACCCACCATCGGCCCAAAAAAAAAAAGGGTCCAATCTCTACCTTATTTTAATTACAACAATTGGGTTATGGCATAAACAAACACAACGGAATATTCGATTTCCCCTTTAGCATAAAAAAGGTCATGAATTGTTAATTCAAGACTCTTTATTTTTAATTAGGTAAATATATTTATGAAACTTAAACTTAAGAGATAGATTTGATTTTAAAAAACTTAAGAGATCGATGTGAACAAAACTTTACCAAAATAAGAACAAAAGATTCTATTTCAGCCAAAGAATAGTACGTGTCCTTTCGTTTTAATATAGTTAATGAAATTATAATTAAATGACGAAGAGAAAGTTCGCACATGTCAACAAACGACTGACGGATCCTGGAGAGTAACTAACGGACCCTGGAGAGTCAAAACACCCACTCACCCACCCACCCACCGAATAACAATTAACAAACGCCTCCAAAGACGCCGTTAAAGAATTGGAACGAGAATATTCCATCAAATCTGCGTAAAACAAAGCCAACCGTCAAAAAGAAAAACGACACCGCTTTGTACTAGCAAGCAGTACGGGACGGGTGGGTGCGGTCCAAAAGAAACGAGTCTCTGCTGAGGCAGGTGCTGGGGCAGGTGAGGCGTGAAATGAAAGAATCGGACACTATCCTCTCTTTATTTCTGTGTCTATATAAACTCTGAGTCATCAAACAACTCTTGTTATTACAGAAAAAAGCCAACGATCGGTCACTCCCTCCTTTTATAAGCTTCTCTCTCTCTACCTTCACACACACTCTTTCTCTTTGTAAACTTGAGCTTAGTCTTATTTGTATGGCCGCCAATTCGAGCAGTCGAGGGATCGTGAGCTTAGGGAAGCGAGTCGTCAACGAGATCCGAGCTCGCGATTCAACTCAGCTATCTGCTCTCACTCTCAGGTACTTGATTTGAGTTTCTTCGTGTTTTACTGGTATAATTTTTCTAGGAATTACTTTTGATGAGAATATTCTTCATTTTTTCTTGGAAAATCTGCGGGAAAGTGTGACTGGTCTGGTCGTTGAGTATATTGCTTGCTATTGATTATGTGATCAGTTTGGATTGTTGATAATTTTATTTGATGTTACAGAAAAAAGTTTCGATCTGAGTTGTTTGATGGTCTTAGAGTTTGGCATAATTCTTTGGAGTTTTGAAATTTATGATCTGAATACTGAACGAAGAAAAATAAAATAGTTGAAATTTATTTTCTTGTCTATATTACTATAATTAATTATGCGCGACTGTTCTGAATCTGAATCACTTGTGGAGATCCATTCCTTCTTTTTTATTTATTTATGACAGAGGTGTGCGTGAGAGAGATTTTCATGTGAAAGAATTGCTTTCTCTGTTTTAAATTCTTTGCTTTCTTTTTAGTGCCACACGATGCTCGTTTCTGTTGACTGACATTGATGCAGAGTAGAGCTTAGATTTTATAATTCCATTTCAGGCAGCTTCGTTTTCATCGAATATTTTCTGCTTTTGTGACTTATCTGAAAATTAAAAATTGAAAAACAAAAAGCTGAATAATATTTATCTGCTTTTTCGAACCGAGAGGGCTTCATTGCCGTACTCAGTGGTTGTGGATCGTATGGATAAGGACAGACTGCTGTGCTGACTACGTTTCTTTTGACGATTGTCCACCGTATCATAGATGTACTTAATGAATAAAAAAATAAAAGAGAAGGAATTTTTTTTTACTTTTGTTTTGGTAATAATAAGTTAATAACGATTGGTGTTTTCATTTATGTGCCTTGTTCCTTTTTCTTTTTTCTTTTTGATGTAAATTTACATCCTATATATGAAACTGGTGGAGTGCCGCCATGGACATGCATATCATCATATCATATGCATGGCCACGGTATCTCCCAATGAAATATCGAACTTCTTTGTTTTTTGGTCAAATAAGTATATAACTTCAAATAAGAACTAAATAAGTGATCTAGGGTTCAAAACTTGCATGTTTCATGCTCTAAATAAATATCAGGAATTCGTTAACTTTGACCACGAAAGATTTTTTTAGATATTTTTTGGTCAGATATTTTGATTTATTATAATATATATTTTGGATGGAACTTGGAAGGATACCCATATAGCACATACATACATGCCTGCATGACGACAATAGGCCGGTGAAGTGCAGTGTGAGAAATGCAGAGTAGCAGCCCACTCCACTAGTTTATTGTTTTGGGGAATGGAAAAGTTGTTGGGTCGGTTTGTAGTCATTATCTTTTTTATTAGATAACATGTTGATGGTCATGTGAGTAGCATCGCCTTCTCTGTTTAATTGGATGGACTTTCTTTCTTTTCTTATTAGGTGACACCTAACCCGTCTAAAACTTGCGCCCTGGTTGGCAGTCACATCTACCCTAGGACAAATCCTCACCCTTTATATATGCTTGGCTATTGGGGAATCTAATCTAATTTAAGATAAACTGATGCCCATACAAAAGATGCAAGGTAGGCAGCTAATGCGTACAAAAGATGGTGGGCCATCCGTCCATACTTCTTTCTTATCGTCTCAAAAGATGAAAACAAGTAGTAGCTAGGTTTATTAATTTGAGAGGTAAGGTAAACTTAAGCTTGTCTCCATGTTTGATGGGAAAGTATTGTCCCTTACCCCTCCCCATCTTTCAAGCGTATGAATGAATGGCTAGCTAAACTCCAATCTACGTAGATTAAAGTTCATTTCGTATACCCTTTATTTTGTTTAACTAACTTCAAACTTGAAACTTATGCTATGTGTGTTTGTGATTATGTTTTAATTAATTTAATGATAATTGGTTCCTAGATAGATAATTGATGTGCATATGTTTATTTATGCGTGTGTTGATCAGGAGGGCTGCTCACGCCTCAGTCTACGACAAGAACCCTGATGAACAGACTCAACCCAGCATTGTGCCAGACAATGTGATCCCGCCCCAACCTGACAAGTACTGGGCTCCACATCCTCAAACTGGGGTATTTGGGCCTGCAGCTGAACATAGTCATACAGCAGGTGGAAAGGACGGCTCCTCGCCTGTGGATATTGGCGAGGAAGCCTCGGTGCTGGAGCAGAAGGCTTGGTTCCGCCCCACCAGCATCGAGGACTTGGAGAAGCCTCACCTTCCCTGAGTCTGAGGCAATTATTATTCAACCTCCTATTCTATAATATACAGATATCCGTCCTTGCAAAGGAATATATTACGAGATCAAAATCGAGAGAGAGTCGTTGAATCAGTTAGATAGGGAGTGTTGAATGTATAGATTAATCATATAAATAAGGGTTATAGGTAGGCGTGGTGCACGCCCTGCCTATGCAGTAGTACTTGTATTTTCTATTCTGTGTTGTGTGCGCGCGAACTACTATATACAGAGAGCAGTGGGTTGATGTTCATATATCATATATCATAAATCAGAGAGCTTGAGTTGTTGTTGACTGTATGTTACATTATTATATGCAACTTAATTATGTACCTCCTAGTTATGCTTATGGGACGTGTTTCTACGGTGTATTGCTATAGGATACATGGATATGCCTTTGAACTTGTTCTCTCTCTCTCTCTCTCTCTCCCCAAATTTAGTAAGAAGCGAATCAGTTGATGCCAAGCTTAACGAAACTAACGTGAACTTATGAAAAAGAAATGAAGGGTAAAAGGAAAATTTGTAACACAACACAAGTTAACCAAAAGAATAGTAATGATCGTGTTCTGATGAGCAAATTAGAAAGTTCATGCACGATTAATCAGTTGTCATAGAATTTATTTATTTATTTATACAGAGACGCAGCTGTGATTGTAAACAAGCCAACTAAATCAGTAAATCAAAAAGTTTTGCACCCCTTTAGAAAGCAATGGCATGCACGCAGATGCCGTTAAATTAAAGCAGATAATCATAATTTAAAATTTGAAGATAATTATAATGATCTTCGAATCGATCGAGGCCTTGGCTAATGACGCCGACTCAGTCATAGACTCATAGCACCTTCCTGTTCATGCCTTTTCTTTTTATTTCTCTTCTTCTATACAGTACAGCATTGATATGGTGTTTGTTGGAATTTTTGTGAATGGATCCACAGAAAAGCATGCATGACCTTTAATCCCTTCCTAACTGTTGGATTTATCTAAGTAATTACAAGTTATGTGAATCTTTTGCAGAGCGGATGGCTCAAAGGCCACTATTACGTATAATAAATTCGAATATATTTACAAGGTATAGCCGCGCGGCTATAATCATCACGTATAATAAATTCGACTATACTCGTTAAACATAATAAGTCAACTATTCACAGGGTATAGCCGCGCGCGGCTCGACTATTGAATATAATAAATTCGCATATTTAAAGGGTATAGCCGGACGGCTATACTCATTACGCATAATAAATTCGAATATATTTACAGAATATAGCCGCACGGCTATACGCATGAAATAAAATTAATTCGAATGTATGTACAGTGTCAAGCCGAGCGGCTATACTCGTTAAACATAATAAATTACGGCTATACATATAATAAATTCAAATATTTAAAGGGTATAGCTGGACGGCTATACTCATTACATATAATAAATTTGAATATATTTGAAGTACACAGCCGGTCGGCTGTACTCTTGTCTCTCTCTTCTTCTTCTTGTTGTATTTTGATATGTGCTCTGTGCGTTTGGTTCTCGAGAAACAATGGGAAAATGAGAAAGAATTTCATCAACTCATATGCTTTCGCAAGCGTGATTTGTTCGACATATTACCGAGGCTGCTGGAGCCATCGTCGGTGTAAGTGCTGGCTCTGATTCTATAATTTACTAATTTTGTTGAAAACTAAATGATTATGAGCTCGAGAAAGTAAATAATTGAGTGTTTAACCTAGAAGCTAGCTAACTGAGTAATTAATTGCTCTTTAGATTGCTGATTTAGCTGATTGAGTGTTTATATCTTTGATTGCTGGAAAATTAGTTCTCTCTTTGATCCTCTGATCAATTTCTTTCTTTATGTTTGACTGTTATATTTATATAGTCAATATTTCTATGGTCATATTCGTAAAAGAGATGAGGGACAAAGGATTTATCAATCTATCAGCTAATTCTTAATTTTTCACGTTCATCAGTAGAATTCATTGAGTTCAAGAAAGCAGCCGAGCAGCTCCTGTGGTTTTGAATAAATCGGTTTCTCTACGGAACTCTTATCAGTCCAATTGCGGAAACTATATTAGGCTCTCAAGTATATATAGCTCTTGGACATAATAAGTTGATATGTGATAGCATTTTCTCTTTATCTCATTCGGATGCCACATTTGTAAATGTGAGAATGTAGTTGAAGTTAACCGCAAAGCTAGTTTAATGTTGATAAAAACATCTGTCACTGTCTCCCCTTGCAGGCAAATAAGGGTCTTTTTTGAAACAATGGTCTTACTGGAATTATTATCTCCGATTTTTCGAAGAACTTAATTGTAGATGGGACTGTAACCGAATAATTTGAAACCATATGTTACGTGAAACTTACAATTTATCAGGACGCTAATGTACTATATGTAATACATAAAGAGTTTTAGTTGATGAATTCCTCACATAAGTTTAATAAATATCCAACTTATCACAAATATATATATATCGTCATTGACATTTCGTTTCCTTTCAGTTATTATGAGTAGACAAGGAAATCATCACCAATTTGAATTTTGTTTGTGCAAAACCAGTAATGATCACAACATACATTCTATTCTGTTCTATGTGATCTTAGATGAATTCTCAGCAAAATTTGACCCCATATGTTCCCATTGCTTTCAAGTTTTGTATACCAACTTGTAGCAGTTGAGATGACAACGTAAGATTTCAGTTTTTTGTGATGCTGGCAGGCTGGCAGCCTCAGATAAAAACAAAAACGGCTTCAAAATTATGTACCAAAATTTGACATGCAGAGCTCTGCAAATTTGAAGCAAATATCTGTGGTGCCTATAAAGCTACCACTGTGGCTGAAATAAACCAGCTGTATGCATCCACAATTATGTGTGAAATTAAATTCAGCCACTTTGCAGACTGAAGGAAACAATTCATCAAAAGTTGCATACCCTTGCAACCAACCATTACTCTCACAAAACTCTAGATGTACATTTATTTAGAGGATATTCCTATAATCAGTTTCAACACACGTTTGATGTAACAGTTAGAATTAATGGATAATGTGTTTGCTTGTTTCTCTATAAGTGTAAAGGTTGCTATTAATGAATGTAGATACAGATTCAATCACTTCAATTGTTAATCTGAGGACAACATAGAACTAATCACCAGTCAAAGCCCGAGGTCTGTGCTCAGTGGTAAACAAGTACATCCCAGTTTGTGAAATTGCTCTCACCAATGCCATATTTGCCGTTACAGTTGGAGCACACCAGTAATCACCAGTACCAAAAACAACCTTATTCTTCAAAGCCAGTTTTCTAGTGGTTGGAAGGTTCATCATAGATATATAAGGGAGCAAAAATCATCAAACAGATCAAACAAAATGTCAATGAAACTCGAATTTTTTCGGACAGGCTTAACCCTGTTTGGACTTAATGCAGATTGCAGACTAGGGTTGGTTGGTTCTCACAAATGTCTACTGTGCTTGTTTCCCTATTTCTAAATTTTTTTTCGTTTCCTACGTATATAGAAGAAGAAAAAAAAACCCTATGCGACTACAGATATGCTTAATGTCCTACACTGAGGGCAACAGAATCTTCATACTTTAAAAACCTTGGAAGCAAATATCCCCTCATGTTGAAACCATTCCTTCCAATCCATAGCATTACGAAAAATCGGCCCAGGCGGCATGGGCGGGTCTGGGCGGCGCTAGGCGGCTCTAGGCGGTTCTGGGTGCCAGGGTGGGTATGGTTCTTTTCTTTTGTTCTTTAAGCCCACTGCCTAGCGATTTTTCAAACTTATGCACTGCAGGGCTGGTCTAGGCGGCGCTGGGAGGGTCTAGGCGGCGCTAGGCGGGTCTGGCCTGCGCTGGGCGGGTCTAGTGGGGTCTGGGCGGCGCTAGGCGGGTCTAGGCGGATCTGGGTGCCAGGGTGGGTCTCATTCTTTAGGGTTTAGGGTCTGCGTGCCAGGGTGGGTCTGATTCATATGGGGAGATGATCATATGGGAAGCAAATATCCCCTCATGTTGAAACCATTCCTTCCAATCCATAGCATTACGAAAAATTGGCCCAGGCGACATGGGCCGGTCTGGGCGGCGCTAGGCGGGTCTGGGCGGCGCTAGGCGGGTCTAGGCGGCGCTGGGCGGTTCTGGGTGCCAGGGTGGGTATGGTTCTTTTCTTTTGTTCTTTAAGCCCACTGCCTAGCGATTTTTCAAACTTATGCACTGCAGGGCTGGTCTAGGCGGCGCTGGGAGGGTCTAGGCGGCGCTAGGCGGGTCTGGCCTGCGCTGGGCGAGTCTAGTGGGGTCTGGGCGGCGCTAGGCGAGTCTAGTGGGGTCTGGGCGGCGCTAGGCGGGTCTAGGCGGCCCTAGGCGGATCTGGGTGCCAGGGTGGGTCTCGTTCTTTAGGGTTTAGGGTCTGCGTGCCAGGGTGGGTCTGATTCATATGGGGAGATGATCCTGACCTCGAACTAACAGAACCTCCACCTGATGTTGGTAATATCTTGGTTCTCTCGTATAGAGCAGCAACATGTACTATTTCCCTTGCAGTGGAGTGTCCGGTAAAAGACAGCCTATCCCTGATCAGGTAGTGTTTATGAAGTACGAGGATATGAAAATGGACACAATGCAGCATGTGAAGAGGTTGGCTGAGTTCATGGGGCATCCTTTTTCGTTAGAGGAAGAGAGGCAAGGCGTTGTGCAAGAAATTATAAACTTGTGCAGTTTTCAGAATTTGAGTAATTTGGAGGTGAACAAAAGTGGGGCATATCATGTCCATATCGCGTCCCAAACGGGGCAAACACCTTTGCTGGTGAACAACAGTGCCTTCTTCAGACGAGGAGGGGTTGGAGACTCCAAGAACCATATCTAACGGTTGAGATGCTTGAGCATCTTGACAAAAATCACAGAGGAAAAGTTGGGTTCTTTTGGTTTGAAACTTTAGATGAATCAAAGCATTAATTAAGCTCTCGCTTAATTGTTTAATATTTCTACAATAAAAGACATCGATTTGTTTATGCTTTTGATTGTATGGCATTGGTATGGATGGACTACAACCTTATTTGATGAATTAAATTATAAGTTACATGCATGAAGACAAGAGGCACAAAAGAAAGGACCGTAATTACTCGGCAGCGGGACCAAATGTCAATCCAGAAGCATTGAACTTGTCATCTGTGATCTGATCTAGACGTCTTGCCATCTCATCTGTGAAATAATTTTTCCAGTCCCCAACTTGACCTTTCCTAAAGAAGTAACTGTTCTTAACAACAAGCTGGCTACTAAACCATTGCACCTTGGTTTTATTCACCTCCAGATGACTCAACTTCTCAAAACTACAGAGCTTTTATTATTTCCTGCACAACCCCATTTCTCTCTTCCTCTAATGAAAATGGCTGGCCCAAAAATTCAGCCAATCTCTTCAAATGAACAAAGGGGTCCTTCAAGGATGAAGAGCTTTCTAGCAGCAGGACTTCCATCATTCTGAATCAGCTCTAAAGTTGGTAAACTTGCAAGTTCCTGAAGAATCAGAATAGTCATCCTTTTAATTTTTATATAATTAGCATCAGAAAAAGAAACCAAGATAATTAACAAATTGATAACTTGTATCAGCAACATAACAATGCAATGACACCAAGTGACACAAATGCGGGTGTGCATCACAGAAGTCAGCCAGGTTACGAGATTCAGCCCAGCATTGTGCCAGACAATGTGATCCCGCCCCAACCTGACAAGTACTGGGCTCCACACCCACAAACTGGGGTATTTGGGCCTGCAGCTGAACATAGTCATACAGCAGGTGGAAAGGACGGCTCCTCGCCTGTGGATATTGGCGAGGAAGCCTCGGTGCTGGAGCAGTTGAACATAGTAAGATGCGAATCAGTTGATGCCAAGCTTAACGAAACTAACGTGAACTTATGAAAAAGAAATGAAGGGTAAAAGGAAAATTTGTAACACAACACAAGTTAACCAAAAGAATAGTAATGATCGTGTTCTGATGAGCAAATTAGAAAGTTCATGCACGATTAATTTTTTAATTTATTTATACAGAGACCCAGCTGTGATTGTAAACAAACCAACTAAATCAGTAAATCAAGAGTTTTGCACCCCTTTAGAAAGCAATGGCATGCACGCAGATGCCGTTAAATTAAAGCAAACAGATAATCATTAATTTAAAATTTGAAGATAATTATACTCATCTTCGAATCGATCGAGGCATTGGCTAATGACGCCGACTCAGTCATAGCACCTTCCTAAGTTCCTATTTCATGGCTTTCCTTTTTCTTTTTCTTTTTCTATACAGTATTGATATGGTGTTTGTTGGAATTTTTGTGAATGGATCCACAAAAAAGCATGCATGACCTTTAATCCCTTCCTAACTCTTTAAACACAATAAAGTCACTATCAGAGCGGATGGCTCAAAGGCCACTATTACGTATAATAAATGCGAATATATTTACAGAGCCTATACTCTTTAAACACAATAAAGTCAAATATTTAAAGGGTATAGCCGGACGGCTATACGCATTACATATAATAAATTAGAATATATTTAAAGGGTATAGCCGTTCGGACATACTCATTAAATATAATAAATTCGAATATTTAAAGAGCATAGCCGCCGGCTATACTATTGAATTATAATAAATTCGAATATTTAAAGGGTATAGCCCGGCGGCTATACTCATTACATTTAATAAATTCCAATATATTTGAAGGGTACAACCAATCGGCTATACTCTTGAATCGAATATTTAAAGAGTATACCCGGTCGGCTATACTAATTACATAGAATATTTAATGAAGCTAGCTAACTGAGTAATTAATTGCGCTTTAGATTGCTGATTTAGTTGATTGAGAGTTTATATATTTGATTACTGGAAAATTAGTTATGTCTTTGATCCTCTGTTCAATAACTTTGAATATATTTATTGGGTATGCTCTTTAAATATAATAACTTCGAATTTATTTATTGGATATCGCCGTGCGGCTATACGCTTTAAATATAATAAATTTGCATAAATTCGCAATTAACTGAGTGATCAATTGCGTTTCAGATTGCTGATTGAGTGTTTATATCTTTGATTACTTGAAAATTAGTCATCTCTTTGATCCTCTGATCAATTTCTTTCTTTATGTTTGACAATTTCTTTCTTTATCAATCTATCAGCTAATTCTTAATTTTTCATTTGAATTTCTGAGTATGTTGTTGAAAACACTCAAGTTAACATCCATATTGAATAGCTATTAGAAGAAGCAGACTTTTCGAATTTTGATCTGAAACAAAGTGTGAGAAAACATATAAAAAAAGGTAACGCTCTGTGTGTATCCTAGGACTCTGAAATGTATTTTGTTCATGAATTGCAATCTCAACTTAAAGTTTGGTTGACACTGATGATTTCACGTTCATCAGTAGAATTGATTGAGTTCAAGAAAGCAGCCGAGCAGCTCATGCGGTTTTGAATAAATCTGTTTCTCTACGAAACTCTTATCAGTCCAATTGCTGAAGCTATGTTAGGCTCAAGTATAGCTCTTGGAAATAATAAGTTGATGTGTGATAGCATTTTCTCTTTATCTCGTTCGAATGCCACATTTGTAAATGTGAGAAGGTAGTCGAAGGTAACCGCAAAACTAGTTTAATGTTGATAAAAACAACTGTCACTGTTTCCCCCTTCCAGGCAAATAAGGGTCTTTTTTGAAACAATGGTCTTACTGGAATTATTATCTCCGATTTCTCGAAGAACTTAATTGTAGATGGGACTGGAGCTGAATAGTTTGAAACCATATGTTACGCGAAACTTATAATTTGTCAGGACGCTAATGTACCATGTAATACATAAAGAGCTTCAGTTGATGGATTCCTCACATAAGTTTAATAAATATCCAACTTATCACAAATGTATATCGTCATTGACATTCATGTGAGTCAAACCACATGAGATGAGATGATAATTGTAATTAATTCATTCGGCTACGGTGTACCCCGTATGGCAGCAGCACTAAAAACTGGCACTTTGAAATGCCAATTGTTCCACTGCATTTGGCTACGGTGTATGGAAACACGCCTGTTTGAGTTGCAGCACAAGCTATATCATCAAGTTTCTAACATCGTAACCAATGCTGCCCTGCATAGGCGGGCACCAAGTTGATAGCCCACGAAAATGACTCGTGCTTTGAAGTGAGAGTTTGTGTTGCACTTCCTTGCTCTGTTGTCCATGTTTCCAACTGCCAAACCAGAGGGGCTAGTCTTAGCTGTTGTCTTTCCAACATATTACACCAGTTCATCAGTGCAACTCTTGCTGCTTTATCAGTTGTGCATTTTAATGTGGCGAAAGTTGACACCCCATCTGGTTTGAAGTGTTTGTAAAAAAGCGGCACAGCCATCACGTAAGACCTGAGATTTGAGAAAACATTTTATAACCCACAAACAAGGTCAATCTGACATAAATTCATATGACTAGGAGTCCAGGAGTCCCAAACGTAAAGTGAACAACAAAATTCACGAGAGAGAGGATGAAAAAAAAACTCACCGTCTTTTGACTGCTGAAAGGATCATAACCTGTGTCCATACCAGATTGAACAAGCACATTGCATCACAACCCAACTATTCATTACTACTCACAATTCCTCTGTTGAAGGATTATTAAAGCAACTTGTAACATCTGCCTAGCCTTCCTATCCGGAGTGCATCCAGCATGTTCCATTTCCTTGTAAACCTCAGGGACCTGATCAGGAAACCACTTGCATTTTGAGAGATTTAGAATAGAAAACAAGCTTCCTACTCTCTTATTCGTCATAGCTCGCATTAAATTTTAAAGTTCATGAAGAATATATAGCACCTTATCGAACTTCCTTGCCCGAATATATGCCTTCATGAGGGTAGTATACGTAACCACATCAGGGCTAAAACCCTTCAGAAACAACAAAACCATCACCATTAGCAACTCAGCAGGCAAGTACCATGAGAGAACTGTATTGGTTGAAGAAATTCAATATATCTGAAAAAGTTATCACCCGCAACTAGACAAGTTTTATGCAAAAACAAGACTTACACTTTCTTTTATATGGTGATAAATGGATAAAGCCTCTAAATGTCTACCAGCAACACCAAATGCATTCATCAGCACATTCAGCATTATGACATTCAGTTCAATTCCCTCAGCTTCCATGAGCTGAAGTACCTTAACTGTCTGTCCGCATAATCCCTGCATTAACAAAAAAAGAATGATATTATGGGACCACATGTCCGTGCATTAAGTGAAAACAATTTGAAAGGGGCAGAAAACCTGCTGAGCGTAGGCATTTGCTAAGACGCAAAACATGCTGGCTGAAGGAATAAGACCTTCCGCCTTTAGGGCGGATATACACTCCTCTGCATCCTTAAATTTTCCATATTGCCCATAAATATCAACCAAAGCAGCATAAATGGTCCCACTTTTCTTATGCCCTCGGCGTTTCATATTCTCAAAAGTCTTCTGTATCATATCCCACTTCCCCTGCTCCCCCAGTCGGCTGATAACGGTGACAAAGATCTTTGGATCAGGATATAACCCCTGTTCCTGCATCTCAGATAACAAATCAAGTGCCTTACTTATATCACCAGCCTTACAATGCCACCGTATCAAGAAATTAAACGTCGTTATATCAGCCTGTACACCTTCTTGTTTCATTTTCTCAAACACTTCCAAAGCTTCATCCACCTCACCATATTTCCCAAAGGTATCAATAACGCTGTTGTAAATCTGTTTGTCTAATGCCATCCCCATCTCCCTTATCTCACCCACAATGTCCATTGCTTTCTTCCACATTCCATTGTCCCTGTAAAGACCAATAACCTTACTGTACACAAATGAGCTTAGCCGAAACCTCTTCCGCTTCATCTCATTAATCATTGACCAAGTATCTTCCAACCTCCCAGCATTGACATAGTAATCAAGAAGAATCTCATATGTCTCTTGATTTTTCTCGGCCCCCAAATCACCCATTACCGCCAAAACTCTAATTGCCAGTCCTAAGAGGCCTTTCTTCAAAAACCCTCTGAGCAAAACATTGTAAAGCTTAATTCTTGGCTTAAACCCAAAAGATATCATTTCCTGAAACAACATATCAGCCTCCAAAGTCCTGCCAGTACTTCCAAGAGCGTCAATCAAATGAGCGTAAGAGATTGAATTGGGTCGAACCCCAAGAGCTTCCATTTCAGCAAGAAGAGCCATGGCCTTGTCAATTTGCCCTGCTCTACAAAAATCACTTATCAAATGGTTGTATGACTCACCAGAGAGTTCCTCACCATTTGGGCAGTTAGTAGTTGCATGGTTTTGATCAGTTAATGCTGTAAATTTGACTTCTTTCACACCCTTTCTGCGCTTTGAGTGAGTGAAAGAAACATGGAACTTGTATGTATCAGAGTATTTGAGACAACTTGAGCACAACAAAGGGAGAGGAGTGAAGGCACCTGTAGATGAAAGTGAAGGTGACTTGCGACCTAAAATGGACTGCATCAGCATCTCTATCTATGCCCTGGTGTTAACAAAACGGTTAGGCTTTGCTTTTCTGCCTTATTTTTCTTTGTCTGTACAAGGCGCTTCAGGCACTGCTTTTTTGCTTTGTGGAATGACGATGATTATAATTTGACAATTAACGGTAAAAAAAGGTGGAGTTTAGAATTAGAATAAGATGACTGACACTGGAAGCTGACCCAATCAGGCGAGCCCACTTTGCAGGTCAAACCCAAGTGTGCTGGCCCAATCACAAGCCCATTTGAAACTTCCCTAGTCAAACCCAAGTGTGCTAGACGTGCTATTAACTCCATTGGGCATGAAATAGAAAGGTATCAACGAAATTTAGCTTATTGGAAAATTGCATTGATTTACATACCAGTAGTTTCAAGTTCGAATTTTTATGACATCTTGACAATGTATGTGTACGAAGACAATACCTCATTCTCTTTAGGCCCTGTTTGGTTCATGTTTCCAACGGCTCAGCTAGAACAGAACGCAAGTAATAGGTTCCACCATCAAATATGTGCAACTCTAGCACTTTACTGTGGTTTAATACTATAATATGCTATGAGGCTACGCACAGAAATAATAGGCTAGAGCAAAACACAGGTAACAGGTTCTTCTGTTTTTTTTTCAGGGCTCCACACTCCACAAGAATATCATCACCCTTTTCTGCAAAATATTTTTTTCTTTTTGGTTAATATAAAATTGAAACTTCACTGAAAGACAAAGCTAATACATCCACCGGCAAAAACAAAGGTAGCAAGGAAACTACACCATATATATAACAATAACTAGAAGGAACCAAGTCTCCCAACAACAAGAACGCACATTCCACCTGACCGATTGCTCTCAATGGGGGACAGGGGAGGCCATCTCTATGTAAACACCACCTCACAATCTTTTCATTGAATAAATAAAAAACTATTTTCAACACCGATATCCTTTAATCCAGCACATACACAAAATCATTATGAAGAAGATCTTAAAGAAGAAGAACCAGCAATTTTGTTTTTGACCATCTTCTTGTTTTTGACCTACTACTATAAGTTGTACCCAACCTTGTTGTGCATATTCTTCAAAAATAATTTGCTAGTAAAACGAAAACATAAATAAAATTTTGGGCTACCTTCTTGTGTTGGGCTGGGCCTTAATGGGCCCTAATCAATTTACGATCAAAGTTGGGCCAGTTGATTTGTAAGAACGAAACTGAGGGAAAGGGCAAGGCCCAAGACTGCCGACCCAATACGAAAATAGACTCATATCAGCCATTATAAAACCCAAGAAACCCTAGAGCACACAGTCATTCTTGCAGCCGCGAGAGAGAAAGGAAGAGGAGGGTTCATCTGCATTTTCCTCGGCGGCGATTTCAGGTTTGGTTTTCCCTCACTATTCTTTCCCCCTGGTTGTTTCTATAGAAGACTTATGACTACTCGGCGTCTCATGTCAATTGCTTCTTTCGTTCCATGAAAGACAAACAATGATAGCCATAACTGAGCTTCTGAGTTTTAAGCAGGCTTTTGTTTAATGTGTTTTTTGGGTTGTCAAGCGTATACTTGAATTAGCTATTGCTTAGATCTGTAGCGTTTATTATTTCTTAGAAGGTGCAGTTTTTTTCTTTATATCTGTTTGGCATATGTCTTGCATTTTCTGCACTGTGGCAGAATATAGAGGATGCGTCTATTTTATTATAATTTGTATGAATCTGTTTTTTGGGTATTTATTTGTTCTTAGCGCTCTCAGAAGAATCTATATTGCATTTTTTGTTCGTTGTATGATTTGTGCACAGTGTAGTTAATTCCGACTTATGTGACTAGTTTACAGGTAAGCCATGGTGAAGCACAACAACGTTATCCCTAGCTCCCACTTCAGGAAACATTGGCAGAACTATGTCAAGACCTGGTTTAACCAACCTGCCAGGAAGACCAGGAGAAGAACTGGTGAGTAACAGTAATTTTTTTTCTATCACCTCTCTTGTTTCTTTGTTTTACATGTAATTTATAATTTGACTTGAATATTTCTGAAATGTCATCAGCTCGCCAAAAGAAGGCTGTGAAAATCTTCCCTCGCCCTACTGCCGGACCTCTCCGTCCAATCGTTCATGGACAGACTTTGAAGTATAACATGAAAATTAGGGCTGGTAGGGGCTTTACTTTGGAAGAGTTGAAGGTAAGTTTATTGATTTTACCACAATGCTATAACCTTTGGCATTTCTGCTATTTCTTATGGATTGCTGATATATTTGGTCAAGGACCATTGAACTTTTGCTCATTGCCTTGCTCTGTGTTTTCCACTTTGAATTTATGAAAAATGTACTGTAGATTTTGTCCAGCTTGTATTTTAGGAGTTTCTTGAAGTTCATTACAGGCGGCTGTGTTATAAAAATAAATATGTAACCTTATTTCTCGCTTTTTTGTATGATGTTTTACCAGTCTGCTGGGATACCAAAGAAACTTGCACCAACCATTGGGATTGCAGTTGATCATCGTAGGAAGAATCGTTCTCTTGAGGGTCTTCAGGCTAATGTGCAACGACTGAAGACATACAAGGCCAAATTAGTTGTCTTCCCAAGACGTGCTGGCAAATTCAAGGTGATGTTAAATGGTTGATTGGAGTAGTGTAAGAATGTTTATTTGCTGTCTGCATGATATCTCATCTGATATTGCTTTCTTTTTTTGTTTTTTTCGCTACAGGCTGGTGATTCTGCCCCAGAGGAACTTGCTAATGCCACCCAGCTCCAAGGTTCCTACCTTCCAATTGCACGGGAGAAGCCTTCCGTTGAGCTTGTGAAGGTTACTGATGACTTGAAATCATTCAAGGCATATGACAAACTCCGTGTGGAAAGGATGAACCAACGTCATGTAGGTGCCAGGCTTAAGAAGGCAGCAGAGGCTGAGAAGGAAGAGAAGAAATAGAGAGGGCCTGGACCCTTTAAATGAGCCCTTAAAATTTGGTTTTGTTTTGGAAGTTGTTTCGTTTTAGGTTTTGATCTGTTTACTGGACATGACAATTTTAGAGTTTGTATTGTCACTTGAGTTCGTGGAAGTTAAAGATTTTATGGTTATTAAAGCTTCTTATTTGATTAATGCGGATGGTTTTGTAATTTGGTTTATCTTATGTCACTTGGTTTCAATTGTAAGGCTAAAGCACTTGCATTGACCGCATGACTATTATCTTCAACACATTGCGTAGAAGGAAGGTACTTTAATGCTATGCTCGCGTTGGTTGATGGAATATCCAGAGCATGTCATCTCAATTTCGCTTTTCAGAAATGCCTGATGCCTTCAGTTGCGAAGTTGGGACAAGGCTGTTAACCAAAAGAGTTGTCCCCAAGGCTGCGTTTGTCTATAACGGTTCCCAGTTCGATGCAGTTACCATAAAACGAGACGTGAAAGCAGATCAGGCAGGACGTTTAGGTTGCTTGGTTGCTATATGCAGTGGTTTCGTTTCCTTCAAGTATTTGGATCCAAGTCCGCTTCAATTGTTCATTCACATCATCAATGATCAAACGGTGCAATCCAGAATCACATAATCTGTCCGCAAACTCAAAACCCCATTTAATTACAAAGATCGAACAGCAACACTTACGCGTAAGTTTAATGTTTCTCTTTCAAAAACTACAAAAGCAAAAAAATGGTTGTTTCAAGGTTTCTTCTTCATAGGACTTCCAAATCTAATACCAAACACACCAAGAACCATCAGTTTTACGCTTAAGATGGATAGGACGAAGAACACGTCCTAACCAAATGCTTTCAGCAATGAAACTTCCAGATTGACAATATGCCATATATGAAATGTGCAAATGCTCAGTGGTTAGTATCTGACTTTTGTTCTGCACTCAATGCTTCAATGCCTGACAAAAAAATTTTTGTTAGCAAGCCGGTATCAGGATGTTAAATAACTTACGAAATTAGTTCCCCCCAATAAACAAATAGTTATCATTGCCAGATACCTTACACTGAAACTTGGAAAGGAAGAACATATCAAGCATAATTTAGTTCAGAGTTCAAACATCAAATAACTCCCTAGTTCCTGATACATCAGTAGTCCACAAGACATACTGTCATGAATTACTAAGGGTTTGGTTAACTTCAACCACGGGATAGCTGTAAAAATGCAGCTGAGTGTTGCCTAAATTTGACATGTTTAGATTCCAGGTGTTCGCGCACTTTGGCCACAAGTATATAAGAAACTTCTAGGCAGATTCTCCGTTTTCTTATTTTAACCTAAATTAGTTTGTGATCTAACATATTCAGCTGAACATCTTGACTAACAGGTTGTAAGGAAAGTTTTCGGAAGTTATACCTGAGAAGCCATAACCCATGTTCTATCTATCCAATCTTGGCGTGGTCTCAAATCAGAGTGCTCAAACAGCAATTCATCTTTTGTACCTTTGAAGTAAACTCTGTACCTTGGCCCACGAAGGACCTTGCGGATCACACCTTCCCACCATCCATCATTATAGAAAGCATCAACCTCTTCATTCAGACTAAAACTTTCAACCACAACAGTTTCAGGTGGACAAGGCCTTATGTGCTGTGCATCGACCTCTTCTGTCAAGAACTCTTTACCATCATCTGTTTTTATGCTCTTATATCGAATGAGAAATTTGTCCTTCCCCATTACTTTGACAATATTTGCAGCAAACCAAGCACCTTGAAATCCATCTTCATCAGTGCAAATCTCAACTTGTGTTCCTTGTACAAAGTCCTCTTTCATCCAGGGCTTTGGTTCCTCGGTAGTTGAGACATCCTGCAGTCCAAGTTTTGAGGAGTTTGCATTTCAGTTAAAATAAGATAGAGGAAATCCACAAAATAGGAGATAAAACTAGATAATGAAAAAAGTAAAAGATCATATCAAATACACTGTACATGTTCAACTATTAAACAAGACATCAGAAACATTTGGTTGCATCTTACAAGGTTTATGAAATTGACCATTCAACCTTTAAACTCATTTGGAGATAATTCACAACATGTAATAATTGTCTAACCATTGATATAACTTCCTTGATCAAAAGAGAAGGCCAACAAACATATTCTTTACACTTGGTTGCATCTGACAAGGTTCATGAAATCGACCTGTTCAACCTTTAAACTCATATGATTCAGACTTTTTTTTATTTTATTTTTTAAACACGAATAATCAAAGGAAAATGTAGAAATCTACCACTCTTTCTCAACTGCAAGAGGGCAAATGACCGGTCTTAAATCTTTCATACATTCTCAGAATCAAGCAATCCAATCTTCTAATCTAACATAAGCTATATGTCAAGGAAGGAGGAGACTGGCCAACAGATCAAGCAAAATAGGAGGAAAAACAAGGTTGGTATACTCTCCCAAAGAACAGCAAAGCAGCTAATGGGGTATTTGGCACTAAACATGGTTTTCAGGAAGTCTGTCATGAATACACCACCTCTTTCTCTGTCAATCATTCTCAACTAAGATCAAGTTTTCCACAATTCAATAACAATAATATTGGTTTTTCTCCTTATCCCCTGACTATAGTCCCATGAAACTAGTTCAAAGGTCAGCTGATCACTGGTCCTCCGATTCCCAGCTCAAGCCAAATGGAAGAAAAAAAGTAGAAAGGAAAAGAAAAGGCTCTTTACAATATGCGCATATATTATTTTAAAGCAGAACAGAACAGAACAGAACACCCTTAAATTTTCATACTAGGAAAATACATACCCATATTACGAAATAGATCATGGGAAAAGCACGTAATAACAAATGTTATTCATTCTTCAGGCTTTAAACCAAAACAAAAACCAAATGCTTCTCATATCTCCTATCCGGTAACAAAACAATCACGGAGGGCAAATCATCACAGAAAATCCCAATATTAATATTATCCCTTGAATTGAATAATGGCACACCAAGAAAAAAATAAAAATAACAAAGGCAATCAAGAAAAAAGGCGATTCATTACTTACGCCTTGCTGAAGAGGTGGAAGCCAAGAGCCCTTGACCCACTCCCGGTGAAGCCTGAGCTCCTCCGACTCAAACTCAAACTTCTCCTTGGCAAACCGAAAATAAACCCCAAACGTCGAGTCCTTCATAACATCAGTGATGACTCCCTCCCACCACCCGCCACAGAAGAAGGCATCAACGACGTCGCCTAACTTGAAGCAGCAGTACTTACTTTCTTGGGGCGGCAAGGGCCTTATGAGCGCCACGTCCACCTCTTCCTCCACCTCGTTGCGCTGCTGGTGCCTCTTCCTCCTGCTGAGATTGCCATCAATCTTGGCCTTCACTTTGTTATATTCAACTTTCAACTTGGTTTTATCTCTCGACTTGCCGATGATTTTTGCGGGGAACAGAGTGCCACGCATATTGTGGATTGGACTGGTCACCTCCACCTCGTCGCCAATCTTGAAATTGGAGCCAACCATTGAAGCGCTCTCTCTCTCTCTCTCTCTCTCTCTCTCTCAGGGCACCGCCTTTCCTTTAGGGCTTTTCTCTTATTTTTCTTCTCAACTCAAGGGGTTCGTTCGCATCAGGTACAGTAAAGTAGTAGATGGATATAGGCGGGAGATGAAGCGTTGGGGCGGGTGGGTCCGTCAAACCAAAAGCGGGTCTTTTCTTCGTTTACACGTAGCTTCTAATTCCAGTTATAAAAGAACATATATAATTTTTTTTTCAATACTTGAGTGGTTTTATTATATTGGATTCAAGCAGTATAATATAGACTACACACAGATTGAAGAAATGTTACCAGAAAAGTTAATTATCTTTTTATTTTTGGCCAGAAAATGTTTATGATCAGCTTATCCCGCTCAGAAAAATTAATTCATAAAATGATATAAAAACCAACTTCTTCCCTCTCAGAAAATTGAAATTACCAGATTAATAGAAAACCAAAACTGGACAAAATTCTCTGTTGCGCGGCATATGTCAGCAACAAAATACACTCAGAAAAGAACTTTCAATGATCAACGTGACATCTAACAATTACTTGAATTACATAATAATAATGTCTTGGATATGCTAGGACCCAGGCTTTCCTCCTGTTGCAAGTCATACGCTCTTCATTATAACACAGTGGTTTGGTTGGACATAGGCGTTCCCTGCAAGCATGATCGAGTCTTGGATTGCACCATGGCAGCATGGAACACTACTGCCAAACTAAATGCACACAAATTCAATCAGATATCTCAATTTCAGATAAGTCAACAAGTTTCTTGCAATTTACTACAATTGAAATACTTACACACAACAGGATAATGCTACTCTGCAAGCCTTCTTCGTCCTAGAGCTTTTATCATCTTTCCTCGTGAAGATGACAAATAAGATCCTTGTTTGTATCTTAATAATTAGGCCTCCGCCCAAAAAGTATGTAACATTTCTTCCTTTTTAAAAATGCACGCAGCAAACAACTCTTCAGATTACCATGGAAGTTAATCAGAAGATTCACTTTCAAGAGCTGGAATTCTGCGGAATCGCGCAAAGTAACGTGAATACGACACATCAATTTTATTTGACGACACTGATCTCTTCCGCCTTGCCAAAAACCCTTTCCCAGAAAGTGAATCATGCAAATCTCCCAGGTCCATCTCTTTCCTGACCCGACCACTTTCAAGTAGAAACCTGAAAATCAACAACAACAAAATTGTAAACGAATCTAAATTGGATATCAAATATAACTGAAGAGCAGGATATTAAAATCACAACACAGAAACTAACGCCTTGTAAAGAGAAAAAGTCCATTAGTGTCACACAATTAACTCTGATACATGGAAAACCATACCGCTGGCGAATAATTTTAAAAGCGTCTTTTGTTGCATAAGGTAGCCCTGTCTTTGGATCACGGTACCTGCAACATCAAATGAATTCATTAAGATGGCCAGCTTAACCTAAATAATTGTATCTTTCCAACACCATCAATCCTCACACTCTCCATGGCCACTCAGAACTGCTCTAACATTTATCATCATTTACCTGGCACCACACATTCATTCATCAAACAGCATGCTTATTAGTGCATTGTGTAAGAGGTGGACAATAGCCGTGATACACTAACTAACAATCAATCTTTTCAAACTCTCTCTCTCTCTCTCTCTCTCACACACACACACACACACACACGTGAGCATACCCACACACACAGAGCAGAAACCGTGACATCAAATATAGGCACTTACTTGGCAGGTAAACCAGTAACTGCACAAACAGCTTTCTCAGGGTCTGGAAATAAAAAGAAATAAAAATACATAAAAAACATTGTTATGAAACATTAAACATGAAAAATAAATCCCTGAGCAACACATTCATCTAAACTATCACTTACAGGGAGCAGTCGTGGTAGAGATTTCAGACTGAAATGATAATCCTCTACTGAATTCCAGATATGAGCAACCTAAAGAAATGTAGTTTAGAAATTTCTTTATCAGAGAATGATATTGCCACAATGATCAAATTTGTGTATACTAACAATATATATTTTTCAAAAAAGAAAATGAAAAAATCAGAATATTGTAAAGCTGAAAGCTTACCATCTTTTGAAAAATATCGTACTTGCGGGCCAGTATAGACAGCTTTGTGCACAATTGCTCTTTTCTTAACTTCTTCCTCCCTTGCTAGAACACGCTCCAAATTCCTCAAGTTCATAATTTCTGAAGTTTTGCAGGTAACAATTCAAGTTTAGACACAGCCAGCTTCAATTTCAAGTAAATATAAATAAGTACCTAGCAATTCAAATCACATACTAATTACGAATATTGAGGCTTAAAGTACAAACCTGTTTGAGCTGCTTCTAAAAGCATCTCTTCTTGGGTCATCCTCTTCTCCTCGCCTTCCTTTTTTCTCTTTATCGGCTAATGTAAAAGAAAATTTATATTCATTAAAAATAGTATGATATGTTAATCAACGCAATGATCTCACAAACAAATACCACCGGTCTTTAATCAGAATTTGGAGTACATTCAACATCAAATGCTATTTAAAACTGACCTTCATGGTTGCTTGCAAAGCCGCACGTATTGCATCCCTCTCAGCTTGCCTGATAATCACTGAAGTTCTTGAAGATTTTCTCACGATTCTCTCTCCTTCTCCTTCCTCAGGAGCATCGTGATGATGTTCAGGTTGGGAAGATTTCTCATTTTCAACCTTAGATTCTTTCTCTAATTCCGTTAGCACTTTCTTCTTCTTCTTCTTCTTGCTTGATTGCTTTCCCGGAAATATCAACCGCTTCTTTGTCTGAACTCTGTAATTATAATTCATTGAATTTAACTAAATTCTGAGTAAAAGAAATCTAAATGTCATTTGGGTAAGCAAAACTCAACCTTTCCTCTGCCTCGTTGTTTTCTACTCCTTCATCCGGGTCTGGCTCCTACCAACAATTTAAGCAAGTCTAAGCAAGATAGAACTGATAGGAAACTAACATTTGAAGTGAACAATCCAAGAAAGAAACTCACATCTTCGTCGAAGTCACTATCAAACTCGTCAGCAACCTCAGGCTCTGCTTCATAGTTACCATCCTCTTCATCCTACCAGAATATAAAATTCATAAGGGTAACTATAAATATTTGACTAAATTCAGACTTTTTTTTTGTTCATGCACGAAAGAAGAGGTTACAGTAAAACACACCTCTTTAAGAGCCTCCTGATTCCAGAACATCTCGTCCTCTTCGATTTCCTCATCAAGTAATTTGTTCATTCTGAAAATCGTAAAATGAAAAAAATGCTTAAACCTCAAATCAATCGAATTCATTAACCCAGTTATTGAACTTTAGTTACCTCTTCCCTCTGGTGGCGCGAGAGGTACGATCGAGAATCAAAGGCGGGTCATTTTTGGGGGTCTCCATGGCAACCCAAGAGAAATTACAAGGACGAAATTGAAAAATCGATTTGATTTGGATCAGCCGAAATATGCCCTAGCACCCCCCGCCAAAGTTTCAATCTGAGTCTCACTGATAAACTCTCACCCCACAGCCTAATTAGTAATTCGTTCGGGAAGAGAAAGAGGTAAATAAAAACGATATGTCGTTCTATGGCTTAAAATAAATAAACGGCATGTCGTCACTCTAGATTTTCCAGATAGAATCGATCGAGTGTCGTGTTGTATTTGAGTGAATTTCAGAAGAAGAAAATTGATCGACGTTGTAGGCTTGGAGCTGGCTCAACCAAACCGTACAAAGACGAAGCTCGCAGTGCAGTTGAAGTAGAAGTGCTTCGAGAGCCTCTTTCTATCTTTCTTCAAACGTAGTCCATCATCTCAGAATGGCCACAACTCTTCGCTGCCCTCAAGCAGTAGCACCACTTCCATGGAGGGCGAGAAGGCCCAACAACAGCAGAGGCACAATCCCAATGGGGCCCCGCCAGGAGTCGAACATCCGGGCCTTCGGGCGAAGCGACATCGGAAGCTTCGCGAGGGACGCGTGGCGGAGCGCCAACGACGGATTCGAGCGATTCCTATTCGAGGCCAAGAAGACGGCGGAGCGCTTGGACCGCCGATACGCCCTTTCGCACCGCTTCGACACCATCGCTCGGTCCGCCGCTGCTCGCGCCCGTGAAATTGACAGAGACCTCGAGATTGGGACACGCTGGCGCGCCTTTAGCATGGATTTGAGCAGAAATTTGCCTAGGGTTTGTTCTCTTGCTTTTACCATTTTGCTCTATTATGTATATGGATGCGACGTGGTGTTGTGTTTACTGAGTTCTTGTTTGGTTGGTGTTTGCAATTTGTGCAGTACAGGAGGCAGCTTAATGATTTCCTGGAAACCCCATTGGGAAGAAGTTTTGCGGTAAGTTAACATTTGCTACAATTGTGTGATGGTCTTCATTTTATGTTCAACTAATTCAACTAATTTTTATTTTTTGAATGATTTTGAAGACAATCTTCTTCCTGTGGTTTGCATTATCCGGATGGCTTTTTCGGTTATTGATATTCGCTACATGGGTACTGCCATTTGCTGCTCCTCTGGTCATTGGAGCGGTTGCCAATAACCTTGTTATTAAGGTATTACTAGCTGCCTGCTGCTACAAGTTGAATATGTTAATGTTTGTGTTAGTGTTACTGGGTATGTCTCATCATATTTCATAATTATACTAGCTGCGAAGTCTGCAACTAAACTGAGTGAGTTTTATGGCAATTCGACTTTGCAATGTAACCAATCAGATAGTTCTTCATAGGGCTAATTGTGTTTGTTGCACCAAATTTGGACAGGGAGCTTGTCCGGCTTGTAAGAGGCAATTTGTTGGTTACAAGAACCAAGTAATTCGTTGTGCAAGCTGTGGAAACACTGTGTGGCAGCCAAAAGGGGACTTCTTTTCAAGAGATGGTAGAGGCCCGTCTTCGTCGAAATCAGAACCGGAGATTATTGATGTTGAGTTTGAAGAGAAATGAGGAGATACCCAAGTTGTGTGGAAGATCACGCCTGGTAGACTTTTAGATTACATACATAGAGAAAACGCAAGAGTTTTTACTTTTCATTTCCGCTTATATAAAGTCTTATTCTTGGTTTTCTTCTTGTTGTAAATTATGCCTCCTGTATTTTGGAAATAAGAATTGTTCAATCATGCCATTTGTATATCGTTTGCTCTACTATAGGAAGAGGTTGAGAAACAAAATACATGGCCTTTTTGCTGATGACAGAAAAAAATCTTTATATTGATAGGCAGTTCTTCTTATGGTCTGCAGTGAATCAAGTTAGTATGAGTGATCAGCAAAAGTTTTGGTGCTCCTTGTGGCAGTTTTAAGCGAGAAAATTGGTATGTCTTGAGAAAGAAAATTAAATTTACTGTGCTCTTATTACTTCAATTTTCTGTATTATTGGGCAGCAAGGTACTCTCTTCCTTTTGGCGAAGGGTCGCAAAGGTTGTGTAGCATGGTTTTAGCTATGTCAATGTAGTTACTCTGTCAGTATCGAGCAACAAAAAGAAACCGGTCAAACACAAATGCAGATATACAGTGCAGAAAAGCTCATGAAATCTTATACTTGCGTATTTTGAAGTCATGTTTTTAGAAGAGGATCTCGTATCTCTGTTTGTATACTCTAATAATCTGCCTTTTGTTGCAGTGTATTGTTGTTTATGGCCATTTTGAGCTTGGTATCATTTTTGTTGAGAAGAAGGTATCTCGTGTGATGATTGATCTATAAGACGAATGCACATGAAATCGAGCAAGAAATAAACACCAGCATTATGCACATGAAATTGATGTATATAACAAACACCAGCATTATGCATTGACGAGTTTGAATATTAAAAGCTATAAGCCTGTATAGGTTAGGTTTACATGACATCAATTATGCATCTGTAAGAGATTAGAGATGCTTGACGTCCAAACTAAAGACTGAGTTTCATCTTTAAACAAGAGCTTGATATTTCCATTGTTGCTCCTTAGGCTGATTGAAAGGTTGCCCTGACCCTGAGCTTCCTGGGTTCCCTCCATCACGTGCAAAATCTTGTCTGCAAAGCGTTAAGTTTTACTTCACAATTCTAATAAATAAATAAAAAATAATTAAAAGCGTAGTTCAGGGGAAAAAAATAGGAAAACAAAATCAGAAGCCTTTGATCTTACATTCCTTTCTTGTGGCTAAGAATCCCAGATGCTTCTTTTGGAGGCTAAGCATGAGCTGACTATGCTTTGAATATATGCAGGCCCACCCGTATGTTCTGCTTCCTGCTTGCACAAACAAGAATCTATCTTTATTTTTTCATATAACAGCAAAAGCAAAGGTGTTATTTTAAAATTCTGTCCTCGCATTTTCTTTTACCAGAAGGAGTGACAACTGATAGCTCGGCTTTTACTTGAAGCAAATTTTGGCTTCTTGGAAAGTAGGCATTGCCCGTAGCTCTTGCTTTGAGCGCTGCAACTCCTCTTAAACCTGGCAACTTGTCATCGAGTTAGTTAACGTGTGTCTTTTATGGGAGAAAAAAAGAGAGGGGTTATCTGAAGATTATGGTGAAGGAAACATTGATCAAAACATTACATGTTGCAGCAGCAGCTGTAAGTGTGATCATGTCGTCAGTTGTTTGGATAGCCAAGCCGGAGTTGATGGCAGAAGAAACATTTGTTTTCTGTGCACCCAATGACTCTGCGGCTTCAGCACATACCGTGGTAACCAGAGCTGCGGCAGAAGCAACGATGTCACCTATAATGGGGTCGGCGTCTTCTGCTGATTCTATGCTGCTGTTCTTGCAGTTGGAAGCAACGCTGGCAATAGCTGCAGCCAAGCGTGTGACAGAAAGGGCTGCATGAACGCTAGCTGTGTGAAGTCGAATATCATCTTTCTTCTTCACTCTCTGCAGACCGAATATGCTTATTAAGGATTTGCCTCCTAACCATCCCTTTGTGTGCTTGGAGTTCATCTGAGAGAGAGAGAGAGAGAGAGAGAGATTTCCTAATTAGACGGGTCATTTTGAAGTGCACATGTGAGAGAGAGACAGAGAGACAGAGAGCTAATTACCCATATCGTGTCATCTACCCTGCTGATCATAGGGCTTCTAGTACTAGTTTGGGATGGCAACTCATCTATGACTTGTATCTCCAGTTTCTCTTCTGGTTCCCCTGAATTGAACTTGTCTTCCTGTTTCCCTGAGGTCCAGTTGTCATGTGAACCAAACAAATCCTGTAAAAATTAACGTCATATTTATATGAACTTGAAGACAAGATATACATGATACGTGCAAAGTGCCAAGGATTTGAAGACTCTCTCACACTTGATGTAAACATCTGCTGAAAGTTATAGGCTGATGGGCTCCATGAGCGACATAAAAACTCCATGGCATGGACAGGGCTCTGTGGAATCTCCGAAGAGCTGCAGCGAGAAGAAGAAGAAGAAGAAGAAAACGTTTTTTGTTTTCTCTGTAAGCATTGCTCTGTTCTGTGCCAAGACTCCAGCTTTCCATTCTAATCAACAGTATAATTGGGAAGTCAATTTCTCTTGTTTGTTATTTAAACTTGTCAAGATGAAAGTCTATATGCTGGCTTTAGACTCACTGTGTTAGTTGATTGGTGCTGGGTTTTAAAGGAGACTGATCTGCCTGGCCTAACTGTCCCTGGTAGTTCCTCCATGAGAACTCAAATCTTTAGTCAATGCTACCTGTACAAGAAAATTATATATAGAGATATAAGCAAGCCATTTTCGACCAACATTTGATGATTTGTATGCATGGGGTTTATGTTTATCTCTTGCATTGCATTAGTAGATTTTTATTCTACAAAACAAAGAAGAGGAATCCGAATGTGAAACAAAAAGGTCAGAGAAGAAGAAGATGAACATAACACAAAGTCACAGTAAAGGCGGCTTCTCTTCTCTCTGTAATACAAAAGAAGGAAGAGTTACTTACTGCTCAGAATAACACAAAAGAAGGAAGAGTTGCTGAAATAGGAAAGCTAATGAGAACGCCAGTGTACTTTTATTACTACTTGAGGAAGGTGGCAACTAGAACTGAGACACTTGCCCAAATAGGCTTTACTATATGTAATAAGGCTATTGGATTTGTACATTCCGTTTATAACTAGGAACGGGGGAATTTCCAAAAATAATTATATTCTCTTTGCATACTTATATTATATGCGGTTCTTGTGTACGCATGAGACAACTTTTATTACGGTTATCCTTCTCTTTCGTTCTTTTTGTATTGTTGAATCGAATTGATATCTTAATTTTGCATTGGATTGTATAAACAACGCCTCAGAAAGCTTAAACAACACTTAAAGATGGGGGAAAATAATGGTTAATGGTTAAAATAACGACATTCTCATCCCAATTGCAATGCCTATTCTCGGGATATGTCAATAAGGCATAGTTACTTATCTCTAGACTAGACTAAAGAGGGAGCAAAGTTTAATTATTAGTAAAAATAGGTATCATCTTCCTATTTTAGGTTAATGGGGGTCTTGGGATCACGTGGGAGCCAAGAAAGATGACCAATTGTGTCTTCTTTGTTCATTTCTCTCTCGTGCCATTTTAGTTTTGCCCAATCGTTCTAATACTACATGCAATGATGCAAAGATTAAGGCAGCTGCACATGCAATACATATATAGGGATCCATGCGCCCCGCCCCTTATGCCACATCCCCATCATTAATCTACAATTTTGATGCACTTAAAAATGTGGTCCTTCAGCCTACTACTACTACCACTGCTAACATCATATTAATGGAGCGCTAATCCAAAATGCAAACCAGTTTGCATGTATTGTTTCAAGGTTCAAATGTACGTTTAATTTTTAGAATTTTCGAATTATGGTGTTAATGTGATATGTTTTCACTGGAAGTCAAAGTGCAAACATCTCTCCCATCCCAATGGGGAAAGAATTTTCACTCAAGCCTGCAAAAATTGCATACCAAGGCCAAATGTACAACCTGAATAAAGAAAATAAGAGAAAGATTTACAAATTAAAAAATTATCTTTGTCAACTGTCCGTATATAATGGATGACTTAATGAGACATAAATTCAAAAATAAAACATTCAATGACAAAAATCTCGTTGATTCCACACCCTATATCTGTTCTGTTCAGCAATACATGCGTTTCTGTAGTAGTAAACTTGTTTGCTGGTCGTGACATCATCATGTAACCAAACCAAATGATGGTTGGTTGCAATGGCAAAAACGACGCAATGACTTGAACCTATACAAGAAAGACACCATAACTGGTGTTCTCACGATAAGAACATGTGTTCATGCAGCATGCAGCTTTGAATTATAAACTTCACATTTTCAACTTCCTATCCCACCTTACAACACGTATTTATGGATGGGGGGCTACAACCTTTCTATCTTGTAATCTGCCGCAGAAAAGCTTTAGCCCGCACACGTCAAAATAATGATACAATCTTTCTTGTTCACTGCGTATGACCTTGACATGACAGCAAGACAGGCGAGTTACAACAAGTCCATCATTCATTTCGGATGGAATAATACTTGTCCGAGAGTGTTGGAGATTTTGAGATTTCATTCATAAGGTTCTTGAACTTAAGGCTGCAATCTCCACCACTGCAGGATAAACAAATATAACAAAGCAGTAGAAGATTCATCAATGTCAAAACAAACACATGCACGCAGAGGAAAGCAAAATTCTGGGGAAAAGGTCTGATTAAATCCAAAGACCTAACTCAATCCAACCTCTTTACCACCTAGCCAAGGACCACATTTATTTCTGCTTTACTTAATCACTCCAGTCTATAGAGGATGAACAAATGCACACAAGAATTTCATGCAGAACCTACATCAGGTCATAGATAAAAGGCAAAGGGTGAAACCTTATACGATGCAAGGATGCAATTGCTCTAAGAGCACTGCGAATCATATCTTCATTGCGATCTACTTCTTGCTTGACAGCATCTTGCTTTGGCTTAAAGTTAATAGTTTTTTGGAGAGGATCCACCAGTGAGTCCAGCACTGAAGGACAGAAAATTTTATATTACATAATATAAAAAAAAATTTGGGGGGGGGGGTAGTGGAGGAGAGAGTGAGGAGAATTAAATGACCTGCCAGAACAGCAGATGGACACTTGTCCGCAAGCTTTGAGAGTATAAGATGGCAAGGCATCTTAACATCATAATGATCTGGAAAAGCAAAATCCAATTGAGTTAGGAAGGTAATAAATTTAACAACCACCACATGTTAACCATACATCTTCAAATTTGCATAAACCAAAACTAAACTCACCGTCCAAACCAGATCTAAGATAAGGAACAATAAAAGATGAAGGGTTCACTTGATCAAGACAACTGTCCAGCAATGTGTCCACACATTCAAATGCAGCCTTCCTTAACTCAAGCCCATCATCCACAATGTGCTTAAAAGGACCAAGATCAACTGTCCTGATCAATTCTTTCTGCACCCAGAATTTTCACGTTAAATAAGATAACAACTCAAGACTAACACAGGAAACAAATTAACGAATGATAGAAGGTGGTGTTGCTTTAAACATGGAGCACAGCAGTATTAATACCATGAATGTCCTATCTTCTGTAAAGGCACTCTATATCATACATACATCAACTGCGTAACATAGAGATAAACTTTAAAACACTCAACCAACCTTGATGACAGTTTGGTCATAAAGAAGTGGCAACAGCTCTGGAAGAAGCCCCTTAATCAGGTTTGGCTTATTGTGGGCAAATGTACTTAAAGCCAACACAGCCGCACGCCTAACATGCTGCATGGAGTCATAGCAAATCAGTCACCACAAAGTCAACAAACCTAGAACATAAAACAATACTGAGAAAGAGAAACGAATCGAGGAGGGGGGGGGCGGAGATGGCAGATAAACCCAAACACTTAGTTTATCAAGCACTAGAAATCTGAGACTTACCCGGTCATCATCCTTAATAAGCATCAGGAATGATGAGATTTCAGGATATAAAATCTCATCTATCTTCTCTGGCCTCTCAACTACTGAATATTTAACTGCAATGACAACAGTAGCTCTTGTGAAAGCAGCTGGGCTGGTTGTTCGCACCTATAGGGAATTAGGATTAGAAACATAGATATGCAACCCATCAAATACTCTTTACTCATAATCTTATGGAGAAGGCACAGGGTCATTTGACCAGATACCTTAAGTGCAGGAACAAGTTTTGCAGGTTCAATAAGTGCAATTTTACCCAGACACTCAGCTACCACATTGCGAACACCCTCTTCCTCACTTTCACAGTGATTAAAAAGTAAATTAAGTATCTTCTCAACACTCGAATCCTGAAACTCTGCTTTATCTACAGACTGCCTTACTATGACCTGAAAAATGGTTGAAATAAACTTAAACTCAACAGAAAAAACATTTCAGGAAACAAAATCAGGCTCTTAAAGTTCAGAAGAATGCACCTCCTTCAGAGAATGAAGCAAGAGATACTGTTTTTTCTGTTGATTGTCAATCTGGTCCAAAATAAAAGGCAAATACTTGAGCAGGTTACCAACAGCAATATTGCCAAGAGCGTAGGAGGCTGCAGATTTGATCTCTTCAAAAGGAGATTGAAAGGACTCAATGACAATATTCTCTATATGGTCATGGGAGCTTAGATCTTTCCTCCTTCCAATCTCCCCAAGACACAGCAAAGCAAGGTGCTGCTTAGCCTATATCATATGAAGAAAGCAATTATACTGGGCCCAAATAAAAGTTATACAATAATATAAATAAAAAAAACAATAAATCAACTAGATTCAATCAATCGACCCCAAATTTATAAAGAGAGTTTGCCTACCACCAAATTGCCTTCATTTTTTAAGATTACCAAATAATAATAAATCGTGAAAAGTTCAATCGTCTATCCCTATTTGCTTACAAAAACCAAAACACTGTCATCAGTGAAGATAACCCTAATTGAGTTGTTTTCTTTTGGGAGGGGGACTTACTGAATTTGTACTGCTGTCATCTTTGAGAATTTCAGTTAGCATGTTCACGGTAGATGAACATTGCTGATCACCAGCAGCAAGGCAAAGGACAGCCACACATTGAGCTATTGAATACAAAGCCTGTTTTGCAACCCCACCTGACTGGGGAGATGGTTTAGCACTTGATAGCAGAGAGTCTAGTAAGGTATCAAAACTTGTGTTTGCAGAATACACCAAGGAAGCAAAAAAGTTTTGCAAAGCCTGCAATATCCAACAAAGAATGTTCTCAAACATGTGCAAAGTTTCTAGATCAAGACAAAACACCAGTTAGATAAAATTACCAAAAGGGCTTGCCCCTGCAGCAATGAGCTCTTAATTAACGTTAGTGCTTGCGGAAGAACTTTGTTTCTAACAGCCAAACCAACAACCGGGCTTGACCTGTCTGCCATCAAGGTGCAGCAGAGTTCCAGGGCGAGGGCCGTCATATGCAAGTCCGAATCACTGGAAATGGGTATTAGATAGACACTAGGGTTCAGAAACTAAACCACACAGCCACCAATCACACAAAAATTTGAAAAGAACAAAATAAAATTGGTGGAAGTAGCAAACCTTATCAGTGTGGCAAGTTCTACAATAATAACTTCATAAGCAGATGAGCCAATTTTATCTCCATAAGCAACAATTAGGGAATTCAGGGTCCCCAATGTTGCCTGTCTTAGAGGCCGATTAGCCTGATTTCCACAAAGGCAAAGAATATTAAGATTAATTTCATAGGTCTTCAAGTGATTCTAAGAAAAAATCTCATAAAACATTTTGTAACAGATTATGAATTCAACAACAAATTAAGTAAATTTCCATACCTTCCTTAAGAATGCAGTCAACTCTGCAATCACTTGCTCCAACACACATGATAAATCTATTTTCAGTGGAGAAGCAGCAATGACAGCAAATGCCTGGTTGCAAAACACTTAAGGTCTTAGAAACTTAACACATGTACATAATAATACAGAGTCCCAAATGTATATCTTCAGAAAAGAAAGGCCAAAAAATAGACATCAGCATACAGATGACAAATGTACAGTCACAGCCAGTCACAAAAGTGAGCAAAAAAATTACCTTCACAGCTGTAAGTCGAGTGATCTCATTTCCCATCCGATCGACCAGTACAGGAAGGCATACAGGTAGTTCAACATCAAGGTTATCACCAAATGTTGACACAACTAGACCCATGCAAGATATAGCACATTCCTTTACCTCCTGCATAAGAAGAGGTATGAGCCACAATACAGACAAAAACAATTAAGAAGTACATATAAAGTAAAATTTACCTGATCTTGATCTTGGTTTGTCAAGCGTGACATTATGGCATTATATATTGGATGAACATAAGGTTTGAAATCAAAACCATCCCCCTACATGGAAAAACCAAATCTTATAAGTAGAGAATGGTTTAATTGGACCACAAGACTAAGAGTGCCAACTAATTTACCTCAATATTCGGGCGAACGACACGGACAAGTTCCCCACACACCCTTAATGCCTCAGCTGTGACTTTGTAATAACGCTCTCCCACAGCAGATAAAACAGGACTAGAGAGAGCCTGCAAGAATATGAGTTTATATTTTATAATGTCCCCACACCGAATGCAACTTGTGGTCTACTTCATTTATAAAAAAAATAATAATAAGAAACTTGTGGTCTATTTCTCGATATCATATCAGCGTATTCATAACATAGCATATTTGTATGAGTTACTGCACTTACCTCGATATAAGGATGGAAAACAGAAGGAGAATGTGAAGCCAGCACCAATCGTGCAAATATAAGAGCTTCAATCTTCAAATTGGAGGTAGAAGACTTATCCTAGAAAAAATTACGAGGAACCCCCAAAAAAAGGAAAGGGAACAAATGTCGTCATCAGAAGAAGAAAAAAAAAATTATTAGTTCAAAATACATTTCCAATTTGAGATAATTTTACTTACGCTTAATGCCTTTTCAATTCCTGGAATGAGTGAACCAATGTGATCAGCCAGGCAATCTGGCAAGACCACCACAAGCTCTTTCAAAACAGAAAACGTGCCAACCTGAAAATAGATAAATGTTATAGTTCATAACATTCCCGCAACGGACAATCCAAAAGACACTTCAAAAATACTACCTTTGTCTTAATAGATTTCTCACGTAGCTGCCTATTTATAGATCTGACAATCTTTGGCACTTCTTGCTTCAATAACCATCTTGGACTGCAAAACATGCCAATAATTTAGCAAAGGCATCTAATAACTCAGAACTAGGACAAGTTCAATTCCCTAGTTAAGAATCTAAGATTTAAAAAACCACACTCAACTGAGCAAATGCTAGATAAGAGGCAAAAGAGAAAACAAACTGCACGTTCTTTGACACTCAGATAACATTACAAGTTTACAACTAAGTTACCTCTGTTCATTTATCTCAATCTGTCCTTTTGTAACATTTCCAGTCTGCTGCAACAGTTCAATGAATGTATTGAAAACATCCATCTGCAACAAAATAATATCAGATAATTAATCCCGTGAAGCTTAATGAGAAGATCCACTGACATTCATTCTGGTTTACCTTGACATTTTCCTCCCTCTCTTTAAACCTGTCAATTAATTTTGGACAAGCCTGCGGAAAAGCAGAAAGTGTTTAATGATTTCATTGAAGGACTATCTGAGAATTGAAGGAAATTAAACATCACATTTCAAGTCAACAAGAGGTCCATACCAAGTAAAATGCAAAATCATAATGTTACAAATTTATCAAAAACACGAGAGCACACAAACACATAATGAGAAGTTTCAAGAGAAATTGCAAAGATACCTCCTCATACAGCTTTGAAAGCATCTCAGGACGGGAAACGATTAATGCTGCTAAGCATTTAGCTGCTGCTCTTCGGACTTTCCAGCTTACATCTTCATCATCCGTATATTCAGTCGCACTCTCACTACAACATAATAAAGCCAGCATGTTTAGAAATCATATAGTGTACATGTGATTCTGAATCAAACATGACCTCAAACAGATTGAAAACATACTCATCTTCTTCCTCCTCATGAGTTTCGTCATCAGTATCCTCCTCCATGTTATCAGTGAAGTTCGGGTCATAACTTAGATATTCCAAATTAAGATGAAGAATTTCATCACAATAAGAAGAAATATCCCTGGGGCACCTAAGCAGAAAACTTTCTAATGCCTGCAGTCAAAATAAAGCATATATGAACAAAACCAATATATATGTTAAAAATAATTGGTTTAGACATAACAAACCTTTCACATAATCCTTGAAATCTAATGAAAAATACCAACACAACAAAGAAAATCATACAAACAGTACCTGCAAGCTGTATTCACGAAGCTCCTCATCATTCTCTGATGCACTTGTGCAGTAATTAATTAGCACTGGGACAGTGTCAGAAAGATGGGGTCCAAAACGATATCCAACAGCACGACTGCACACCATAATATCAAACTAGTTACCAAAAGTAAGTTATCTCTAGACCATAAGCACATTACACGGTATCTAAGACTAAAGTCAGATACTTACAATCCGTGGGAAACTACATTGACAGTGAAGTCATGCATTCCACTCTTTTTTGCCCATGCATGCACCCCACTTGAAAGTCAAGAAAATCAGCAAAAGAATGCATACCATAAAGCTCACCTTAAAGCACCAATCATCTGAATATTTGTACGAGTCATTTCTGATTTTGAGCTTTTATTTCTCAAGTTCTGAACAACTTCAACTGTTGCCTTTGCTAACAAATCATCTGACAAGCTCGAAGCAAGAGAAGCTAAAGGCAAAACAATTTGTCAAGGTCAATCTACCATTCAATTTACGAAATAAAACAAGGAAAATCTACATCTAATTTCTCAATACCAATTTCCACAAGTATGAACAATAGTAGTATGCTAGAACCAAATCAAACAGGTTTCTACGTACATGGTAATTTATGCATATTTCTTCATAAAATTTGGTTAGTCACAAGCCTCAGAAAGTATTAGAATTCAGAAATAAGTACATCACTAAGAACCCAAACCAGAACCCTTAGTTCTGAATGGTAAACAAAAACCCAAAATAGTAATTTATAAATAAATAAATAAATAAATAAAAGACTAAATGTGAGTGGCAACAGTCAATCCAAACGGCCGTCAGATCTTCGAAAAAACTAATACATGTTTGAGGTAAGCAAAAGTGACTGCAAGGAATCCAGTGAATCTTACCAATGCATGACACAGTTTTCTTCCTGACACTGGCTTGAGTGGAACTCAACTGAGACAAGAGAGCACCTAATAGCAGCTCATGGTCGGTTGCCATTAGATTGCCAAACTTATGAAGAACATCACATAAGATATCAAGACTTTCACATTTTATCTCTTGGCTCATTCCCTGGGATAAATTAGAGTACAAAAGATTAGCAAGAAAAACAAAAAGTTAGCATCTAGAAATAGCAATGCAATGGAATAAATGAATGAATTAGATGGAGAAACAGATGATAGCAGAGGAAATGAAAGATAATATAAATTGATTCTGACTAATCTCCAGTTTTTTCGTTGAATTTAACCACTAGTTAATAAGCCCTTGATTTGATTCTAAAACTCAAGAATCAATGGAGAAGGAGAGAGTCACTGATCCATTCAACCAAGGGACATGAATCACTCATTTTCACTAATTTTAATTATTGTGTTCCAGTCCTTTATAAACATGGCCTATAAACCAGTTTTCCTTCCAAATCAAGTTGGTTTAAACATCAAACAAAATTAAAACAAATACAAAACGCGAAAGCACAAATGTCGACGTGGAACAAAAACAAAACCAACTTATGCACATCAGTTCTTTGTGCTCGTAAATTTGTAATTTCTAAAGCCTTTTCAATGTTTATATAGCCTTAGTACTTTCCAAAGTGTGATAATTTACAAATTAGAAGCATCTCTACGGCCATCATGGATATAATTTTCTAGACTACATATGCAAATCATCAATCTTGTTAGGTGCTTCACCTCCAAATTAGTAGCATCCAACATATCTTATTAAATGATAAAGGGAGCCTTGACCGAAAAAGGAAAAAAAAGTCTATAATAAAGTGACAAAAGATAAGAGTTACTAACTCACTGGGCCAGTAATTCCATTAATCAACTGTGGCAAAATAGACAGAAGAATAGACTGTGCAAGAGATTGAGTAGAAATTTCAGCAATAATAGTCTTCAAAGCTATGCTTGCAATGTCACGATGCTGATCCTTCTCCTTTAGCAATTTCTCACAAAGTTTATTTGTCATCTCCACAACTCGTTGCTCGCTGACCTTCTTGACTAATGGAGCAAGACTGTGGTATGACATAAAAACAACAAATAAATAATCAAACTAAAAGTTGTATAAATTTGCTACTGTAGCATCTGTATCACATAACTTTTTCTATTTTTCCACTCATTTTAACATTGATACACTGAGAGAACATAAGGCATCGAAATCACCCATGCCTGAAATGTGCTGGGAGACTTCCATAACATTCTACTAATTTACCTACAATCTGCGTCAATATGTCTAGAAACTTATACAAGGTTACTTTACATGAAAAGAAGTACCAAAGCATTATGAGTTTGTATGCTTGTTCATTACAATTCAACAAGAGTTACATAGCAATCACCCAGAACACTGGCCAGAATATTTGTACAACTACAACCACAATAATGAATGCTGAATAGAATTAAACCAGATACATATTCCATACCATTTCACAGCCAATCCAGATACATCACCCGCAACATCATCAAGTTGCTGAATTATAATATTTGACAACTTTATCTCTAGATCACCATCAGCTTTAAAATTTTCTTTGTTTAATTCGCTCAACAAATCAGATGTTGCCATATATCTGAAATCCTTATCTTTGCCGGTCATCTGAAATACAAACTCGAACAAGTCAAAATGTATCACACATGCAGCACAGCCGAAAGACGCAACCAGTAAACACACATTCATCTTCCTTTAGCCAGAAAACACCTAAGAGGATCACACCTTTTCCAGTATACCAGTCATTGCTAGGTTCGCCATCTTGGCGATACTATATGAAGGGTACTGTGTGCAGCGAACTCAAGAAAAAATGTTATGCTCGCCTATATCAAAATCTGATAAGAAATAAAAAGAAAATTCAAGTATTAGATAATCAGAGATTATGAAACCCAGTCCACATACTACATGTACATAAAAGAAAAATAAACTACCATATTATTTAACCCAATACGAAAAGGAAACCCCAGCGGCCTAATCAATAATAGCAACAAGTTTATAACTACGAAAAACACCAATTACACAAAATCGGAAAACTAACCCTAGCGACATTGTCAAACTTAAAGCTAGCGATAAGCAAAGCTATAAAGTATATATAGATTGTATAGGGTAACAATGTATAGCAAACTTCAATGCATTCAGATACACCATCAGACGCATTCGGCAGAAAGCCTCCCAAAAAGTCTATAAAAAATAAATGGTGAAAGAAGGAAAAAAACGAGAAGAATAAATTAAATAGAGAGCGGATGAGCAAAAGGGGGAAGATGAAAAAAAGTTGAATCGGTGAAAATAAAAGTATAAGAAGAGAGAGAAGCTAACCGGCGGTTTGCGACGGCCGGCAACGACCGGCGACGAGCTCTCAGTGAGTCACAGTGGGGGGTTGATTTGGTTCGGAGTTCATTTAGCGTAGGGCATGGTGGAGAGAGTGTTAGGAACACCTTTTTATATACGTGGACAATCAAAGCACTCGACTTGTATCTCAAGATCCGCAATATCATCCCTCCACCTGGAACTTTGGTATCCCAAACCACGCGCCCAACTAAACATTTTTCTTTTTCTTTCTTTTTATTTCTTTACATTGTGGGTGTTTTTTTTTCTTCTTCAAATTGGTCCTGACATTTACCAAAATCCTGATTTTCATATCTTTCTTTAAAAATGATCAAGTATCATTCTCCTCGTTTTACTTCACAAATAACTGTCATTACTTATCATCCAATTTCGTGAAAAATAGTCACGTGTAATTATGTCAAATACAAAGACCTGATATATTATTTGAAAGGCATACAAGTGTAATTTAACACGTATATATCTTTTTCAAATTTTAGCATAACTCGAAATTTGAAGGAAGGTGGACTAAGTTGAGTATAAGGTAAGAAATTAGCAATTGAGTTGAGGGTTGAGAACTTGAGAGACCATCCAAATTTTGAACTAAACATTGATTACCAACTGAAACCTGAAAATCGAAGTAGCTATAGTATTTCTCTTTTTGGTGTAACGATAAGGCCAATGAGGAATCCAAATTGCGATAAAGTGATTGAGCCCATTATTGTTTGTTTGATGTGCTGGGCTTAGTCCACTGTGAAATTTAATCGCACGGCCCAAATCTCTCACTATAACTGGAAGATGCGCTTTCAGAAAAGAAAAAAAAACAAACAAACGAAACCGAAAGGGGAAAAAAAGGAGTGGTGGTCCCAAAATAACTTTTTACAGCAAAGATAAACATTATCTCTATATATTTTTACAGCAAAGATAAACATTATCTATATATATAAAGCAAAATATTATCTATATATATAAAGCAAAAGGCTGAAAATATATAAAGCAAAAAGCTGAAAATAATAAAACATTCAAAATATTCAATATTCCGTAAGAATATATATGCATGTAATTAAAATAATACATATTTTTAGGGAGATTTTATTAGCACACCATTATTTGCCCATACTAATTTTAAATATGAATAACCTATTTTACTCTTGTACACAATTACCGTTAAGGACAAAAAAAATTAAAATTAAAATTAAAATTGCTCACTACACCCCACATATGTTCCTGTAACCCTAGTTTGACTTTTTTCTCAAACTATCATGTTCCTAAACCCTAAACCCTAAATCCTAGATTTATACGTTTATATTGGTGAAAAAATATATTGTATTTATTCATGAAGGGTGAGATTGAAGTTAAAGAGGCTTCGAATGAGGTACAAGTTTATTTTTTGGCATTTTGCAAGTTTAGTATTTCATAATGGTCGCTGGTTGCGTTCAGCAGATCAGTACCGAACGTGACAGGTAAATTCGGTGGGATGCCACCAAAACGTAGCACCGTTTTCTGTTGGGTTTGACCGGTCATGAACTTAATATTTGGTGGAGATCCACTGTAACATGGAATGTAGTTCAATGGTTCACTACCGAACTTTTACCTACGTTTCGGTGGGTGGTGTATGATATAGGATGGGGTGTACATAGTGAGTTAAGGAATGAGGTTCATGAGGGCAATTTAGGGAAAAAAAAACAGGGGTACAATGAGTAATTTGAAATTTTATTAAAATTTAGTGAGGTGTAAAGAGCAATTAATGAGGTTCATATAGAATTTCCCAAATTTTATTATTAAAATCATTATCACCATCTTAATCGACATACGTACTAATACTTATCCAGATTTTCTTCACTTTAATTTGATCCGTTTCAGCACCAGAGATTCCAGTAAATCATTTCAATTGCTCTGTATGTATCTCATAATCAAATGGATATGAAAATGAAATTGCTATTAATGAATGCACCCAAATCATTAAACAATGCTTTGGGTGGTAAGCAGGGTTTAACTTATATACAAATCACTGCCTTCTTGCCAGCCACCATGCATATTCTTGTGCATGTATTTTGAACACCAAGATGCAGCCAAGAGAATAAACCATTCCAGGAGGACCTTTTTTTTTCCCCTTGATTTTGCCAAGGTATATACGGAGATATTCGTTTGGTGCATCTGTATATGCGTATTGTTTTCATAAATTTTGTATATTAAATTAAAAGGCGATAGCAACCCTTTTAATTAATAAAATAAGTGCATGCTGTATAAGTACATGCTGCATGCGATGGAAAAGTAGTCGTGCAGATCGGAGAGAAGAAAGAAATGACGGAGGACGAGAAGTCCAAGGAGGAGATGACGAGAGTCGAAACTCTGGGATTTAATGAACTGCTGAGCTATGCAGACGCATTGGATTGGAGCCTGATGGTTTTGGGGACGTTGGGTTCCATTGTGCATGGTATGGCTTTTCCAGTTGGATATCTGTTGCTTGGCAAAGCTCTCGATGCCTTTGGGAACAACATCAATGACACTGTTGCCATGGTTAAATCCCTCAACCAGGTACTGTATGTAAATTACGTTTAAAAAGCATGCAGGCTTGGCTTGCTTCACATCTCATGATAGCTTTGTTGTTGTTTGTAAATTAGGTTATTCCATATGTGTGGTACATGGCCTTCGCCACATTCCCAGCTGGAATACTTGGTATATATATTTCATTTCCAACTAATATTGAATGTCCATGTTAGTAAGATAATAATAAACCTCTAATCATCGTATTAATTAATTACTTATATATCCTGCTGCCTGCTTGGAGTGGAGTTTTGCAGAAATTGGATGCTGGATGTATTCAAGTGAAAGACAAGTGGCACGTCTAAGATTAGCATATCTAAGAGCAGTGCTCCGCCAGGAGATTGGAGCTTTTGATACAGACTTAACAAGTGGCAAAATCATTACTGGAATTAGTAACCACATGAGTATCATACAGGATGCAATTGGAGAGAAGGTTTAATTCCTAGCTACTCTTGCTCATGAGTCATGACAATTAATATTAATGAATATTAATATCACTCGCATGCGGCATGCAGTTGGGTCATTTTCTGTCATGCCTTGCAACTTTCTTTTCTGGAATTTTGATTGCTGCCATATGCTGTTGGGAAGTGGCACTGCTTACCTTTTTGGTTGTCCCGTTGATTCTTATAATTGGAGCCACCTACACAAAGAAAATGAACGCCATCTCCGCCGCAAGAATGCTTTACCAGTCAGAAGCTACGTCTATGGTAGAACAGGTAACAGCTAGCTACTGCCAGTGCCAAACAACAAAGATACATATTACTATCTAACTGATCCCTGCATGCATCATCATCACAGACAATATCTCAGATAAAAACAGTGTATGCATTTGTTGGAGAAAAGTCTGCAATCAAGTCTTTCTCAGAGTGCATGGGGGAAACAGTATTTGCTAAGCAAAGGAGAGGCTCTAATAAAGGGAGTTGGAACAGGAATGCTTCAATCTGTGTCTTTTGGTTCTTGGGCTCTCATCATATGGGTTGGTGCTGTTGTAGTCACTGCCACGAGGGCAAGCGGTGGAGATATTATAGCTGCTGTCATGAGCATTCTCTTTGGAGCTATGTAAGCAAGGAAGAAAGCAATCAAATTTCTATATATGATTGACAGTTCAATAATTAACCTCAATTAATTGGTTTCTATTGAATTTCAGATCACTCACTTATGCTGCACCAGACATGCAAATCTTCAATCAGGCAAAGGCTGCAGGAACTGAGGTTTTCAAAGTCTTAAACAGAGAGCCAGTTATAAGTTATGATTCAAAAGGGAAGACACTTAATGAGATTTATGGCAACATTGACATACATGATGTGCACTTTTCCTACCCATCCCGGCCAGAGAGAGCCATCCTTCAAGGATTTTCATTGTCAATCCCAGCTGGACAGACAGTAGCCTTTGTGGGCAGCAGTGGGTGTGGGAAGAGTACTATCATCTCCCTTGTCGCAAGATTCTATGATCCCTCAAAAGGTCTGTTGTTGCCTCCTTGATTTTCAACTCCTTAACCACACAACTAAGTAGGCAGGCTTTTCTTTGAGTTTCCTTGTTGCACAGAGTTCTTCTTATTGGTACATGAAATTGATAAATGTACGTACGGATGGATATTCAGGGGAGATTTTGATTGACAACCACAATGTCAAGGACCTTGATTTGAAGTTCCTGAGGAAAAACATAGGAGCAGTTTCGCAAGAGCCATCACTGTTTGGAGGGACCATCAAAGACAACATGAAAGTTGGTAAGATGGATGCAGAAGATGAAGAGATCCAGAAAGCAGCAGTTATGGCAAATGCACACTCTTTTATATCCCAACTTCCAGATGACTACTCAACAGAGGTCAGCAACTCAGCTCAACTCATTAAGAGAACAGTATATTAAGACATTATGATGATAACTTGTGCACTTTGGATGAAATGGGGGTCCAGGTGGGGCAAAGGGGTGTCCAGTTATCAGGAGGACAAAAGCAGAGAATCGCCATAGCTAGAGCCATTCTAAAAAACCCTCCAATTCTTCTGCTTGACGAGGCAACAAGTGCTCTTGATTCAGAGTCAGAGAAGGTGGTTCAAGACGCCCTTGACAAGGCCATGCAGGGAAGGACAGTCATCTTGATCGCACACAGACTCTCAACTGTCATTAATGCGGATATGATTGCTGTTGTTGAAAATGGCCAAGTTACAGAAACAGGGACGCATCATAAATTGCTTGACAGCAGCAAATTCTACAATAACTTGTTTGCTATGCAGAACCTCAACCCCGTTCATGAGTCAAGGTTAGTAATATTAATTCACACTTGAAAATCTTCCTTGCTTAATGCTTACACACGTAACGTAATAGCAATAAATCATAACAACCTAACTAACCATTATACAATGTGGACTGAAAAACAGAGACACTAGTTCCTCTCAAGAACCTGCCAACACCCAACAGATTTCGCCCGAAGAGATAGAACAAGCCAGGGAACCTAGGGAGCCTGACAGCCAGCTTAAGGAGTCTCCAAAGCATGAAGAACAGGAAAGAAGAAAAGCAGCTATATTCTTCAGAATCTGGTTTGACTTGAACAAGCGAGACTTTGGAAAGATTGCTCTTGGTTCCTTTGCAGCAGCTTTCTCTGGCATATCAAAGCCTACCTTTGGGTATTTCATTATAACAATCGGAGTAGCATACTACGACAACGATGCTAAGAGGGAGGTCGAACATTATTCAATCATCTTTTCTCTAATAGCATTTCTGTCATTATTCTCTCACACCGTGCAACATTACTTCTTTGGAATGGTTGGAGAGAAGGCCATGACAAACCTGAGACGAGCTCTCTATTCAGGTATCATACAGTCCTGCCCGTAACAATCATCTCATATTTTAAATTCTGCTTCAAGAAGGTAATACAAAACTACAAATTAACACCCATCCATTATAATCTTGCAGGTGTACTATGCAATGAAATCGCATGGTTTGAGAAACCTGAGAACAACATTGGTCCGCTTACTTCACGGATCATCAATGACACCTCAATGGTTAAAACCATCATTGCTGATCGTATGTCTGTTATTGTTCAGTGCATCTCCTCCATACTGATTGCAACAATTGTGAGCATGTATGTTAACTGGAGAATGGGCTTGGTAGCTTGGGCTGTGATGCCTTGCCACTTCATTGGTGGTCTGATTCAAGCCAAGTCTGCTAAAGGATTTTCAGGTGACGCAGCTGCTGCACATTCTGAACTTGTTACTCTTGCTTCTGAGTCTGCAACCAACATAAGAACCGTTGCATCCTTCTGTCATGAAGATCATATACTCATAAAAGCCAAAATATCTCTGGAAAACCCCAGGAGAAAGTGCAGGAGAGAAAGTATTAAGTACGGCATAATTCAGGGTGTTTCCCTTTGCTTATGGAACATCGCACATGCTGTTGCATTGTGGTATACAACAGTGTTGGTTGATAGACATCAAGCAAGCTTTAAAAATAGCATAAGATCATACCAGATTTTTTCTCTTACAGTACCTTCAATCACAGAACTATGGACACTGATTCCCACTGTCATCTCTGCCATCAGTGTGCTAACTCCTGCATTCCAGACCCTTGACCGCAAAACTGAAATAGAACCAGCTATACCAGAAGATTCAAATCTTGACAGAATCAAAGGGAGCATCGAATTTCAAAATATCAAGTTTAATTACCCTTTAAGACCAGAAGTAACTGTCCTGAACAACTTCAGTTTGCAAATTGAAGCTGGAAGAAAGGTGGCCTTTGTTGGCCCAAGTGGAGCTGGGAAATCTTCTGTATTGGCCCTTCTGCTCAGATTTTATGATCCTATGGAAGGAAGAATACTCATTGACAGAAAGGAGATAAGGGAATATAACTTGAGATGGTTGAGAAGACAAATAGGGTTAGTTCAACAAGAGCCTCTTCTTTTTAGCTCCTCAATCAAAGCAAATATCTGCTACGGGACCGACGGGGCTTCTGAGGCTGAGATTGTGGAGGTGTCTAGGGAAGCAAACATACATGAATTCATAAGTAATTTGCCTCACGGATATGAAACAGTTGTTGGGGAGAAGGGCTGTCAACTTTCAGGAGGACAAAAGCAAAGAATAGCCATAGCTAGAACACTGCTAAAGAGGCCTGCAATTTTGCTCCTGGACGAAGCAACAAGTGCCCTTGATGCTGAATCTGAGAAATCTGTTGTGAGTGCACTGGCTGCGATAAATTTGAGAAACAATGGGGGCATGCTGTCAAAAACCACACAAATTACAGTCGCACATAGGCTTTCCACAATAATAAACTCAGATACCATTATCGTCATGGATAAAGGCAAGATTGTGGAGATAGGTTCCCACTCAGCCCTGATAACAGCATCTGAGGGAGTTTATTCAAGATTATATCAGCTACAGAACTTGGCAGAAGAGTAACATAATACGTTCAGTTGCCTTGGAGATGTGCATACAGCAAGGGCACTTAAAAAATCCTTAGGACTATATATTTTTCATTAGGAGCTTAAAGTAATATTGTTGTAGCCATTTCGTATTAAAAAGGGGTGGGACGAGGTTAATGACACAATGAATTGTTGAATAGAGAAGCACAGAAGTTGCAACATATATTCCTATTTATTGATAAATGAATAAATTTGTTCTCAAGTTCAACGGATGATGCCATATGGACTCTAAATACAATGTATACAAGAGAATACACTCCCAGATGGAATCAACAAAACCTAAGAAAATAATAGACTAACAGGAAGTCATTCGCTCCATCAACATCAACTAAGAATATAAGAGTGTTCCCTTGAGCTCCAGCAGGCTTTATTTCTCACCCTCAAAAGTAAGTACACCCCAGAAAGCAAGCATAAGGGAGTCACTTTTCATGCTGTGTCTCCTGCCAAATCTTCCAGGCAGCTAAAAAGCAACTCAAATTGATCATCATGATAACCAAGATAGCCTAGATTAAGAGCTTGTAAAACATCACAGCATCCTAGCATCTGAAGAGTAAGAAGATCTGAATCCCTGACTCTCTGGCCATCTTGCACAAATGAAATCCACTAACAGTAACACATTTCCTCAAAATCAATCCATCATTAGTCAGGATCATTTGTAAAGAAGAGGTCAACACAGAAACTGCAGCCGGAATATCTTCAGAAATCAAATTGTCTTTCTAAGGGTGGGGGACAAGCCTTAACACGGTGAATATCAAATCATTCTCTTTTAGGCTGCGTTAATTTCAAACATATCTTATCTTTCCCTGTCCTGTCAACACTCACTGCATATACGTGAAAACTAATATAGCCACTCGTTCCTCTGTTCATATATATTCAGAAGAACTGGAATCCAGATCGCAAATGTTCAACAGGTTCCTCTAGAACTCCAGAAAAACACTTTCTATTGTCTTGAGTAACTCCACTTCCTCCTGATTTGCTATTCCAGTATCAATATAACACAACTGAGATAAAATTATTGCATCAAGTCCAATCCTAATGAGTAGTCAAACCAAAGGCAAATGTTATATTTAAATAATCATTACCTGGTACTGTGGCTTTTTCAGTGTGTGAACCCCTCTTTTGATGAACTTCTGCCATCCGACCTTCTGTTTCAGCGACCTTTCCAGATCTGCTGTTCTCTGTAATTATGTGTCACAAGAGTGAAAAGACAATTGTATTCAATAATAAATTGCAAAATACAGATGTTAAACCTAAGATGCACCACAGATTCCTACGAATTGATGGAACATTACATGGCCAGGGTCCAATATTAAGAGATTGTGCTGCTGCATCCCATTATGTTGATGTTTGACTTGAATCCCAACAACCGTTCTCGAATGTCCATCGTGTTGGAGGTACAAGGGTCTGCTCAAAGAACCTCTCTTCAAATTAGAACAAAATATAAAAATAAAGTGTGCACTCTTGGTACTATAGCTACTAACTGAGATAGAAACTTACGTTTTGTCACTGACAACAACCTGACGATTGCCAGATTTGGTAAAATTTTTATCAGAAAAGTAGTTCCAGATCCAATCAATGAGAACCTGATGACCCTTGCTATTCCTTGTAAACTTATTTCCCAAATTCTCATTACTTTTGCTACACAACGAGTCACCAAGAGGGATACTAGAACATCCAGACTTTTCATCCCCACTGGAACTTGCTTGGGAAACATCATGATTCCTTGCCAAAAGATACCCATCCATCGGGCCACAAACCTGAATTGCTTTCCTCTTTCCGCCATTATGTATTCTCTTTACTTCTTTCCCAAGACTTGAACCAGGAAGCAAAGGATAAAATGATTCAAGTTCCTTGGGACCAAAATCTACTACTCTTGCTCGAAGCCCAAAAGAACGGAAAAGGGCAGCACATTCAGTAGTTCCAATCCATTTTTTTGAGCCATAAATATTATTAGCAAAATGATCAGAGCCAAGTTCATCAAATCCCTTTTCCCAAGCAATCTCAAGCCATCTTTGGAGAGATGGAATATCAGGAACAAATCCCGAACCACCAAATAAAACCTCCCGAGCTTCGTGCCTTTGCATAAGCAAGTGGGAGCTAAGCATTTGGATGTTACGCCACCCACAACCCCACCCAACGTCCTCAGATGGAATGCTCTGAAAATGATCAATATAACCGGACACAATACTGGTTGTATTTCCACGTTCTGACTCCAAACAGTCTTTCATCAAGGCCATCAAGCCATGTTCAATTTCGTAGAAAGTGGTCCTAGTCTGTAAAGCAATCAAGCAAGAGACTTTTTCCTCCATGCTAATTTGTGCATCACATCTAGAAATTGGCAAGTCACTGATTGCTTGACTATTCTGCGGGTGTATCCAGTACGAAACTAAGAAGTTAGGTAGACTGAGCTTCAGATTACAACTTAAAAGAAGACTAAAGAAGAAGAAGAAGAAGAAGAAGAAAACAAAGTTGCTGTCCAACCATTTGTTAACAAAGACGTTTCTCTTTTCCCTGAGAAAAACGAATAAAGATCCTTTCTTTCTTATAAAAACCCAAGAAACTTTTGTTTTCATATATGATTTGAATGGGCAAGCCATAAGAAGAGAAAGTAAACGAGAAAGTAAAAGAGTACCATGGATGATGATGGAGGTGAAGAAGGGGCAAGAGCAAGTTGTTGGGCAAATTCCAAGTCCCTTGCTAGTTGTTCATCTTCATCCTCGACCTCAAAGTGACTGTTGGCATGCCTGCAACAATTCATTTCATTTACAAATCACATACATAACCACAATCCAGAAATTTTAAATAAATAAAAAAGGAGTAACTTTCTTTGCTTTGCTGCAAATACTTATGCAGCTATATATTATGTGTGTATGAGTTGCGTATTATAATACCACTCAAGTTCTGAGGATGGAACTTCCAAATGACAGAATGGGCAAGACGACGGATCCATGACATAAATTTTCTCCGAATTGAGCCAAACAGCGGGAAGAAGAAGAAGAAGAACAAATGAAAGAAAATTGTAAGCTCTCCTAGTTTGATTTGAATTGCGTGGGCGTTCGTTCATATTTCTTTCCCGGATCAAGCCAACCCGACTCTGCTAAAAGGATCGGACTTGGGATTCGGGACGGGGCTGTAATGGGCCTGACTGTGTGCTACAGTCTGTTACAAATATAGTGGCCCATAATGTTGTATGATTTTTTTTTTGGGGATAATTCTTTCTATTTTTATTTTAAAAATTAATAATAATTATTAGTTTAAGCATTTCTTCCCCATCTCCTTTTTCAAGTTAAGTTCAGTTCTGTAGGTGATTGAAATTTGAATATATGTTGATTAAAATTTAGTTGTTTTCAAAATCATTATTTAAATAAAAGGTGATTAACTGTGATTATTCCATTATCAAGGTGGCAAATTCCAAGTTTTTCTGAGAGAGAGAGAGAGAGAGAGAGAGAGAGAGAGAGTAATGATCAATAAAATTCAGTAAACTGCTTTAATGATGGTAAACTAGTTATCAGTCATGATATTTACAGTCAGTTAGTCCTCCATTCAGGGCATTCACAGGAAAATGCATGTTCTTGTCACGGCTGGCAATAGTTGCTCCAGTTATACACACAGCAATCTTTTTAACTGGGGAGCTCAAGCTTCCCTCTAACACAAGAAATACAAGTAACCCACCAATGACCAAAGCTGCAGTATCATTATGCTTCTTCTTTAGAAAGCACCCTCATTCCACTCTTTGATAGTAGAAGGTCTTTCATTTCTTTATAACTTCTGAGCTCCTCCAGCGCATCAGATGTCTTCCGAGGCATAAAGAAACCAGAAGCTGTAGCAACTCCTCCCTCGTGTTCAGGTTTCACAGACTGGGATGAGTAACAACTTGAATCTTGGCGCAGAGGTGGAGCTGTCCTCAGCATCTGAACCAGAACGCCAACCGCAGCATCATGTGATTTTCTGCCTATTGGCAATGACTGTGATGTATACTCAGAAGCTTTTCTGCCATCGAGATTTTGACTGCACCAAAAACACGAATAGAGAAACATAAGTAAGATACTAAGCAAGTAAGCTTCGCATATTTGCAACAAGCAACATACTAAATGTAACCTCAGATCAAGTGCATAAGATAAGGCTAGAAAACAAATGCAGGGCATATCAATTCAAGTCAAAATAGTAAATAACCCATCGTAAATAGCGAACACCTTATCCATTTCATCCATTTCAATATACTTGAATTCTTAGTTTTATATTTTGAATAAGTAACATAAAAGCATGCATAACTTCGATGCATACAAGTAATGGTAGAATACCCAGTCAACTGTCTTTTGAAAATTTGACAGTTGCTTATCTCCAATTGAGCCAGCACTAGGAAAGCAACTGTCATTTCAATATCAGATTTTGGTGGCATTTCTTGCAGCCAAAGTGAATCCCTACACGAGCTGAACCAGGAAAATGATAGAGCATGATGGGTAATCATGATCATGCAAATAAAATGCATTGTTTTTTCTATTTGTATCACAGGGATTCGGGTATTGTGAAATAGATCCAACCATGTTCTGTTTTTTGCTGCTGCTTTTCTCCATCATAAAACTCAGCAATTCAAGAGGCCCGGAACAAATAACTGTTTGAGTGAGAAACAGAAAAAAGATGCATCCAGAAAAGTAGCCACAGCAATTATGAAGGAAACAACTTCAATATAAATAATACCATTACTCAAATACAAATTTCCTTAGGCCAAAAATGGGCCATGACTGCGTATATAGATTTTAACCATAAAGATGAATTTAAGTACCTGACTTGAGAATCTGATGTATCAACATCATCCACGTCGAAAGGACATGAGAACTCAAACCCATCCAAATCATCCTGGAAAGATAATCTACTGGAGCTTCTAGAAAATCCAACACGTGGTGAGCCACTAGAAGACAACAATCCTGAGAACCGCCCTGAATCATCTTTACTGTCTTTCATCACCTATAAAACGATAATAAATGGTCTTACTAGAAAGAATGAAACAAACAGTTTAACTTCAAGACTACAAATGTGGAGCGAAAAAGCTGCTAAACCAGAAAACAGGGACTACCTTCTGACCAACCATATGATTTGATGTTCCAGGGTGCATCTCACCGGTCCTTGAAGCCTCTAATTTTCTAAATGCTCTGATTACAGATGGAGACTCTTGAGAGGAAGCGTCATTCCTTATGCTTCTGGGTGATAATGGAGGAAGAGAATTTCTACTTGGATCAGAAAAATTGGGGGACAGGTATCTAGGGCTTCTGCTCCCCATTGGAAGAGGGATACTAACAGGGGCAGTTCCTGAACGAATTCGAGTTTGCATAGGATTTAAATTTCCACTGGACAAGTATGTTGGGGGAGATGGGGATGGAGATGGCGAAAATGGAGGTGAAAGCTGATACTCATCGTAACTCATATTTCTCTGATGACCACCTAGAGGTCTAAAGTTTTGAACTCTGTTAGCAAATGTATCAATGGGAGGAGATCCAACGTCGTGTGACATTGGAGGTGCACGATATGCAGGAGGAGATCCGACAAGGGGTTTATTGTGAATAAAAGGAGGTGGCCTGTAGAAGCCACTTGTCCAGCTGTGTGGGCGTTGATGTGGCACAGTATATGGCGGTGGTATTCCTCCTCGCGGAAAGGAACCCTTCTCTGATGAGGGGAAAGACCTCATGGGGTCAGTGGCAGGACTACCAACATAATCTGTAATTATCCTTGGTGGCATTGGTGCTGCAGGCTCAAGATTGAAATCAGATAGTGTTGAACGGTAAGTCACGGATAAAGAAAGGCAGCCAGGATGAGCCTCTACAGGAGCAAAACTGTACTCCTCCATTAGTTCCTCCTCCGCCCTTGAGAATGGATCTCTAAGTGAAGACACCTTGTAAATAATATCAAAATTATAAGTCTGACTAGATGTACTTAGCTGTCTAAAGATCCTATAAGCTGGAAGAAGCCTCATATATGAATAAAGAGTACGTAAAAGTATGATTGACTTCTTGTATGTCTTCTTATAAGAGGCCGAAGTGTCACCAGTTTGGGGAGCCACAACCCGCGGAGTTTCATACTGGACAACCCACCTCTCTATAATCGTCTCAACAGATGTCCCCTCCACAGAATTCACATATAGATTGTCAACAGAAGAAGAACTAGGCCCTCCACGAACAAGTATTATGTCAATTATCATTGGATCCATCACATTTCTGTGCCAAAAATTCAAATTTTCACGAGCTGCAGGGCGGTCCCCTAGTATTAAGTTGAACCACTTGTCACTCTTTCTCACTTGAGGAACGGATGACAGGTCACCACTGCGATCATGTGGGTGAAGAGAAGGGATCCTAGAGTCCAAAACAATATGCAAGCTCTTCAGTAGAAACTGGGAAATTATCTGTTCCAATTTCCCTGATTCGAGCTGAAAATTATTCTGAAAATCCATAATTCTTAAAACTAAATCTCTAACTAGACTCCAAGTCCCTCTTATACAGCATTTCAGTCAGAAGCAATCGATACCACAAAAACCACTCCTTGCCCAAATCTCTTAAACATGAAAACCCGAATTCTCATAAAGTCTTGCACTTGCATTTAACTATACAACTGTTTGATGTGTACCAGTGTATTCTCTGATTAAACGAAGAGACATAATCAGAGAAAAAGAAATCCCCTCTTCAAGGAAGCTGTATGAACCGTAGATGTGTACCTCATAAGTGCCAGAGAAGTAAGAAATTCAAGAATTGACCTAGATGATGATGCAAGAAGCAACCAGGCAGCTACTCTGTATAAAGAGATTGAGCAAAATCAAATGACCCATATAAACGAAAATAAAAAATTGAACATATAAAGCATTCAATCACCCATGAGCACCGGAAAGTAACGGATCAAGCATATGGGTCTTCGGATGATCCAAGAACATCGAGAAATTAGCAACAATCATAGCAGTATCAATCAGATGACATGAAAAATCAGAGATCTTGAAAAAGAAAACCCAGGATGATATTGGAAACGTAGTAGAATAATATAATATAAAAAACATGCATATCGAATGAAAAACTTGCCGAAAGAAAAGAGCGAAGGTGATTGATGTTCTTCTTCTACAATGCAAGAGACAGCAACGTCAAGGGTTGCGTAGAGCAAAAAGAGCCCACGCAGTGTGTCTTCTCTTCCTCAGTTTGTTGAAGTAAACATTTCAAATTGCTTCGAATAAAAAAATCTCTCAATCATTTGTCTTGCTTTAAGTTATGTCATTGCAATAGACTGGCCGGAGGGGATAAACTTAAAAGCACGATCAATTTATTTTTATTATTATTAAAACTAAAATCTGTTTTATTTTTTATAAATATTTTTATAAAGAAAAAAACAAAATTCTTGCGATCTAAAATAAACAAGACATTAGCAAATATTGGCTTTTGGTTTTCTTTTATGTGAATGGGTTAACAAAAAGAGTGTAGAAGAACCCTAAGGCCATCACATAAAATCTATAAACTGAGCCCAGTCCATTATCGTCTTTTCATAGTGAAGCCCATTATATTTTTCTTTTTCTTTTTTCTTTTCTTTAAATTTGGTAGTTGCCCACTACGACTATGTTTGAAGTTTTCTTGGGAGGACGGAAGTTGGGCCAATGGATTGTCCAAAGGCAAGAGTTTGACAAATGCATGGTAATTAATTTTAGTCCAAATAATAATCCCATAAATAGAAATTTGCACTGGAATGATGAATTCTCATCCTACCGACACACCAATCAAGCTCACGATTCACCATTATTTTATTTAATTATCATATGATATAATGCAATGCATGCTCACCACCACCAAGTCATAATCCATGCCTCACCAGGGTCCACTAGTTTATTTTCAAGCCAGTCTCCTCCAGGGCCACGCAGTTGAGATAATAGAAAAGCAAGAGTTGTCATATCTAAATTATAATTATTTCGAATCCCTCCATCCAAAGGGAGTCTAAAATAATTTAAGAAGAGAAACAAAAAAATAGGGATGGTGATTATTGTGAAACATTTGTTTATTTAGATGGTTTCTATTTGCTAAAGTTGTTTAAGCTTAAAAATTGGTTTTGTCAACGGAATTTAGTTCAGTGGAAAAATATCTTAGGTCATCTCCAGTCATATGGCTAAATGTGGTCAAATGCTATAAATTTCGGATAATGATTTCCCCACTCCAATTTTATCCACTTACACTCATTTATTAGTTATAAAATGGAGTGTAAGTGGATAAAATTGGAGTGGGGAAATCACCACTCTAAATGTAACCCTCCAAAATATTAAATTTTTAAAGAATAGTGTATGTTAAAAAATTTCTATCTCCAGTCATGCAGGGCTATATTTTAGGATCTTTCATATTTTATTATTTTGAGAAAAACTATAGTCAAACACTCATACATTCCATATGTATGTATTTTTTAATTTAATTAAGCTACTATTTATAGACAATATTCCATATATGACACGTATACATTGATAACATTTAAAAAGGCTATTTTTTAATAATAAAAAAAATTCCTAACGACTAGCTAACGTTATCGATGACATTAGCGTGCCTTTAATATTGGATATTGAATATGCATTTGCACGAGATGTTTCGTGCTCTTGCCCACACTTGATAATTTCTTTTCTTAAAAAGCATATGCTTGGGGCCTACAAAAAAAAATTTGGAAGCTAGCCTACAAATTGACTTGGTTGGAAGGTTAAAGAGCCAAATTTGCAAACAACAACAAAAAAAAAAAAAAAAAAAAAAAAATAATTTGCAGATTTGAGATTTTTACATTATTTTAGAACTATATTTGACCTATAACCCGTAATTAAAGATTACCTTAATTTAAGATAAAATATCTCATATTCGAATCTCCATAAAAAATAAAAGTTATGGTTCTTGTTCTTGATGTACTTTATAATGTGTGACCCGACCTTTAGGAGATTAGGACGGCCCACCCACTTGTGCGTCTTGTGCGGCCTCGATAGGCCACGATCCTTTGTCCGATAATTACCCACTACAAGGATCCATTTCACATTAGTATTGTTTTGTTTTGTTTTGTTAGTACCACCACACATCTTGTCGGGCATTTGCTTTCTCTATTTTATTGATTTGCCTTTTATTTACTCCTAGGTTAATTAAAGACCAACCCAAACAAGCTCAAAACTTTTCTTGATTGGGTCATTGGTCAATAACAATGCCGTATGTGTGAAAACAACGAGAATTTGGTCACCTATATCGACATTAACCAACTGAATATTTTATTTTTTTAATACAACGCGCAGCCTGCATTAGATCAGCAATTTATTTCTAGAAATGAAAAGTCGCCTCATCTCGATCTTCTAATTAATTACAGTAATGAAAGTTTAAGAAAAAATATAATCAAGAAAATATTTTTACTCACTATTTTAATCTAAGATGTATTTTTAACATTCTTGTCAATACTTCACACGTGTCTATCTATGAGCATAACCTTAGTTAACTATATGTTTTGTATTTATGGAACTATTGTTATGCCTATAAACACGTTTTTAGTGTTGAGAATAATAATGAGAATACACTTGAGTTAAAATAGTGAGAAAAATGTTATCTCTAATTAAACGAGGCTCGACATGATTAGTTGGGTAATGACGATATGGAAGGAAGATGCCAAGTGAAAAATAATAAACACGTTTTTAGTGTTGAGAATAATAATGAGAATACACTTGAGTTAAAAAATAATGAGAAAAATGTTCTCTCTAATTAAACGAGGCGCGACATGATTAGTTGGGTAATGACGATATGGAAGGAAGATGCCAAGTGAAAAACAATAAGGGAAAAGAAGTTATCAAATACAGTTAAATGACAGACGCAAGGGCGTAAGCAGAATCACAAATTCGAAAGCAAGGCAGATACATTGAACCTGGACACAGTTTTTGGCCTATATAAACCCCACCATCAAGCGTACTCTGCAACAACACCTTGTTGTAAGCCTTGCAATTCCAAAGAAAGAAACAAAAATGGCGGTAACAAAGCAAGTGCCGGCGGTTGAAGAAGAGAAACTGCTGAGAAAGAGGAACGAGGAGCTGGAGAGAGAGCTGAGAAAGAGCCAGGAGAGAGAGGAGCGCATGAAGGCTGAGCTGCAGAAGGCCCGCGAGAGGCTCAGAGTCGCCGAGGAGGCAGAGGAGCGGCTCTGCTCACAGCTCGGTGAGCTCGAAGCGGAGGCCGTCGATCAGGCTCGTACAGATCACGCTCGGATTCTGGCCCTCATGAACCAGCTCTCTCAGGCCCAAAGCCTTCTCCAGGCTTCATCCGTTGCGCAGCCTTTGGGACTCGCTTCCAAATGACAACGTACAAGAAGCTCAGTTACTAACAGTTTCGTCGTCTTTGATTTTTTTCTTCCTTTTTTTATTGGTTGAAAAAAAAATTGGAATTTGGTTGTTATTATTGTTGTTGTTGTTGTAGTACTTTTGGGTTGGGATTGGTCCGTTGTAGTTGTTGGTTGTAATTGTGTGTTGTGTAGAAAGTAGTTTGATGATGTGAATCATTTGATTTTGATCCATCTTCTTTTTCAAGAAAATAAAACAAATATATAGAAGAAGAAATATAAAGTTTGTTACTTGGATCTGATTAATTTATCTGAGCAACAAGGTTGCATCTTTGTTCTGTTCCACTTCCTCTCCGATACTTGAAAATCTGTTCTTGTTTTTGGGTTTGTAATTTCCGTCCGGCCACCAAAGTTGTAATCTTGGAGGAGGTGGATGTCAAATGAATGCGTAAGCAAAATAGTGTCTGATTAGTGAATAATTAATTTGAATGAAGATTGAAGTGCAATCATGGTGTGAACGCTGAAAAGTTGTTTTGTGGACAAGTTGTGACCTTTGCTCCACCCAGCGAATGAGTGGAAGAAAGGTCCACTCGTATTAAGGGAATATATGCAAAATATTTTTTACTGGAATTGGTGATTAATTATTTTATTCCAATATTATCTTCCGCCGGGAAACAGGTTGGTTGGTTATAACTTGTACGCAACGTGTTTGAATTGAAAAAATTGTCATTTCAAAGTTTTCTGAGCGTGTTGATTTTAGGCAGATTATCTAGCCTTTCCGACCTATCTCTCTATGCTCCCTCTTGCTTAGGATATGAAGTTAGTCTTTTGTTAACACTACAGTACAATCTTACGTAATTCTTGCATAACTCACGAGTTTAATTTGACATTTAAAAAAAAAAAGTGGTGTGAATGTGACTGGACTCCCGGAGAAAGAAGATGGCAACCGAAGAATGCAGTATCAAATCTATTGCTTTTATCTCAAATATGAAGACTTGAAAGCAAAAAGAAGAAAGAAAAGGTATAGACTAGGTCCTTCGTCAAGGCGCTTGACAAATAAAAAAGCAATCTATAGAGACGTGCTCTCACAATTCACAGCAAAGGGGTCTTGCATTATTGCCAAGATCAAACGGCCCGTCACATGCGGACTAGCATTACTGCTGAAAATGAAAGGCCAACAAGACGAAGACAAGGGCTGGCTGGCATTAAGGCAAAACGCATAGCAAAAATACAACGAGAGATGGCACGGTGACATGACACCATCACATAGAGTTAATAAGTAGTTATAATATGGATGGACCGCATAATTAATTAATTATTATGAACTTATAGTATTAATGAATAAATACACATTAAAATATGGATAAATTTCAATTCAATTTATAACACAACGCGGAGGTGTCACGTTGACATCAAAGAAGTATTTATCCGCAATTAGGCACCTCACGTTAATTTCCAACTTCGTACTATTCGCCATGGAAGGCCACAGGACAAGGGCATCGTGAAGGTGAAGCTACACTGCAATCACATCTGCAAGATTACACAGAACAATGGGTGCCATGTGAAGCTACATCTGTCCATTCCGAAGTCTATGTGTAATGTTCTGCTGTATCTGCATACTACTTATTACACATGTAATGTAAGGTCCGCCTGCAACATGCATCCAAGATAACAAGTATGGGTGTTCTCGTGAATACGATACAAATCTGGCAACTGATCACTGGGTTGCCTTTCTGGAACAAACAAATCCCCACTCTTGATTTTTCTTCATAATCTTGGTCTCTTTGGTTTTGGTTTTTACTTTTATGAATTGTTACTTGTGCAATCATGATGGCATGCTTGAAGAAGGAGAGTTCCTATAGATCTTCAGGATTGCAAATAAATGAATTTCCATAAATACCAAAATCATGCCATCATTATTTTACCTAGCAAATTGTAGCGGTTGAATAATAAGAAAACAGTTGACAGCAAAATGACATTATCTCAACTGAAAACATCTCCCTTATGAGTCTACTGATGTTTTAACTGGAGAAAGAAGGGGTTCTTCAGGAAGGCCAAGCAGACTAAATCGACAATAGGCAGTTCACTTCAACTGCTAAATCCTCGCCTCTCTTTTATCTCAGGGTCCCTGAAACCAAAAATTAATCATAAGTGAGATAAACTCAGAAGTTCAAGGGGGCAATATAACTACTTATGGAGCAGGAGTAAGACCTCTGAATGTGATCAAGAATGAGAAGCCTTGGTCCAGGAGGGATTTTCACGTCTCTCAGTGCACTGAAATGGCATCACAAATGGAAGGAAGGCCATCAAAACATATACAAAGTGACTTTACGAGAGTATGGGGGTGAAAGAATTTGAAAAGCCCGTTACTTGCCTGTCGTTGAGCAGAGGCAAAGTGTTGTCTGACAATAACCCTTTCTTGAAATTCTTCTCATAATTCTGGAGGCCCAGGTTACTCAACATGCTCCTTGTTTTAGAGTAGTAAATATCTTCAGTTGGTGGTTGAGAAAATTTTTGCCCCAACTGCATCAACCATGTAAAAGTGCTTTCAGCGCAGATAAGTAACCAGCACCAAATCAGTGACTCAGAGTACTTGCACGAGACCCCATATAGATTCATTTATAGTTGGGTATTTTTGAAAAATGTTAGTTCCAAATTTTCAGCTGTCTCCTTGTCTTAAAAAGGACTTGTTCACTTTGAGGTCTCCTCAAAGCTTGCAATGCAATCATGTGCAGCTAGGGACTAGAAAAATGAACACACTTTACCTACTATCAAAATGATAAATTAGATCTTGTTCAGGCTCACCTTGAAAAGTCCACCTTGAACTAGTGCGAAGAAAAGTCCAGAAGTGGCTGCATTTGCTGCTTGATTGGGGCCGCCCATGCCACTCACCAGTGAAAATAGGGCTCCCGAACCAAAAGCAGCCACCATGCTGCAGTACATGGGAATAACAATAAGGTTGTGGTAAAACCGAAAAAACACGCCTATCAATATTAAAAATAAATGAAATCTATACTACTTGCGCATTGCAGGTATGATATTATGAAGAACAATTTGATATATGATCTACCTATAGACACAGAAAGACACTTTTCTATGTAAAAGAAAAATGTGGGGGGAGGGGGGAACATACACAAATGGAAGATTTCCCTGAGAACATATAAAAGCAGGAAGAAAAGAAAGAGATCCAGATCTATTGCTCATAGAATGAACCAAATAGCAAAATGGCTCTGGGACCAAAGAAAAAAAAGAAGCATTTTCAGTTTCAGGGAGTACCTCAGAAATTCTGCCTTAGAACTATGATCTCTATGAAACACAGGAAGCCAATAAGTTTTCCTTTTCCATAAGTGGACCAAAGGAACAAATTCACTAAAGTCTGTTTCTTACTCCTCAAATGACCTATATACAGACATAAAGGCATCGAGGTGACGTCTAAAAGGTGATAGGATAAATTTCAAAAGAAGGGTTAACCTAATATTGTTTCAGAACTTATATAATTTTAGGTGAATCTCAGAAGATTGAACGTGAAGAAATTGTGCTAATTTCTACCTAGAATGATTCACTGAAGCAATCAAAATTAACAGCCAAACTCAGTTCAACCATAACACTAATTGATTGTGATTGGGATATCATAAGCAATACGAAGGAAAGAAAAGGCTCACCTAGATTGAACATCCTCCTTGCCTCTCAATCTTTTCATGACACAGGATATGCCAGCATTGACACCAGTCATAACAGCAAAGTTGCGAGCTTGTATCAAGGGACCCCCAGCAAGGGCCTATAATCAAAGTGAACATTGCATATATCAACAGAACTGCTCCACCAAGTAACCGTGACAACTAATTCAAACACTACCCATGTTTCAAATTAATCTGAGATCATAGTTAGGGAACATGTTTTCTGTTCAATTAGGTTACAATTGGGATATCCTTAACTACAAACTTTAGAGTTTATCATAACATAAATGACGAAAACAAAAAACTGTGCCTTCGACAAATCCTTAAAACATAAGAACTTTTCAACTAAAAAATGTGAAAAGTAATCAAATTGGAGTTTAAAGTCGACAAGAAGAGGGAAAAGTTCTAAACTTTGAGCTGATTAATTGCATCATTTTTTGCTTACTAATTGTATACTTCGATCCTATCTGAAAACCACATATTTGAAGAATTATAGGTTTCAACCAAGCCAAGATTTTCCAGCACTGAAAGTAATCACGGTAAGCAACGTCAAAGAACAAAAGAACAATTTATTCCCGTGAAATAAACTTCGCCCGTGTTTGATTACAGAAAATTGATAGAAACAAGAATGAAATATTGGGATTATAATGTAATCCAAATGCCAAATGGGGTTGAAGGGGTTATGATAAAGGTTCAAATTTTCTCCAAACTTTCCCTATAGAAATCCAATCCAATCATAGGTAATTTTTAAAACAGACGAAAATGAAAAAACTATAATATGAGAGGGAAACCTGAGCTTGCTTGAAAGAGGCCATGGCTTGAGGGTTGAGGCCGGCCTGAGGAGGAGGGGTGGGAAGAGAGGAAGAAACGTCGTTGGTGAGAGTACCCATGAAGGCACCGATGGCAGCGCCCTGTGCGCCGCTTGTGAGTGTGACGACGGCTGCCTCCACAGGCAAAGACTGTTTGGCCAACCAACCCTTGAACCCACTCTCTAGCTCCTTGAACCGAGCCTGCAACTGCTCTATTGGGTTTTGATTCTGCTGAGGTATCACCATAACTCCCTGTTTCCCTTGTTGCATTTCTTTTCACTTCCCAATTCAATTTGCTTCTTCCTCTTCTGCTCTTCTCTAGCACTATTGGAGCGCGTACTACTAGGGTAGGGTGTGTGAGTCTAATGGATAACGAGGTTTCTTTCTTTTCTTCCCTCTTTATATTTTATTTAACCTCCTATGTTCATAAATTTGATCTATTTGATAAACATATTTTTATAATTTACAAATTCAGCAACAATATATGGAAGCAAATCAATCCGCAATTATATCATAAAGTACCTAGAATAAGCTAAATTGGAATTATATATATATATTGTATATGTATATGTATATGAACATCGTTACATCATTTTGCATTTGTGTTTGAATGATCGTCTTTTTTCTTCAGTTTTTTGTTTTGTTTTGATTTAAACAATATTCTACTTGAATCTAATATAAACTATGGGAAGGAAGATTCGAACTCAGTGCAAAATAAGAAACACATCCGCCCTAGCAAACTTCACTAAACCCATATATGCATCAATTTTGTCTAGTTGAGAGATGAATTTTGTTGCAAATATTTATTACTTTTCCCCTTTTTTTTTATTGTTTTGTTTTTGGTTATAGGTAGGAAGGCTCAAGGCCCAAAACACACAAAATTAACAGAATATGATCCTTATGCCGTGCAACGGCAGCCCAGGTTGAGGCCCAATAATTTTGTGCGTGTCATAAGCTGGACCGAAAAAAAAGGGGAGATATTATAGGTATAGCAGGCAGCGGCACACACAATTCCGCAGCGGAACAGTGTAGGTTCGTAAACATCGCCGATCGAAGAAAAAAGAATATTTATTTAGTTTTGTAAGTCCCGCGTTTTTCTTTTCTTTAGCGGTACGGTGGTTAATTATTATATTTGGCGCAAATCACACTCAGTTTAATTTCATAGTCAGGCACTTGTTGTGGGAGGCTAGCAGCCGTCTTCTTGCGCAGTCGGCCTCTCCATATTGTGGTACCTTCTTCGTTATGCTTGACAGAAACTTGTATTTTGCTTGAGAGTGTGAAATGTTCGATATCAGATCCGCAATTCTAGTTTCTGCTCTAAGTCTCTCTTCTGATTTGTGGGTTTGGCATTTTTACAAACATCTTAAGAGCATAGCTGCTGATTCTTTCTTCTGTATGATAATCATTTGAAATGCATTAAAATTTGTCATGCGAGAAGGGGAAAGACGAGGAAGGACATATTTGGGCAACCCAGACTCGGTCTTGCAATCAAATTAAGTAATATATTACTTTCGAGCACCCAGCAGGAATGAGCACCTCGAGGGAGGAGTCTCCAGATTGGCTGCGCTCTTTCCAGGTACTTTGAAGAAGAATCATTTCATTTATCTTTTGCTTGGCTATATATTCCATGGTCTGATCTGATGGTTATGTCTTGATGCATTTCAATGGTTAAAATTACTTTGAAGCCTTGTGTTTTCCTTCAACTTTATTTATTTATTTTGGATGCTAAGTGCAAGGTTTTCTTTGTTTTCAGGTACCATCAACTCATTCAACGGTGTCATTATCGTCAGATTCCGAGTCTTCACTGAATGGTGTTCCTTCAGGGGAGGATCAATCTGATTGCCAAGTACTGTCTCCACCTAAATCTTCTAAAATTCCCGATGAAGATGAGAGTTTAGATAAAACTCTTACGAAATCTGTTGCAGAGTCTCCATCAAAAAGGAGATTAAAAAGCAACTCTCCGAAGCAAGGGAAAAACGTAGAAGATCAAATATCCCCGAAAAAGAAGAAACTAGACAAACCCAAGGAAGAAGGTAACACAGAAGCTTTGGTTGAAAATTTTGGTTTCCCTGATCACGATGTTTAGAGACTTTTTTAAGAGAGAAATTTGGTTCAGGAAATTGTGGTGATGTGGAAGTTGCAGAGGAAGAAGCATCCGACAAGCCTGTTGAGCCTCATGTAAGAGTAATCTATAGAAGCAATGATGATTGCCTATATAATCTTTTCCATAATGAGTTGCTTTGGTTATAACTTGTATGTAATTTGCAGGTATCCTCGAAGTTGCCTTTGGTGGTCTCTGAAAAAGTCCAACGTTCAAAGGTACAACAACAAATTGCTTGGTTGTAGCTTGTATCTATAGTTATCAAGATCTTGTTCTTAACAGAAGAAAAAAATTAAGTTGAAAAGATATTGTTCAATAGCTTGGTGTTTTAGCTGACCAGTTCTTTTCCCTTGAAAAAAAGGGGGGGAAACCTGTGATTAAATAAATGATTTGTTTTTTGTGCAGGCACTTGTTGAGTGTGAAGGAAATTCAATAGATTTGAGCGGTGATATGGGTGCTGTAGGACGGGTAATAATTTCAGATTCTAAATCTGCAAATCGGGAAATGTACCTTGATTTGAAAGGCATGTCTTGTTCATATCTCTTTATCATATAGACAAATGTGCTGGTTGTTTAGCTTTGCCAGTACAACTTATTGTGCTGCATGTTTCCGTATTAGCTGCCTACATCTGATTGGTTTGCTTTTTTTTGTTTAACATTACAGGTACCGTATACAAAACAACAATAGTTCCTTCCAGGACATTTTGTGTTGTAAGTTATATGTCTCCATTTACAATTTTAACATCAGGGATCATGTCCTTAATTATGTAATTAGCACTTTGTAGGAATCAGATATCTTCTCCTCTATTACTAATGAAATTTCATTTTAAATAATAAGGATTTGACATGACACAAATTTTTTCTTGTTTAGGTTAGCTTTGGTCAATCAGAGGCAAAGGTTAGTTAATCATTTAGTTAGATTAGCTGAAAAAATGCAGGATTTTATGAAGAAAAAAGAAATGTTAACTAAACTTTGAATTGTATATTCTTTGAGCAGATTGAAGCTATCATGAATGACTTTATTCAGCTGAAACCACAATCAAATGTTTATGAAGCTGAAACAATGGTTGAAGGTTAGTGAATTTTCCAAAGGGATTTTGTTGTGATGGCAGTTTCTTTATTTTTGTTTTGTATGTTTCTTAAAAACAACTCGTCATTTTGAATATGTAGGAACCCTAGATGGTTTCTCATTTGATTCGGAAGATGAAACTGACAAACTTCCTAAAGCCATTCCGCATCAAACTAATCAAAACGAGGAGGATGTTGAAGAACAAACTAAGGGGAAAACCAAGGGGAGAGCTGAGAAAGCATCGGTACGTTTATGAACCTTAAATTTCCTTTACAATTTTTGTTGGGGTAAATTAATCTTCAATTATTTTAAGTTTTTGTCTACAGACTGTTGTAAGGAAGAGGGGTAAAACTGCTGGAGGGAAGCCACAGCCAACGAAGAAAGCAAGAAAGAAAACTCAAGTTTCCAAGAAAGCCAAGAGCAAAAAATGAGGCGGACAATTTTGTTTATCATTTCTTGTTACTGCAACAAATCATAAATTACTAACTAGATGTTAGTTCTCATATTGACGAAAGTAGTGTTGATTGAGGATTATTTAGTGACAGAATCTTGTATAATGATGGCCATTGGTGGCCAATATTCTGAAATTTTAACATACGCAGATTCGTGGTTACGTACAATATTTTACATTATTGTAGATTGCCTACAATTAACTGAGCCAGGATCTTTATGATTGTATCGTCATGAATCATAAACTTCATGCTTAGAACCATGTCGTTGTTTTGTAACTCCTTTCATGTACTAAAGGCTTCGGATTCCTTTCATATTTCAAAAGTCAATTGATCCCCAACATTTCAATGCACTTTGGCGTGCCTGAATGAATTATCTAATACATTCTTAATTCCTCTTCGAAATAAAATTTCAAATTCTTTGTTTTTTCAACCCTTCTGTTCCCATGTACTTAATTTCATACGTTCAAGAGAGTATGTAGAAGAAGATGAGAAGAAGGATTAGTGACGGAATCGGTAAGAGCATGTTTGAAGAAGAAACCATCTGCTGCACAACCTTCTCACTGCCAGGCACTTGATATCTTGGAGGAGCTAACGAATCATCTTCTTGTCTCGTCCTGTATCAAAAATATATTTCATTGGACAGAAAAGGGTTATATGGTGGCTTCATATAAAAATTAGAGTTGAATTTGTTTGAGTGATGATGGGATGAAAAGTGTACCCGTTGCCGTTAGGGCAGAAAACAATGGCATATTCAAAGGCTTTGCATGTAAAAGTGCTTGTGCCATCGTCAAAAGCGTAACTGTATGCTCTTGGACAAGCCCGCTTGAAAATGGTTGAATAAAAGGAAGGCTGGCATGTTGTTGGGTTAGCAAACTGTCCACTGCAGCAGTATTGGTCCAAACCAAATGCCTCGCAGGCACTCTTGCACCCAACCACACTCCCTTCGTTTACACCTCCCACCACCTGAAGCTCTTTTGGGCAACCTGCAACAGTTTGTTTCGTTTCAATTTTAAAAATTTGAAGCATCTGGTGACCAACTTGGTTCAGCATATAACAAAATGTGTCCTGCAAATCGAAGACTTGTGTATGTTGGAGCATGATCAGATTCGAAGCCTTACCTATGTTGATATCTGAAGCACAGCCAGTAGCATTGCAGGCACCATACACGCCGCGTGGAGAAGCGATAAGGGGTAGATTGTAGCCATCTACAATGCTGACATCGTAAAAATCTTTATCATTGCCATTGCCAAGGGTTATCTCGAAGAGTGAGGCAGGTGGAGTGGCACCGTTGCCATTACATTCCAGTCTTCCTCCACAGTCGCCTGTTTGACACGTGCCCGCTCCCAACTCATCAAATGTGCAACCTGTTCTTGCCCATATACGTCCTGACCATCCGGGAGTAGAAGGAATTCTCGCACTTTGGCCAGAGTCCAACCGGAATCCAGTTGTTGGGAGTTGAGGCCTGCCCGAACCCGCTAAAGTACCTGGCCAGATGGTATCCGGGCAGTTGTTTGTTATAGTGAATGTGCATGAGCAGGATAAAGAGAAGAAAAGGGGAAAGAGGATGAAAAGGAAACAAGGGAAAGTTTGAGGTTTCATTGTGTAGGTGATAGGTTTGGCTTTTTTAGCCTTTCCTTTTTCAGGCGGAATGGATATATTTATGCAATTTGTTGAGAATAACAGGAAACGACCAATCTAAGCATATTTGTTGTATTTTGAAGAATCTGTGAGGGGAAGGGATTGTGTGCCGTGCGTGACAATACAAATTCAAGGGGTTACGTTGCTGTGATGAAATTCTCAGCCGCAAGATGACATTTTTGGGTTTAGCATTTCTTCTTTTTTCTTGGATGGCCTGCCTCCTGCCTCTTTAAGAATCGATTCCTTTCTTTTGCAATTGCATGGCACACGACGGATTTATTAGTTAGTACACATTACACAACGGAAGCTAAATGCTCATCTCTCTCTCCCTCCAAAAGAAACTTAAAACAATATCCTTTAAAGATGTACGAGGAGAAGTTGCAGAGAGGCAGAATCAGTGAGGTTAGCGTAACCTAAAACATGAGCATATGAGCGTGGTGATACATGAGCGTATGAGCATGGCGTAGGTATCACCGCACAATAGCATTTGCTAAAGAATAAATGCTGCACCATCATTTAATACAGCTTTGTGTTGTGTGGATACCATAATGTGAATGAACAGAATCAAAGTAAAGAACAAGGAACAGGAAACACAAGCATTTTGACTAATTAATTATCCAATGGATGGATGGAAAATTAAGAGGAAATTTCTACTCATAAAACTGAGTCAATTATAATGTACACAAACGGATGATGCCAAAGTAATCAAAATATCTTGGCATCACCATAAAATTTATAACAGAAGAGGGCTTTCACCATATTAAGAGATTCGAAAATCCTCTAGAATAAGAAGGATTTGAATTTAACAGTACATATAACTAATATAGTAACACGGAATATCCTAGTTACAACTTTCAACGCACTTTCTACCTTATCAGCCAAATTTGGTCCTAATTGCTTGCTTAGCCCAGTGACTTCCAGACACGGCTCAAAAGGACTTGCCTTGCATGAAAAATATTAACAAACCAAATAGGCCATGGGCAGGACAACTCAAACACAACTTACTTGGACCTGCCACCAGCGTAAGATCAGATGAACATAGTGTAAGCTCAAAAGCAACTGAATATTTGCGCAACTTGCGTTGATGGCTGAGCAGAAATTGCTCTGTTTTCCCCACCAATAAGGCAAACAGAAAGGATCAATGAATTATCATATTGTCAAAGTTGTATCATATTGTGCACGTGGCTAGCACAGTTAAATTTGAACCTGAATTCAAAAGCTTGACTGACCCAACATGTCTCTCTGATGTGCAATCATTTCTCCATGACATATTTAGGACAGCCAGGTAAACTCGTCAGCATCACCAGGTGTAGCTTTCTTCGCCAATAAATGATGCAATTACCTACATGAGAAAACGAAAGACAAAATAAATAAGAAGCCATACTAGAAAATGTCTAAATATAAGACATTGTTCATTATTAACAAGCATATTTAATGTCTCCTCGATAGCACATGCTTCAAGCCCTGCAAAATTGACATAAACTTCAGATCCATACTCCCCAAATAACCAAAGCAAAAATAAATAAATAATTAACAAAGTACGATGATGAAAATAAATCAAAGGGTGTGAAAACCAGATCATTCCTGTGTAACCTGTACCAAACTAGGCAGAGTAACTCAACAACAACCTATGCTGCATGCACCGGCAGTAAACAAAAATGAAAGATAGTACAGATCCAAATAAAGAAATAACTAAGGGAACCACTTATTATTACATATAATTAATTACATTTCTGCGGTACAACCATCATGTAATGCAAATCAATAAGAAGTGCTCCTAATAAGGCAAAATAATTAATGGGATAAGACAACAAAGTCACAGCTAAATCATGACACAAGTCATACAAACGACCTGAGAGCACCCTGTACTGAATATAGCTCACATTCGAAGCAGTAAGGTTAGCAAGAAGAAAGATAAATCCAAGATTCATAAGCAGTTAAACAACCCCTGACCAACCCCCGAATTGACATTCCTTGTTTAAGTCAAGCTAATGGTTGAGTTAAATTGCAGTAAACAGGACTACAAATATAGATTGTTCCTACAGACGGGTAGGACACATTAGGTCCGCCACTTAAGTACTCATCAAGTTCATCATCCATGTCCGTTCGACGAATGAAAAATAAGGAAAGGTTTCAAAGGAACAAGATAAAGATAAGCAATAAAAGTCTTTCATTTATCTTATAACTCTAGCTCATATCCATGCCATCTCCAACTTTGCTGCAGATCAGACTGACTGTAGAGAAGGATCTCTCGAAAGGAGAAGGATGGAACTGGGCATCCCGTCTGCGCTTAGAAGAACAACTGTCCGCAGAAGAGTTCTCTGACTCAAGCTTCCTCCGGACCCCTCTCACAGCCTGTTCCTCTGCTTGTGTAAGGGGGAAAATCTTTCCGCTTGCTCGACAAAGGGAGCTATGGTTATCATACAGGATCCTCTGGTCACAGTTTTTGTCACAGATGTGAGTGAGTCCAGTTAGCTTGCAGCAATACATATTCGCGCAGACATGCTCGTTCTGGCATTTCCAGTCACATTTGTGAACAGAAGTTGACCCATCTCGGCCCAAAATAGTCGACAGAAAAATAACATTCGTAGATCCTGCTACCACAGATTTGCCATCCACCTCCATTGCAACTGCGAATTGATGAGCTAATAAAGTCAATTGAACAGATTCCACTCTCGGAGGCCTTTGCCTCTAAAGGTTCTACAGATGTCAACACAACGTAGAAATTCGTTCCCCAGACTTCATATGGAATCTGTTTAATAACTAAATGCTTGCATGAAATTTCTACAAAGTCCTGACTGTTCAACTTCAGGAACACTCTCTGTTTACATATATATATACCGGATCTCTAACCAAATTGTACAACATTGATCACGCATATATTTTCACATCACATCAAATCCTCACATTTAAATTATTTAAAAAAAATACTGCTTAATAACGTTTTCCTGACAAACATGGTCCCACAGACATCTTATTTATATTTCTTTTGTCTTTTAGAACCAAGCTGCTCAAAAGAAAATATTTTTATTTGGAAAAAAGAGCATTGTAAGCATCCCCAAGATCACAGAGCAACACTTATCATGGCCCATATGAAGCCAGTAAATAACTTTCTTCATCAGATCTGATACATGTATGAATGTGGGATATAAAATTATACAATTTTATTCCTCTAAAATCAAGAAACAACGTTTATCTTTTCATTTACATGATCATTCCTAACACATGCAAAGAACTATCTGAAACAACACTAACAAAATCAAATTTAGAAAGACAAATAGGAGAAAAGAAAGAACAACAATAAGAAGAGAATGACTTACTTGTGCTTCCAAAAGTCAAAAACAACAACACGCGTTGTGCTTCCACGCTACCCAGCAACAGCAACAGCACCACCTACTCCTCACCTTCTCTCTCTCTCTCTCTCTCTCTCTCTCTCAAAGACTCAAACTTTCTCTCGTTATCCAAAATGCCTAGCAAGCTAACAAAGAAAACGTGAGAGGAGGGGTGGGTATTTATAGATAGATAGTGAGAGAGAGAGAGAGAGAGAGAGAGTGGGGTAAGGGGTTAGAGGGGTAGTTGACGTTGAACTGGGAGAGAGGAGATTGTAGTTACATTGTTTGGATACAAAAATCCAAAAGCCCAACCCAACCCAGACCCAAACTCACAAAGCTCCAAAATGCCAAATGAAATTTCGGGTAAATTGCGGGTGAAATTCGTCCCCCCACATTTTTTCCCTATTAAAAAAAGACCCGATTCCCGAGTGGACTTGACTTTTTAAAGGGTTTACCTACAAACGTGGATAATCCAAGTAAATTTTCTATTTTTCTATTTTTTCTTTCATAATTAAAAATTAAAAAAAGTAAAAATGTGAACCCCGAGGTCGGAGAGAGTGTGACTCGGACTGTCATGTGCCCCGGTCCCCACCCCCAACGGTCTCTCTCCCTTATCGATTCAAACGCTCTCCCTCTCTCTCTCTCTCTCTCTCTGACTTTTTGAACGTACCACCATTTGCCACGTCGCCGTCATTTTCGCTGAGCTTATGACTTCTCAGGCCCAAATTGGCATTTCAAGTCTCGGCCCAGTTGTTCTTGGGCTGTCAGCTTTTGACCCGGAACTACTTTCTCAACCCGACTTGCTTCCGTTGCTCTTCGCTCTTCGCTCTTCAGTCCTCCCTGTTTGCTAGGGCTAGGGTTAGGGTTTTCAAATCCATGCGCATAACTCATCTATGCTCTCAACTCTCAGTATCAGACTCAACTATTAGGTCTGCTCATCTCTTTTTCTGCTTCAAATTATTTACTTTTTGTTGCAAGTCGTGAACTTTGTAAAAATCTGAATCGGAAAAACATCTGATTTGTCAGTGATTGTGTTTTATTTCCGTCTTTGTAATGGATCGGTTCTTTGATGTAATTCAATCCAATTCTTGTCAACTGTTTTAGGGTTGCTCGAATTGAGAAACATATTTTACTCTAATTGTTGTTGTAGATGCTTCATATGTATCACTGTGTAATAATCTGATTGATGCTATATGATTTATAGTGTGTAATTTTGTTTAGTTATAGCCTGCCTATATGCTCTATATGTATTATCAGGATTTTCAATAACTTTTGATCAGAAATTTGGATTTGTTCTTTTAAAAGTCTGCCCTGTGTTTTTTCAGGATTCTTGACAAAATCTGAACTTTATTTTTTTATATAAGTTTTGGGTTTTGTTGACTTATCATTCAGTATTAGGTTTTCTAGTACCTGTGTGTTATCAGGATTCTGAACGAAATCTGTACTTCCTAATTTTTTTATATAATAATTTTTGGATTTTGTTGATTTCTCAATCCTTATTCCTTATTGGGTTCTAGTGTCTCTTTTCACCTTAAATTTCCTTGTTTGTTGAATTTGAGTTTCAAAACACAGTTTAGGTTGCTTCTCATACAATATTTTCCTCTGGAATTCACAATATTTGATAGATCCAATGTTGTGCTGTAAACAGGTAAAGGATCATGGTGGGATTTAAGAATAGGTATATGGTATTGGAGGTTATCATGGATCCTAATAGAGATCTGGTAAGAAAAGATCCTGTTATAATTACCTCATATAATGTTACAAACGCCATCAAAGACAGCATTCTTGAAAATTTTGGGAAGTGTGGTCTGGCTTCCTCGTTTGGATCATTCCTAGGTAAGTCATGGTTCCAAATAATTATTGTTTCCTTCATTGTTTATATGGACGTTTGCAACTAATTTTCAATAGAATAGCCTGTCTAAATTTTGTTGAGCCAATTTTTGTGCAGTGAAGTATGTAAATGACATTACAAGGCTGTGTATCATTAGAGCTTCAAGGGAGGAATATCAAAAAGTATGGTCTGCAGTTACCATGGTCAGGAGTATTGCAGGTTGCCCGGTGCTATTTAATTTGTTGGACCTAAGTGGTGAGTTAAAGAATTGCAACAGAGTAACTCGTATGCTGATGATGCCTTTTATTTTCCTCCAACATGGCTTTGGGTTGCATAGTTTTAAGAAAAATTATATTAAAGCAGAGGTTATTCTTTTTTTTTTGGCGATTTAGATGTAACAAGGTTTCATCTTTAAATGTGGAAGTTTTTGACTCTTGGGTTTTCGTTATTTAATCATTGTGCTTGATTATTGGCCGAAAGAGAAATATTGTGCTTAACTTTTATGGTGATTGTCGAATTACTATTTCCTTAGAAGGAAGCACAATTCTTATTTCAAACATTGTTTGAGATATCTTAAGAGGTCACATATGTTTTACATCGTAATGTGCATTTCTTTATAGAATATCATCATTATCATTGCAAAAGACTCGAGCTACTCTAGTGTTACTGTCAAAACAAAGACACATCATTATTATCTTCCGAGTTTTTCATCTGTCAAAGAAAAGTCATTTAATTTCCCTTTTCTTTTACTTTGTATCAGGAAGCATCAAAGCTTGTAAAAAAGCTGCCTTGAAGTGTGATGAACTAAAATTTGATCAGCACAAAATTGCGGTTGGATCTGATCTTTCCGCTCAAGATACTCAAAAAATGCAGAACTATCTTGACAAGATCAAAGGCCTGGAGCACTAAAGTTCTACTGCATTTGGTGTGACATACTTATTCAGATGGCAAGTCCTGTTCCTATATCTTATTATTATTATTTTTAATATATGGGCTATCATGGAAAAAGTATATATTGGTTGTTAAAAGGAGCCTTGTTATTGCTCGGTCATAACGAGCTTCTGGTGTTATAGATCACAATCAGCAGTCAATAATGTTGGGATTTTGAGTTGATAAAAATATCTGCTCATTCATATTTCATAGAGCGGGTTCTTACTGTGTATCTGCAAAGGAGTGGAACTCTTTAAAATGAAGGAGTTGATCTGTAGCATTTTCAGGAAGACATAAAGTAGATGTTTATGTCTCCTTTTTTTATCTAAAACCCGAACTCATTCTTGTTGAACATGTTGCAGGAATTTGGTGAGCCTTCCTTCCCCGTCTCCATGCCCTGGCACCATTGGTGTTTGTCGTCTATTATCCAGCCAAATCTGTGGCTTGTGTGGAATCCTGAAAAGTTAGGAAAGCTGAAAGGAGAGGAAGCTTGTAGGAACATCAAATTTCTTTTAAATAGGTGTGAAAGGTTATGTGGATGTAAAATCAAGTAGTGGATTAGGAAGGGGAAGTATTTGATTTGGCTATATTTCTATCTAGTTTCTTGGGGAATATGTGCTTGTGCTGTCGGGTTTGTGTTATTTACTAGTGGAGGGGATAAGTACGTGTATTGCACATACTCTGTTGTGATGACGATCAAGCAAGTAGCAAAATTCATTTTGTATAACCATTCAACAAGCGAAAGCTTATTTTAATTTTATATATACAGCAAGTAAGAACAGTTTTATGTTTATGTTATCTCTGTGCTAGAAATTCAAATGGTAACGATTAAAATATTTCAGATAAATTATGAGTTGTTAGGTTACAAGGGCACTATGTGAGCACTAATGATGGTATATGGGGGAATCTTTTTAAGTAGCAACCTTTAGAATCTATTTTGTGTGAATGATTGATTCCTTTAGAATCTTTCCATTCTGAAGAATCAATTGATGTTATTGGGACCTACTACATAAGATAATGTCACCTCTCCTCTCCCATGGAAAAGCTTAGCCAGATGATCCTCGGAGAAGCCGAATAATATAGAATGGTTTTATCAGCCATGTGGATTTGGCATTTGATGACAATTAATTTAAGTGTGTACGTTAGTTATAAATGACATAAGTTAGGGCCTAATTGGAAGTTAGATATCATGTCACCTCTTGGCCAGTTGGCCCTGCCTCATGAAGCTTGAGATTTTCAAGTGCTTTGCTTATTAGGCATGTGTGCATGTTTGCATGACATGAGAGCAAACTCAAAGTGGCGTACGGCTCTGTAATTTTCTTCAAATATACAGATTTATTCACATACTCAAACTCAAAGTGGGTTGGTGGTGATCAATATTTTCTAGGTAATGAAATAGATAGATAGATAGCATAGCACATATTGGAATGTATGTTTTGTGAATTTTCGCATGAAAGTTCTTGCCCCAACCATTTTCTTTATACCAAAGTCTGCACTCTGCAATGTGGGAGGAAGATACTACTAGTGCTCTGTTCCTTTAATAATGATGAGAAAACAGACACAGGTTGTTTTCCATTAAGCATTGACGTTGTTGAAGGCGGGCGGCAAAAGGCAGTTTGCTTTGTGAAATTGTATTTGCTGAGCCTGATTAAATTCAAAGGCAGCTTGCTTTGTGAATTGTATTTGCTGAGTTTAGTGGTGGGCGTGGCTCAAACCCTATGCGTCTAAAATTCTATATTTCCACGTATGAATCGCATTTTAAGGGCTCCATCTCCTCTATGTCATGTGTAGCTGGCTGGCTGTTAAGAAGATACATACATACATACATACATAGCCTTATAAAAACCCACCTCATTTTTCTCATTTTTATTCACCCAAATCACTCACTCCACACAACATAACACAAAAACCACACCCGTATTACACTTGGACTCTCCCTCTTTTTCTTACCTTGCTCTTTGAACCTCCCTTGAAGAAGGAGGAGAAGAAGAAAACTAAAAGAGGGCTTTCTTTTCTTTGTTTTCTTTTGATTATTAAAAATGCAGGAAAGAGTTCTTGATTACATTTTCGTACCGGCAGGCCTCCTAGTTATGGTGGCATACCACCTTTGGCTTCTCTATCGAATTATAATGCAACCAAATAATACCATCATCGGCATCAATTCCATCAACCGCCGCTTCTGGGTCTACGCTATGATGGAGGTAAAACCCAACCCAACCTAACATACACCATCACTTCACTTCTTTTAATATATATATATATATATATGTATGTCTTCCTTCCTGTTCATATATTATTGTATGTATGAATGATCTATCGATCGATCCCTCTTGATGATTCAAAATGATGCCTCTTATATACCTATCATTAATCTTTGAAATTTTAAAAGAACCAACATGAATGATTGATTGATTGATATAAAGACTAAATCTTTATTGACCAATTTGGGCATGCATGAAATGCAGGATGCGCCAAAGAATGGTGTTCTTGCGGTGCAGACACTGCGAAACAACATAATGGCATCGACCCTTTTGGCCTCGACGGCCATTATGCTCAGTTCTCTCATTGCCGTGTTGATGACAGGTGGCAGCAAGGATCGAAAGGCGTTTTTCGTCTTCGGAAACAGAAGCGAGCTCGCGTTTTCCATCAAGTTCTTTGCCATATTGGTCTGTTTCTTGGTGGCTTTCCTGTTCAATGTGCAGTCCATAAGATACTACAGCCACGCGAGCATTCTCATCAACACCCCCTTCAAAAAGATGTCACCGCATCACAAGCATCATTATCTCACAACCGAGTATGTTGCCAACACTGTCAACAGAGGCAGCTATTTCTGGTCCTTGGGCCTCCGTGCCTTCTATTTCTCTTTCCCTCTGTTTCTGTGGATCTTTGGGCCCATTCCCATGTTCGTGTCCTGCTTTGTTTTGGTCATCATGCTCTATTTCCTGGATGTCACCTTTCAGTTTGGATGGGTTGTTGGGGTTGCCGATGAGGAGGAGCACAACGGCCTTAACAAGGATGAGGAACAAGGCACGTCATTACAACATCATTAGCATTTTAATTAGCATATTACAACATCATTAGCAGAGAAAGGAATAGTAACAAAACTGCCTACAAGTATTGAACCTAAGAGCAGTTCAGATTCAATACAAGTTGAATTGAATTGCCCAATAAGTTGATGTAACAACATAGCAAGTTGAAATAAAAGTACCACTAGGAAACGCTATGCTCTGCTGGTCTGTTGCAGTTATAATATTTAGAGACAGAGACAGAGGAATCTGTTGCTGCCTTATCGTCTTTTATTCTAGTAAGGAATCTTGGGCCGATGCAGTGAGATCACTTGGTCTAAATAAGGCATTTGTTCGTACACATTTCCAAAGAGCAGGAAGCAAAGTTTGGCCATGTCCCATGCGAATCAACATCATGCCGAGTTGAGGTAGATTTATTTGTTCTTGAAATATCGTAGTCACTCAAAAAAAAGGCACCAATCACATGGAAGTAGCTCAGCAGGCTTCACGGTTGATATCACTAATAAATACAGACAAAAAGGCTTTTCTTCTTCCCCTTTCCTTTTCTTTTCGATGGATGAAACAAAAGTTAAAGCACAAAATTAGTACTTCGGATAAGTGTTACTCGTGAAGCAGGTAACGTGTGACATTGACAAGGTGGCTGTGAAAGGTTCATGATTCATATCCATTAGAGAAAAAACAAAAACAAAAAACAAAAAAAACAAAAAGATTTGTGATTCATTTAGTTCATAGATTAATAAGAAGCAAAGTCAACAGATGTATAGTGGCGTCATCCAGACGCTACCTAAAACTAAAGGGAAGAAACATAAAGCAAAGGCGGGCAACGTGCTGTGGATGCAACACAGTTATAAAGATGCCTCACAAAATCCCCGTTACAAGAAAGTTTATTTTCCTCACAAAGAGATCTTTCAGTTTCATGTCCCATCCATGATCCATTCGATTCGATCATGGCATTTAAAAGTTGGGCCATGTTTCAACGAATTGAGTTCCAAGAGAATTGTGATTTCTCTGTCCCTCTGTTTGGCTGTCTTTAACCTCTGATTTGACCCGCGAATGTCCATTAAACAAACACCAACTGTAGCCCGTGTGCAAAGTTTCTTTTCCTTTGTTTTTTTCTTCTCAAAGAGCATTTCATCTTCAGCCATCCTGCCAGCGACAAGGAGTCCTAGTAGCTTCTCCAGCTAATGGAGACTTCAAGTGCTACTGATAATAAATATTCTCACGATAACGTAACAGCAGAAGAGGATAGGATCATGTATAATCAAAAGAAGCAATTACATCTCATATTACTCAGGATGCTGTTTACATAATCTGTCATTCGATGAAACAATAAAGTAAAAGATGTATCTCCCACTGTTTCTTCGTCTTCAAGATGTCTGCATTTTCAACTTATTATAGTGCGCCTAATTAGCATGCTTGATTAGAGTGATGAGCTGTCCAAATACTTTCTTGAAGCTTTGCATTTCAATACCCAAAGATGTGTTTCAGCCCTCAATCTTGTTCATTGTTAAGTTCGTTCGACCAAATGCACTGCACTGCAAGTAATGGTATTCAACATAATGCTAACTGAAAGAGAGAAAGAGACGAGTTGCTATGGAAACAAATCATGCTTGATATGAATTAAACAAAAATACGACTGCTTGCTTATTAATGTGCAAGCAAAAATCCTTTCTGTTGACTTCGTGGATTGCATTCACATGCAACTATTCTTGACAGTCACGTCTTAATGTCGTCTAGTTTCAATTTCAACTTCATGTTTCCAGCTTGAACCACGATTTCTTCTTTAGAAGGCTCCACTTTTAAAACTGTCGCTTTCTTACCAAGGGAAGAAACAAACACCACATTGCCAACCTTGGGAATCTCAAACTTCTCTGAAATATAAGAAGTGAGAGACATTCTTAGTTGAAAACTCAGCCAGATTGTCAAAGAGATTTGAGAGTCTCAAAAGTTTTCATTGGTTTTTCAATACCTGATGATGATAAAGAGGATGCACTCCTTTCCATTTTATGTTTATCATCAGTTGTGCGTTGACTGTTAGTTTCCAATTTGTGCTGGCTTTTATGCGTTAAAGTAGGCTGCAAAGGTTGAACCAGTGATGCACGGTGCTGTCTTACTTTTTTGTGAAGGATAGAACGAGCCATAGCAGCAGCCTCAGATATTTCTCTCATTTTCCTAAGTCTTTGATCATTACTATGTTCCATAGTCTTCCTTTTGGCAACCAACAGTTTCTCATACGACTCTCTTGAGAGCCTACAAGTACAAGCATGAGCAGATATAGATGCACTATCTGTAGCCATAGATTTATCTATGCAGCATGATTTGACTTTGTTAACAGATAGCATTGATTATTACCAAAACCTCTGCATGGAGTTTATTTTATCAACTTGGATGCGCCAAAATTTAAGTTATGACATCCCTCATTTTCATGTTATTTTCTGTTTTTAACAAATTTCTTCCTTTGTCAAAGATTTTAAGAGTAAGTTCACATCAGAATTATCTAAACTGGGCAGAAAAATCTTACATCAGATGATGCTGTCCTTCATATAAAAGCTTTTGAAAGCCCTGCTTTAACCGTTCCATATCAATTATGACCTGCCATGGGAATAAACAGATGCATTTTTATGCATGACTAAGTACAACCATCCAAAGAATGTCTATAATATATGTTCAAAAAGAATAATAAAAAAGGTTCTCTGTAAATGCAAGAAAAAGAATAAAAGAAACATATCAGAAATTTGTTTTTCTGCCGTTCATAGAGTGTTTTTCCTTAACAAATAAGGAGATACACATATATTAATTAATACAACAGTAATAAAATCTAGCCATGTCACCTCATCTATCCCCGCACTAGCTGTACCATATAGTTCGCGGGCATTATCTACTACTTTACCAGGTAGTCCTAACCTTTCAGCTATATTGATTGCATTTGAACGCCCTGCAGCATAAATATCACTCCTTGAGTCATTATGCAGTAATATAAATATATAATGTAACAACAGATCGGAAGACCAAATGACTACTAGTTGCTTGAGAAAAAAGTGTTTTAAACAAATTTTTACACGCTAGTAAATTACAATACATGCTAACAGAAAAGAGACCAGTTACTCAATTGCATATGGAAATGCATATATTATGGATCATCCCTTACTCTCCCTTCAGGAGAAAAGATTTAAAAAGGAAAAAAGCAAAACAAAAGTTAAAGTCGTTTGTCAGAATGAAGACCTGGTACTCCCCAGAGAATCCTGTAAGTTGGCTTTAACTTCACATCATCAAACTCCATACATGCATTTTCAAAGGCGTCATTGCTGTCAAAGGAAACAACCTCATCAACACAAAACAAGACTTAATGGCAAGGTAGATATTCTATGGGCTCATATAGATTTTAAGTAGGAAGATGGGGCAAACTTGGCTTCAATAAACCACATGCAGATCAACTTTGACTAAATGTCTGACAACCACTACCTATTTTTCCAGACTCGATGTATTAAACAATTGAACTGTAGTAATTCATTAGTTGCATCTTTAACTTGTATGCCAAATACCTGTATTTCAGGGTTTTGAGTTCCCCATGATGTGTTGTAGCAATTGTCAACAAAGCACCAGTTTCAGCAAAAGATTCCAATAGAGACATCCCCAGTGCTGCTCCTTCGTGGGGATTTGTTCCTGCACCAACCTACCAAAAACAAAAGGAGTTGATACCTGTATTCATTTGTATTTCCTTTTCTGTTCTGGTAACAATTTGTTACATGTCATATTCCAGAAAAGGCAATTTGACCACACCTCATCCAGTAGCACGAGTGAATCACTTGTTGACTGTGACTGGATGTCCTGCAATATGCAGTAAAGATACTGGTTGAATGTTTCATATCATAAAAGTACACATTAAAGATTTTCACCAAATTCTTGTAGTCAATCAAGTTTTTAACTATTCTACATTTGTACTTGGTCATGTTTATAGAAACACTTTCCAAAATAACTCTTTTTCTTACACTTATATGTTTTAAGTGGCCGGAAAAGGTAGAAAGTGATTGGGTCAGGGATTGTTCATCGCCAATGTCAGCAAAAACTGAATCAAACCAAGGGATTTGTACTGATTCAGAACACAAAACATGAAGGCCTGCGATATTTAGAAAAAGGGTGTCACAAGCCACGCAACTTGATGAATTGCATTTGTGATTAATTCTTCAGTCCCTGAATACTCTACCCTCTTGTAGAGCAAGCTGAGAGGAAGTGTAAGAACCTCATATTGATAAGACAAATGATGAGAATTACATTACATGAGTGCTTCCTATCCAAATAAGGATACTAATAAATAGAATAATTAAATTACATCAGAAACATATGTATGCTTGTAAAACTACTGGTAAAACTCCACGAGCTTGAAGGATGATTGAAAGAATTGAGATATATTAGATAAACCTGATTTTGCCATCATAGCTGCCAATCCTACGGTCTTTAGGCAAATGGTTTTACCCCCCGTATTAGGGCCAGTGATAACCAAAACTCGAGTTTTTTGAGCTATGAAAAAATCAACTGGAATTGGTTTAACCTGTTCCAGTTCTATAGCCTGCCAAACAGAGGTAAAATAACCTTAAAAACAGAATAGTTGTATAACAAAAAATAGAATGTCTGAATACTAAGAGATAAGAATTTATTATCACCTGATATTATGAATAATCAACCTATTAAAAAAAAATTACCTTCAACTCTAAGGATGAAATATCTATATTTTTTCCTGCTTTCTGTGTAACATACTCTCCTTGCAGTTTTCTTTTGATTTCCTAATAAGAAAAAGGAAAATAACCAAAAGATAAGTAACCAAAGAACTGTATATAAATACATTTGTCAAGAAGCAAGCTATATGTGCAACGATTCATATTTGAGAAGAAAACAATGACTGTCGACATGTGGCAATCACCTCAATGCAATTCCTCCTGTGCAAGGAGTAGATGACCACTCTATTAAAAGAATAAAGTAAGATAACATCGATTTAAATTAATTATATATCCTGAACCATTATTCAGGAACTGGAAGTAAGACAAAAACTAATAATAAAAAAGTGGCACCAGGTTATGGATATTGCATAAGTACCATAGTGGCAATTTTTAAATCTTTCCTGGCCTTCTGTAAATTTTGTCTATGCTGGTGAAGTAGTAGAGGATGATAAGCCTTTGGCAGATACAACACCCATTCATTCTTTGAGGGATCGGATTGTTGTGGATGTCTGTTCCCTGATAAGTAGGTATCAGAAGTGAAAGAGCCAAGCCCTCCTGGTAGAAATAGATTGGGACATGTTCCACCAAATGCTAGACCATAAGTTGCTCGGGCATTGACCTACAAGTTAACAGCCCAAGCTAAGGAATTGCCAACTAAAACAAGCAGACAAAGTAGCACCACAAGGGCATTCAGAAAGCAATTCCATAAGTCCCATTGAAGAATAAGATGTGTGTGTGTGTGTGAGAGAGAGAGAGAGAGAGAGGGAGGGGGAAAGTATGAGAAGATATCATTAAATGGTGGCAGCAACCTACCACATCCAGTTGGATTATACTGTTTGATAGTTGTTCAATGTTATCAAGATCCATTTGCATCTGCACAGTAGACCACAACATAAATGTAATTTTTTTTTTTCCAAAAAAGGAAAAGATTATATAGCCAGAATAAAAAGAGTTATAACCACATAAAGCCACAAACCTTTTCTGTTAACGTTAAGAGAACTTCTGCCTCAGCTTCTGATACTAGAGCCCTTGTCTGTTGCAACTCATCATTTAGAGGGATAGCAGATAATGGCTCAACGATGCTTCCTATGCCTGAACTACTATAACATTATATCACTTTCAGGATTGAAATAATCAACAACTGAGATGAGTGAGTGAGAGAGAGAGCCACACCAATTGGTTAAGACCTATAAAAAATAAATAAAGAGTTCTTTGCATGCTCAGAGGTGATAAACGTTATACAACAAACTTAACATACCTGGGCAATAGGAGACCCTTAAAACTTGTCAGTTCGCTAGCACTGGATTTTATACACCACCTGCCATCAACAGTACTCACTTCCTGAACGAATGACAGTATAATAATTAGGAAATCATCTTGAAGATTCTACTAAATACATCTCTGAACTTGAGCTTCTTACCAGAGAGGGTGTTTCACTGTCATCCCTAATTAGGCTGTTCATTAACTGATTTATCTGAACAGGAGGAGCAACCGGTTGTAAGAATAAGTTGTGAATGAGAATGAAGAGAAATGATAATTTCAAAACCATAGCCTATTTGAAAGCTATCACTTTACGTTTTAAATAAGCATGAGAGTACATGTTAGAAAAACATTTACAGTGTGTTTGGGTGAGGTACTTTAAAGTACCAAAGAACTCCTAAAGTGATAGGATTTAGAACATGCTTCTCTAACATGTAAAACCCACTAAGAAGGCACACAACTCAAACCCACTAAGGATAGGGTCACTATATTACCAAGCAATTCATGGTCTATTTAAATGTACGTAGGACGTTATCATAAACAAAATAAAAAGTAGGAATTTACCTTTCCCTCAAGTGTCCGAACTTGATTGCGTAATCGTTTCAGAGTAGGACTCTAAAAACAGGGAATACAAGTTTTGAGTGAGACAAGAATCCAGGGAAAACAGACAGAACATTTAAAAAAAAAATCAATCAGATAACGTTAACTAAAGACTTCTATTGAAGCACAAAGAAGAAACGCAAAGATTTATTAGAAAGGGAAAGAAAATAATAAATATAGACTAGCACAGTCAGAAACAAACCGCAGAGTCTTTAACACTGCCATCTTCCTCTATAACTTGCTGTATCTGCTTAACGAGTGATCGGTTAATGACAAATCCCATTATCTGCACAAAATAGTTAAAAGTACATTCAAATGCATTTAAATTGTATGCTAACAAATAACAATTGGTAGTAGTTTATTCAAATCTCAATGTTGTGCTTACCACTGGTGAAAGAGGCATAAAACGTGTGTACCAATCTGCATCTTCCTTGATTGCAACCTTAAGATTACTCTGTAAAACCTCTGCGCACTGTAGCAGAGCCGCAACAGCCAACGCTTCGTTCCCATCCAGTGGTGAACTCCTCCGAGCATGTTGTATGGCAGATTGCACCTTCAAACACAACAAAGCAAAAGGTTAGGTGGGCAGTGGGCAAAGTCATCAAATTTTCATGAAAGGAATGATATTAACTTAGATGATTACCAAAACGACATTGAGGCCGCTAAAATCCAGAGAGCAAGCACCGTGCTTGCGCATTTCTACGGCCGCATTGGTTTCGTCCAAAAGTCTGAGGCTTTCTTCGTATGTCTGATTCAAATACCATAGCTGTGCCTATGTATTGCAGTATTACACCAGCAGCAGCAGAACCAATGTCAATATAAAACAAATGAAGAAGAAAGAAGATGAAGAGCTTGTTGGAGGAGTACCTTAGTGGCTTCGCGGCCTAAGGAAGTACGAGCAAAGGAGGCAACGGAATCGCAGAGCTTGTCCCATTCCAAAACCCTAAGACTGTCGTAGTGGGCCTGTGATATTTTGTGGGACTGGTAATTAGCCGCGGAAATTGAGGAGCGTTTGAGGAAATTTTCACGGTTGCTGAACTTTGTAAGAGTAAGAGTAGCAAGAGGAGTGGGAAAGAGGGAGACGATGGGGTTGCCAACTCCAAACGGTGCGCAAGAAAGCATTTCTCTCAGTCTATGGGTTCCGTAACGGTCACAACTGGCGGGTACAATTTATCGGCGTTTATCCTCAGGCCGCCATGATGCTGATGATGACGACCAGGCAACGTGTGGTGCACGACCAGCCGTGCTTTAGATTATGGACCGACTGGTTTTATAGTGGGCTCCAAATAACTTAACGGCCCGGTTCAAATGTTAGGACTGGCCTTATAGCTATAGAGGGATGGGTTTATACCTTGATACGCAAGTAAAATTCAGGCCCTCATCAAGGCCAGACCCGCTTGATTTTTCTTTATCGGCTCGAACCGAAGCCTTGATGTGCAAGTAAAAAGAAGAAATAGGAAAAGCAGTCTTGATTGATTGTATAAAAAAGCAGCCTTGGTTGTCAGAGTTTTTCTCATTGCTCAAAAGAAAAATATTGTTTTCCCTCCTCTTACTACCCTCTTGAGGTACAAGCCTCTGTAAATATTGGTTTGCCTTAAAGTTGGATAAAGTTGAATGCTTATGATGGACGTAGGAGAGGCTCTCGCGATTTTAATGGTTATGGTAGTTCGCTTAGAGATTGCAGCAGAGTTTGGATTTCTGATTGTGTTGCCATTCTGGATTATAGGAATCTTCTAACTGTCGAGATGATTAGACGCTGACCATCAAGTTTCATCCTCTTGGTTCTGTACTTGTGGAATTGTTGGGCTCTTTTCGGGCTTGTGATTTGAAGCACTTGTAGATAGAGAAGAAGTATGCAGCTGCTCTGCTGGCCTTGTTAACTCCAGGTCTCTTTGCTCTTGACAATTCTCTTTACAATTGTAAGTAGTTCTTAATTGATGATTTGGTCCTGTTTTAGTTTTAGTCTTGTCTTTATAACCTCATTCACGCTAACAGATATATACGCAAATGCAGCACAGCACAAAATCGAAAATGAAGAATAATGTGGAGGCTGTTTTAAAAAAAAACTATGTTTGTTCTGGTTTAAAAAAAACTAGCCGTTAATTTTGTTTTGCTCTTGTTGCATGTACATTGAAAACGCACAAACGCCTGTCTGTCCTCCTCTATTCCTTACTACTGGTCAATGTCATGACAGCGGTCAGTAAAGAGAAGGTGTTACCATACAAAGATAGCCTAACCAAAAAAAGATAACAAAAAGATATCAAGTCTTTCTTGCACAAACGCCTGTTGCTGTTGTTGTCCTAACCCATTGGCGGCTTGGCTAGATTACAAAAAAATTAGAGCTTAACCTCCCACAAGATCAATTCAAATGAATCATCAGTCCAGACCCATAATTCAGAAAAGTCCGAACAAAACCGAGAAGCCGAGGACGATAAGCCACACAATGTGAACCAAAAGCAGGGCTTGAGCGGAGAGAGGGGCAGAACCCCCATTACCCACCTCACAAAACCCTAGCTTGGCCACCTTCACCCCAGCACATTGAGCCTCCTGGCACCCACACCAGTAGGTCACACCGTCCACGCCGCAAACCGGGTCGGGTCGAAAGCAATTTACGGGGCACATGGGGCGGGACCAGGGTGACGACGACGATGACAAGGGAGACGACGGAGTCGCGCCACATCGATCGGCTGATTGGGAATCCGAGGGCAGTCGGATGATGGTAGATTCATGCTCGGATCGTACGGTGGGGAAGGAACAGAGGATGAAGATGGGGAAGAGGATTAGGAGGATGAGAGGGATTGGTGATTTTGCGAACTGGGGCTCCATTGTTTGAATTTGAAGTAAAGGCGAGCTCGTTTCTTTTCTTTCTTGTTTGTTGATGAGAAAGAAAAGAAAAGAAAAGCTCGCCTTTTTATTCTTACGCAGTTGATGTTATGGAATTGTTGGGGAAGCTAACCCAATCCTCTCCTAAAATCCTCCCCAAATTCAAGAAAATTGAGGGAAAATCATTTAATTTCCAACTGCAAATCCTTCTTCTTCCCTGAACCTTCCCCAAATTTGAGAGATTGGTTCTCCAAATCAGGTTAGGTTAGGTTAGATTGGTTTATGATGCTCCGAAATCTGAATTTACCATGGAAATGTTGTTCATTGACTACTTACTCAATATATCCTCATTTCGGTGGGAAAAAAATAGGGGGAAAAAGGATCGACCTTCGAGTTCATCCCTAATTTTTAGGGTTGAACGAAGGGGACGAAGATGAGACACTTGTTTGACGCGTAATGCCTTATTGGGTTAATTGTGCCTTCGATCTTGCGAGACGGCGTCGTTTATGCGTCAAATAGATTTTGACACTGAACGCTGAATTCGGCCGGAATATGGGGACAGCCATTGCCTTTGGACATCGACCTTGAGTTTGTGTGCTCGTCTTTTTTCAGTAATAAATCTGTTTTTAATAGATTTTCTTCTTTTGGGTCTTAAATAGATTACAACTATTACGTGTCTTGAATCTTGATTGATTTTTTTTTTCCTTTTCTAATTAATTTTGGGCCGAAAGGAAAACTTATTGCAAATTACAATACTTACCAAAGAAAACTTACAATCATGGCTTGCAATTATTTTCTCAAGTTATGTAAATAAATATAAACACCATTATTTCGCAAACTATATACTTAGACTAATAGGCCAAGGAAACAGTCAATATTTTGTCTAAGATAGGTTATAACTTCTATATATATAAAGCAAAAGGCAGAGAATGATGTAACATTTAAAATATCAAAAAATGTCCTTGGTTAATATGACCATTAAGAATTGAAATTATTAATTAAATGAGGATAATATGGTAAATTCATACTTTTTTATATTTTAAAAAAATTAAAATTAAAAGAAAAATCAGATAATTGATCATATTTTTATAGAACACAACTACCTATTATCTTTTTTAATTCTAAAATAAATTTAAATTTTTTTTTTAAAAAAAACCTCTCACAGGCGCGGAAGTGCGTGCGAAGAGGCTAGTATAATATAAAGCAAAAGGCAGAGAATGGTGAAACATTCAAAATACTAGAAAATGTCATTGGTTAATTCAAACATTAAGAATTAAAATTATTAATTAAATAAGGATAATATGGTAAATTCACATTTTTTCATAGTAAAAAAATTAAAAATTAAAACAAAATCAGATAATAGATCATATTTTTATGGAACATAACTACCCATATTATATTTTCTTAATTTTAAAAATAAAATAAAAAAATAAAAAAATAAAACCAATTGGCACATGTGTGAGCATGTGCCAAGGGGCTAGTAACTTATAACGAGGGCTGACAATAAGGGGTCCTTAATAGTAGCCGATCAATGAAAATATTATTATTCAATGGTTATGTTCAACCCCTCAACATAGTCTCCTCATTAGAGAAGTAACGGGCTTAGCCCATGGCACATTTGTTATTTCTTTTTCTTTTTTTAACTTTTCCAAGTTAGTTTAGCTCACAGTCCAGTCTATTCCTAACCCAGTTTATCACCTTCAACTGTAGCCCATCGCCTAAATAAGTCCAGCTCAGCCCATAGTTGTAGCATTGTAGCATGGGCCTTTACGTATGCCGCCAGCTAGCCCATAGTTGTTTGTTTCATGTTTTTTTTACCTTAATAATATTTATTCTTTCTATTTTCTTGATTTGGTCAAGTCTAGAATGGTGGTACAAGAGACACATGGTGTTGGGACAGCCATGAAATGGGGACAGAAGCAACTGTAATAACTAACTGGAAGCGCATGTCTCTGTAGAGGGAGAGCAAGAAAGGCGGAGGGAGGAGCAAAGGTGAGCTGTGTGATTTGAAAAAGTCAGGGCATATTCCAATATAGAAATTAGAATGGGTGCAAAATGGAGGTTTTACCGGGCGATCCAGTGAGTTGAGAAATTGAGACCACCAGTTTCTCCTAAACATAAGACCCATCCTTCCACTATATGAACCCATCTTGTCCTAAATTCTTCCCTCAGCCTCAACAGCCCCTCCTCCTCCAACAAACAGCAACAGAAAGTTGATAAATAAAAAAGAGAGAGCTTCATCAGAAGAACTCCAAAGACTCGCTCATTCGTCCCATACTTGATCAAAAATCATGGGAGGCTGTGCGAGCAAACCAAAGGAGTTCGATACCGCCCGCCCTGAGGCTCTCCCAACTGAGTCCACCAGACCCGAGAAAGCAGACCGTGAAGCTGAAACGACTACTGATAGTACCAACGTTGCAGCTAATCAAGAGGCGGTGGACACCACCAATGTAGAAGCAGAAGCACCTCTGGTAGATCTCTCAGAGCCAAAGGAGGAGAAGGAGGAGGAAGCCGCACCTGTTGTTGTTCCTGCTGCTGCTGCTGAGGCTAAGCCTGAGGCTGCAGCTGCGGCTGAGGTGGTAGCAACTCAGAAACCAAAAGAGGAAAAAGCAGCTGATCAAGTTGAAGTTGCTGCCACACAACTAGCAGAGGTCAATCTTGTTGAGGCTGTGAAGGAGACCAAAGAGAAAGAGCTGCTGCCGGCTCAAGAGATCAAATCCAAGGCCAAAGAGGAGCAGCCTGCTGCAGAGATCAAACCCAAGGCCAAGGAGGAGGAGCCTGCTGCAGACATCAAACCAAAGGCAGCTCCTGCCTCGGAGGGCAAGAATAAAGATGCACCTATTCTCACTGTTTGATCCATTGCGCTTCCAATCTAAATCTAGCTACTAATTAATGTATCTCCCAAAAAAGAGCCATAAAGTGCAACACAGCATTGATGGATATATTGGTGCACTTTGTATCTGAATTTTTGGGACTCCACAACCACAAGTATTGAAAATCCTATTTTACTTATATCCCATAATTATTAAGTTATCTATGCTATATGCCTCATAGTCGTTTACTCTGGAGTTTTAAGAATAACATGTGTGATGCAAAATATTTGATTAGTACCATCATTTCTTTGCTGCAGAAGAATCTGGCAAAAATAGATCACATGCTCCAGAATTCAAAATTGGATTTCTGCGACTCAAATAACAGCTACAATCTTTGCATGGAATTTGCATTACTCTTACATTACATGGAGAAATCTCCTGGAGATGGAGCCACAGATTACTAACTTTTCACTATTGACAGCCAGCCTCCCAAATATACTACTTGGGAAGATTTGAACTTACGAACATTATTAAACTTGATGTCAATTCTACAAACAGCTGCCCCACCACTCTGTATTCCCTTATAAAAATCGATATTTTCTAGGACCTTTTCTGTTACAACATTTAAAAAGATGGTTCCCTTTGATCTGTAAAGAGTCTTCCACTGAAAAGACTTTTATCATTACTAAGCAGGAAAAGAAGCAGACATGAAGATAATCAAGAAATATTCCAAACGATATTTTAACAGAACACTAATTTTGATTACTCTATAGAACACTGAACAATTAACATGATATATGTATTTCACTAATTGTGATTATTCCAACGTGCGTGAGCGTGATAGAAACTTTAAATGCCCGAGAAAATGGAAAGGACAATTCCAATAAAATTATGACTAAATTGATCTGCTAAGCCCACCCATTGTTATCACTTTTCTGAGGCAGGTCCAGCAAATGAAGGAGCGGCCTCCTTCTCCTTGGTAATTTCCTCTAGATCAGCCTTACTCTCATCCTTCACAGCCAGCAGGACTAGAACCACCAACAACGGATAGCTCACGGTAGTGAGCGACCAATTCGTAACCAATTGGGTGAGGAAGGACACCTTGTGTGTATCAACTTGCCAAGCAACAGCTGCCCCAGCACTCTGTATTCCCTTGTAGAATCCAACATACCTGCAATACACATGCACAAAAGTTGTTAAGCATCACAATTAAATTGATCACAAACTTTGATTATATGTTAGCCTCCAAACAGTCACTTTATTCTATCACACAAAAATCATTGAGATATTAAAAACTTGAGCAATAAGGCATATTCTATTATCTGATCTGATCTATCATCTATGTTACCTGCTTAGGGTCTCAGAGTCATTAGCCAAGGCTCCAATAACCCAGTAAACCATGCTCTGGAACATGGAATCCAGCAAGCCAAAACTGAAATACAAGACGAATGGTCCGGCAAAATCCGAACCAGAGTCCTTAAAATCCAACTTCTCTGGCAAATCACCGCGAGAGTAGTTTAGCTGGTTGACAAGCCCACCAACCCAAATTGCAGTGCCAACAATACTAACCACTGTAATGCCAGCAAAACCCCTTGTCCTCCTACTCTTGAAACTGAAATCCATTATGTATCCAATCCCAATCGACCCCAACATCTGGGCTCCCCAATAAAACACATTGTTCAATCCTCTGGTCCTCAAATTAAACATAACCTGATTGACATTGTTGAACTGGTAGGTGTAAAAGAAGTTGCTGGACCAAGCAGCAGGGATTATAAGAAGCATCTTCCAATTTCCAAACAGCTTGGCAATCTCAACAACCTCAGTTGAAACACGAGAGTACTGAATGTTGGTACACTTACTCCCATCATCACGAACAACCTTGCTAGGCGGCAAAATGGCCAGGGATAAAAGAGTCCCCACAGTCATGAAAACCATGAACCCAATATAAGTAGCATCATTAACAGAAGCTGCCTCGCTTCTATTGTAATTAAGAACGAAGGGAATTAGGCCTCCAATGACACCACCCATGTTGAAGATACTCCAGAAAATGGAAATATATGTCCCTTTCCGATTAGCCGGGGGATAGGAGGTCATGATGGCACCTTGGCCAGCCCAAAGCAGGCCTGCACCGACTCCAAGGATTGCTCCGGCGACAATTGCAAAAGCTTGGTGCTTGTGGTGATTGTAGTACAAGAAGGAGCCAGCGTAGAGGACATAGGTGGAGCAGGCTGAGAGGAGAGTGAGGCGAGGGCCAAGGATGTTGTAGATGCCACCACCGAGGATGCCGAAGACGGCGAAGGTGGTATAGAGGGCGGTGGAGGCGTTGTTGGAGGCTGTTGGGTCAACCTGGCCACCACCACCCATGCCTGAGAGGGCATTGAACATGCCTGGGCAGCAAAAACAGACGAACCCAATAAGGCTCACTTGCACAAAAGGGGAGTTGTACCTGAATCTCGATTGGGGCACCTCAGTGCCTCCTGATTCTTCAGCTCCTTCGAAACCCATCAAGCCAAGATGATGACTTTGACGATTTTAATGGTTTTTGTGATTGCTGAAAATGAAAAAGTTTCTTCTTTTTGGAGGGGATGGGAAAGCTCGAGGCTTTATTCGGGACAAAAGAGACAGAAGGGAATTTGGGGATGAGGGGTTGATGCTCTGAGTTGGGGAGGCCAAAGAGATGACAGGGGTTTTGTTTTGAATGCAGAGTCCGAGTGGGGTGTGGAAACTGGAAAGTAGAAAAAGACTGAATTTAGGAGCAAAGAGGGAGGGGTTGCTGGGGCTGTCTCTGATTCTGACAAGCACATGCTATGTAGCTTTGATTTAAGTTGAGAAGATATAGTCCATGATGAATTGCAAAAGGTCAAAAAAATAACAAGGAATTTGGAAATTGGGATTTGGAGGAGAAAAATTGCATTGCAAATGACAAATTTTGGATTCCAGGCTTGCTTCCTTTCCAGAATCCAGCGGGGTGTGAGAAAGACAGTGAGAAAGGTCGAAATATAAATCCATGATCCCAACGGGACGACGGGGATGAATCTGCATAATAATAAAACTAATAAATAATTAAGAATAAGTCAATCTCAATCAGTTTCAGTTGTTTTGTTTTGTTTTGTTATAGTCGGAATAGAATCTTGGATTTCAATTCCTATGTGGACCCGCTTCTTCTCGCAAAAATAACAGGCCAGTCCAGAGACCAGAGACCACCAAAAACATGACATATATTTTTAGTAATATTTTTTTTCACTTGAACGTTATTAGTAACCATAAACCAAAAACAAATGAGTTGGGAAAACAAGGGTATTATTATTATTATGTCTTACGCCACCCTGTCCTAAAAAGATTACATACGAATATGTTAAAGATTCACTAACATAGATAATTATGTCTAATTTGCAGGCGCATATTAGAAGGAAAGGAAGGTCCAACAGCTTGACTAACTAATACTTAATGAAGGAAACCATACACTTGCCTTGTTGTTTTCAACTTGTTATCTTTCTGTATGTGCTTCTGCTTTCAGCAAAGGGAGCTCTCATTCATGACTCTTGACAGAAAAAGTCATATTTTGCTGCGACAAATAAATTCTCTATCACACGTAACATAGTGATGTTAAGGCATTTAAATAACAGCAGGCCAGCCGGCTGCAACTAGTTATCAGTGACCATTTTTTTGGTTTTTGTGGAAAAACATTTGACAACACAAGCTCACTTGGGTTGGAACTTGGATGGATGTAAAGCCTTCCTTTCATCAGAGCTCATGGTGGTCCAATCAAGAATTGACCATCAGTAATACGGTTGTAAAGGATAAGGGGATGATGTCGTTCATTTCAAGAATTGACATTATAGGCTTGCCTTCTCTTCTCACTTTTTCGCCTGTTGTAATTTCTGGAAGCAGCTCCTAAGATGAAAACAAACGAAAACACCACCAGGCTAGTAGTTCTACTACAACAAGACCAGACAAAATATTATATATATCTTTTTACGGATCAGTTAACTGCAAGAATTCTATATTAAAGGTGTTATATATTGGATCAAATTAGTTAGCCGTATCCAATAATTAAGATCTAGGACATCATCTAAATGTCATATATAAAACTCTCAACATAGAATGACTCCGGTTAACTGATAAGATAAACTATTGATTTTCAAATCTGTTAGGCAGAAAGCCCATCCCTCTTCAAAAGTCAATCGTTGTATTTGTATAAAGGGGCCGAAGCCCATCGAGAGCCAAAATGGCAGGTCCTCGAAAACACAATAAGGACCTTCCAGACGGTTCACTTCACTCTATACCCACAGAACGTTCACCACAATGAGAAATTAGATGAAAGAACAATGACAAGGGAAAATAACCAGTTCCAACCCAAAAAATTTCAATTCCTTGATATGATTTGGCATCTGTCATTCTGTCATTCTCATTGCAAAGATTTGACACTCATTAGTTAATCACAGCTCAGATTACGCGGTCGCATCCTACCTTTAGGCTAAAAGAACAAAAGGAAAGCATCCATCCTACAATGAAAGAGATTGGTCTGGTGTATAAGAACCCCAAAAGTGGTTTAATTGTGCAAACAACTGAAACAAGTCAACTCTATGCTCCTTTCTTGCGGTTTTGAAGCGAAAACCCTGGTTCCTTTGCATCGTTATGTTCATCAACTGTTTCCTCAATCAGTCGAATCCCATGCTCAGATCCTTCTGAGGAAGTATCACCTTTCGTGCCTCCAATTTTTGCAATAGTGGAAGGATCATTAACCAAGCTTTTGTAGATTGTTAGTGCTTGAGAAATCATGCCAGCAGGATTATTTGAAGCACTAGGAAGCAACACTGTTGTGCCCTGCAAAAATTTTAAATAAAAAGAAAGAAAAAAACTATTTTATTAATCCATTGAGCATCATTAGATACAGCAGCATATATACATAGTTAGATGGTTCTGCTCTCACCTGTTTGGCAATACTACCAAAGGCTTCGACATACTGCTCAGCAATTTTCAAGGCAGCTGCCTGCAAATCAGACCATAATATTAGTTCCTTCATCCACACAAACAAACAAAGCACACATAAAATTTTTATAAAATCCGTACACATCACGGAAGACAAGTCTATATGATCCTTGCTTATAAGGAAAAACTATTCCCGGCTCTAGAAGATGCTAAGGAAGAACTGGACCCTTTTCAGATTTACTGATACTTGAACAATTTAATACATTATAATAACATCAACATGGAAACTCATCCACATCCACACCCACATGTCCTGCAACAACCTATAGAACTCATGAATTTTTTATTTTATTTTTCATTTTACAAACAAATAGAGTTAAAGGATTTAGAAGCTTTGGCCTATTAGACACTAGAGTACGTGGATGGCATCCAGTTAGATATTTGATATGAGATATAAAGGAAAGCTTAGTGGGTCAGAGGGTTGGGGAAGAAGAAGAAGAAGAAGAAGAAGAAGGAACATCATGCAGTTCAATATCAAAATCTCAGGTAAAATGTGAGGGGTAGGTGAAATGTGAGGGGTTAGAGAGAATAATGCATCACCTTCCACAAAATCTCAACAAACTAAGCTAAAGAGCCCGTAATGTAGCAATATTCTTTCAACTTCCCAATTAATAGTAACCCTATTTGACAAGATGCACGATGGGAAACCATATGATGTTGCATTCTTTATATGAAAAATAAGCAAAATAAGGATGTACTCATTTGGAATGAGTGACATGTGTTGGAGCCTGAATGGACTAAGAAAACAAGTGCCAACCAACTATGTGCATACTGCCAAAACAAACAATTTAGCACCACATTTCTGGAATCCCCAAAACTTTATTGAGAATACTACAAGCAAAATGAAGGAGATTGAAGAACCTCACCTCTGCACCGCCACTTTCCTTGAGAGTCTTTGACACAAGGGTAATTCCTCGAGATGTTGCATTTGCTTTAGCAAGGATGGACTGTGCTTCTCCTGTAAAAGAATGAAATGAAGAAGAATGAAAAAGTCCAAGGGACAAATGATAAATGGAAATCTAATCAACTAAAGGAACATCAACATCAAATTAACCACAACTTTGCACACTACTGGGACAAAATTATATCAGAATTGCAACTACCTTCTGCTGCTAATATTATAGCACTCTTCTTTCCGTCTGCAATGTTTATGTTTGCCTGTCTTTCTCCTGTGAAAGATCAGAAACATTAGTTTCTGCCAATGCATATTCTACCTACAAGTGTGACTCGAAATACTGCACTTAAAAGAAGCACACGAAAAGACAATGTCTTCATCTGTTTGCAACCCTTAAGGTTCACTACAGAATTTCACTTTGCACATATAATTGAACTATAAAACGAACATTGAGTTCCTTACCTTCAGACTCGAGAATTTGAGCTCTCTTTTTGCGTTCTGCTTCTGCTTGCATCTCCATAGCTTCCCTCACCGCACGAGGAGGAGTTATGTCCTCTAACAAGTATGAACAGTCAAGCATTTACGAAATGATAATACAATTTGATAAAAATAATAAAGAGTATCTGATGAAACACTAGTAAAAGGGGTCTCTTACTTATTTCATATCGGAGGCACTCCAAGCCCCATGCTGTAGCAGCCTTGTTGAGCCCTGTCTGCAAAATGATGCCCGCTCAAAATATTTCTTAACCTAATATGCTAACTTACAAAGAAAATAGAACTTAACTAAAGCTGATGCAACAACGTTTAAAGACAAGGGTACGCAAACTGAAGGCATGCCCCTCATCAGTCATTTGCTTATTACCAGAAATTTAACACAGAAATATCATCAAAATACAGGACAAAAGCTTCTTAGCAGAGACTCAAACCAAAACTATGGCTCTAAATAAGACGCCAGATTCTTAATCTTCATAGTTATCAGAAGCAAAAGGGAAGATAAACATACCACTATCTCGTCATTGAGGGATTCTCTTTCCTCAAATGTCTTGTCAAGAGTCATTTTCCCAATTGCAATACGCATAGTAGTCTGTGCAAGCTGAATAGCTGCATTGATAGGATTGTCAACGCCATAGGAGGCCAGCATAGGATCCATAATCTGCACCCACACAAGAGAAAACAAAGCTCCGTGTAACCCACTAAAGAAATATATATATACGAAGGCACACAAATCCGATTCAAGAATGTGATATTACCCTGATGTAAAGCACACCATCAATCATAAGGGCGACATTGTCTTTGGTGATAGCGGACTGGTCAGGAACATTGATGACCTCTTCTTTCAAGGAATGCACATAAGCGATTCTATCCACAAAGGGAATCAAGAAATGGATACCAGAATCCAGAGTCCTGACGTACTTCCCAAACCGCTCAATCACAAAGGCCTTCTTCTCAGGCACAATCCGAATGCCAAAATTCGTCGGAGGCGTAATCTCATAGTTTCTACACATAAAGATCCAAATTTCTCACTCAAATCGTATAAAAACCACCAACCCATAACTTGAAAAAGCACGCACACATAAAACCCAAAATAAATCTGCAAGTCATTTCATATTTCCAATAATCCACCAACCCAATACTTGTAAGAAGAAACACGTAGGAGTAGGAATTACCTGAGATCGCGACTGCTTCGGTAGTTCCGAACGGCAAGCAGATTGTGTGAGGGGGCAAACGGAGAGGAAGATGGAGGGGAAAGAAGTGGGTTCGACTGTCTGAGGATTAATGACGAACAGGTGGTGAGGGCTCTTACACCGGCAGATTGGGAATGGTGGAGATGCCTCAGAGCTCTCAACGAGTTGAGGGAATTGAGCTTAAACATATTCATATTGTTGGCTTTTCTCTTTATTTTTTTTCGGATTTCTCTGCTGCTAGTAAGAATTCAATGGGGGGTTTTACAAAGGCGAAGGGTTTTATGAAGCCCTCGTGGAGTCGTGGCCTTGTTCAAATCTCTCTCCTTATTTTCTTGCTCTCCAAGAAGAAGTACGGTATTTTTATTTTCTTTTCTTTAACTGATTGCGGTTTTACCTCAAAACTTCCTTGGCCAACACTAAAACTATTACCCGAAAATTACCAGTAACATTTTGTCCATTTTTTATGTCGGCTTCCCTTTGAAAAATAAAAAGAATGAAAATCAAAACTATATTTTGATAGGTTGATTAACAGTTGGCCACATCATATAATCTCATAGGATATTCGAGTTGCCCCAAAATTGGCTCTCAAAAACTTGTGGTAGGCCTAAGTTGGGTATCAACACAGCAATAAGAGTGATACTCTCGGATGAACTTGCGTCAATGGGTTTCATTTCAGGCCTAGTGGCAGGCAGCTCCTCTGGCTTACTTAGACCAATGGTGAATAGTGAGGCCCCCAACCCAAGAAGGCATGCGTAAAAAGAATTGCAATTGGCACCGGCAATTGATATTGCGTGTGACTTACAAAAATACATGAAGGAAATGAAGCACAGCAGCGCATGTTGCGAATAGGCTTTTACATTTGCAGTCTATTATACAAACACGACCATTAAAGGCCGCGACATCCAAACCTCAATCAAAAGACTAGTAATTATAGCTTCATTTGAAAGAAGCACAAGAATAACCAGTGCAAAGGGCGCCGGTGCTGTTGTAAGGGAACAGAGCAACCGGTCGACTCGGTGGCAACTCCGGGATTGGTCTCTCCATGCAAAGAAACTCCACCACTTGCTCCATACAAGGCCTCCCTTTGGTCACATTCAGTGTGCATAGCAACCCAATTTGCATAACTCTAATTGCTTGCTCCAAGTTTATCACTGTGCCCATCCTCTTATCCACTACCCTCGCCATTTCATCTATCTCGTGCATTCTCCATGCAAAGTCCAGCAAGTCCCTCTCCTCCAATTGCCCCAACTCTGCCTCCAGTCTCTGCCTCCCACCAACCACTTCCAACACAAACAACCCAAATTCAAACACATCCGCGCTTTGGCTCACTGCTGACTCGAACCTTTTTGATTCTGCACCACATAGCACAAACCCAAAGTCCCCAAGGACTGCGCGGAAACTAATATCAAGAAAGACGCTAGTTGTTTTCAAGTTCTTGTGGGATAATTGATTGGAGTGCAAGAAACTGAGGGCCTCAGCCACATCTTTCACAACCTTGAACCGCCGAGTCCACGGAAGAACACCCACCCCAAATAGCCATTTGTCAAGGCTCCCATTGGGGAAAAACTCATACACAACCATGGTTTCTTTCTGATCTTGACACCACCCTCGGATCGGAACCAAATTTGGATGCCTAACCCGGCTAATGCCCTTTATTTCCTTCAAAAACCTTCGCCTATCAAATCCTTGAGAGTGCAAAAACTGAAAAGAAAACCGCTTCACAGCCACTTGACATCCATTCAAAAGCTTTCCTCTATAGTACACACCTCTCGAGCCGCTACCCAGAAATTCATACTCGCTGAAGGATAGAGTAGCCAAGGAAAGCTCGGAGATTGTGAAGCATCGGGGCTTGTTGGGGGGCCTTGGTCTCTGCTTCTTCTCCGGCAGCACAATGGAAGTGTCTGATATTTCTGTACTTTTGCGCCCGCTGTTGTAGTATAGGCTAAGCACAACAGCCAGAACCAAAACCAGCACAGCAACAAAGATTAAGAATGTGCCTGGAGGCTCAGCGCTCGTGGTACCTGCTCTGCCATGTACAATGATGTTACTCTCGCATGTTTCCACTGAAGGCATCCAAAGAAAAGCTCGGCTAGTGGAGCTGAAATTCCAAGAGAGGACGCTGTGAATTTGGGTATGGTTGCCAGTGGAAGCTGAGAATCCGACGAACATGTACTCGTTGAGAAAGGGTGAGAGATCAAGAGGGCCAGAGAAGATCGGCTTTGATGGAGGACTGTCTTTGCTGCCGCCGTCTGATCCTAAATGAATTTCCATCCAACGGCGTGAGCCGTCGTAGCCAATCCAAGCTCGGTGGACTGAACCATCGTCGAGAAAGACACCAACATCGGAAGCGTTGATTGTTTTGGTGGAGACGATCGTGCCGAGGTTGATTCCTACATGGTTGTCATTGGGGTCTCCGAACTCAGGATTAAGACGCGTGTCGAACTCGACTGCTATTGCCTTGTAATCATCCTGACAAGCGTCGTTGAGCATGCCCAGCCACGGGCCAGGCCTGCCAATGGTGAACTCGTCAGGGACAATGATGAAGGTGAGGCCACTGCCACCATGATCAGAAGAATTAGCACTGAAATTGGAAGAAGAAGAAGAAGAAGAAGAAGAAGAAGCGTTGTGGAATTGAAAAGAGAAGGTTGTTTGGAAAGAAGCAGGGGACTGGGTGTGAGGGTCAAGGAGACGGATGGGAGAAGAGTAGAGGGCTCTGCCTGCTTGGTGTCTGAGATGATCAATATCATTGCCGTTGCCGTGGGGTGGATCATGATCATCAGGGATTTGGATGGCTGATGATGCGGAGAACTTGGCACTGCCAAGAAGCTTTACATCTTCTAAAACTCGGGGGTTATTGGAGAAGCTGAAATCTGGGAAAGAGAGATGCTTGGTGACGTTAACCAGTGGTCCATGTATACGGTGCTTGTTGTCACTACCTGAATGAACTATAACTGTGTGTTCCATAAACACCAAGCATATGAACCAGATGAAGCCATAGTTGTGGTTGCAGCAACCCATTCATATATTTTGAAGATTTGAAATGCTTTGATAATGGAAGGAGGTGGGGTGGGGGTTCCTATAGAGAAACAAGATTTGGACGGCTACAGAAACTACTTGTACTAGTTGGGATAAATACGTAATGATATTGGACAAGTAGTTCTGTAGCTTTGTTTGATTAAAATCTGCAATTAGTTAGTTATGATTGAGAATCAAGTCGACAATAGAAAGAAATAGTGGCCACATATAAAGGTAAGATGGGACAGCAGGCAAGTTAGAGATAATTTTTTGATTACAACATCCTGAACTGAAGCTGAAGAAGAGGAATGATGAATCATTTGTTACCAATCATATTATATGACATATTCTGAGTCTCTCATAATAGTCATGCAACAAGTCATGGACGATGGAGATGGGTTTTGGGTCCGTGCCATGTCCCTATACTCTTTTTGCTCTCCCCACTGAGTCTTCATTGGACCACCAGTTTGTGGTTTTTTCTTCTTTTTCATTGGCTCTTGTTGGGCTGTTGTCGACCACCAGACCAGACCATATCCACAGCATTATATCAAACTCAGATATTCAATTCTTACCCGCAAGGTATCATGTGTATTATCAATGATTCGACCCTTCAATAAAACACTCTCAAATACCAAAAACATGAACATGAAGAAAGAATGTCATTCTAGATAGGGCTGGGCCAACCGCGGGGTGAAACCATGGAAGCCCAATATCGATCTAGGGTAGATCAATTTTTCGTGTTTCTTGTTGCCCCGTTCCACTTCCTTCTTTTCCCTTCTTAACCTGTTATACTTGTTCTAAATCTGTGTTAAATATGTAAACCATACAAGTATTATAATTGTGAATCGCAAAACCGAGCATCGAGACATCACATAATTAAGCGGTAGGCACAAAATTTGTTCCCCCATATATATAAGGTCTAACAGAAAATCAAAAATCTAATGAAAAATTACTTTTAACACAAAATTATCGATCAGACGTCAAACAACCTTATAAATGATGCCAACTCCAACAAAAGGATAACTTCAGTTCCATGAGGAAATTAAACTACGTTCGGAAACTAAAACAAAACAGACACAGTTCATTCTTCTTCAAGGATGGTTCCCTTCTCGCTAACATAGATACCATCAAGAAACTTCCTGATATCCTTGTTCTTCACATGGCATTTCTGTCAAAAGATCAAATAAACAAAATTAAGGCTTCAGCATATGCAACTACCATGTTAAAAGCAACAACAATAATACAAGTGTCTCCGAGCATTTGTAGAGAAAGAGAGAAATTGATATGAGTCATACATAGAGAGGGAGAGAGAGAGAGAGAGATAAGAAAATATAGACCTGGTTGATCAGAGCACATGACCGAGAAACAAGCTCAATATCATTTCCGTCCAATATCAGCTCATCCTTCACCTTTTCAGATCGGAGGATAGAAACCCCATCAAGCATATCCACCTTTCTCACCTGATTGAGCAAACACATAGTTCATCAAGACCCACACACTAGAAATCTTTGTTAGTTAGATTAAACAAAATTGTGCCATATTATTGGCTCACAGGACAAAACATTTTAACCTAACCAATGACTCATTCTTTAGCAATTCATAACTGCAAACAGCACAACATTCTAATTTCTCATCATAACCATGCCATTCAGGTTTCTGAGCTCAAGCAAGAGCTTGAACACAGGCCTTTTTCACATGCCCATATATTTGCATGAAATCATTTCCAATACCTAATTGCATTTTATGAGGTCAAAAGCTACACAGATTCCAGATAAAAAGAAATGGTATCATCTTTCTTGAACATAAAAATTAGAGCATATGGGACATATGATAAACACAGAAAATAAAGTGATTATACGGAGGACAAATCTTGACCAAAAAAAAGGAGGACAAATGACTATTCTATTTGAAAATATTTCTTCCACAATAATAGTCCACATGCTAATGAACTCTGTTTCTCTTAGAAAACTAGAACATAACTGACAACGTTAAACAGCATATGTCAGTAAGGTCTAAAATATCTAAAGACTAAGCACAGACATGTAGTCGGGCTAACCAGATAACCATAGACTACAAGTATGCTTTCACTAAATTCAAACGGAAAGTTTAAGAAATTCCAAAACATCAGTACAAAAGGATTAACAAATCTCATCAGTACAAAAGAAACAGTTGTAAGAATCTATCAAACAAACAAAAACACCAAAATGCACAAGAAACATTTATCACAAATGACCCAGATACAAAAAACGCAAAACAAAACAAAGCAAAGCCAGCTAAAATCTGGGAAAAGGGTACCTTCTTTTCACCCAAAAAGTTACGGATCTCGATCGACTTGGCTGCGTTAGTGATGGAAGCATTGATGGGAAAATGGGCATATACAAAACGCATCTTGTAGCGGTAGCCCTTGGTGACACCAGTGATGAGATTCTCAACATGGGAGAGGGCAGTGCGAATGGCTGCGCTGGTTTTGCGTGAGCCAAACCAGGCATCGATCTTGAGCTTTCGCTTGCCGGTTTCCTCATCCTTGATGAGCTGAAAGTCCAAGTTCAAATGCTTGAAGTTACGAACAAGCTTGCCACGAGGACCTTCGACCTCTATGATCTTGGCATGGACCTTGATTTTGACCCCATCTGGGATGTCCATGGTCTCGGAGGACAGAATGGTCTTCATCTCCGCTACCTCTCTTTCTCTCTCTCTGCGGCTTTGGTGTGTAAATGAATGATTTGGGAGAGACAACAAACCCTAATGTGTTATGTATGCTTTATATAATACGATCGATGTTAAACCCTAAAACCCAATTTATAAAGGCCGGGCCGTTCGTAGCCGAAAGAATGGAGCCCAATATAAATCTGGGCTTGATCAGACGTAGCAAAAATGAAAATGTTTCTTGGGCTTCGAGTGGCCTGTTTTTATCGCAAATAATCCTTGAGGTTCACGAAATTATTATATTTCTTCCTTAAACTTTTGTTGTGACATTAAAAGTCCGTAACATTACCCTCTTCCTTTTATTCTTAATTTTAACCTAATTGTTATAAATGTGTAAGAAGCTTGAGACAACAAAAGTGAGTTACATATCGTATCAAATCAGATAATGGGTGGGTACCAGTCATTTTATGATGAGAGAATTTCAACCATTTGATAACAATTCAACTTCAACCCTATATTCTCTTGGAGAGAGGGAGAGTAGAGGGGGAGAGAACAACTAGAAGGTGGGGTGGGGGTGAGTTACGAGTGGGGATGGGGTGGTCAAGTTAATGAGTCCGCCCTTTACACACAAATTAGGCTCCCCTCATTAATTTAGAGAAATTTTATATTCAAAAATAATAATAATGCATTGTTAATTCGAATCATATAACCAATTAAAAAGATTAATAAGAGTCCATAATAATCCCTTGACACCTCTATATTGAATTTGAAGTGATCATGAAAAGTTGGTGGGGGAGTTTGTTTGAACCTCCAACATGGGTTTGTTTCAAATTCCTTCCCCACGTTGTTCTAAAAAACAATCAGAGTTTCTAATGGCTGAGATTAATTGCACATATTTGGTCAAATGAGAATTTTAATCAAAGGAGAAAACAAATGCAGAGGAATAGAGATAATTTGGGTAGTAAAGTACCATGAAATTGCCACGTATCATATTTATTCATTAATTAAGATTTGATTTTGTTTTTTCACTAAATACATAAAGAGTTTTTTCAACTACTACTTAGTTACGTGACGATGTTAAAAGCAAACCAGGTACAAAGATGATGATCAAAAGTTCAAAACAGATCTCTTATCTTTCGTGGTTGTTTATAGCAAGCAACACACAGTTTCAGAGGAAGTCAGTTTGGTGAAAGGCGCCGCACAGAGTTTGAGTCTTGAGATATGAAAGGGCAGGGCAGTGAGCAGAGTGGCATGGCAGTGAGGCAGAGTAGTGGCTGACACAGAGAGGTTCCTAACGACGAATATATGGCATCTGTAGCCATCTGTGCCCCATTGGATTTTCTATTTCTAATGCGCACTTGCATTCATTTCTCTTATTTCTCTCTTTGGCTCTAGGTGTTTTCGGAATCATAACATACTACAAATTAATTAGAAATCCCACTGCAGTTCGAGAGAGAAAGAGAGAGATGGATATGGGTTTGTTGAAAAAATGGTTTAAGTGGTCAGAGTTGGTGCTGGCCATGTTGATGGTGCAGATATTTGTTACTGGGATGCAATTGCTTTCCAAAGTGATATTGAGTGAGGGAACCTTCATTTTTGCACTCATGGCCTACCGTCATATCGTTGCTGCCATTTGTGTTGCTCCTTTTGCCTTCTTTTTCGAAAGGTTTAATATTCTTTGCTTCACATTCTTCTCGTGATGTTTTCTCATCTTTTCCATGTTTTAACTGTTTTCTTTTTTGGTGGCATTGTTGCAGCAGTGTTAAACAAATCAAGTTGGGTTGGTCAGTTTGGTTCTGGCTCTTTGTCAATGCCTTAACAGGGTAAGCCGTGTTTGGTTTGGTTGGTTTCACATCATGTTTGACATATTTTGCTATCTCGACGCACTTTAAAGATTATTGCAAATCTAATCTGCTTTTCATGCATTTTGTTTTCTACTTTTATACGAATTTTGTTTTCTACTTTTATACGAAAGTGGCATTTTAAATATATAGAAAATAATAAAAATGCAGGATCACATCTGCGATGGGATTGTTTTACTATGGCCTCCGAGACACCACGCCTACATATGCTACAAACTTCCTCAACTTAATTCCGATAGCAACGTTTGTGCTCTCCATCATCACTCGGTAAACTTATCTGAGACATCCCTCAACTGAAGCTTTGCATGTGTGTGTATATATAGAGAAAATGTTGTTAGATGTTTCTTTTGCTTCTGTTTTGAATTGTTGCTTGCAGCATAGATAAATTGAACCTGCAAACCAGAGCAGGCAAAGTCAAGACTTTGGGGGTAATTGTATGCGTTGGGGGGACCCTCACTGCTAGCCTTTACAAGGGAAAGGAATTTTATATGCGCCAGTACAGCCATCATTCTCATATCACTGTCAACACAACTTATGCTCACTGGACACGTGGCACTATCATGTTGGCCGGTAGCTGCCTGTCCTGTTCTACATGGTTCATAGTGCAAGTATGTAATTCTTTTTTGCAAACCATTTGATTAAGCAGGAAATGTAGCCCGCCATGGTCTAGGATATGGTTTCTGTAACTGATGCTGGTAAACGTTCTTCTTGTTTCTCATGAACAGACTAAATTGCTCAAAATATTTCCACTCAAATATTGGGCAACAATGTTAACGTGCATTATGGCAACCCTGCAATCAACAGTCATAGGCCTATTTTTAGACAGACGGGCGGCTTCGTGGAGGTTAGGGTGGAATTTGCAGCTAGTTACGATAATTTATTCGGTAAGCTTAATTACAGACCATTAAGCACTACTTCTTCCTTGATGTGTAAATTTTAACTGATATCCAGTGGTCAAGACTGAAAAGGTTTGTTTTTTCTTTGAACTCTAGGATAAATTATGTGCAAGCTAGTGAATGAATTGATTGTAATTGTTGTATAGGGAGCGCTAACCACAGCTGCAACGTTCTGCTTAATTTCATGGGCCATCTCAGTCCAAGGACCTCTCTATCCTCCCATGTTCAACCCATTGTCTCTAATTTTTGTTGCCTTATCATCAGCTCTCATACTTGGCGAAGAGATCAGAATCGGAACGTACGAGTTTTATACTTTGCTAAGTATTTACTGTATGTATATTTCTTACATTATGCTGCAAATATCAATCCAAACTTAATTATTTACTTTGCTTGGACTCAAATTTCTGCAGTTTGCTGGGCATGATTCTGATCATGTTTGGATTGTACTCCTTCTTGTGGGGTAAAAGAAAGGAAATGAAAAGCCCAGATTTGCCAAAATCAGAAGCTCCGGGAGTAGCGAAAACAAATGGCGAGCTGCCCGCAGCCACAGGTTTGCAACTGTCACCCGGGTGCTGATTGCACTGCTAATGTTGAAGATGGTTGCGAGGAAAGCCATTTCGCAGAAAAAGTTCACATCACAGTAAGCAAAGAACTAGTTCTAAACAAAGTCGAAGGCTTTTTTTTTTGTTTCAATCATTATGTACTTCAAAGGTTGTTCAGACTGTATCTTGCTTTCAGAAAACAAATTTAATTAGAACATAAACTGAGAAAAGCTTCCCTAACAATTTCATGAACCTCTGATGGGTTAAGAGCAACATAACAGTAAACTAACTCTTCCATATCATTCCAATCACAAACACCCTCGTACCGGATCATCTCTAGTATTGATTCCCTCATATCAAAAATTGGGTCTGTGCTGTACTTGACCAAGCATGCACTGCCTGCAAAAACACCACAAACATCATCAGGCAAGCTGGCTGAGAGGCTGACTCTGTTTCTCCACCTCTGCTTCTCTTTCTTCTCTCTCTTCTTGTTATGTTCCTCGGTGACATCCATGGCTCCTGCCTGCAAAACACAACACAATGCTTTGCATGAAGAAATTAAGTAGCTAGCTTGAATTTGTAGTAGCATTATTCAGCCATTGAAAGACATGAATGCATGCGAGCCTGCTTCTTGTGAATATAGGCGGGTGCCAAAGGAAAATTCATGTGAAGAATTTAAAAGCACACACGGTGTCAGTCAGTGAGTCATTAATGGGTCGGATCAGAGATTTAACGTTGTCCAAATTGCATGGGCTTCGACCCGCCATCATACTAGCCCAAGCTTCCCCTTACTTTCGCAAAACTTTTTAGTTTTTATCATACATCAAAATGTAACTCATTCTCAACTTTCTGCTGCCAACCCATTTGTTTTGTTGCGATGATGAGTCTCTAAATGTCACACACCTGACGCCATGGCCAAAAGCTGATGGCAACTTGCACGCCTAGTTAAACCAACCCCTCATGGGTCCGTGGGGGCAATGGGGCATGGCGTGAAAGGTCCTTTCTCTGTCCGTGGGGTTCTTTCACGCCAGTTAAGCAAGATACAGTCTGTCGACTTTGAAGTACATAATGATACCAAAAAAAAAGCCTTTGACTTTGTTTGCCAATTTTGTTTAGAACTAGTTCTCTGCTTACTGTGATGTGAACTTTATCTGGGAAATGGCTTTTCTCACAACCACCTTGCAGTTGCAACCCTGTGGCTGCGGGCAGCTCACCATTTGTTTTTGCTACTCCCGGAGCTTCTGATTTTAGCAAATCTGGGCTTTTCATTTCCTTTCTTTTACCCCACAAGGAGTTGAGTACAATCCAAACATGATTTTAAAAAAAAATTGCCCAGCAAACTGCAGAAATTCGAGTCCAGGCAAAATAAATAATTAAGTTTGGATTGATATTTGCAGCATAATGTAAGAAATATACATACAGTAAATACTTAGCAAAGTATAAAACTCGCACCTTCCGATTCTGATCTCTTCGCCAAGTATGAGAGCTGATGATAATAAGGCAACAAAAATTAGAGACAATGGGTTGAACATGGGAGGATGGAGAGGTCCTTGGACTGAGATGTGTTAGCGAGTCCTTACTATGTTAGGATTTTGGTTCCTTATTATGTTAGGATTTTGGTTACTTACTCTCATAGATCTATGGGGTCAATGGGGCATGGCGTCTGTAGAAATGTCTTCATCCATCCATCTCCGAAACTGATAGGTCCTTTCACTGTCCTCACTCTCTCATCTCACGTATCCAATCCAATTGTTTATGCTTCACATTTGGAATTATACGTCTGACTTTGCACAATATAATTGAATACAGATAATTTTCATTCCAAAGCCAAACATGCCAATCTCATCCATCACTGACGTGTAGTGATGAATAGTTATGCCTCCCACTCCATGTCCATATGTAAACAAATAATTAATCAAACATTTCTCAACTTCCTTTTGGGGCCACCACCTAAATTTGGCGATTATAAGTCATAACTTTGGGAATTAACAACCATCATTTATAGCCGATCTTTCAAAAGATATTTTACTAGGATTATGTCGAGGACATATGAAAATTAAATACTACTCTGTTCGCTTTCTAGAATCTAGAGTGTAAAACACACGCTAGATAAGGCCGAATCGAAGTTGTTTTTATTCATCCACGACTACGACAATGTTTGATTTGAGATAGATAAACGAGACAACAAAAGATCACAATCTCTCTCAATGATTCGTTTATTCTGTAAGGTGTGGCCAAGATCGAATGCTTGCGGCATCTAATTTAATAGTTTTGCACAATGCTAGGAGGACCAAGCGGAACAAGAGAATGAAAAACTGAAAGTAGCCTTTTTCGATTCGATATTGCTATATTCATGGTAAACGTTAACTCAGGCACATTATTTGTGCTTGGATCTTATCACCCTACCACACCCATTTTATTTAGAAAAATCCCGATTTAGGCGTGTGCATATTACACGCCTTGAATGCACGTCGGTGATTATGGCTGCCGGCCGGTTGATAGTAAATCACAGTTTCCAACTTATTATTAATAAACGGTGTCTGTAATGAGTCGGATTAACCATTTATGCGCTCATGGCAACAAGCGCGGTTTTGTAGCAATAATTAGCCAATACAAATCGTCAATCCATATCCAAAAGCTTTCCTCCTCCTCATCATCAACACCCTTTTCCAACTGTCGGCTGAGGGAGAGGATGAAAATTATGTGGACCCCCCTATTTGTCAACCTTGCCTTGCCTACGTAATTACCGAGATATTCGACCTTTTATTCTCCCTGTTTTAATAATAATAAAGGTGATTAAAAAGGGCAGTCGCAAAATTTACAATAAGAAAAGGAACTTAGTTTAAAATAGGGATTTTTGTAGAAATGTCACCTGAACTTATACATCAGTTTCAATTTGTCACCTTAAAAAAAAATTTAAGTGAAATGTCACCTTAAGTTTTCAAAATCCATTATTTGTCACCTGACTTTAACGTCATCCAATTTTCCATCCATTTTTAAAGGGTATTTTAGTCCTTCCAATATGTAAACCCTCTTTATTTATTTATTTATTTTTTAAAATGATTTAAATATAAAGCTATGTAAACCCTCTTTGAAGCTCATTTTTTGGTGAAGAAAAAGGAGTTAAAACCCCAAAAGCAAGACTTTTAACACTCAAATTTTATGGTTTCAATTTTTTTTAGGGAAATAATCATAGGTACTAATTCAAATTTGAGAAAGAAATTTATAAAAGACATTATCTGGAAATTGATATACAAAACAAAAGTAGCAAAAATGAGTTCACAAAATAGGTTCAAAACGTGACCAAGTCTACAACTTGTATCGAGGCCACAAAGCTACAGCACTTCAAAACATAATCCCAATTTTTATCTGTTTGTAAAATAAACTTTGCATGGTACCGAGACCAATTAAACCTAAGTGCTTTATGGTTTCCATACGTTATTCTTCTTGGCATAAGACTTGGTATTGGTTTTCATTGTGCTTGCTCTTGTAGAAGAAGAACTTGGGTTTGAGACTTGTGCATTGGATTCAAACATATTTCGTGCAGATTGTATTCCTCTTGGTACAGAGTGCGCTTGATTTGCTGAGGTTTCACTTGTCCTATTTCGTCCATTTGTCTGTGACTGTTGTTGGCTTGGATTTGCTGAAGTTTGCCCTCTTAGATCACCTTCTCCATTCACCTGTACCAAATCAAATTTCATTGCTAACTTCTTAACATTTAATGAAATAAAAATAAAACATAAAATCTCATTATCTTTATACTTGAGCTCTTTTTGCTTGCTTCCTCCTTTCACAAGTAGTAGCATTATGGCCTTCTTGGCCACACTTGCTGCAGTTGATCTTGATTAAGCATCTTCGAATTTTGTTTGGATTTGAAGGAGGTCGAACCTCATCTGGCTCCCTACATCTGAGCATCCTTGGTCTCCCAGCTTGCTTGTGATACTTAGGGGGTCTAATAGGCTGATGGTTTGTCACTGGCCAATATTCTTCACCAGCCATTGGGTTGATATAAGGCTTGTAGGCTCTTAAGAATGCTGGTTTCTTGTAACAAGAGTGAACATAGTTGTATGGATCCTCTTCTCTTCTGTATATTGCAGAAATGCCATGAGAACAAGGAATTCCAGTGAGATCCCACCTCCTACATGAACAAGTGTGGGCTGTCAAATCCACCACAAACTGTGCCCCACTAATATGCCTCACTTGATACTTCTTGTCACCAGCAAGACAAGGAATGCAAGAACCACTTTCTAATTTGTTTTTCTCAACAATTTTAAACACTCTAGGGCCAACATCACAAGTCCACTTATCTGCAGTCTCTCTCATTCTTGCCATTCTCACCATCAGATATGTCCTAATCCTCTCCATCATAGTCAATATTGGTTTATCTCTTGCACTTAATATTACACTGTTAAAAGACTCACACATATTATTCAACAAGATATCACATTTTGATGTAGTCCTAAAATGGGATCTACTCCAATGCTTTGCAGGCTTGTCATCAAACCATCCTATTGCTCTTCCATCTTCAATTTCCATCCTAGTCATATGTGCTTTAAACCCAGGAATGGTGGTTGCCCTTGCTGCTTCCCAAAGTATTTGCTTAAGTGCCATTCCATTGTGACCTTTCTTGAAATTATTATACAAGTGTCGAACACAATGCCTGTGTTCAACACTAGGAACAAGGTCTTCAACAGCTCTCAGTAGACCTTTCTGCTTGTCTGACATAATGACCCAAGAAAGCCCATTATCAATCCTCAAATCATTGATGAGTATCTCTAGGAACCAAGTCCACGTGCACCTATTTTCTATTTCAACAATGGCATACGCTATTAGATACATGCCATTATTGGCATCTATCCCAATAGCACAAAGTAATTGCCCAGGATGTGGACCTTTAATGTGGCATCCATCTAACCCAACAACTGGCCTACAACCCTGTATGAAGCCCTTCTTAAGAGCTGCAAAACACACATACATTCTCTGAAAAATAGGTTTTCCACCTTCCATCTCTGTCTTGATAACAATTGTACTGCCAGGGTTTGTTCTCTTTAACTCCTCACAATAATCCCATAACCTTCCATATTGCTCCTCATAAGTCCCATCAATCTTAGCAGCCACCAAACTTTTTGCTCTATATATTTGGTTCTTTGTGATATTCAAATTGTATTGTTTACGCACAGCTTCTTGGAATTTTGGCACTTCCCATTTAGGATTATCAATCAACTCTTCAGTGTACCTATGTGACAACCAAGTAGATGTGCATAGTTTGATTTTTTTCCGCCCTCGGGCATGTGTGCAAATCAGTAAGTGTCTTTACCATAAGAGTAGAACTCTCATCCACCTTAGATGCATAAATCACCCAAGGACATGGCTTTTTGCACTTAGCTTGAACTTTGAAACTCTCTCTTAGTGTGAATCTAATATCTTTTCCATTAACACAAGCATAATATCTTACTGCCTGTTTAAACTCATTCCTATTAGCAAACATCATGCCTAACCTAAACTGTGGATTCTTCATATCCATATCACTCCTAAATTGAGTGAAGTTAGGCAACTTCCTCTTTCGTGTACCACCATTTTCTTCACCCTCAGAATCTTCTTCACCACCACTCTTAAATTCATATGAATTTTCAGACTCTGTTTCAACATCCCCGAACTCCAAATTTGGGAAGGCTGCAACACTACTTGAGACATTAACATTGCCTCCTTCATTGACACATTTCTCTACAATGTCATCAAAAAGAATATCATCCTCAGCATCACTTTGCTCATAGTCAGAATCTTCATATTCAGAATCCTCATCTTCTACACCTACATCAACTTTTGGTTCTTCTTGACTGAGGCTTGACTCCACACAATTATTGATTGCAACTTGACTCTCAATATTTGGGACAAAGTTGTCATCAACTATGTACACAATTGCCACTCTATTTGGGGGCAATATAGTAACTAAAGCCCAAAAATCAGAGTCATTCTTCAATTCCCTACATTCCCCTCCATTTGGTAATCTATAATAATATGTTGACGTCTTGCTGTACCCTAAACTCTCAGCACAATTCTCAATATCCCATTTTGACATCAAATCTTGATTTAAATTATCATACCAAGCCACATGCCCAGCAACATACTTCAAGTTCCCATCCCATTGCTCTATAAAGTGACCCCCATGGTGAATAAATAAATCACAATCACCTACACAAACATTCAAATTAACATTTATAAAATATAACAGTTGCAGCCGATACATCCCCACACAACATAGTAATATAGTAATTGACTTGCAAAAGGACAATACACGTTAACCCAAAGCACAAAAACAAAGCAATAGCATATAAATAAAGCCAAAGAACATAAAGAAAGAAAAAAGGATCCCATGAATCAAATCTCCCGTTGTCATATAAAAAGCAAAAACTTCAGAGATTCCCAAGTAGAAAGCAAAAGCTTTACCGTAGTTTGGAGGGTTCCCAGTGACTCTGTAGCGTAGAGCAGCCATCAATCCCAATGTCGCTGACAACTTGCACTTAAAAAAAATTTTGAAACCCTAAAGTCTAACTGTTGTTTAGGCATAAAAGTACTATTCTTTTTTTTTTTTTTTTTTTTTTTTTTTTTGTGTGAAAAAAAGATTCACAGAGGTTTATATATTGGAAAGACTAAAATATCCTTTTAAATGGATGGAAAATTGGATGACGTTAAATTCTGGTGACAAATCATGAATTTTGAAAACTTGAGGTGACATTTCACTTAAAAATTTTTTAAGGTGACAAATTGAAATTGATGTATAAGTTCAGGTGACATTTCTACAAAAATCCCTTTAAAATAAAGAAATAAACATGTTTTTTTAGGGGTAACAATGAAGAAAGAAACTTGAAACGTGAAAAGAGCGCAAGAGGCAGAAGAGGCCGCGTTGGTTATAGGCAAAGAAGGAACCTTTGGCAAGTCTTGGGGAAGAAGACTCAAATTGCAAAACGCGAATAATGCGCGCAAGATTTAGTATTTTGGGGGTGCCCTAGGAAATATGCCATTTGCCCCATTTGCAAATTGCAACTTCTATACATAGAGAAGAGAGGAGAGAGTTATGGCCATGGCCATGTAAGACTCTAAATATTATTCAAAACACGTTCTACATAACTGCTGTTTTGATAAAGACAACAAAAATGAGGTTGGCCTTTCACAACACAACCCACAACCCACAACAAGTTGAAGAAGGTGGTTGTGGCGGTGGTCTTTCTTCGTATTCTTCTCTTTGAGAGGTCGAGGATCACTCCCCACTACCGGGATTTCTGTTAACTTTCCCTTTTCTCCCCCAAAACAACGTCGTCCCCAATATTTATTTTCTCCTTTCTCTTTCGAATGCAATCGGGTCAGAATCCGTCTAAGAAAAAGCAGTTTTTCTGTTGCATTGGACCACCAGACCATCATCATTCGGCTATCAGAGCCCATTGTTTTTTGTTTTGTTTTCACCAGGCAGGCGAACTGTTTAGCATTTTAATATTCTGGGTGCTGGTGATATTGTTGTGTGCAAATATTATATTATATATATATATATATATTTTAGTTGAAAGGTGGGTGCTTATTGGTGAGGAACAGACAAGACAGCATGACTAAAATGAAGAGCAGGGTATCACGAATTGGAAGCTATGCAATTGCATCTTCCAAAAGAGACGGCCACCATCAACAGCCTTGCATTACGTGCACCACTTTCAACATCCTCGCTCCAATCTACAAGCGCCTCAACCATGACGTACGTATGCTATTCATTCTTGTTCATTTCGCAACAATCATAAAGGTTTCATTTTTGAGTTTCATTGTAAAGCTTCGATATTTGATGCTGTGTTCTATCATTTGTTAATGGGTATTGTTGATTTTGCATAACCATTGTTCATTATTCATACATGTAAGTATATATAGTGAAAAGCTTCTCCTTTTTGATTTTATAGTCCATAATTTCTGATGGGTAATCTTAATTTGGCCTCAAGCCTCATTTATTTTATGCCATGATAAAAAGTCTCCTCTTGCTTCTGTTTTAAAATCAATTTTTATAATGGGTAATCTCATTTTCAATTCTTTTTATTCATTTGTTATAAATTCAGGACCCCAATTGTCGAGAAAGTGATTACAGAGCGTATTGGCTGGCCAGGAATCAAAGGATATTGGATTGTTGTTGGCGGAGAGATCTTCCATCATTTGTCTTCAGGTTTGCATTTTAAACTTATTAACGGATTAGGATACAATTTGTGATGGCGTAATGCTAATATGGTGCTTATTCTCTCTGTCTTTGGTGCACGGATTGGCACAGGAGTTCTGGGTAGGAAATGAAGAGCTAGTGAAGATTTATGAGAAGAGACTTGGTGATGCTGGTTATGTCAACTTTCAGCTAGCACGGACCAACAACCGTGGCGATGGTACTGACTTCTTCATTGTGCATATAAAGAAAAATCTCTTCTTTTTTTGGGTATTAAGGAAACTGTTCATCCTATATTTATTGATCTTGACCCCCGCCCAGAAAATGAAAAAGGGAAAAGTTTCTGAGAAATCTGCCAAATGAAGAGATGCGGTATGAAAGTACCACCTTTGATTTAGTTAGACAGAGAATTGATTACAACATATAACTTCTGATTCAGGGTGATCCTTAAGCTGACTCTTGTGTTCTCCAGTAGCCATTTAAGCTTTGTCAGAATTTCCTTCTTATGTCAGTCCTAAATAATTGTTTATGACTTGAATTTGAAGCACAGACACAATATACATCATGATTCATAAGGGTTTCTGCTGGTGTACAGGTTTGCTGACTGCGGTGCATAAGGACTACTTTAGAGTTGTAAACTATCAGGAGATTCTATTCAATGATTGCGGTGATCGTGTTGCTCAGTTGTTACATGTGGAATTAGCTACCCCAATTTCACAGTTTCGAAACAATGATATTAGGCAGGATATCCTCATTGTGAACACCCACTTGTTATTTCCTCACGACTCCAGTTTGTGTATAGTTCGATTGCTCAGGTAACTTCATTTTCTTTTGCATAAACATTTGTTAGTTATTACCTATTACTAACCTAATGGTATTATCCTCTGACAACATCTTGTCTATTTCGAATCACAGGTCTACAGAATCTTACAATACGTAGAGTCTTATCAAAAAGAGAACAAGCTTAATCCCATGCCCATCATACTCTGCGGGTATTTCTAATGCCTTATTATTTCTGAGATTTTTTCCCAATTTTCAAATTAGATTCATTTGTAACCTTTTGTTGCAATCTATTCTTGCTTCAGTGACTGGAATGGAAGCAAACGTGGACATGTTTACAAGTTTCTTAGGTCCCAAGGGTTTGTATCTTCTTATGATACTGCTCATCATTACACCGATGCAGATGCACACAAGGTCAATATCTTCAACTTTACACCAATAGTTTCGTTTCCATATGCCTGTAACTCATGTCTTTCATGTTTTTCATACAGTGGGTTAGCCACCGAAACCACAGGGGAAACATATGTGGCGTTGATTTTATATGGCTTCTCAATCCTAATAGTTACCGCAAATTACTAAAAACAAGTTGGAGTGAGGCAGTATTTGGGATGTTCAAGGTCAGCAATACATATTACACCTTTTTTAGTTGCATTGCCGTAAGACCTTTCTCAGATGTAGTTGCATGAAGTTATATACTTTCAAATGTTGTGTTCCTTTAAACCAACCTTTCTTTCAGTCTCTGATGGGAGAGAATTTTCGCATTTTCAGTATCTACTACGAAAAGCTTCCCTGACAGAAGATGATGCCTTTGCCTTTTTGAAGGCTGATAATCCTGGTGATTACATTACCTATTCAGGTTTCTGTGAAGCACTTCGACAGGTGTGATATTAATTGAAACAAATATTTTTTTTTCTCTCTCTCTTTTCACTCTTGTTCTGAACAGAATCTCTGCCTGTTAGTAAATATGCCAACTGGTTCTTGTTATATTACGCAGCTTAATATGACTGGTCATTGCCATGGACTTAGCCTTGAAGAGACCAAGGACTTGTGGGTCCAAGCAGACATAGATGGAAATGGTATTCTTGATTACGCAGAATTTCAGGTACATTATCTTCACCAACTATTTCTCATTACAATTACTCTTCTATACACCACCAAGATACTTGTAAAATTGCATGTAGACTTTAAGCACCACCATTAGCAGTGCGGGGAGTTTAAGCCTATATGTAGGAAAAGGCTTTTGCTTCCTGGTGCCAGTGGGCTTAGTTTGTTCACCTAAGTGGGTTCTTCTGCGATTTGGTTCTAACAATTCAGCAATTTAAATCTATTTTGACACCATTAGACAGTTTCTTCGTTACATTTTGTAATGTTTATGTTACTACTATTGGCATTGCAGCAACGAATTTGGAATCCTACGGGATCAGAGCAGAGAGATGAAAGTGGTAATGACAGTGATAGTGGTTCCAAGGGAAATCAGGAACAAACAATTGGTTTCAGTGTCAAAAATGCGGTTCTCTTCCCTCCTGAAGTGGAGAAAGGAACTTGGCCTGAAGACTACTCTCTTTCCGATCATGCACGACTCACAGTAGTGTTCTCACCAATAAGAATGCCATGCTCTCAGATGATTCTCTGATCAACCTCAGGTGCAGCGGAGCTTTGGTTTAAGACTTGTACATAAAGAACCCAAAACCTGCAAAGTGGAAAAGGTCAGTGGCTGCCAGATCGTGGGGAATGGATGTAAAACCAGTTTTCTTCAGCAAAGAGAGTAAAAAGAACTTTGATTTGTAAAGCCAGAGAGAGAGTAAAAAGACCGTTGATCGGGGTTCCTCGTTTCTTCCTGTGCCCGGGTTCGAACCTTCTCAATCTTCCATATACAAGTAGTTCCAACAAACACACTAGAACTGGCCCTTTGATCTGCAATTGATAAATTGAACTAGCATCTGCACTACACTCGGTTCTATATTGCCTTCCATTGTTGCCCATTGATGTGAAAAAGGAAGCTAAGACTAAGAAACAAAGAGTTGTGTAGCTGTGCATTTGCATATGTGTCTAGAGAGTTGCATAGCAGTGCATATGCGTAGGCTTGCAGCGATCCCCCACTATTTGTAGCATGGTGAGATGAGATGTACCAAATTAGAGGGTTTTTGTACTTACGGCATTCAGCATCAATGTTAATACAATCATATCGCAACTGATTTCGCTATTCTGCAGCACGTTGACATATTATGACAGCAACAATAGTTTGTGACAGACTTTTATCTTCTGGTTTGGTTTCCTCAATATTATGATACTAGATGCAAAAAACCACCAGATCTTTTGACTGTGTCCATTAATTCAGATATTTTGAAAATAATATCCTTGTTTGGACTGTGATTCAGAAACCCATTACTTGTGATTAACAAAGGAGCATGCCGGCTTCTGCCAAGCCTAATGTGAATAAGTTTCTCTTTTTGTTCTTCTTGTATGATGCATCAAACTAGAAAGAAAAAAAAGCACAAAGTTTGCAAAAAGATGCAGTAAGTGGAAGATGACCTCTCTCTTTGTTAGTTAAATGATAAGGATGATTCAAAAACCCCTTTGGCTTTCTAGCATACCATTTTAACATGGTATACTCATATGTAAAAAGAGTTTAAGATTAGATCAAGGATAAAGGTAAGGTCCTGCTACTTGTTGTCTCCTTGTCAAATTTGAAATCACTTTCCACACCCATTCAAATTGCATTAATGCAATGCAACTCTGCAGAATGGAAAAGATTCTTTTTCAAATCACTTTTCTTTGTGTTCACACTATTAGTATTACCCATGATAGGATGAAAAGATGAATTTATGATACTATATATAAATGAAAAATTAATAATAAAAAACTGTGGAATCATTTAGAATCCTAATTATAAAATGTTGGATTAATAAATTGTAATCTTTTGCTTTGACAAGTATAAAGTGAAAAAAGGACCACACTAGTTTAACATATCACCAGCATAACTAAATATTCCAAGCTTTTTCTCTTTTTCGTATACAGAATATGAATATCCCAAGTCTTAGGGTTTTTTTTTCTGGGTTTCCCACGAGCTTCCCAAATGTTATTCATGGTAAATATCGTGGAATTTGTTCTCTTTTTCTTTCGTGATAATTATATTTACTGTGACATCTTTATCATCAATAAAATCAAGGCACATCACTATAATTTTTTATTTTTAAGATCACTATTATTAATTTTAAACTCCATATTTCCATGCATGATGCTATCTAGCCATCACTATGCTCACTTTGTTGCTACCAAACTATTTTGTTCTCATTGTTTGTCATTAAAAAAACCACATTATTTAAAATCACACAAAAAAACACACACACACACAAACAACATCTTTAACATTCTCAAAAAAGAGCGATGAACATACTCAAAATGTTATTTTCACACATTCTACAAGAACTATGTATATTACTATTTGTTTTGTTAATTAAAAATCCTCTACGCTACATCATTTTCATAGACAATCTTGTATATTAATGTTCTTTTCTTTTCCTTGGTGCTAAAGTTTCAGTTACCTATCACTGTATCATACTCGTTCATCCCATCACATCAGTCTCTTTCTCCTTTCTCAGGCCACCACATTCAAATTGTTTTTTTTTATTTTTATAAGAACATTTCAATTGCTAAAATACAAAAATAATATTATGAAAATAATAACAATAATATATAGGAGGGTGTAATGTTCTTAGCAATTTCATAAAATAATGAAACAAGCGGGACCAGGCTACCAGGTAAGCCCCCTTCTATTACGTGTCCGCATAGGATTGGCTCGCATGCACAACCCGTCCTCATTACCTTCGTCGCAACGCTTCCTCAAGTTTCCATTATATCCCTACTGTCACTTGAAAACTACCGCTTCTACCCAAACGCGCTATCCTGTAGGACCTTTGATTCTGTGGGAACGATGGCATTCCCGAAATTACGAATAAAATGATGGCATTAAAATACCCCTACTCTTTGTGGGACGCGGTAAGTACGTGGAATTTAAACGCGGGTGGGTAGTCTGCTAGACATAAAACGAAGACTGAAGGACCAACTCTCTGTGTTCTCTCTTTCTGCAGAGTCTCCCAACTTTCTTTACTTCTCTCTGGTGAATGAAAAAGTGGCCACATCTAATCCCCTCTAAAAACCAATTCTTCAATTCGACTTCAAGAATCCTTCCGATTCCTAGGGTTCTCTTTTGGGTTCCTTGAAAAAACCTTGCTTTTCTACTGTTTCTCTCTCCCTCTCTCTCTCTCTGTCTCTCCAGTCTCTCTGAATGTTGGTGGTGGATATGGCAGTGCTCTCTACGAATACTCTGCCACTAGGGTTCAGATTTAGGCCTACGGATGAGGAGCTTATTGATTATTATTTACGCTCCAAAATCAATGGCAATCATAAGCAAGTCACTGTTATTCGTGAAATTGATGTTTGCAAATGGGAGCCGTGGGATTTGCCTGGTATTTTTCTCTCTCTCATTACTTTTTCTGTTTATGGGTTTTGATTGAATGTAGTAAAAAATGGTTAGGCTTCCCTTATGATTAAAGCCTTATAGTAGAAAACGATCCATTTATGGCTTATTTAGCTGTTATATTCACGATTCACTTTCCCTTCACTTGTAATTAGGCAGGGATTTTGTTTAATTTTTGAAACTTGGGTAAATTTATAAACATTTGGTAGCAACTACTTGATTTTCTCACCAATCATCTATCTTTGGATCTTAAATTTGGAAATTTTTCGCTCAATTTTAAGTTTATGTTGTGCTGCAGATTTATCAGTGATACAGACAACGGATCCAGAGTGGTTCTTCTTCTGTCCACAGGACAGAAAGTACCCAAATGGGCACAGGTTGAACAGGGCTACAGGTAGAGGGTACTGGAAGGCCACTGGCAAAGATCGTCAAATCAAGTCAGCAACAATCTTGATTGGAATGAAAAAGACCCTGGTCTTCCATACTGGTCGTGCTCCTAAGGGTAAGAGGACCAATTGGGTTATGCACGAATACCGCACAACACAAAAGGAGCTTGATGGCACTAATCCTGGCCAGGTTGGATTTTTCTTCAACTCCTGTTTTGCTTCTAAGTTTTCTGATTATTTTGTTTATGACATTTAATTGATCTTGGCTTCTCCAGTAATTGTTTTACTCTTTATTTATTTTGTTTCTATGACCATATTTTGTTTCCAAAATCGTTAATGTTAAGTGTAAATTGTATAATTTAGTAAGGGAGGAATTGGTCATCCAGGCGATGAAGGGAGGAATTGTTTGATGGTTTGGATGTCATATCATAATTGATGGAGCCTGCCGATAAATTACTGGAATGGGGCAACCAAAAAAGAACAAATAAGGTCATCTATAGACAAAACATGTACATTTGTTAGTGATTAGTGAACCCCAATTATGAAGTATTAAGAAGCAATTCGAAAATCTCAATCTTTATTTGAGTCTCTTTGCATGGAAATACGTACAGTTTTTTATAGAAAGTTCTTTAATTGTTTGCATGTGTGGTTGTATATTGCACTTTTGTAGATATCCAACACACATATGCACATATCACTGGCCTGTAATTTAAAATTACTAAAATTTCAAGTATTAAATCAGACGACCGTGTTTGTTGCTAATGTCCATGTTGTATTATGCAGAATCCCTTTGTTCTTTGTCGTCTGTTTAAAAAACAAGATGAGACTATCGAAGATTCAAACTTAGCTGAAGTTGAACCCACAGTTTCATCCTCTACTGCTGCCGTAGCATCACCATCATTTGAGAGAAATGAAAAGCCGACTAAAGTAGAATGTACCATCGCTGATTGTTCAAATGGGATGGAACCAGACACTCTACAACCTATTGAGTGCCCTAGCAACAGCTATAATGGTTATGATGCAGAAGATCAACTGAATGTGCCGCTGGAGGAATTAGACATATTTTATGATCCCCCGCAACAGCCACTTTTTTCCCCACTGCACTCGCAGATGCAAACGGAGCTCTATTACTGTGGCAGCAATAACTTCAACAACGGTCATCAGGGGGTGAAGTTTCAATACGGCACCAATGATCAAGATGCAGATATTTCTGAATTCTTGAGCTCAATTTTTAATAGTTCAGGGGAGCACAGTGATGTAGATGCAAAAGTGGCAGTACCAGTGAGTGGAAACTTTCATGCTACTTAAATTTTAATCAAAATCCTCTTTTCAAGTTTTGCCTCCAAACTTGCAGTCGTAAATATCTGCAGCACTATACTAAAATAGTTGATTTCGGTGTCATGCGCTTTTAAATAGTTGTATCTAGAAAATTAAATTTCCATTGATCTCATGTCATACAGTGCGAGACAGAGTTTCAAAATCCTGTTCAGTCTGAGGGGAATATTGACAGAAAGGGTCCAGTGCAGAATGAGTCAACTCGAATAGATTGTGGTAAGTATTTTCTGATATGAACATTTTTGAGTTTCAGAGATACGTGCTTTACTAGATGAATGTTATTAACAGAATGCTTTTGACATTTGGTTTTGATGCAGACCAATCCTCAATGTTTCGGGTAACAAGCAATCATTCAAATGTATTTCTTACTGGAGACGCTGGGACTGGAATCAGGCTTCGGGCTCGCAAAACACAAAATTTAACTAGCACCGAGAACTTTGCGAGGCAGGGTGATGCACCAAGAAGACTACGGCTTCAGCGTAAAGTACTCTACTGCAGCAATTTGTCTAAAGATTGGAACTGTAGACCAGAAGACCAAGAAACAAAACCAATGGCTGTGGAGGTGAGAAGTTTGTGAAGCCCAAATAATGTCAAAGTCTGATGAGATTTGTTCAGGGATTGGTAATCCTTTTAACGCTGTTTGCAGGAGATAAGAGATACTGAAGAGAAAGCTGTTGATGCTGCTGTTAGTGATGCTGTTGATGCTGCTACTGATCCACCAAAAAAAGAAACCACGTCCACAAGACCAAACTTCACCCCAGAGGGCAGCATTCTGACAGGCGAAAGGGTCCCTAATGTGATCTTGCAGGCCTCTCCTGCTGGTCATTCTATGTGGTCATTTGCCTTTCTGTTTAGGGTAGTTGTTGTGGTTGCATTCTTGTTCATAATGTTGCTAGCGTATGGGGATTTCATAAGTTTTGATGCTGCTGGAAGCCCATTTACCGCGCGTATGGCCTGAGCCCCATTTTTGAGGAAGGGGCTTGTTTTGTGAGGCTCACAGAAGAGATCATAGATTTGTTAGGTCTGTTGATATTTATTTTTTACGTGCTTATTTTAGTATAACTCAGACCGAGTTCTCGTGTGTTTATGTACAGCAGCTAACAATTTGAGGGTATTTTCTTCCATAAATAAAATTATGAACTTCAGTTAAGCTGCACGGATTTATTAGAAATTGTTTTTTTTTTCTCCCTTGTATAGACTGGTTGCCCTTTATGCAATTAACAACACCAGTCTAACGAGAGTGAAAAAGGACTCTTTTTGGGTCAAAAGAGCGAAAAAGGAATCTTTTTTTTTTTTTTTTTTTTTTTTTTTGTGAGCGAAAAAGGAACTTAAGCAAAAGCGTTTACGAAATTACGTCTTTTGAAAAGTAAAGTGGAGAGTGTTTTGCTACCATCGCCAAAGCGAAAGCAACGAGCTTTGCAAGTGGAAGAATATTCACTTTATAATTCTACCCTTCTCTTACAGTCAAGTCAACAAACTACTCTTGTCCTCTTTCCGACCCTTATCAGTTATTGGTTTTCTTCGCAATTTCGATCATACCAACAACAAAGATGGATTCTTGTTCGATCGCCAATTTTCTGCTCGTTTTACTGCTCTCACTTGCTTCTCTTTGTCCCGTCCATGGCACTCATCAGGAGGATCATAATACCAACTATGCAAAAGAGATTCTAAGCGCAGCCCAGCAAGATAAACAGTGGTTGGTTTCCATAAGAAGGCAAATCCATGAAAACCCAGAACTCAGATTCGAAGAGTACAACACCAGTGCTCTTCTACGCAGAGAATTGGACCAACTTGGCATCACTTACACATACCCAATTGCCAAAACTGGTATTGTTGCCCAAATTGGCTCTGGTTCGAGCCCTGTTGTTGCGCTTCGAGCTGACATGGACGCCCTCTCATTGCAAGTAAACCCCAACTTTTTTTATTTTTTGTTCTGTAATTTTGAGCAAGTTCTTTTTTTGTTTTTGTTTGTGTGAATTTTATAAGAGTAGTAATTGATGGCTTGTGGGGTGGGGATTTTTAGGAGCTTGTAGAGTGGGAGCACAAGAGTAAGGTTGATGGTAAGATGCACGGTTGTGGTCACGATGCTCACACCACCATGCTTCTTGGCGCTGCTAAGTTGCTTAATCAACGGAAAGACAAACTTAAGGTCAGTTAAGTTTTATGTTGTGCAGTCTGAGCACAAGTTTCAATTTTTATGTGGATTCAGCAAGGAAAAACATCACTATAGAATAAATGGTTCAGCTTCTTCCCAAGAAAAACCGAAGCAAAACCCTTTCAAAGCAAGAAAATTTGCGTAAAACTTCTCTTTCATGTGGTGTTGAAGGGAACAGTGAGACTTATTTTTCAACCTGCGGAGGAGGGAGGTGCCGGCGCATCTGAGATGATAAAAGGAGGTGCGCTTGGTGAAGCTGAAGCAATATTTGGGATGCACGTTGCTTATGGAATACCTACCGGAACTATAGCATCCATTTCAGGGCCACACTTAGCTGCTGTTTGCTTTTTTGAAGCCAAAATGGTCGGGATAGGCGGGCATGCTGCAGAACCCCATCTTACTGCTGACCCAATACTTGCTGCCTCATTTGCAATTTTGGCATTGCAACAACTCATCTCAAGAGAAGTTGATCCCCTCCATAGCCAAGTAAGTCCACAACATCCCCCCCTCTCTTTTTTTCCTAAAGAAGAAAATAATTTTTTTTCATGTTACTTTAATTTCATTCCAATTTCTATTGTTTGTCAACTTGAACAATTGGTGAAGAGACAGTTACTTGAGATCTCTGAAAGAACTTATATGATAACTCTATTAAATGTAGGTTTCAGAGCCTTCATCTGTTTATGTTTAGCATTTATTTTTCTATATAAGATTCTGTTTATCTTTCCTGTCCTTTATCCTCTTCTCTCTGTTCGCTTAACTCTTCTCTCCCACATTGTTTCATCACGTTCAATTTTCAGCTTGTTTTGGTATGCAAGAATTATGCATATAGAAGGAACAAAGACATAAAAACCTGCACTTCAGCTTAATGCTAATAGCTAGTTTTCTGCTGAAGGTTCTGTCCGTTACTTATGTTAGAGGTGGGAGTGCATCCAATGTAATTCCATCACATGTTGAATTTGGGGGCACATTGAGGAGTCTTACAACTGAAGGCTTGTGGAAACTCAGGAGGCGGTTGAAAGAGGTACACGCCATTCACTAACCATTTCTCATTACACTTAATAGGTATATTACTACATCATTGTCATCACCACACTATTATCTTTACTCGAAAATCATGCCCGATGTTATGTCGTAGCTGAGTAGGTAGGCTGTTAGCTTGTTTCAAGAGAACAAAGATAGAAGTGAGTGAAGTAGCTGGTTCATATTTATAAAGTTGGTGATGCCTTAAAAACTGGAATTGCTTGCAGGTTATTGAGAGCCAGGCAGTGGTGCACAGATGTAATGCATATGTCGACATGAAAGATGAAGAATTCCCACCATTACCTGCTGTTTTCAATGATGAAAGCTTGCATCTGCATGTGAAGAGGGTTGGAGAACTTATGCTTGGTCCTGAGAATGTGATGGCGTGTGAGAAACTCATGGCAGGTGAAGACTTTGCCTTCTATCAGGAAGTGATACCTGGAGTGATGTTTAGCATTGGAATTAGAAATGAGGAAGTGGGTTCAGTTCACTTTCCACACTCCCCTTACTTCTTTCTTGATGAGGATGTCCTTCCAATTGGGGCAGCATTACATGCTGCCTTGGCGGAGATTTATTTGGATAGCCACCAACATTCGGTTAAACAGTAAAATTTCAGAGCAATTGGTGCGGAGCGTTCTGCAGAAATTTGGTGGTTTGGTTGCATGCTGCTATATTGTACTAAGCAGTGTCAAGCTGATAAAGTAGTGAATGAGAATGTAAATTTGTTTCAAACAAGTGAAGAATTCGTTTTGTTCAATGATTCACTTGTTTATAAACAAACAAAAAAGGTTAAGGAAAATGAAAATTTTCAGGTTGAAAGTCAACAAGAGAGTACCATTAAATGTGAATGTTTCATTTCCTCATTTGGGCCGATATGGATTGATCCCATAGACAAAGGTGGGCAGGCACGCTTAACAAACTATACAGTCCATTATGATGCTATGCTTCAGAATATACTGTGTTTCCCACACCAGCCATTTTTGGATATTCTCTTCAGGATACGAATAGTTTTCTGTTTAATTGCCGAAATTCTTTGGTCACGCTTAACAAACTAACCCCTATTACTTGTTCTTTTCTTCCAAGAAAATGCAAAGCAGAACCCTTTCAAAACAGGAAAATTTTGCGTTAAACTTTTCTTTCATATGGTGTTGAAGGGAACAGTGAGACATTCATTTCAGGGCTACTCTTCGCTGCTGTTTGCTTTTTGGAAGCCAAAATGGTCGGGATAGGCGGGCATGCTGCAGAACCCCATCTTACTGCCAACCCAATAGTTGCTGCCTCATTTGCAATTTTGGCATTGCAACAGCTCATCTCAAGGGAAATTGATCCCCTCCATAGCCAAGTAAGTCCCTTTATTTTCTGTGGAAGAAAAACCTTCATGTAACTTGGTAGCCTTAATTTCATTCCAACTTCTATTGTTTGTCAACTGGAACAATGGGTGAAGAGACAGTTGCTTGACACCTCTGAAAGAACTTATATGCCGACTCTGTTAAACCTAGGTTTGAAAGCCTTCATCTGCCTGTCCCTTCTCTTCTCTCCCACATTGTTTCATCACGTTCATTAATTTTCAGCCTTTTTGGGTATGCGAGGATTGTGCACATAGAAGGAACAAAAACATAAAAACCTCCACTTCGACATAATGCTAGTTTTCTGCTGAAGGTTCTGTCCGTTACTTATGGTGGAGGTGGGAGTGCATCCATTGTAATTCCATCTCATGTTGAATTTTGGGGCACATTGAGGAGTCTTACAACTGAAGGCTTGTGGCAACTCAGGAGGCGGTTGAAAGAGGTAAACTCCTGTATTATCATCATCACCGTATTATAAACTTGAAAATCATGCTGGATGTTATTTCATCAGTGAGTAGCAGGTAGGCTGTTCACTAGCTTGTTTCAAGAGAGAATAAAGAAGTGAGTGAAGTCGCTGGTTCATATTCATTTTTGTTCAATGATTCACTTGTGTACGGATGAATAATGTCTTTTTTTATAGGAGATATTTTTTCACACACACACTATCGGGGTGTCATAGGGTCGAACTTGAGACTACTGATTTGCAAATCAATGTCTATTTTCCGTGGACTATACTTCGTTGGCACAAATAAATAAATTATTTTAAAAAGGGTAAAATAAAATGGAATTTTCAGGTGGAAAGTTGACTAGAAGAGTAATTTAAAGGGAGTTTCACTAAAACACCCAAAATGGAGGTTGAAATTATAAAAAAACCCAACACCCAAAACACTTTATAAACACACCCAAAACCCTTCATTACACACACTCAAAACCCATTTATAAACATACCCAAAAAGTTGACTTTGGGGTTGATTTTGGGTGTGTTTCTATGTTTAAATAGTGCTTAGGTTTTTTTATAAATACATGTCTAGGATTGGGTTTATTTATAAATTTGTATAATTGGGAGTGACTGTTTTAATTCCTCATATTGGGGCCCATATGGATGGACCAGCCAAAACATACCGATAAACAGTCCATGATGATGCTATGCTTGCTTCATAAACTATTGCCTAGAATCTTGGATTATCTTTCGGCCTCTTTTGGTGAAACTCAATGCCTTAATACTTTTTTTTCTTTCTTTTCTTTCTTGATGATATGACTAGTTTTCTGTTTAATTGGAGAAATTCTTCTATGTTACTGTCACACGGCTACATAGTAATGTGACGATGATACTCGAGAATTTTCAGTTTATTTGAAGCATTATTCCAAACACTAGCAAGCCAGGTGCCCTAACAATAGTCTTTTCTTAAGAATATTGAATAATGCTCTAATATTTATATGTTTGTGGGATCATCAAATGATTCAGAAGATCATGTGTATTTAGTACTAGCAACAAGCAAATCCAAAAATAATTGGGTGGTTGATTATGATTACTTTACTAACCAGGCCAAGTAGTCATCCAGATTCTTCTAACCGCCCATCCCAACCAATGCACGGAGCGCACCCTGGCTTGATTAGAATCTCTTAATTAGCTTAACCTTTTGAAAGTGCACATCATTCTCACCCACGTAACCTAAATCTTCCAACTTTATTATTGAAAAAAATGGATAAAGGTAATCCAGGTGGTCAACCTAAATTCTTTTTGGCTTCACTTTAGTTAAGCATGAGGCCGCACAAGATACGTTGTTGGTTGGTGAAATTTTGTTGGTCCTTGAAATTTAGTGCTTGTGATCATTCACCAAACTTTTCAACTTGGGGCTTCTGTTGGTGTCCCTTTGCTGACTCACTCCCACGTGTAACCACCATGGTAAGTTGGGCCTCCTCTTTCTGAATTGGTACGAAAGATGAAATCTTTTTGTCCCAAAAGTTTCTGCATTTAACTTTGGCTCTTGGGAAGCAAACCAAACAATGGAGGACGATCAGTTTTCAGCTTTCGTTTCAAAAGCATGGTTGCCTTTGATTTGACACAAGGAGATATACGAGCCAAAATGGATAAATATTCCTTTGCACCAAACTTACAAATTTTAATCTCCTCCTCTCCTATATGTATTTGCTTGAAATGGGCAAATGGGTAAAGGTAAGCTGCACCTGCATGGTGAAAGAAATACCATCACTCTTTTGGTGAGAAAATTAAAGTGGGAACTAATTAATTAATCACCAAGAGAGAGAGAGAGAGAGAGAGAGAGAGAGAGAGCTTTCTCAATAACCTGAGAAAACAGCAAAAGAAAGATAAAAGGGAGACTTTAGCTTTGTGATGTGGAGTGGAGGAAGCAACCCATGTGAGATCAACTTTACTTGCTCCTGGATTTTATATACACGCAAAACTTGGGATGCAAATTTCACATCCCCACGCTTCTTCCATCCCAACTCAAGAGAGTTATATATGATTCATGGAAATTGGAATATGGCAAATTCTACGTGCAACTTCATTAAATTCTTTTAGAGTCCAGGGACGGCATAAAACCTACAATTAATGGCTAATTTAACCTGGACCACCAAGAAAGTTGGTCATCATTGTCTAAGTACAGTATGAAAACATGCAGAACAGCAAAAACCCAGATCAAAAGTACATTTACTTTTTTGATCACCTCAAGTAACTAAGGCGTGATCATCACATAAAATGACGATGATCACTGACGTGGCAAAAGACTAGATGATCATAGAGCGATGATGGATGGTTTATACCACAACAGGGTTTATAGAATAAGTTTCCTTCAGGACCAAGGTATCCAGGTTGTCCACATCATCAGATGCTACAGATGTCTGACACTTCACCGCCTAGTCATGAAAAATCCACCAGTCGGTGGGTGATGGATGTATTATCCTTTTTCATCAATTGGTTTCTTTTTCTCTTTTTTTTTCCATAATCTATCTAATTCACCTCCCCTTCTCTCTATAAATCTGCCAACTCTGCTCCGCTGTTATCTCCCTCTTTTTCTGCCTCCAAAGTCTTGGAGATTGGAAAAATAATTCAAAAAGAAACATTATTATATTAACAGGTTCTTTGTATAATTTAGGGGCACTGCATGTGCTCTTGAATAACAGTCACTTTATATTCTAATAACCCAACCGTCCATCTCCATCCATCCATTATACTCTCACTCCCCTCCCCTGCATATAAAATAGCCCCCTTCTTCATTTGTTAGCCCTCTCCCCTTCTCTCTCTTTATCATTAGCTCTTAAATTTGTCTGTGCAATTTCAGATAAATCATATATTTTGATACTCAATTACTCAGTGAGATAACAAATGGGTGAAGAGGCTAAGCAGGTAATTAGTGTGTATTGCATGTTTCCTGTTTCTTTTATTACTTACGAAACATTCATTCCATTCCACTCCATGCATTTGCTGTAATGCTTATTGATTGCTCTTCTTGGTTTTCGTTGGATAGGAACAAGCTCAGGCAGAGGCTAAGCCAGAGGAGAAAGCAGAGCAGAAAACAGAGGAGAAGAAAGAAGAGAAGGCAGAGGAGAAGGAAGAGCCAAAACCACCATCTCCTTTTGTGCTATTTGTAGACTTGCATTGTGTGGGATGTGCGAAGAAGATTGAGAGGTCCATCATGCGACTTAGAGGTCTTTCCTTTCTCTCCCTCTCGCTTTCATTTGCATGTCTGTAATTTGCTAACGCAGTTTCTTTTGAAAATGCAGGGGTGGAGGGGGTTGTGATAGATATGGTTAAAAATGAAGTGACCATAAAGGGAATAGTGGAGCCTCAAGCAGTGTGCAACAAAATCATGAAGAAAACCAAGAGAAAAGCAAAAGTCTTGTCCCCATTACCAGCTGCTGAGGGTGAACCCATGCCGGAAGTTGTTGCTTCACAGGTCCATGCGCAGAACCTTAATTAATCAGAAACATTAAACAAACTGAAATTAAGTACGTTGAAACACTGAGCCAGTAATAACTTGCGGTTTCTGAATTCTTCTTACTGCTTCAGGTTAGTGCACTAGTAACTGTGGAGCTCCAAGTTAACATGCACTGTGAGGCCTGCGCAGAGCAACTTAAGAAAAAGATACTCAAACTCAGAGGTATTTACAATTCATGTAGTACTCAACTTAAGTTAAACCTAATTAGTCATGTTAATGACCTAATTTACTCTTCATGTAGTTGGCAATGTCCTATCACATTATGCCTTAATAATGAGGTCATAATAATTACTGTCAAAGTATAAGCAGATTCAGGAGACAAATTTGATTGTGACTGACAAATCTCAGAAATAGCAAATTAAAGTTGGTGACAAAGGAACTTCAGAAAAGGGTGCATTATGTTATGAGTCTGCCTGCCCTGCTTTCTTGTAGCCACGTTGATCTTTCTTTACAACTTTTTTTTTTGGTCAAGATTGATCTTTACAACTAAGCATATAACCAACCAAATGTTGGGCCCTGTCTGACGTGTCCCGATAGAGCTAGATTTCCTCAGGTTCATCGGTAGAGCTGTAAATAAGTATCGCTTAGGGACAAAACTGTTTTTATGTTTCTAAGAATTGGGCCCTATATAATTAAACAACTCATTAGATATACAATTTAGTTGAGGTTAATTTAAACAACTTGATTAATTAATGGCAGGAGTGCAAAGTGCTGTGACTGATCACAATAGCGGGAAGGTGATGGTGACAGGAACCATGGACGGCGACAAGCTAGTAGATTATGTGTACAGACGAACCAAGAAGCAAGCCCGAATCGTCCCACAACCGGAGCCCGAACCCGAGAAGAAAGAAGAGAACAAGGAAGGTGATGGCAAGGCAGCAGAAGAAGCAAAACCATCAGAAGACAAGAAGGAAGAAAATGCAGAGGAAAAACCTGCAGAAGAGGCAAAGAAAGAAGAGGGTGGTGGTGATGGTGGAGAAGAAAGTAAAAACAAGGAGGAGGAGAAAGCTGGTGAGGAAAACAAGGAGGAGGTCGCCAAGGTGGTGGAGCAGATGAGCGGCAGTTACGTAAATAGTGGTATGGATGAGGAAAGTATGAAAAGAATGATGCAGTACTATTATCAGCCGCTGTATGTGATTGAGAGAATCCCACCTCCTCAGCTGTTCAGTGATGAGAATCCAAATGCATGTTGCATTTCATGACCCACCAACTTCCAACTTTGATGATCAATCAAATATTTCATAATAACAAGTTATTAAAATGTTGTTATGTTACTTATGTGTATTATATTATTTATATTTATAAAAAAATGTTTTTCTTTTCTTTTATACATACTATATAGCAAGTTCTACCACTCGTGACTAGAATTTTAGACAAGTAATTGGGTTGATGGTGTCTATCAAGTAGTGGAATATTCATCCAAATTGAATCGATTAATGATATATAATATTCTAGTCATAATTAATAACTCGAGATGATCCACCAATATGTTTCATTCTATATATTATTTTTGGTGGTAAATATATTCTAGCCCTTCAGATTAATTACTAACAATTAGAATTTTTTTTATTTATAAAAAAACATTGGGAAGAAAAAAATCTTAGAATTTTAACCTTCGGCGGAGAGAAGAGAGAAGTAAACCCGACCGACCTAATTAGAAGCTTTTCATTCTCTCCATGTGAAAAATATGAATTTTTTATATATAAAAAACTCGAAGTTGATCCACATCCACATATATATATATATATATATCTAATACTGTTGAATCACGTTCCATAAAGCAATAACATGAGGGTACGAAAAGAATTGGATTGGGACGACGAAGAAAGGGTGTTCATGAACATTCAGTCAATCTTACTAGTGAATTTTTGGTTGGTGGCTAAACAAACAAACACAATCTATATTTTTTTTGTTTAAAAGTAATCAAGAATATACGATGATCTAATCTGTTCATATATCCACTAATTAATGAAACTTAGTCAAACCTGATAGGCAAGAAATTGAAACTCCTCCTGGTTAACCCCGAAAAACAAGGTAATTAATCAAATCCAAAGTTTAGGTTTGTGTTATGTCACACGTCACATAGATAGATGGATAAATGCAATCTGATTGGGGCCGCCCGAGATTCCCTGAGAGAAATCAGAGATGGTGTGGGTTTCACATGGTGGGGTCCAAATTTATTCGAAATCCGAGTCATCTGTCTGAATGAATAAGCCAAGCACAAACAAGGCCGATGGGACCCACTCTCCAAAACTGTAACGTGGCATGGGCGGTGAGCTGTCTATTTGTCTTATTTTGTCGTATATACAAAACAGGCCACGCACCCGTCATGGCCAATGTCAGATTTTTTCTCAAAAGTGGGAAGACAATGTGAGGTCGGGTAAGCAGAGGCCAAAGGAAGGGGAACGTGCGTGATTAGAGAGAAAAGCCAACTTTACTTTTTTTTCTTCTTCTTTTGTTTGATTACAGTACGTAAAAACAAAAGTGTTAGAAGAAGTGATCAGAGATGGAGCTAAAGCTAAACATCTGGTTTCTTGATTATTCTCAACGCATCAATGGTCTACTCTGCTGCATTCTAGTTACTTGAGAGATAATCAGTTTTATTTGATCTTTTTTGTTCTTAATTAACCTTAATTAGCATGAATAATAACAGGTTTATTTAAAATTATAAAGGGGTCTTGGTACGATGCATGCATGCATGTGCATGGCGGCATCAATCACCAATGAGAGTGCAAAATGATGACATGATGCGCTGACTACGTAATGCGCATTATATATATATATATATATATATGTAGAAACTAGAAACCCCAGACATTATATATAATGATGACAACCACAATGGAATTACGATCACATAGTTTGTATATAATATTCTATATTTAAAGTTACAACAAAGTTAAGTAACTAGTAAAGTGTTCCAAGTTCCAACGTTTGAAAGCCAAACTTGTCTGTTAAGGAAAACAGAAACAGCCCACATGGGATGGGAGTCAGAATCTGAAACTATAAGTCCAATGCATATGAAAGGGAAGGGAGAATAGATACACTGCACTTTTTTGTATATCAAAAAATATAAAGCCAGCGCTGCTGACACATCCTTCCACTCATCTCACTCATAATCCACATGACATGCCTCTTTGCAATTTACAAACCATGATCTCTCTAATCAAAGTATCTTTAATTAGGATATTACATAATACTAATCCTTTCTCAAATCAACTGAAAAAGCCGCCATGGATATGTTAAAGGATAATTATTCTTTTGTAAAGGAATTCCAGATTACTTAGCTCAGTCGACTTTCTTCTGCAATGTCTACAAAATATTAAACCATGCATACAATATATAAAGCCATACAAGCAAGAACGACAGCCATCTTAATTGCATGCATATTTGGATGTTGTTCAATTAGGGTTAGATTAAACATGGCCGATATGCAAATTGTTCTGGCTAAGGCTTGCAAAAATGTAGAGGCGCAGTATGTGGAGATGATGGTTCCTCTCTATTCTCATGGATGTGAGAAGAAAGTCAAGAAGACCCTCTCCCATCTCAAAGGTAAACTAGTTTTACCATTTTCATTAATATTTTTTTACAACCAATTTTCTCCGAGTCTCTGTATCAGTAATTTTCATGTATATCTCTTCTATGTAACACTTTGTAGCAGCAATCGTTTCTTTGTTCTTCTGGCTAGGTGTTTCGTGTTTGTTTAGTTTGACTCGGCCCGATCGCAGGCGCTTCACAAAAATGCGGCCCGCAAGGAGACAATTAACTTTTGTGGGCCTGTGTGTGCATATACATTATCTTAATTACAGTCTAACTAAGTTGGGGAATTAAGCAGCAGGAAAATACTAAACTGACTGGTTGAAACTTGAATTGGAAGTCTGTTTGAAACGATTGATCAATCTCAAGATATCTAAATGATATTTTTGCGTATGTACAGGGATATACTCGGTGAAGGTGGATTACGACCAACAAAAGGTGACAGTGTGGGGAATATGCAACAAATACGATGTGCTTGCAACCGTGAGGAGCAAGAGAAAGGACGCCTGTTTTTGGAACCCCCAAGACAACGCCATTGCCTTAGAATTAGAATCGCAGCCTCCCTCAGACTCAAGCTCTCCTCCAATTTCATCAACTTCAAGATACGCAAACTCTTCTTTAGCTCTGATCAGGGTTCACTCTCTAAGCTTAAAATTGAAAGCATGGAAGAAAGTCTTCACTAGATCCTACTCGTTACCCTGATCCCGAGAGAGGCTTTCTCGAGGGTTATTCCTAATAAACCCTAATACTTTTGAATTTGTATCTAATTTTCTAAAAAATTAACTTGAGGGGTACGTTAAAGAGAATTGTCTGTTGACATCCATTCCCTATTATAATTAGTCAAAAGAAACTGGGTGCTGGTCTAATATTATATACCCAGCCAGTCTTTCTCTTTAAATTCGTATTATTTGGTAAGATTTGACAAGTTAGTTATCTCTTTGGTTTGATTTTCAGGGGTCAGCTTGATAATAGTCAATCATACCTCCATCCATACAGACTATTTTCTCTACCACTTTACTGCAAACAAACATATAGATAAAGCAGATCACATGGCATTCTGTCCTGCTGATTTCATGCCGAGCACAAAATATAGCATGTACAAGAGACTTTTTAACTTTCAAGCCACTTGTATATCGCCGACGCCGATCCATCCAAAATCGTCCAAGGGGTTGTTGCCACGTGATCCAACAAAAAGTTTGAAGACTTTGATTACACAGGAGAAAACAAAAGTCTTATAACGAGGCGAACAAAACGCTGGGCTGAACAACTTTAATCATGACAATTTACGCGTAAGCTGACCAAACTCCACACACAGTGACAGTCCGTTGGGGTGAACAAGTTAATCAACTTCCCCATATAGTAATTTCTATCATAAAATCAAAGAGTAATCATAGAACATACCAGAAAGAAAGTTGAAAAAAACGCCACCGGCTAGCTTAGCGACATAGATTGCTTATATTATATATTATGTAGCGTGAATTTTGAATTCAATGGGGGCTAACTAATAATAAAGTCCACACGTTACAACAACGAAAAGGTACGTATATAACAAGGCAGAACGCTTTGAAGGGGAAGGGTGTCTTGTAAATTCTATCAAGCTAGCCACCTACCAACGCCAAGCTCTCCTTTCTCTGCTTTTAATTGGTGTGTGGAGGAGGAAAGGAATCTGAAGAGAATGATAAGGGTAGGCCTGGTTGCAGAGCTATTAGAGGCATATAGAGCAGCGCTTTCGATGATGACAGAGCACCTCTTACCGCCACCACCGCGGCGGTGGCGTAGCGCCCGTTTTGATGGTCTCATCAATACTATTCGTTTAGTTTCTCGCCCGGCCTCAACTCCCGACTCTGCCTCTTCTTTCTATCTATACTTTTAAACTTAAATTTGGTTACTTAATATGCAACATCTGTGTTCAATTTTTAGGATGCTGTACTACGTGCGTCCTTGAAATGGTGTACATATATATATATATATATATATTTATGAAATTCTTTGTTTTCTTTGGTTGATCTCTTCTTCTTTTTCTTTTTTTATAAGATTTACCTGTGAGAGAGAGATGTTTGTCTGAGATTTCCGGGCTGTTCTTAAATTTGGTTTGTTTTTCCCTTACTATAGTAAATTAGTGATAGAACTAGACAGAGGCATTATGTAATCTATATATATAAAGCAAAAGGTAGAGAATGGTGAAACATTCAAAATATCTTAAAATGCCATTGGTTAATCTAAACATTAAAAATTAAAATTATTAATTAAATGAGGATAATATGGTAAATTCACACTTTTTCATATTTAAAAAATTAAAATTAAAAGAAAAATCAGATAATGAATCCTATTTTTATGAAACACAACTACCCATTATCTTTTTTAATTCTAAAATAAATTTAAATTTAAAAAAAAAGCATCTCGCAGGCGCGGAAGCGCGTACAGAGAGGCTAATATGTATTAAGCAAACAGACGAAAGAATTATAATATTAATTCGACATAAATAACCTAAATGATGGGATGGGATTATGGGACTGCCTATCAGATGACAATTTTTTATAAGCTTAATTATATTTAGATATATCCACTTTAAGTTATGTGAACCTCAACTAAAAAAACAAAACAACCACTCCATGTTCCTTGTTGCTTGTTTGGTTTTTTATTTTATTTTATTTTATTTTCTATAATCACAATAACCTCTCGACATATTATGTGGGACCTATTCTTTCCCATTATATATAACCTCTCTCTCTTTTATTTATTTATTTTTATTTTTATATATGCAAATTAGAGTTTAAACGAACTCCGATTTAATTGATTTGTTTTTAAAATGACTTTTAAATTAGTATTCAGAAAAAAAAAATTAAAACCATTTATAATGAATATTCAATATCATATGAACTAATAATAAAGCAACATTAGAGAAATAGGTTGGCCGATAAACCTAATTTAGACTTTGACTACATTGGAATGGCATACATGCATGTGGCCAAAAACGTGCATGTTCTTGACGATTTTTCAACACATGTGAATATATCATAATTAGTAAATTATAACATGTTTAGTCGCTTCTTCTCATTGCATTTAAATATCCGTCCCTTTATAATATCGAGTTTGAATCACCGCTTTATTAACTAGAATAGTTTATAATATCAAATTTTCGGAAAAATAAAATAGAACAGGCTATCCATCCCTTCGATGTTGTGTGTAACATATCCCTTATGTGTTGCATTGCCCATATAATTCAATTGAAACAATGTAAAAGGGAAAAAACCAAAAATAAAAATAAAAATGTAAAAGGGGAAGAAAAGCTAAACGTCAAAAAGCATGAGGTGGTAAATCATTTATGCACAATTACATGGGCTTCTTTGCAGATAGTCATAAACCGAAGGCCAAAACTTAAAAACAGAGTGACGTTCACCCAATTTCTCTTTCCTTGTTTCTCTTGGACGGTGAAGACCCAGAGGACACTGCCACCAGTCACCACCACTGGCTCTGCCTCTCTCTCCTCACTCGTCACTGTTGTGGTATGAATTTCTCTTCAATTCATGCAAAATCTCAGATTTCTTACGATTTCCAAACGGATTGATGTGGTTGAAATAGAAATTAGAAGAATTCCAAGATTTTTATAGGATTTTGTTGTATTTAATCATCTGGGTTTGGTTTGGTTTTCTGATTGCTGTAGCAGTAGGGCTTAGTTAAGCAAGACAGCTATTGATATATTTGATGCTACCGTTTTCTAAATTTTACAGCAGCTTTTCTGCTTTTGTTCCTGCTTGTTTTCTCTTCGTAATTGGGCGATTGCTGAAAACCGACGGTTCGGCCGTCCTCACTTTGCAATTCTCCGAACATCATATTTTTCCCTGATATAATTTCATTGTTATTCTATCATCTTTATGTTGTTTGATATTGCGTTCTTCATTAATTTTTAATTTTTGTGGTAAACGGGCCTGTTTTTGAATTTTTTTAGCTCTTATTGTTATTTCGAAAGCTCCTAATTGATGTAATTCTTAGTGGGTCTTGATCAATTTACTTAATTTTTGTGTTAGAACCAAAATATAAGAATGACGGGATTTGGGTCGTATGGAAATGGAGGACCTTATCCATATTCATCATCGCCTTCAAGTTTATCGGCTTTAGCGCCACCTTTTACTGTCGATCGGTCTGTGCCCAAACCCATTTCAAGCCCACTTGTGGATGTGACCGAGACACCTTATGTTGCCCCCTTGAATTCTTCTTCGCACAATTGGCTTCCTTCTCACCCTCCCATTACAGGGTCCAACTTCTTTGCCAATCCTACCCCAGAGTTCAATTCATTGCCTTCATCAAATGCATATAGATATGCAGGCTCGCAAACTGTTGACCCACCCAATACAACTTTGCCTCCTTTGAACACTATTACACCCGCTTCATCCAATGCATTTACATATGATCAATCCTTGGATGCTGTTGCAACTAGTTTTGTTGAGGCCAAACCATATTATCCCTCTTATTTGTCACCTACAATTCACGGGGATAGTCCCTTGGTGGTTCCTGATCAACCTAGTTATGATTGGCTATCTACCACTCATTTTGCTCCCTTGGATGGCTGTTCTCACAAGGATTACACTCAAAGGCCGCCTGATTTAAAGTATACAGCACAGTGGGGTGGCTTGTGGAATGGACTGGCAGAGTGGGAGCAGGGTAAACAGGGAGACTTTGATGGAAGTTTCTGCTCAAAGAAAACTGATGTATCGGGCTCAATTCTATACAAGAATTTCATGAACCAAGGTATGTATTCCCCACAGTTATATGTCTACGGAATTTTTTCCGGTGGAAATATTTGGAAGCTAATTTAACTCCTCTGTCTTATCATGGTAGTTTGTCTCGGATGTTTTACTCTGTTTTTAAAATTTCGTCTTTCATAGTGTTCATGATTTCAAAAAATTACCTTTTGTCTACTTCTGTTTGTTTTGCATGTTGCACTTTCAACAATTTTTGTTGAATAATAGGATGAGCATGTGATTCTTTTCTTACTTTGTTTTCCGTTAATTATCTGTATAATATGCAGAAACTCATTCCTCCAATAGCTTGAACTCATTTGAAGAAGCATCCCATGGCATCAATACTCTGGGTTGGGAAAAGCCTGGTGGGTCTGGAAATGCGCACTTAGGTGATAAGTCCTTTGTGGGGAAAAATTCCAAATTCACCCCTTCTGACTTTTCAAAATCTATCATGGGATCCCTCTCGGTAGTTCCAGAAGCCCATCTTAAGGCACCATCCTCACAATGTGTCACTAAGACCTCAAACTGTAAAACACCATACAGTGTGTCATCTGAGACACGACAGCTTGATGCTAGTCTGGATTATATAACGTCCATTTCGGAGTCGTCCCCTGCCTTTGCCACCAGAACACCAGCACTTGGCACTAAACTTTCAGAACCAGAGACAGGTTTATTCAGAAGGTTGAATTTCATAAGTGATGCAGCTGATACAGATCATGGTGATTATTATTCCTCCGGTGTACAGGAGTCTCATCTGCCACAAATTTCTGAAGGAAAAGTTCTTTTCGATTCAAGCCAGCTTGGCTTTCACCTTGGAGCAAAGGATTGCTTCTCTGCAGAATCATCATCAGCAAGAAATGAGGAGCTGTCAAATAATAGAAATATTATCAACAAGGATGCCTGGGATAAAGTGTTTAAAGCGAAGCCTGGACTTCAAAATTCTCATGTTGGTCTTGATGGTTTTAATATGGCATTTAAAACAAATGAAACCATCAATTCTTTTCTGAGTTCGTCTGACAATGTAGATCCTAATAACCCAGGTGTGGACTCACCATGCTGGAAAGGAGTTCCTGGTAGTCGATTTTCTCCATTTGGAGCATCTGAAGATGGAGTACCAGAACAGATAAAGAAACTAGAGGACTGCAGTGGTTTGAATGTTCACATGCCGATGTTTCCACTAAATGCTGGTGAAAATGTTTCCTCCCAAAAGCCTATCAAGAATACAGTCGAATACAATGAATTTGGGTGGCTGGAAAATGGTTTGAGACCTCCTTTGAAGAGATATTCAGTTGCAAATTCAGCTTTTGGAGAACATAAATGGGATAATCCCATGAAGACCACCTATGATCCAGAAACAAGCCATGATAGAGGACCTCAAAGTTACAGGGATGGCCTCCATCAATCAGGGAATGGAGACAAGTCCTTGGGTCTCCTTGACGATTCTCACGCCATGCAACAGGGTCATGGAGAAGATGGATTAGCAACGGAAGTAAAGCAAAAATGGAATTGTGTTGCAGATGTGAAATTGAATGCAAATGACACCATGGAATATGGTTCATCACATGTGCCTTCTCATGTTGTGGAAAATGTATTGTGTTCTTCTGCAGAGGATGCTGCGACTAAGCTTTCCAAATCAAATGGGCAAGAATCTATGCTGAAAGTGGATGTCCAGATGCTTGTTGATACATTGAAGAATCTGTCAGAATTGCTGCTTACTAATTGTTCAAATGGCCTGTGTCAATTAAAGAAAACAGATATTGCGACCCTAAAAGCTGTGATCAATAACCTGCATGTATGTATATCGAAGAATGTTGAAAACTGGTCGCCTATGCAAGAATCACCAACTTTCCAGCAAAACACTTCTCAGTGTTATGCAGAGTTAAGCGAGCATCATAAGGTATGGTGCTTAATTTTTTTGAATTTTATTCCAAAATTTAATTTGTCTGATGAGTAATGTTCATTATGCAGTTACTTACTATCTCATACTCCTGAATAATTATGTTTTGCTTGGCCGAATAATCTCTTCAGGTTCTGAGTGCAGACAGGCCCCTGTCAGCATCTGCCCCTAGCATTCAGGATCAAGTTATGGGTTCCATTCATGTGAAAAGTGACGTAGACGTGGTGAAAGAAGATAAAATGACCCAGGTACTCTATCTCTAGCATCATAGAGTATAATGCTAAGTTGTTTTCTTCCCATTGAGGGATGAGGAAGTATAAATGATTATGTACTTATTGTGTCATGGACCATGGTTTTCTAGGCTATAAAGGAGATTCTTAGTGATAATTTTCATTCTGAGGAAACAGACCCTCAAGTTCTCTTGTACAAGAATCTCTGGCTCGAGGCTGAAGCTGTATTATGTTCCATTAATTATAAGGCTCGCTTTAATCGTGTGAAGATAGAAATGGATAAGTGCAAGGCAGAAAATTCCAAAGGTTGATGTTCTCAAACTTCGTAGTTTTCTGTCATATATAGGATAAACTCATATCTTATCTGATTTTCTTTATTTTTTTTATGATTCTTTTTCAGACGTCTTTGAATATACTGCAGATATGATGAAGCAATCAAAGTCTGAGGTTTCCCCTGATTCAAACCCAGTTAATCTGTTAACACCTGAGGCTCAGGGTTGTCCAACTTCAAATGTTCAGGATTTACCTATTTTAAGTCAGGAAGATGAGGTTTTGGCCAGATTCGATATCTTAAGGGGCCGCGTTGAGAACACAAATTCCATTAATGCTTCCAATGCGGGTGAATCCAGCTCCAAGGCTTCTCCTGAACCCAGCAAGGTTGAGAGAATCGCACCTGAAGCAAATGGTACCCCATCACCTGGTATCTCCATCCAGGATTCTTCCATATCAAGCACAATTGGGGTGACAGATGATTATGAGGCTTCTGTTATGGCCAGATTTCATATCTTAAGAGACCGGGTTGAGAAATCAAAGTTCATTAGTGCTGTCAATATGGAAGAACCATCAAGCCCCAAGGTGTCTCTTGAACCCAAAACCGACGTAATTGTACCTGACAGAAATGATGGCTCAGTGTCTGAGTTCAATCTTTTTCAGGACTCTCCTCTTTCAATCACAACCAGCCAAGCAAATGATTGTGAGGCTTCTGTTATGTCAAGACTTCATATCCTCAAATCCCGGGTTGACAACTGTAGTGACATGCATACAGAAGGGCAACAACTGCCAGAACCCGAGATTGAGGTAATTGCACCTGACACAAGTGATAGCTTAATGCCTGAGTTCAGCATCCAGGATTCTCCCGTTTCAAGAGCAACCAGCCAAGCAAATGATTGTGAGGCTTCTGTTATGTCTAGACTTCATATCCTCAAATCCCGGGTTGACAACAGTAGTTGCATGCGTAGAGAAGGGAAACAGCTGCCAGAAATTGGTGGTCTTGGAAATGCTGGTAAGAGACACCCTTGGCCAATTATTAGCAAGAGGTCAGAGGGTGGAAGTTCAGATATAAAAGAGCAGCCTATTTTGCAAAGTTTCAAAGCTGACAATAGTGAAGGCAAGTTGGATACTGCTAAGGAGTTCCATCTGTTCGTTGAGGACGATCCACTGACACAATATTTCAGGATCCACAAGCCTGCAAATCAGCTTCCTGCAGGCGGGCATGATAACTCTTCATCAGATTGGGAACATGTCATGAAAGAGGAGATTTGGGGGCAGAACTGTTGAATCTGAAGCTGGAAACCCAGATGTACCTGGGTGGTGAACGATTCCTCTTTCTTCTGTGCTTAATGTCATATAGTGTCTGGGTATATGGTCGTGGTGGTTGCTTCAAACAGTATATGACTCTAAAAAAAAAAAAAAAAAAAAAAAAAAAAAGATAAAAAAAAGACTCTTTGATATGTTATGCATGTACAAAGTTTTTGAACTTATTTAAATATTCCGAACATATGTGTTTTGTAATTATCATAATTATCATCATCTGGTCTTGCTGTCGATCTATCGTGTGGCCGGGTAAAAGCTTGCATTTGATCATGAATATTGCAGTCTCAAGCAAATGGTGTACGAAACAATTTTACATTTTAAGATTTTGCCATCATAGATGTCCAATGTAGGATTTTGTACATGTAACATGCACTCGGTATAAAATAAGATGCGACTTCAATGTTCTGTCTGGTAATTATTGAACATTTTTTTATAAGTGATATTCTACTTAATCTAATTTAAATTATGTGGAGGAGGATTGAATTCGAGTGGGTGCAGAGTGGGGAACACATCTGCTCTAGTCAACCTGACTAATTAATTAGCCTTTTAAAAGTGTTTCGGTGCAAAACCAAAAAAAAAAAAATTCCACGAGGGCACGACAGAAAGCCTCTTCCAAGACTCCAAGGGTAACAGCTATCAACCTGGATCCTGGTCTTAATTTAAGCTAAATTACAAACAACATTTTCTTATCTATTTTCAGAACTCTTTGACAAGGAGGAGCCTCATTTTAATGGAGGGTAGTGGGATATGAGGGCTCTAAATATTAAAAATACACTGCTTACTTTATCGTATCCTCGTCACCTTTGTCTGGACTGGAGACAAAACCTCATTGTCAGCTTTCGGTTTCAACCTGTTCCCAGGAAATCACATATAAAAAAACTACATCCTTAACTGCGTGCATTTGGATTTCCCTGGTTTCTGGTCAACCTGGCTCTGGCTGCCACTGAAATGTAATCCCAGTTCCTCATAAGTCTTGCTGGTGGCTTTTGATATGATGCAATAACAGTGCAAGCTAGTCATATATGAACCCACTCTACTTGTCCTCTTCTTCTACTTGCTCAATAAACGTGTAGTAAATCTTTGGTGACTTGGCAACAGCGACATTCCAGTCTACTGTCTGTCTGTCTGCCTGCCTGCCTGCCTGCCTACCTCAGTTGGCACGGGTTGCTTAATTTCCTGGATATTTAATAATAAATTCACAATTAAATACACTTTTTTCCGGCTATAAATATTAATCATCCTGTCATAGGCCTCCAATTAAGTCAAGTGGGATAATTAACCAGTAAACAAAACGAGACCACAAAATCTAAATTGTGTATCTATTGTTTTAATTGCTGCTTCGTTATGTCAAAGTGTGCATTCACAGCTCCAAGTTGGGTTTTATACAACTTCATGCACCTTAGCGGCGTTAATCGTCAAGGACGAGGTTAGAAAAGGGTTCTTTAAGAACCCAGGAGTTGCAGCTGGTCTTGTGAGATTGCACTTCCATGACTGCTTTGTTAGAGTAAGATTAATGTCCCCTAATTAAGGCAACTTATTGTTTTCATGTTATCGATGGTCTCAATTTAACAAGGAACATAAGTATATTGGTAGATTCTAACATGCACGTATGTTCCTCCTTTTGGAATAACTTGACTACTAGAAATAAGGTTACAATTGTATACTAGCTGTCAGGCTTGAGCTATTTGAGTTTGACAGATAGGGTAAACTAATTTAATTTGTTGCTTCTTTAGGGCTGTGATGCATCGGTGCTCATTGATTCCACTTCCTCAAACAAGGCAGAAAAGGATTCACCGGCGAATAACCCAAGCCTACGAGGATTCAAAGTCATTGACAGTGCAAAGGCTAGACTGGAAGCTGTATGCAGAGGTGTTGTATCATGCGCTGATATAGTTGCATTTGCAGCCAGGGATAGCATAGAGATAGTAAGAGATACATCTCCTTTGCTTGAGTAGGTATATATATATATGTAAGTGTGTGTGTGGGGCTACTTTTTGTATCAATTTCTTATCAAATCTGTGATCTCCATGCAGACTAGAGGGCTTGGATATATCGTTCCTGCTGGAAGAAGAGATGGCAGAATTTCACAAGCTTCAGACACATTCACAAACTTACCTCCCCCATCATTCAATGTCGACCAGCTCAGTGAACTTTTTGCAAACAAGGGTTTTACACAAGAAGAAATGGTTACTCTCTCAGGTATTAACAACTCTGATCTGAATTCTTCCTTGTGAAAATCCTAAACACTTTTCCGTTGCTTTCAATACCATTAAGTAACAAATACAGATGATAATGAATCAGATACTGTGATTTACAGGAGCACACACAATTGGCCGCTCTCATTGCACAGCTTTCAGTAACAGATTGTACAATTTTAACAGAACATCAAGGCAGGACCCAAGTTTAGACCCCCAGAACGCAGCTCAGTTGAAGCAGCAATGCCCAAGGGCAACACAAGTCCAAACTTGGTAGTTCCGATGAACCCCGCCAGCCCTGCTGTCACTGACACCAGCTACTACGCCGACATTCTTGCAAACCGAGGCTTGTTCACATCAGACCAAACTCTCCTCACAAACTCAGCAAACGCAAACCAAGTCAATCAAAATGCCAAGATGCCCTTCCTTTGGAGGACTAAATTCGTTACTGCAATGGTGAAGATGGGCAGACTTGAAGTCTTAACAGGCAATGCTGGTGAGATTCTTAACAGCTAGAGACCAGTGAGGTTTTCTTATGCGTGCTCCTCAAACTTAAGGATGGGGATGCTTCAGCTTACTTTTCAATTCTAGTTATTTGTATGTTTGGTTGTCCTTGTATTTGTGTTTTTTTGTTCAATGGTTGTGCTTCTGTTAGCTTAATAACATAACAAGCACCTTGCTGTTATGTTAGCCAATAATCACCCAAGTAATAAAATAAGTGCCCCAGGCTACCCTATCACCATTTACCCATCAATCAAGTATTAAAGTAACCAAAAGATATCAAGAGATGAATAATGAAATCCTTAATTAACTCATCAGGAGTGACGGGCATCAGCAAAACTAAAGACCCTCACTGCGAATGTTTTGAGTCCCCCGAAAAATGAAAAGAAATGCATAATCCAGCCTCATAGATGGGCGTCCAATTTAACTAATTACGACACCGATTCAAAAACAATCATCATCAAGTAAACAATGAGCAGAGGAAAATTATGATTGCCCAAATCAAGTTGTGAGCTCCATGATAGCACTGACGATGTCCCCGCTGTGCGTCTTGAGAGCCTTGACAGCTTTGCTCCTTGACACCCCAGCCTGTGTCATGACCAAATCAATGTCCCTAGGTTCCACCCCGGCTTCATCAACCTCTTCCTCCTCTTCATCTGCCTGAGCTCCAGCAGCCGCCGCAGAAATCTCTGATTTTGCCATCACAGAACTCATGTCCGGCATCCTGAACTGCTGGGCGGCCTGTGTCTGCAGCTGAGAGCTCAAATCCTCTATCTTGGCCTCACCAAATATGACATAGGTCTCAGAATTTGGACTCTTGAAGACATCGGGTTTGGAGATGAAAAATAGTATCTGAAACACCCAAAAAGAAGAAACAATGAACATTGTGCATGTTATTACCATATCTCAACTAAATGAGCAGGAAATCAAACAGCAACTTACATTTTTGGTTCTCTTGATGGTGACCCTGCTAATACCCGTAACAGGCTTCATGCCGAGCTTCAACATTGCCTTTCGACTCTTCTTCTCACTTCTGCTCTGCTTTGAAGACTCATTTCCACCTGTTACTAATTCTCTAATCAAGATCACTTGAAGACAAAGATAGATAATATGCATTTCATTGTAATTGAGTAGCAAAAATGCTCTAGCCCACAATGAAACCTCAGCATGAATGCATGAAAAAGCTTGAATTTTTATAGTTCAGAACAATGCCTCAGGTCGAAAAAAATTTCAATTTTTCAAATCAAAATCACCCAAGCTAATTTTTATGCTTTCATAGTTTCTGTTAATTCTTTTATTTCCTCCCTCTAACATGCTCCAAACCCAAAACACTCCAAGCATTACAGAAAATCCTGGAACAGTATATAATAAATCACAGAAATGACAAATGCGCCCTAAAATGGAGCAATTGACACCATAACAATGAAAACCCTCTTCTCTTTCCGGAAGGAAAAGAGGGAAACCGATAAAGAAGATAAGAAGAAAAGGACGACCTTGAGCGCCATCTTCCTTGTCATCATCATCGTCGTCGTCGTCGTCATCCTCGTCGTCTTCATCCCTGTCGTTGTCGTCCTTCACGTCCTCAACCACGACTTCGTCTTCTTCCTTGTTCTGTCAACAGTCGCAGTATTGGGATTACTTAAAAATATAAATAAATAACAAAAATGGATAATGTAAATGAGAATATTTAATTCCAAAAAGATAAAAGCGAAGAGCTTTACCTGATGAGAGTTCTTGAGGGGTTGGTCGGTGGACAGGACCTCGTCGGCCGCCTCCGGGTGAACCAGTGGAGCCGGTGACATCTTCGGCTTCGTCGTCTAAACTCTACAAAAACAAAACTCTAAAACGGATAAATATGGAGAGTCTTAGCCGTTTGGCTCGCACGCAGCAGTAGATACGATAGGGATGGGGATGGCTTTTCTGTTATATCATTGATGATTTGCAAGGGTTTCTCCTAGGATTTACCATTTTTACATGGGCCTCCAAGTTTTGGGCTTTATATATCTTTCATTTATTGCTTCGGCCCATTTATTAAATTAAATCACGTAATTTGCAGTCGAGTCATTCTATAGTGAGATAAGGCCCTATTTCTTAACCATTATATCAAATCAAACTAACCAATTTGATCCAACGACGAATCAATTTGATTCTACAGAGATATATGGAAAATTTATTTTTATGTTATTGAACAAGCATAAACATTTGGTATAATTTATTTATTGATTTTTCTATATATTCCATTACAGTTTATACTGCTGAATAAATTCTTAATAGATTCTTATCTGAATAAAAGAACAGTTCTGAATAGCAAATCCCATTAACATAAATTCATTAAAAACAAGGAATTATTGTAATGTTTGATCTAATCTATAATGAATAACAAGCATTCCTTAAAGCATTATTTTTATTTTATGTGTAATTTTTCAACCTGTATGCATCATCTTTTTCAACAAAACTAGCGACCAAACACCAGTTACAATCATGTAACCCCAAAATGTGACAGTTTAAACATAGCCACAAGGCAGTGATAGAGTGTTTTTTTTTTCCTTTTACTGTGTAAATATAATTGCTCATAATAGATATTCCATTTAATGATTCATGAGGCATATGCAATTCTGATTAACTCTACTAAAAACCACTTGCAGCTGCAACTGCTAAGAATAAATCAAATCAAAAGCATAGAATGCTTCTTCTGCATCATTTCATAAGATGTAAACTACATATTTTCAAGCCAGACATAATACAAAGCCAAGTACAGTACCCCCTATGAACAACAAAATTACTTGAACTTGACCACCTAATAGCAAAACAGTTCACTTTTCTTGGTATTTCTGGTATACCATTAACTGCAATCTGGCTTAAAACAAGAGTGTGGGAGTTTGTTCATTTCTTAGCAGCTGCTTGCTGCTTCCTTAAACATCTTCTGGACTTCCAATCGCCAATGTGCTCAGAAGCATGGCAATGTGCTAATTTCCACAGCCCACATGGAGCTGCTGAATCACATACATAGCAGTAGCACTGCAAACAAATGGTGAATTCAGTTTATATGTCATGTTAAACAAAATAAATGGGATGCACTCATAATTGCAAATATTTGAACTTGTAAACTCTATTACCAGCTCACAGTAGCTTTCGTGAGGCGTTGTTTCAAAAGGGAATTTCAGACAGAGATGCCTTGAATGTGGATAATCTCTACAAGCAACCTGCACATCATCAATTTAAATGAAGACAAGGCTTGATAAATTCACAAAACTAGCTATTCAAACCCTCCTCTGAGTCTGAGGTAAACGCAACCCATTGGCCTGCATTCAATGTTTGGCTTCCAACAGAACTTGGAATTACAAATGAACAAGAAACATGTTTGAACCTAAAGTTTTATGCTTTCGATTTCTCTGCTTCAGTCAATATAAACAGATAAGTGTTAAAGTTCATTTATTTTTTCTTTTTTCAAGATTCAAAAAAAAAAAGTTATCGTCTTTTTCAAAGACCTAGAAGGCTTACAGGCAAAATGGGGTTACGATTTCCACAGCAAACAAACAGAGCAACAGAGAAAGAAAATTGATTGAAAAGAAAAAAGCAGAGAGAGACATCAAATGGGTTATGGGGAAAACAAAAAACCTGGCCTTTCTCAGCAACAACGGCGACGTCAGGAGACTCCGGAGCATTATGACCAGCAAATTTATCGGAGACGGATAACTTGGATAACTGAATGGGCTCAAATGGGTCGAAATCTAAGATGAAACAGTCATCGACTTCCTCGAACTGCTTGACATCGACCTTGTTTTTGACACAGAGAATGTGCCTGATGGGGCTCCCATCTTCCTCCAAGGAAGAAGACGAAGTTCTCGGAGTGACTCTCTTTTTCTTCTTCTGGCCTGAGGGGCTCGATAACTTTACCGCTTTCATGTTGTTTTCACTTTCTCCCATTCTCTCTGTCGCTCTCGCTCTCTTTTGGTTACCCAGGATTTGAATCTTTTCGAATTTCCTCGAATGCTGCCCTATTCGCTGAACAATGGCGCTTAGACTCGCACGATCCCACATCATTAAACGACATGCTCCTTTTTCGAAACGGAAACGAGGACCGGCATCAATTGAGACACTGAGATTCGATACGGCAAAGTGGCCCAGAAGGCCCATGGGCTACTGCCATACAATATTTAAATCCAATTTGGGCCGACAGGCCCATAAAAAAATATATGTGTAGTGTCCTTGTGCAAACTAATCATAATGTAACAAATATTTCAAAAATGCCCTTATTTATTTTTAGATTTCCTAAGAAATCCAATACATTTGCATGTCTTTGATGTGAAAGTTGAGCGGTTTTTTTGTCTTTTTTGAAAAAGCTTTGGCTTTTTCCTAAAGTGAAAATTTTTTTATGTCTAAAACCTAAAAAACCTATGATCCAATCATTAGAATAATACATCCCTCCATTTTGTTTGTGCAAACTAATCATAATGTAACAAATATTTCAATAAAAAAACGTTGAACTAATGTTTTGTGATGGCTAATTAATGCTTTGTTAGTTTAATGCAGGGTTGGTGAAGAAGTTGATAAAAGAGGTGGCCTTTTGGACCTTTTAATTCTGAATTTTCTGTGGGAAAACACTTTCTTCCAGAAGAATAGTGGGGCCAATATGTGGAATTGCACTCCTGGTCACCAATAGCTGCATCCATTGTCTACGTATTCAAGGAGTTGGTGAGATGCTATCCCATTTGATTTCTCATCCCCACCACAATCAAACAAAACGACACAGGTTTGTTTACATAATGAATTGACAGTAGTTTAAATTAATCGAATTTATAAAAAGGGAAATTCAAACTTGAGTGTAAGCGAGTGAATTTATTGTCCTGACTAACTAGTCAACTATTGTTATTGCAATATAAAGTGTATACTTAATGGTGTTAGGATGTCTCCGTAAATGTTTAACTTGGTAAGTGAAGACTATTCTTGTTGATTTGGAATTTTGAACTTACATTGAAGAAGACCCGAGGGTTCAAACCATGGACTGTCTTATTCATGGCGGAACATTTAATAACTAATACCTACTACTTGTGCTGTTTTTGTTTTTCATGAGCTCACTTGCAGGTCTTGAAGAACCAGTAAATAGACTGCTTCCTTTTGAGACAATCACCAAGATCTTCTTTTTGCTAGCAAACTAAGAGGTACTCTCGTTTTTACTCAACTGATATGATGAAGAAGCTAAGGCGTAATTATGTTGCCTGAGATTGAAGTAACACCATATTATATTAATTAGGTCCAATAGGATACCGTGTGGATGGGTTCCACTTCCGCTCACCTACTGATTTGATATCTGAGCTCAACTTTGGTAAAATATAACATTATAAGATACCAAGATACCAACTACCCTATTAGATTATGGCACTTGTTATTTTACCTGTTATTGGTTAAGGGGCAGGCAAAACATTTCCTATTCCTTGCGGGTTCATTGAGAATGATATATACATATAAACCCATGACGAGGACATCTTAAGTTTATGCGCTTGGGTCTCATCAAACTCAAACATGCCACCCTCTTGGGCATGACTGGCGTGACGAGAATATGATGCTTGATTACGGATGATAATCTTAAGCATAGTACTAGCGTCCACTTGACAATTTTCCCTGATTAGGCATATTGTTTAGACTTTAAACCTTTCAATAAGACATCGCACAACTTTCACAATTTGTGTTACATTTTTTCAATCGGAATTGTTTTTTAAAGATTGAATTAAGGGATTCACTCTTTAATATTATAGTTTAGATTTATTAAATCACGATTACATTTGTTTGCATGAGATACAAATTTCTAAACTCTAATTAAGATCAGGAGGAAATTAAATAATTAATCAATGGTGAAGTTTTTTTTTGGGTCAAGATGTGGAGGATATATGTGGGGTCATGTACTGGTGGTGGACAAAGGTAGCACATGAAGGTGGTGGGTGGGCAAAAATATATATAACGCCACTTGTTAGCACACCATGTCCTCAAGCCCGTCTTCTTCTCTGTTTTACCTTCCTCAACTTCTCTAACTCTTCTCTCTCTCTCTCTCTCTCTATAGGACTCTCTGTCTAAACCCACCAAACCAATACCAATACCAAAATGGGTTCAACTGTTGAGACCCAGATGACCCCAACCCAAGTATCAGATGAAGAAGCCAACCTGTTTGCCATGCAGTTAGCCAGCGCCTCTGTTCTGCCCATGGTGCTTAAGGCAGCCATAGAGCTTGACCTCTTGGAGATCATGGCTAAAGCTGGACCTGGTGTTTTCCTTTCCCCCGCAGACATAGCTTCTCAGCTCCCAACCAAGAACCCAGATGCACCTGTCATGCTTGACCGCATGTTGCGCCTCCTGGCCAGCTACTCTATTCTCACCTACTCTCTGCGCACCCTGGCTGATGGTAAAGTTGAGAGGCTCTATGGTCTTGGCCCTGTCTGCAAGTTCTTGACCAAGAATGAAGATGGTGTCTCTATTGCCCCTCTCTGTCTCATGAATCAGGACAAGGTCCTTGTTGAGAGCTGGTAATTCTTCCTCATCTCAATTTAACAATCAGTTATTAATGTATTGTTAATAGATTGATCAAATTTTCAATGTTACTAACTGTGAGCTGTGACTCGATTGTTTTCCTAGTTTCTTCATCTAGGCCCTCCTTAGCCTTATTCGTTTAATCATTATGCTGGCTGGGGGATAAGCCAAATTATTTTATGGGGACTTGATTAGCGGAGAAAAAAAACAAGAAAGAAAGAAAAAGGCAGAAGATGTTGCTGAGGCCCTGCCAAACATTTTTGACTATTGTGGATCATTTTAGTATAAAGAGACGATACTTGTTTCATACTCAAACAATATACATTACATACGAATAAAATCTATACGAGTCATGACTACTAGTGATCTTTTGAGGATCACCTTTCAACCACTTGGGAGTTGGGAAGTGGGGACCGCCACTTCACCTACCACAACATAGTTCATTAAACGACAAGCCGTTTTCTCCATCTTTATAAATTATGTGATCTATGCTTTTGGCTATGTTTCTCAGTTTCTGTCTATGAATATTGTTGAGTGACACAAATGAGTTGGATGTAGGTTACATATTACAATTTTTCCATTTTGGACTTGTGTAGGTATCACTTGAAAGACGCAGTTCTTGAAGGTGGCATTCCATTCAACAAGGCCTATGGCATGACTGCTTTTGAATATCATGGCACTGACCCCAGATTCAACAAGGTCTTCAACAGGGGAATGGCTGACCACTCTACCATCACCATGAAGAAAATCCTCGAGACATACAAAGGGTTTGAGGGCCTCACATCAGTCGTGGATGTCGGTGGCGGGACGGGGGCCGTCCTTAACATGATCGTCTCCAAGTACCCCTCGATCAAGGGCATTAACTTCGACTTGCCTCATGTCATTGAAGATGCTCCTCAATATCCTGGTATAAATGTGCATCATATTACCTTTTGCTTAGTACATTTAGCCACTTCACAACATATAAGTCTTTTTTGACCTCTATGGATCTTTTGGATATAGGTGTGGAGCATGTTGGGGGAGACATGTTTGTAAGTGTTCCAAGAGGAGATGCAATTTTCATGAAGGTGAGCTAGAAATTATCTGAAACCTGCACTGTATCTTATCTGTTATTTCATTCATGAGATTAGGTTATATATAGACATCTTGATTAACTTAGCAAATTAATGATGCTAAGGTGATGTTCATTATATTGGGAACTAATATCTAATTGGTGTGTAATGTTACAGTGGATATGTCATGATTGGAGTGATGAGCATTGCTTGAAATTTTTGAAGAACTGCTATGCTGCACTTCCAGACAACGGGAAGGTGATTCTTGGTGAGTGCATTCTTCCTGTAGCCCCAGACAGTAGCCTTGCAACTAAGGGAGTTGTTCATATCGATGTGATCATGTTGGCTCACAACCCTGGGGGAAAAGAGAGGACAGAGCAGGAATTTCAGGCCTTGGCCAAGGGAGCTGGATTCCAAGGCTTTAATGTCGCGTGCTCTGCCTTCAACACCTATGTCATAGAATTCCTTAAGAAGAATTGAGTGCTTAACGGGCTTGGTATGCTGTCATCTGCATACATATTGCTTTGGTTTTTGACATGGTGATCAGATCAGATCCCATGCGGAGTTTACATTACACCATATGTAGATTTTAATTGCACAAAAAGTAATAAGAAGTGTTTCCATGTTGCTTGCTTGTACCTAGTGAGCTTTTGATATTTGGATCCATATATACGACTTTCTTGCATCCAGAAATGAAAAAAGGGTGGGGAAAACAAAGAAAATGGCAACGAACAAGGGGTAATTCATGCGAAGAAATAACAAGACATCCATATGACATTATTCAGAACCTTACAGAGCATCTCAACCCTCTGTATAACATGAAATAAGTTTACAAAAAGGCCTTGCTGCATACAATAACAATTATACGGCCAACCTGTTGAATTATTCCAGATGTTACAACAATGGAGGAAAGTAGTTCGGAGTAATAGAATAACCAATAAAATAAACCAGCAGAGTGGAAATTATTCAACATATGCATAAGTCAAGACATTTTAAACCTTTCAGAACAAGTGCGATGCTCCAACCTGTGGCTCCCAATAGCATGCTGCAATCCCTCCACCCCACCAAGTTATAGAAGCAGCCCTACATGCCATGACGAGAAATATATAATCAATCAGATTGGCTACAACTAGCAAGACACAAATTGAGGCTACTGATCGGTCTTGAAAAGCTCCAAACAATGCTCTTCATTCAAGTCCCTAGTCCAAAACGTCTTATAATACTCTGTGTACGTGTAGCCCCTATAAATGGCTGCAGACCCATCATCTGTAAGAGCCTTTGCTGGGCTGATCAGTGCGTTATCTTGTGGGCAGAGGAATGAAGCCACTGATAGCCTTGCTCTGTCAGTATTTGTAATGGCACGGTGCCACACACTCTTATAAATCCCATTACTCAAGGCCTGCAGCAATTCACAAGAATTTTGTTATTCGAAGGTGATTCGATAACATAATGCTTCGAGTGCAAGAGTAACTGCTTTTGATCACTTGAGTGACAATTGGGTTAATTCATTAGATTGATTGTTGAGTAGAAACAATGAAGGGGGTACCTGTAATTGGTCGCCAAGGTTAATGACAAAAGCGTTAGGGTGGGGATTGACAGCAACCCATTTGCCATCTTTGAGAACTTGAAGGCCAGCAACCCCAAGGTCTTGGAGAAGAATTGTTAGGGCATTTGGGTCAGTGTGTCCTGGCAGCCCATAAGTCAGCTCGGGCTGTGGGCATGGCGGGTAAAAGTTCACGGCCATATGCTGTCCTTGCTCACCCAACGTACTCTTTATGTAATCCTTCTCCAGCCCTAAACTCTCTGATATTAACTCCTGTAATCTGAACCCAAGTTCTCGAACTTCTTCACAGTACTTACTCACAATGTCCCTGCAACCCAAAATAAATTCACGTAAGAAATTTGATATATTCACCCCAAAAAACAATTTATTAATAAAAAGCCAACCCCGGCTAACACACCCCAATAGTTCAAAAAGTTGGCCCAGATAACCGAGCACAGCTATTGGAAAAGCTGACCCGTTAACCTAGCCCAATTATTCAAAGCGCTGTCGGCCTGATTGGGTTTTGGATTAACAAGAAAAACGTTTTCATTTTGGACTGGCCCGTCCCACAGTAAACATAGCTACTTAAAGAATATAAAAAACATGGGTTTCCTTTTAAGGCCCGTACTGAAAGCCAGGAGATGCTACAGTAAGGGGTTGAATGAGGGTTCAATCAAACCATTCAATCATTAAAAAAGTTTAAGTACAATATTTTTCTCTTTCTTATTGGATAGTGGGATTGAACCCCTCCCACAATCCCCTCATTATAGTATTTTGGTTGAAATCCAACACTTTCGCCAAAGTCCACGAGTGTTGCAAAACTCTATTTTATTTTTGGTAATGAATTAGTATTTTATATTATTCTTGTGGGAGCAGATATTTTCGTCTCCAATCACAGCACGCCACATGGAAAAGAAGATTATCTCTTTTAATTAATTAATTGAACCAGTTTATCTGGCCAATTAATTAATTGGAATAAATATCTTAATTAAATGATATTATCTTTATTTAATAAGATAATATCATTAATTAAGATATTATCCTAATAAAGAGAAGATAATGTCATTATCTCAGATATTATCTTCATAAAAAGAGATAATATCATTTAATTCAGATATTATCTCCATAAAAAGAGATAATATCATTAAATCAGATATTATCTCAGTCCGACTCGATCCCTACGAATTTGGGTAGAGAATAAACTTAGCATATTCTCTACGAAACCCTAGCCCCGAGGCTCCTATAAATAGATGACTTCATTCATCATTCAAGGTACATCTAAACCTACTCCTTATACCCGAGAACAATACCCGAAGCTCTTTCTCGCTCTCCACTCTCCATATTTTCTCCACACGGCTCCGGCCACCACACACGGCTCCGGCCGCCCGGTTCACACCCTACATAAACACTACTCCGTACCCTTTGCTTAGCTATTGTTTTCTACAAACACTTGAACTAACTTAGGCATCGGAGGGCCTTTGGCCAACACCCCTCGGGTGTGGTCTATTTACTCCAATCTGTTTTACAGGAATCGAGGAAGAGAGAGAAGGAAAATCGAAGGTTGAAGGATCTAGAAGCGAATATTCTCCCGTGAGATTATTTCACAAACATTTGGTGCTTTCATTGAGAGCACGAGTTATACTCAACGCGTGCTCAAGGAATCCGTTCATCATATTTTCCAATCCACCGAAGCCTTCCAAACAACCATGGTTGGAAGCAAGCGCACGAGGAGTAAAACCGCTGCGATGGCTCAATCCGTGACGGCCCAAAGCCACTCCACCCACGATCCCGCGATCAACATGGTGGCACCACCACCTCTTGCCATCGTGCCACCTATTGGACCCGCGACCGAATCTAGCAACCTCCGTGGCACCGCCGCCGAACATGGTGGAACCTCCCATCAAGGTGGGCTCGTTACCACCACCGACTTAGGCCCGGTCTTGGAGCAACTTCAAGCGTTCCCTCCATTGCCTCCACGCTCGACACACACTCTCGCGTACACCTCCAGTGAAACCCTAGCCCGTGTGCAATTGGGGTCCACACGCTTCTCTCCTCTCGATCCACAAAGTCAAGCATATCTCAACCTGAGAGTTGACAAGCTAGCTCAGAGAGTGGACGACCAAAACGCTCTTATGAGGCAGCTCCTTAATCAAATAAGCGTGGCTCAAAATCTTGGCCTTAGACAACCAGGCGAAGTGAGAAGAATAGACGAACGCACCGGTGGGCAGCTCAACGGGCACCAAGCGGGTCGAGCAGGAGCGAGCAGACAAGGGGATGTACAACCACGTGATCAGCTTGCCGACATGTCGCGAGCATCTGCAAGCCACACATAAAGCAACGTGCGAGAAAGGCTCGGCCCACGACTTGACGTCTGTGCTCGCCTGGGCCCGCAGGGGAATGTACTTCAAAGGCTAGGCTCCCAGGGAAATCAAACTGACAATCGCCGCAATGAGGATCGTGAAGAGAGGCGCTCCGCTGCCCACTCGCAGAGAAATATTCACGAAAGGCTAGGCCCCCAGGGAGGTCCACCCGGAACCCTCGCAATGAGGATCGTGAAGAGAGGCACTCCATTGCCCGTTCTCGGAGAACCAACTCTCGCCGTCAAGCTGCAGAGAATCCCTCGCAATCGCAGTCCACCAACACGCCTCCTAGGCAGCGCGGACGAGAGGACCGACCCTTGCAGACCAACGAGGAGGTCAATCAACGTTGCCCGAATCGCAAAAGTCGCCAACGCGATCAACCAGCACTGCGCGCGGAAGACGTTGAGAAACTTGTGAATGACCGACTTCGAGACTTGAAGACTAGCGGGAACCTCGAGGATGCACTACGTAAGGAGATGGACCAGTCGATCTCTACTCCTTTCACCCCTGAAATCGAGCAGGCGGCTCCCCCGAAGCGATTCTCAACGCCTTCTTTTACGCATTTTAAGGGAGATTCCGATCCCGATAGCCACCTAAAACACTTCAAAAGTGTCATGATCCTCCACAAGGTCGACAACGCACTGATGTGCAAGGCGTTTGCAATGACATTGCGAGGAGCAGCTCAGGACTGGTTCCACACCGTGCCATCTGGGTCGATCAACAGTTTCAAGGAGCTTGCCTATGTCTTTACTAAAGAATACACTTCTTATCGGACGATCAAGAAGAACCCAGATCATCTGTTCAACCTGCGCAAGAAGCCCGACGAATCCATTCGAGATTACATCAAGAGGTTCAAAGCAGAAAAGGCCAACATCGTAGGGTGCGACGACTGAATCGCATCATCTGCCTTTAAGAAAGGTCTTCCAGCAGAACACGAGTTATACCGCGAGCTGACTATCACTCCCAGCCAGACTTTAGCAGAGGTCTTCGCGACCGCAGAACGCTACGCGCTCTGGGATGACGATCGAATTGCCGTGAAGAAGTCCACTGAGCAGGGAGATCGACAGACCAAGCGGGCGGGCCTAAGAAGCGATGGATTTAGCAATAAGAACAAGGACAAGTGCAGGTCACACCCACAAGAGGACGCTAAGGCAGGAGAGAACTACACCAAGTTCACTATCCCTATACATCAAATCCTAGCCCAAGTGAAAAACAAACATTGGGTAAGAAGACCGTCACCCTTGAAAGGAGATCCAGACAGGAGGGATACTAGCAAATACTGTGCCTTCCATGGGACGCATGGACACACTACTAACAACTGCTTCGCTTGGAAAGCACACCTCGAAGAACTCGTGAAGGAAGGTCACTACACGGAATTCATCGCTAAGCAGGCCATCCAACAGATAGAGGACTGCGACACCGCCAAGGAGCCGCCCCAACAGGTCATAAGGATTAACACAATTCTAGCCGACTCCGAGGAATCTGGGTTGACCAGCGAGGAAGAGAGAGAAGGAAGATCGAAGGTTGAAGGATCTAGAAGCGAATATTCTCCCGTGAGATTATTTGCACAAACAATTCTAACAGTTCCGATCTCTTGGACCACAAGGGTCCACGAGATTGTAGTCACCCACCGTTGGATATTAATCTAACAGTTCAAAAATTTCTTAAAATGAGTGCAAGAATGAGTGAACCGTTGAATTTACATCCAACGGCGAGTGACCAAAAATCTATTGGACCCTTGTGGTCCAAGAGATCGGAGCTGATTATTCTAATATATAAGATTACTTTTCTTAAATTCTAACATTTATGACACCGTGATAGTGTGTGTGAGAGAGAAACCTATCTCTTCTATAATTTATGACTATTGCTTGTAGTACTAAATAAGTGTGTAAGAAGACGGGCACGTTACCCATGTCTACACAAAAAATCTAGTTCATAAATAACAAAGCAGCACGTTATCGTATCTCACCCGTATTTACATGTACCACGCTATTAGTTTCAATTAATAAAGTGGCCTCATATGTGGTCTCCCAACTATTTTAATAGCTTTGACACACAAGTAAAATAGAACAGAGACTAATAACCCCAAAAAAGAAAACAAAGTTAGTCCACTTAGTCCTGATCAAACGTGCGGGGCTGAACCAATGAAATATCTCAGACCAAAAAAAACCCAATGAAATATCCGTCACAAGAAGTGGTGTGATTGTTCACGTAACCACCATCCCTCTCGAGACTTCCATATCAGGGAATAGGAAAGTTTTTCTCCCTGTGCCGTAGCACTTGCTGACATTTATTTCCAAAAGGGTGCCTGACCTCTCTCGTACTCTTCCATGCAAGTTTATTGCTACTGCCACGCTGGCCACCCGATTAAATTAAATTCACAAATAAATTAATGAAATTGATATCGTGGATGGACCTCTATGATTACACGGAACCTATGAATTCATCCACCACATGATTCATTCATTCCGCTTACGTCAACACGGACTAATCCGACTACGTCATAAACTATTTAAAATCACAAACCGAACACTAAGCTATCAACGGCTGACACATTGCCTCTTCCAACCGAAAATGCCGTTATCACCGTCAATTAGGGTGAGGGAAAATATAACCCGTGGGCCCGGAAAAGATAAAATTTTAAATATCTTGGACAGCTAGGCCACATCAATTTGTCTATCTAATCTATGGCGGGACATCCCAGTACAATCCCCACCGTCAATCTAAGAGTGATGGACGGTAACGATGAACACAAGATAATACAGCCAAGTCTGCCTAGGTGTTGACAAAGTCAACCTGGACCCTATTTATTTTCCTCCTACTATTATTCAGAAAGGATTGACCAAAAAATATATATATATATATATTCAGAAAGGACTACAAACCGCGCACCACTATACGATTACAATTATTTCAATTATTTCTTAATAAACTAATAGAAGTGGGTTGCTACTTTTAATACAAAGGATTATTCTAAATAAATAAAAACAACACAAGGACTATACTTTTGCAGTCCTTTAAAGTATTTGTATTATTAGGTCTTTTTTCCACACACAAAAAACAAAACCAAAAAGATGCTGCGTATCCGTGCGTAAATCTTTCTCTTAGGAACGCCATGTGTGGCACATGCCAAAGTCAATCATGAAGATCATAGTCATACCAAATGCATCTTTCTCTGGTTTTAGATATCAAAAGAGCTAAAGTATGAGATCCAATCAATACCCAATTACCATTTCTCACATTTGTCATATGCCTTATTTATGCATAAAGCCAACTCTTGATCAACATTCTTCCGAGAACCCTAGCTATCACCCTCCTAAACCCTAAAAATTACAACTTACATCACACTAAATCTATCGTATCATTCTATAATACTTGAGTTTTAAATAATGCATACGAGATCATAGAATATCTAAGATTTCAGAATGTCTCCCAGTAAATTTTAAATATACAAAGAGTAGGTCAATGCTTTACCATTATAAAAGTTCCTCGTAGTAGTTATAACCCATGAAGTCATCTTCTACAGAGTTTAGTAATTAGATAAGCATGTCATGTGTCATGAAAAAGTATGACGTAAATTTGTTTGCATTTTTTATTTCTCTCAACAAGAAACTCATTTTATTATAAGACCCATATAATATAAAGCAACGTGGCAGACAGTCAGCACCGCCCTTGCCGAAAGAAAAATACAGCCATTGGTGTGTGAAGCTTATCTCAGAGAGAAGGAGACAAAGTAATAAGAGGGAAAGAGAGTTAACGTACTTGAAGGAAGAAGGATTGGAGGGCCACTCTGGAACGTACTTGTCCAGAGGATAGCAATGGAGTCTGAGATAGTCTCTCCAGTTATGAACCTTCTCCTTGTTCACATTAAAACTTGTAGAAAGCCTCATCGTCTTTGATGGATCATCTGAATACAACTTCATCTTTTCCTCCACAGGAAGGCTAAAGAACTCAGTGGCCGTCCCTAACATCTTTTCCACTGCTTCCGTAGACACACCATGATTGATAACCTATGGTACCAAAATCAACGGACATAAACAGATCGCAACATATATATATATATATATATATGAATTATATACGTGACAAACAAGTTCTTGATATGATATAGAGAGTGAGTCAGGTAGATACCTGAAAAAAGCCATAAGACTTGCAAGCATCACCAACTTGCTGCACAGTTTCGGCTCTATTCTCCGAGGCCAAATTAATTACAGGAATGTTTTCGCATTCGAAGACTTCAGACAAGCGAGGTCGCTCGGATTCTGGTCTGACATAACCTTCCGGCAAGTTTTCGTATTTGAATCCGGAGGAGAGGACTTTGGTTTCCATGTTTCTTATAATTTTTGGGGGAGGGGGATGACAAAGACAGCAATTAAAAATGCGCGGTCTCTCTCTCTCACCGTCGTTCTCTTGGTCTGCCTGCTAAGCTTAATTGGAGTAAGTAAAGTTCCAGGAAGTTGCACTTCTCAGTGACATTGCACGCGGTATTTATATAAGAGGCGCTGAGTGACCTGTCAAATATTGACCATTGACTTGTAGGCTTGGGTCTTGCAGCCACTCAATGTGGTTGTATAACTGTTGCAGACAACTAGAGTCTTAGGGCTCGTTTGGGAGTGTTTTGGTCCTCCGATTCTTTAACTTTAGGCATGCATCTAAAAAATCCCACCTGAACTGAAGTACTTCCATTTTATGCATGGATTGCTAGGGTTCGCATTTTTCATATCTCAATTCTCTTGAGAAGTAATTGTTGAATTGCATCTAAAAGAGGTTGTTTTACTTTTATGTATTAATTGATAAATCAACAATTGGTGTCTTATTGTCTGTCTATCTAAATCTCAACTTAGACCTCGAAATGCTGCATGTGTTGCAGTAGCATCACACGTGAACTAGTTTTATTTCTAGATTCCCATGATCTACCAGGAGCCTATTGGTCCACAACCAATAAGCTATCTTTACCGCCCTATCTATGTATGCCTAGCTGGTTACTTTTTTTTTTTTTTTTTTTTTTTTTTTCTTCTCTGTCATTCGGTAGAGAGAGGAGACGGGGAGTATTAAATTTAAATTGGATTGTCTTAAGATTGTCAGCTACGAAAATTGAATCGGAGTGCACTTAGAGGTAAGGTTGAGAGTTTGGCCCACTTTTCCACTGTGGTGTCACTCCATGTGCCTTCTAGTATGTAGTAGTCTCCCTAGCACAAATTATTTAAGGCTAGCGTCTGCGTTGGAGACTTGGAGTAAAGAAAAAGCTATTTTTTTGTGTGGTTGAAAATGGGCAATATACACACCATAGGCTATAAAAGACGACACACATACTTGTAAGCTGGTTAGAAATGCTAACCATACATACACATCATTGTGGTTTACACGTAAAGGTCCGGTTTATGATATCTGTATATAGAAGAGATGATGCTATTGTCAATTTTAATTCAATGATTATATATTACATGTGATTTAGACATTGCTGCGGGTTTTTTAAGCTAGCTACTATGCATATATGTATTAAGCACACAGATAATGACTTGCATTTTTGAGGTGGAGGTTTGGGTATTGGCGGTATCTGTCACATGTCATGTTATATATATATATATATATATATATACACACACAGAGCTTCTATTGAGGGATATCTCAAATAAGTTTATTTGAGGGATACCCCTTGTATGGCCCACTCAGGATTGTATTTCACTAATCCAAACCATCTATTTTGTAGATACACATTCAAAGATCATCTCTACAAAAATTAACTTGAATCCGATATCATTTGACCATTCAATTGAGTTATTGAAATTTTAGTACTTTCTTGAAGCACCGTGTTCATTGATTTTGTAGGACACAATTGGATGTTGAAACTGTTTCCGATTTGTCTAATTTTTTGTAAGGATGATCTATGAATGAAAACCTAAAAAATAGATGATTTGGATAATTGGAAAAAAAATTGTAGGGTACCCTAAAGGGCGTCCCTCAAATAAAATTATTTGAGGGATCCCTTAATAGAAGGAGACTGTATATATATATATATATATATATATATATATATATGAACGTTGTAATCTTATCTTTAGGGTTGGAACTTGGAAGGACGACTTTGGAGTAAGGTTGAGAGTAAAATGCAATGTATCAAAATGAATGATTGGCATTGAAAGAAGATGAAGGTTTTATGGACTAGAAGACTCCAACCCACCACCTTGTGAGTGTGAGTGTAGAAAAAGAAGGTGGGTTGACTATCTGTTAGTCTTTGGGCTCGTTTGGGACTGATTCTCTAGGAAGTATTTTTGCTCATAAGCACTTCTAATAAAAGCGCTTTTATTATAAAAATCTTGCATTTTCAGAAAAAATTAAAGTGCTTCGTGGAAAAGCACTTGGGCGTGCTTCTTAAATAAACACATAGCAGGTGCTTCTCCAGGAAGTGTTTCTATGACACAGAAGCAGTTTTAAACTTTTATGTCAAACGTTGTCAGAAGCGCTTTTAGTTATTAAAAAGCGCTTTTGGCCCTTCCAAAAGCACTCCCAAAAGATATATACCATTTAATCATTACCAGAGATATATAATGCATGTGAGCTTGTGATCGATGTTTATATGGCTGGCGGTACAAACAAAATGGGGGGAAATACATGTGCCTATTTTATTTAATAGGGCCAGGTTGACGGGATCCCTCTTTCTTGTTTGATATATATGGTTTTGAAAAAGAAAAACATGAAGGAATTTCTCCTCCTCATAAGTCATAATGGAATGGTCATCATTGGTTTTTTCTTACTCGTCACTCATTACGCAAGCACAGTACATTTGACAACACAGGAGGCTGGCTTGCTGCCACTGAGAACCTAGCCTCTCACGTTGCCATCATACCTACAAAACCATTATCGATCTTCCTAGCCTAATTATGTTTGTATTATTCTCTCTTTTTCTGAAATCCTTTTGAATTAATTACTGCCTAATTTGCACTTTATTAGGGTTTTTGGATGTAATCATGTTAACCGAGAGGGTGGCTCCCCTGGTTGACTAGGGCCCTACCTTGAGTTCAGGATGTAACTTGTTCAAAGATGTGATCTCGCCTCGATTCTCTAATCACCTTGATTTTCTCATTAGGTTGGACTCAGGGGATCTTGGGAGATTATGCTCAAGTATATGGCTGATCATGTGGTTCTGACCGTGAGTATATGCCATCCAACCGACCTTGGTCTGATATGGCATATGATCTGGTCGAGTCGGTTGATTTGCCTTTAAAATAATGACCCGTCCTGATGGGTCGGGTAAAATCGGCACACGAGAGTATCTACTTTGCTGACCACGTAGCGCTATACTATAGGCTTGGCGTCCATTAATAAATCATGTTCAAACGAAAAAAGAAGTTCTTAAAAATTCATGTCGACTATAATCAGCGTTGGCCGACATATACGATAAATCTAGATGGCCTGCAATTACAATGCGTGGTATTTGTTGTTATAAAATTTGTTCACACTTAAATTTCAAACTTGCAATCAATTAAGATTTAGAGATGTTTTGTCCTACTCTCTTGTACCTTTTTACACGAAGGTTAATTAAGTTCCACAATCAGCTCTTTGCCAAAAAAGTGTGGTTTCCAGTTTCAAAAAAAAAGTTCAAAAGCGCGCTCGCAGAGTCGTAGCTTCTGCATAACACTTTTACTCGTCAGCAGCATAGGTCTAAAGTTCTAAACCTTTTTAGATCCAACTTCCATTATAATATTTGTTCTTTTTGCTTTTTTAAGTGGCTTTTTGTTTTTTTATCCCAAATTCTGGACCATTAATTCATTAGTTATGGTAGGTTAAATTATGTGCCCCATGCCCTGCACCCCTGCACCTAAACCTGGGTTAATTTAGGGACCCTGTACCAATGCAAGTTTCCTGGTCATGTCATCATCTTTTGAACCCGCGTGTGCGTCATCCGCTGACGAGATTGTAAGGTGGGCAGAAAGGCCACTGCCAAGTCTCTCTCTCTCTCTCTCTCTCTCTCTCTCTCTCCTCTGGCATTACCATATCCGACACGCTTGGCGACTTGATCGACCTTTTCAAGTGGCACCGAATATGCGTGCAATGCCCTACATCACACGTTATCATCATCATCATCTTCTTCTTCTTCAATTGGTTGGAGAGGAATGGAACCTCATCTTCTATATCCCCAATTGAGCTCCAATGTCCAAACAACGGTTTACTAAGTGCTGAGTAAAGACGATGATTCGACGACTCTAGCAAGCTAGGTCCCCTTCTTCACATTTGATTTGATCCCTCACTAGTTTTTTATTTTTGGTATCTTAATATTCTAAGAGTGATGCTACACTTACTATATTTTTATACCACATAATGTAGATGGGATGAGAATATGGTATACAAATGTAATAAGATAATGGATTATGAACGCGATCAATAAGTCAATGGCTACCACCGCCAATTGTGGTGAGTGCACTTTATAATCACAAAACATTCTAACACCTTTTTATAACCTAAAACAATGACTCTTAACAAATTATTCACCTTTTCATTTTTTCTTTTCCGAAATTGATGTCTTGACTTTTATACTTAGTGCCAGTTTGGCATTGCTTATTTGGGGTGATAAGTGATTTTTTAAAAATTTTGAGAAACCCAACCCGTTTGGTAAACTGTGAGAAAATCACTTATTGTTAAAAATTGCTGTGAGAGAAAGCTATAAGGGAAAGCAGCTAATGAGGTGCTTTCATTTTCTGATTATGTAGGAATCAGTTTCGAAGAGGTGCTGGGTTTATGATTATGCGGCAATCATTTTTTGATTATACGTAAAATCAATACCAACAACACTTTTAATAAAAATTTTACCAAATGCCAAACTGCTTTCTCTCACAGCTGATTTCTCCCACAGCAAATCTGACAGCGATTATTTTCACAGCATAGCAATGCCAAACTAGCACTTATGTTTCTAAACTCTCCGGTAATAAGCAATAATAATGATGTATTAATTGTAATGTGAAAGCTTGTGCGTAAATCTTATACCAGTGTTATAAATCAAACCAAATAGCAAGCCTTAATACACAAAAAGTCGTTCCTCAGAGTCCGGGATTTCCTTGCAAAATGCCCACCACTTGACCATGATGCTTCCCCTTTCCACACTTGCACTCAATTACAAAAAAATTAGTGGGCCAAAATTCAAACACCAAGGGCCCATGTTCTTGGGACAATTACCAGAAAACATTAAATTTGGGCCCATTCGGCTTTAGTCATTAAAAGTCCATGTGGCAATGAGTTGGAATTAAAAGTCCATTCCTTTTTCTATTTATTTTTCTGGCCCAAAAGGAAGCCAAATCTTTTCGTCTATTGGATATGGGCGTAAGTAAATGTCTTGAAAGCCCATTAGCCCAGTCAAATTATGCGTGCGAGCACACTAGTACCTTGCTTTGACTGTTTGACTCGTTGACCAACCAACCTTTCAGTTGCAATTTCACCAACTACATGTCGTTTCTTGAGTTAGCATCGCCTGCTTGTCAAATGCCTTCGCCTTGAAAATTCAAGCCCCCACTCCCATCTTCCGAGCTCCGACCCAAACATTTCCCCACCCAGAATACCTCTGCTTCATCCTCTCAACCAACCTTTCCGTCATTTTCCCCAGAAAAAAATTAAAAGAAAGAAGAAAAGGAAATGGAGAACTCAGCACAAGAATCCCATCTCGGTCAGGAGAACTCGGTGACGTACGAGTCTCCGTACCCTCTCTACGCCATGGCCTTCTCTCCCCCCCAAACACGAAACCGACACCAACACCACCGAATCGCCGTGGGTAGCTTTATTGAGGAGTACTCTAACCGGGTCGACATCCTCTCCTTCGACCCGGATACCCTTTCTGTAAAACCAAACCCGACCCTCTCCTTTGATCACCCTTATCCACCCACCAAGCTCATGTTCCACCCAAACCCTAACTCCCTCCACAAAACTAACGACGTCTTAGCGTCTTCTGGCGACTATCTCCGTCTCTGGGAGGTTCGAGACTCTTCCGTCGAACCCATCCAGGTCTTGAACAACAGTAAGACCAGCGAGTTCTGTGCCCCATTGACCTCTTTCGATTGGAACGACATCGAACCCAGACGAATTGGGACTTCCAGCATCGACACCACCTGTACCATTTGGGATATTGAAAAGGGGGTCGTTGAAACCCAGCTCATTGCGCACGATAAAGAGGTTTACGACATTGCCTGGGGTGAAGCTAGGGTTTTCGCTTCGGTTTCGGCTGATGGGTCCGTGAGGATCTTCGATTTGCGGGACAAGGAGCATTCTACCATTATCTACGAGAGCCCCCAGCCTGATACCCCTTTGCTTAGATTGGCTTGGAACAAGCAGGACCTGAGGTACATGGCCACCATTTTGATGGACAGCAATAAAGTTGTGATTTTGGATATCCGTTCGCCGACTATGCCCGTTGCCGAGTTAGAGAGGCATAGGGCTAGTGTAAATGCCATTGCTTGGGCACCCCAGAGTTGTAGACACATCTGCTCTGCTGGGGATGATACTCAGGCACTTATTTGGGAGCTGCCCACGGTCGCCGGGCCCAATGGGATCGACCCCATGTCGATGTATTCTGCAGGGGCAGAGATTAATCAGTTGCAGTGGTCTGCTGCACAGCCTGATTGGATTTCGATTGCATTTTCTAACAAGATGCAGCTTTTGAAGGTTTGAGGTGCAGGCCGCTTTTCTCATTTGGATTGTGAAGTGCTTTGCTTTGAGTTTATGACTGATATGTAGTGATCTGTTTTGGGTAATTTGATGCTTTTGATTTAAGTGTGGAATAAAATGCTTTGCTTTAGGTGAATTTGGGTGAATTTGAGACTAATAAGTATTGCATGACCGAATTGCTACTGTGAATGCCAGCATACTTTATTGTTGCAAATTTTGTGTGTGTGCTAGTTGGAGTTGCAGAGTTAGTGAAATACATTTGCATTTGCTGTAGCACCCCTTCTCTCTCTGCCTATTTGCATGGTATATCTGTCTTTCTGGTTATGCTTTGTAGTCATTTCTCTTGACATTTTCCTTGTTTGATGATACTCACCTCATTTCATTGCATTTGTGCACATCACATTTTGGCGCATGCTGTTGCACCTGGTTTTTCTATTTTTATTGTATTTTCTTTCTTTCACCCCTCAAATTACAGCATCATGATTTGGTCCCACAATTTTTCTAGGGCGAATTGTCTCGAGCTTTGCCTGCATTCTTCCCCTTCTGGCCTTTAACTTTAATTCTTTACCCTTGCAAATATTTCCTTTGAATTTCCAATCCCAGCGATCTGCTTGGGAGTTAGTTGCCTTCTGCTAAAATTGCAAGCTGTATTATACAATTGAAACCCAGCCACTGAAATTTTCTTGTGGAAATTGTTCTGTATAAATATGCATTCTTTTTGTCTGTTTTGTAATGCTGGTGCTTTCTGCTCTAGTTGTTTTTTCACTATTGATGAGCTAGCAATTAATGATAAGTCACCCCCATGGAGGGATCTCCTACATGGCTTTGTGTTTGGTATTGTTTTGTTTAGCTCCTACTATGCTTGTACACATTGTTACTGTCCTAGGCTGATACATTAACAGTGGATTGTGTATTCTTTTACCGTTCCCTTGAATTTGGTTGTTTTCTCCCTATTAACTGGATAAGTTGCATGTGTAATTTCTTTCGATGCAGGCCTCCTGATGGAAGCAGTGATGATCACTTGGCGAGTCAGCTGGAAGTACTTACTCTTTCAGTCAGCTGTAGGGTTGTTTGTAAAGGAATACGGTTAGCTTTGAACTGTTAGAGATCTATTTATTGCTTATTATCTACTAGTCTTGTCATCTTGGTCTAGAACCCCAATGAGAGTACCGTATCTTTCCCTCTCACTTTTCATCCCTTGTTAGATCCAATGTTAATTGTACCTGTTAGTGTTGCACTCCCTCGATTGCGAATGTTATAACTTATTTCCTCATGTTTGGCAGTACTTTATAGAAAGAAAAAGAAAGTTGTCAAGAAGATTTTGAGTGGTTCTATGTATGTATAACAGTGAAGTGGGGGGAGGATTTCTCTGCACTTGAGGCTAGATTTTTTGGATATCGATTTCCATGGTTACCTGTTGCATATTATTTCATGTCTCATTCATCCCACGAAAGAAGTGAAAAATTGTTAATGGTACTTGGAAATAACGGGCACGTTGGGCAACGGATGTTATTTTTTATTTTATTTTTTTGGTCGAAAGGGCAACGGATGTTAGGGCCTGGGTAAATCTGGTTTCAGTTCAACCTGCTATGCCGAATACAGCAAATTCATTCATACCCCTTACATCCCTTTCCATGGTTATTTGCATCACAAATATTTTCTCGATGACAATTGAATGATAGGTGCATGCTAACTTTGTGTTTAATCCTTTTTATTGGTTTATGTCTAACAACTAAGGCAGGCTGAGTCTTCATATTGGAATGAGTTTTCACATTGGAATTATAAGATAGTCGAGGCGCAGCACTTTGTAATGGATATGTATATTCACCACTTCAATTGTAAGTTGTAGGGCGAGTTTAGTCTAGCATCATCATCAAGCAACTGAATCAGTAAACTTTACGATACGCCAAGAAATTGAACACGAGCCTTAATATTGTTAATGCTCAATCAATTAATTTTCCAAATTGTCGATCCATTATGTTATGACGTGGTGTGTGTCCATGTTTAGAAAGAATATTCTGGAATGAAGGAGGAATGAGCGTGCATGGGCATGGCCCTGTAAGTGGTGCAGCAGCAGCAGCTCCTTCAACAGTTGATTGGTATAGCTGAGTCCGTCAAGAACTTTGTCAAGATCAAAACAGGCCAATCACACAAGCTAATTACATGTCCTTTGTTTGTCTATATATTGCCTATAATTCCACTTCAACATACAATCATCAGCATCAGGGTCATCAGACTAGCAGATGATTACCTAGCACCTTTAGATTAACCAGATGGATGAATATACAGTTTATAGTGTACTATCTATTTGTACGCAGTTTCTATATGACTTTGGGATATAATATACATATATCATCACTTTAAACCGCAACAATTTTGTGGTTATATGAAGGTGTGTGGCTGGCTGGCCTTCTCTCTCTCTCTCTCTCTCTCTCTCAGCTAAGCTAAGCTAACCATCACATGAATGAATGGCCAGGGTAAGTCAGCTAATATTAAGGCCTCCTCCTTTCATCACTAAGAAAGAAGTAGAAACTAAGCATTATAATGTAGATAACAGCTGAAAATGGGAGATATCTAGCATACTTGACGCGTTAAGAAAACCTCACTTTTTATTGTTCAATCAACAAGAGAAAAGAAGAGAAGAGAAAGAGAGAAGAAAAGAGGAGACTTTTTGGAGGCATGAATTCGACGGCTCCCAAGTTGTTGTAGTGACGGAGATTATGTGTGTGTGTGTTTCATAAGTTAACAAAATTAATGAACACATGTGTTGTGTGTTCAATAAGTCAACAAAATTAATCAAGAGTGTGTGATCGCTGATTTCAATGTTCCATTAAATAATTTGACAAAATGATTAGAGCAGATAATTGTAATAATTAATGCCAAATATATATATGCTAATTAAAGATTTCAGTGATCTTCATGATATGATATGGTGCCCGCCAACAAATTGAATATATACAACCCTCTTAGACTTAAGCTATGAAAATCGCATGTGTATAAGCTATAACATTAAACTATATCCTCAATCCATAATATACACATAAATATATAGCAAGTATATGGTGTTTCTATATATATAATACTCCCAATACTCTGGATTAACGAATGCATAGTTATACTTGTGTGATGAATTAATTCTTCAAAGGGAAGACTCTGGATTAACGGATGCACATAGTTTGTGTTGTGATTAATTAATTCTAAGGGAAGACCCACCTGCGCCACACCACACAATCATATATAATTGAGTTGTGATTAATTAATTCTAAGGGAAGACCCACATGCGCTACCCACACATATATAATTGCCTTCATAAATATGATATATAGTGATCGGGATATAGCTAATTAAGGCTAATTATGTTTAGTTTAATGAAAAAGAACTTTGGCTTGCAGACTAGTAGTTTCATATTCGAACATTTCATGACACCTTATAACAGAGTGTGTGAGAAAACCCCATCATCCTCCATAATTTTGGGAAAAAAAAGAGTCATCAAAATAATTGATGTATACATACATTTGTTAGTTCAATTATCTAAACGTCTAACCACATATGTCCTCACCTAACCTCCCAGCTGGCCCCATGTCCCTAAGGCTCAGGTAACTTGGTGAACATGTATTAGTTTTGTTTTGTACACTACACGAGAGAGAGAGAGAGAGAGAGAGTTATTATATATATATATATATATATATATATATATACACCTCATAGTTGTATAGTATACTGTATCATTTGAGTTTGTAATTAGCCTGTCTTGAATGCTCTTCATTTATTGCCAAAGGGGTTAGGTTTAGATCTTTCCACTACCCTCTCTGTTTTCTGTTTTTGGTCCTTCAACCATCCTTTCATTATCTTTATCTTCATTAATTTCGTAGGTGAAGGTTCAAATCCATCGTTTCACAACTTCAAGTGTATAGAACTAGTCTGCTTTTTTGGGAGCATAAAATGGGCTGCCATTGTGGTTGATATTGATAGCAATTAATAAAAGTATATGCTTCCAGTTCCAGTATTTGTGGTCTCTCACAGCATTCATTCATATCTGATGGGTGAGGAGGATCAAGCAAGAAACAATAATCTCATCAAAATGTTACTCTCTCTTCTCAATCTATTCGGGATCAAGCTACACTACTCATCCGAACATGGTCAATATCAAAAGGATAATTATATTCTTGATCCCCAGCCCGAGATCAATCCTTCAACTTGGTGGTTGGTACCATTACCCGTCCACTGCATAGCTGAATCCGTGAAGAACCAACTGCCAGTGGTGCAATACCGGGACTTTCTCAAGATCAAAACAGGCCAACCAGCAGAAGCAGAAGATGACTCCAGTAACAATGATCATATGTGTATTGTGTGCATGAACAGCATGGAAGGTAGCCAAGGGGTCAGAAAACTCTGCAATTGTTCACATGCTTTTCACAAGGAGTGCTTAGATGTTTGGATCGATGAGGGTCAGCTCACATGTCCTCTCTGTAGATCTAACTTATTGCCTAATTCCACTCCAAAATCAAATCATCATCATCACCATAAGGAGATGGGAGAATTTGAAGAGGATCCATGGAGGGCCGAGAGGAGGGTTTACTTGTTTGGTGAGGATGAGCTTGCCTAAGCCTAGCACCAAAATGAGAGCTTACTCTGTACCAAGCTAGTTTTAAAAGGCTTTACGCATATCATGTAGTCTCATGAAACTTGTTTTTTTGGTTTGTTTCAGAAATCAGAATGCCTTTTACGTATTCTTTCAAGTCTCAAACAAACAAATTACATGTTCATTTGTTTGTTTAACCTTGTTCTTTGATCTTCGATCTTCTTCCCACCCACTTGTCATATTTACTTATACATATGTAAATATAATATATAGATACTGGTTTTGTCAGAACTGTTTTGACAGTAAAAGGAAATTGAGAAGAAAAGAAAGAGGTGAGGAGAAAGCATGCAATAAGTGATGGCCTCATCATGGGCATGACTCGAGATAAGATTTGCACGTTCCATCATTCGCTTGGACCCTACTTCTCAAAATCACTTCCCTAACAGCCAGGCAAGATGGAGATGGACACCTCTTCATTCAGCAACACGTAATAGCTTTTTCTCGTGATCTAATTTTCAACGAATTTCGTCAGCCTCATTTTATTTCATTTGGTGTATGAAGTGGCGGAAGGATTTCTCTGCACTTTGCAGAAGAAGTGAGACTAGTGGTATTTATCTTTTACAATATTAAAACAAGTGCTAAGTTCAATTTGTTCTCTTCGACTTCGAATATGGAAGAAAAAAAGAAGAAGAAGATTTCCCAACTTTGCTCGCCGCCCAAACCTTACCTTGTGTCTTTAATACTAGCTAGTCTTCACAAGGGATTAGTTTAGTTAGGTTGATCCTTTCAGGATTTCACTATCAACTTTCATAATTGAATTTGAACATTGCATTCCTTTCACTATGCACAACAACATTCACCAAATATCACCAAATAATGGTGGCTGTTGTCCATTTTTTGTCATAGTTAAGGCTCTTTAAAGTCCACTTCCTGGCTAGCTTTACCAACCAAAAGAAAAGGCTGATATATTAGCCAATACAAACACCACCTACGTGGCTTCCTAAGGACCAAGCAACCAAAATAGCCGTACAAAAGTTTCCAACTAAAAAGTAGCTGGAGTAGTGTTTTTCTCTTCCAGAAAACACACGAGCTGGTTTTAGCAGAGAGAATTTTTTTGATAAAGTTATTACAACAAGAGCGTTACACTAAGTTTAATAGTCTGAGTCAGAACATGTATGATGTATGTATCTCAGTATCTGTATCTGATGATGGAGCAAGCAAGAAACATGTTGATCAAGAACATTAGCAGCAGCTCCTTCACCTTCAATACCTGTCCTCCACTGAGTCCGTCAAGAACCGTATACCAACTGCCAGTGGACCAGTGCTCCGCAATGCCAAGACGTTGTTCATTTAGACTTTTGTGAAAGAACAAGTAATCTTTGTTCATTTATTCAACGTTAGTAATTTGTTCGTTTTTTGACTTTTGTTTGTTTGCATGGGATTTTCAACCCTTGTTGAAGTCTAATATTTGCACGCATTTCCTATATGCCTATCTGATCCAAGATTCATACTAGCTAACCGAGATATTCCAAGAGATTAAAATTTGACTTTGGCTGGCATATGCGTCCACCGACCGTACGTCTCATAGTCAAAGCTAAGCCAAGCTATCCATCACATGAATGAATAGGCGTATGCGTCCACCGACCCAAGACTTCCTCCCTCCACAGACTCTTTGTTGATGTAGAAACAAAGCATTACTAGCTGAAAATGGGAGGTGGCTAGCCTATAGCATACTTGCCTGCCACGTTGAGAAACCTCACTTTTTGTTCAATCAATAACAGAAAAGAAGACAAACAAGACTTTTTGAAGGCATGAATTTGATGATTACTTCAATATTACCTTGTGCATTATTGTATATAATTATGAGCAGAGCAGATATAATTGTAATAATATCTCATCTTCAATCCTCTTAGACTTGACTAGTACTTCATCATCATCTCATCTTCAATCAACTTTTAATTATTCATATTGCTTCCTTTAATTTCCAATATATCGTAACTGTACACAACATTAAACTATCCTCATCAATCCATAATATACACATGTGTATCTATATGTGGCGTTTGTAATACTCTCAAGACTCTGGATTAACCAATGCATAGTTGTGTGATTAATATTAATTCTTCCAAGAGAAGACTCTGGATTAACGGATGCATTATGCATAGTTGCATTACACATATATAATTGACTTCATAAATATGATATATATTGACCTGGAGAGAGAGAGAGAGAGAGAGAGAGAGCGCTTACCGAGGGAACCTGCTGACCGCTCAAACCTTACCCGTCTCTCTTGATTTTTTTTTCTTTCCAGAGGATCCTTCCACTGTTCCACTACCCTTTTTTGTTCTCTGTTTTTGCTAAACCCTCTTTTCACTATCTCTTCATTAATTCGTAGGTGAAGGTGGTTAGGATTAATCGTTTTCACAACTTAAAGAGTGTACAATTATTAGCTAGTCAACTTTTTTGGGTGCATAAATATAAATATTAGAAAACTTCATATATATCCAAATTTCTAACGAGGAGTTGAGTGTCCTCGGATTTGATGACTTTGATCCAAGTCCTTTGACTTTTGTGCCATAGAGAATTACATTCATTTTTAAATATTTTATGATGTAATATTTTCATTTTTTGTTTCAATGTTGCCCCTTACGACTTGAATCGGGTAATAGTCATTTATGTCATACTGCCTATTACCTATTACATTAGGTATATATATATATATATATATGTGTTTTTTCATATTTTTGACAATGTGTTATGTACCTTTTTTTTATAGGTAACATACAATTTTATTTTGTCTATTTTTGTATCTGATTTATAAGTAGTCTTCTAATTTATGTTTATAACTTATAGGTAATACGATTTATCACTATATATTTACCTGTATGTCAGGTATATAATTTAATGTGGGTGCTTGTCTAATCGATTCGTATAATATGTGGGTCTTTACTTTTTATTGATTAAATTGTATTTTATCCATATATTAGGAATATGATCAAGGAAAGAATTCAAAATTTAAATTCTGGAATTCAATTACACGGAAATAATGCATTAAATTTAGATTTTCAATGTGTTTTCTTTATTTACCTCAAAGGGGAAAATCTACACAACAAAAAAAGTAATTAATGGACCTACATCTAAAACCAAAAAGACAAGGACTAAACCTAATGATATCTAATCGTTTCAGAACTAGATATAAGAAGCCCTATAAAATATATGGGGGGTTGCCTTTGTGGTTGATACAGGATTTGTGATTGTGGTCTCTCACAACATTCATTCATATCTCAAGTACTGACTCTTCCTCATGGGTCAAGCAAGAAACAATATTCTCATCAAAATGTTACTCTCTCTTATGAATCTACTCAGAATCAAGCTACACTACTCATCCAAACGCGGTCAATATCAAAAGGATAATTATATTCTTGATCATGATCGTGATCACCGGCCCGAGATGAATAGTTTGCCAGCAGCAGCTCCAGCTCCTTTGCCTTGGTGGTTGGTACCATTACCCGTCCACTGCATAGCTGAATCCGTGAAGAACCAACTGCCAGTGGTGCAATACCGGGACTTTCTCAAGATCAAAACAGGCCAACCAGAAGCAGAAGCAGAAGATGACTCCAATAGCAATGATCATATGTGTATTGTGTGCATGAATAGCATGGAAGGTAGCCAAGGGTTCAGAAAACTCTGCAATTGTTCACATGTTTTTCACAAGGAGTGCTTAGATGTTTGGATCGACGAGGGTCAGCTCACATGTCCTCTCTGTAGATCTGACCTATTGCCTAATTCCACTCCAAAATCAAATCATCATCATCATCACCATAAGGAGATGGGAGAATTTATTAGAGAGGATCCATGGAGGGCCGAGAGGATGATTTACTTGTTTGGTGAGGATGAGCTTGCCTAAGCCTATAGCCATAGCACCAAATCTTGAGCTCACTCTGTCTGCACCAAGCTAGCTAGTTTTAATTATATTCCATATATGTTTCTCCAAGAGGGAAGCGCAAGGCTTAACGCATATCATGTAGTCTCTTGAAAGTTGTTTTTCTGTTTGTTTCAGAATCAGAAATCAGAAAGCCTTTTACGTATTCTTTGAAGTCTCTCAAACAAAAAAAATTACTCAAAGTTATTGATTTGTTTGTTTAACTTTGTTCTTTGATCTTCATCGATCCCACTTGCCATACTCATACTTACATATATGTATATATTATTATTAGATGTAAGTATATATAGAGATAATGGATTTGTCAGAATTGTTTTCACAGAGACATGGAAACTGAGAAGAAAATTAAAGAAGGAGGTGGCATGCAAGTGGCTGGCCAGGGAGGATCATAGGATGGGATGCATAAGAAAAGGAAAGAGACGACCTTTTTTATAAGACGGTTTCCAAGTTGTAGACATGCATGAAATCATACTAAAAGTCTGATCCAGTACTCAAGAAAAGTTAAAAAAAAGGGTCTGTAGACTGTGCGTGATGGAAAGATTCCGTAACTTGACAAAGTCAAATATGTGAATCAATGAAATGCTCAATTGATGTGTGCACGGTAGCTGCTGGTCATAGTTGATCTTGTTTGTATATTATTATTATAAGCATATATATTCATGTACGGTGTACGTAGTTGTAGATGAACCAAGAAACTGAAAGGAGAGCCCTTACTTACATTGACTGGACTTAGCTAGATTTATTCATCAAATTGCTTCCTTAGCTAGATTTCCAATATGTTATACATATGCATACCCAATTAGTCCACACACACGTATATGTAGTGGACTTGGTGGTGGTGTTTATATATTCAGAAGACTTTGGAGTTAATGATTGCATTTACACGTAAAGTAAGTAGCAGGATCGAGTTTTAGTACAAATACAGATATATTTATATATATAGTTCAGTTCAGGCGACTTATCGATCATGTATAGTTTTTACAATGCTTGAGTCACTATCCAATTCCAGTGCGGTTTCGGATCCCTTTTTATAGTGAATGAGATTTAGAGTCAACCCAGAATTATACAAATAAAACGCGACAGAATCATGCTTGGTAAACATATTTAGTATCATATATTGTGTAGTTGTTGTATTTGAGGCCAAGAATAAGCAGTAAGAAACCCAAAAAAAGGGGAAAAAAACAGAGTAGGTAGGTAGGGGTTGTCTTTGTGCTCCAAACATTAAATATGTTTCCAATTGGGTATTTGTTGTGATGGTGGTCTCTCAGAACAGTAACACATGTATCTGATGATCGGCCAAGCAAGAAACAACAACATGCTCATCAAAATGTTGCTCTGTCTTCTCAATCCACTCAACATGATCAAGATACACTGTCACTTCTCTGGTTGCTTTTCCCACATAGCCCAAGCACTTCTTATGGCCCCAATGGCCCAATATTCCGTCAGCTGATAAATTAATATGTCAAAAAAATTTCATACAAAGCAATATTATGCGGTGTAGTCGAATACATGACTTCGAATATACGGTAAATATTCGTTACTATTTGAATTACAAGTTCCTTCGTACGATACCTATGTCAACTTGATAAATGCATGATATTCATTTAGTCTTTTTTTTTTAATAGAGGATATTCATATAGTCTCTTTTTTGGGTCAAATATTCATATATTCTTGAATGATTGTTCTTGTTGTTTTTATTTATTTATTAATAAATTGATCTACTCCAAAATAGCCGAAGAAACGTAGCGCGAATAAAAATGAGAACAATATACGATACTGATGCCCTCAAATTCCCACCTCTTATTTTTCCTGTTTCCGTCTTCTCCATCTTCTTATTGTCACCAAAATTCTGTCATTCTTTCGATCAAACATGAACCACCATTATTGTTATTATCATCTTCATAATTTGACATGACACCGCCGCCGCAACCACCAATCAGAAACAACCACACCAACCTTCTCCAAAACCCCAACAACAACCTCCCAACCCTACCCGATCTCCTCCTCACGGCCCTCTCCTTCTGTTTCCTCTTCTCTTCCTCCACCACCAGAGCTACCCTCTTCTCCAAATCCCCATTTCTTCATTTCCCTTCCTCCCCTCGCCGCTTTCTCAAAATCCCCATCATGTCCCTCCACCACTTCTCCACCCCACAGTCCCTCTCCGACTGGCTCAAGCCGCGCCTGCTCTCCGACTCTCTGGCCTCCTGGGGGGTCAAGCCCGGCACCAAAAACGTCCACAACCTCTGGCTCGAGCTCTCCGAAGGCGAAAGCTCTCTAGCCGACTCAACCCCTCCGGTTCGAACCGTTCACGTCGTCACGGTACGGATCATCGACGATAAATTCCGGGTCTTGGTCGAAGCCCACCAAGAATTATCGGACGGTAGCGTCCGAAGCCGAGGCCGGCCCTTATCGGAGAAAATGAAACCCGGCGAGGACCCCGAATCGGCCGCTAACCGGGCTGTTATGGAAGAGCTCGGTTCGATTTTAAAAGGGTTGGTGAAAGATTCGGGAAATTGTGGCATTCTAAAAATTGTTCCGGGTTCGTATGAGAAGAAGGTGGAGGAGCGTCATTCGGCGTCGTATCCGGGCTTGCCGGCATGCTACGTTTTGCATTCGGTGGATGCTTGGGTGGATGGTTTACCAGAAGGAGAGTTTTGCACTGAGGAGGAGCATGAGTATGCGAATTGCGGAGAGATGAGTATTGCTCACGAGGCTGTGTCTGTCAAGAAGCATTTTTGGAAATGGGTTAGTCTTGATTCAGTAAGATCTTGATTTGGTTTTCTGAGCTTGAGCTTAATTTCGTGACTTTTTTTAGGATATGAGAGGGAAAAAAAAAGGCTTCTTCACAAATTCACAATGTAATGCGATAATGGTATGTTTCTATCAATTGTTGGGTTAGAGAATATATGATGTAGGTCTTATTAAGATACTGCACCTTAAAAATCCTGTAAGATAATGTTATGAGCTTTTTGGCTACAATTTGTTGCGTAGTTCATGTCTCTTTTGCCATTTGAGAGAACTGCTTGATTCAGTTTTCAGTTCGGATGTATATATTACTTTTGCTTTGAATCAGTAATGAAGAGAAGTACAAACTTTCTTGTAGGTTTTAAGATTGCGTGGTTGTGGTAATTTTTGCTTCAGCTGTATATCTCCATGTTTTCCTTGCAGGTTTTAGTGTGCCCGATTTCTGACTTGATGATTCAATGTCAAACTCCTTGTTTTGTTTGTCTTTTGGGAGTTGATTACTAGTCACATACTCACACGCATAGAGGGACTTGAGAATGCATTGGCCTTAGGATCCAATAATGGTTTTTTGGGAAAGCATGTGATAGAAGGCTGACAGTCATAGATCTCTGAGTTTGCAATTAAATGAATAAGACCACCTAAACAAAGAAGCATACAGGCTACAGATTGAATTTGAGTAAATTAAAGGCGTCGGATTGACCAGTTAGTCATACCCAATGAACTCTGTCAAAGATTTAATCTTTTGATAATCTACAAATGAATACTTGACGAAGGTGTTGGTTTACTTGTGTTTAAGTGAGTGCGAAGGGATTGTGGTTAAAATATATTGGTGTTGCATTAACTTAGCCATTGTTTACAGTTTTTAATAGCTTGTCTCAAAATGTCATAAATCCTTTAGTCAGGAATGGAGGTTCAAATGCAGGTTAAGAGTATGGTAGCAGAGGCAGCTAGTTGATATAGATATAGATATAGATAGAGGGAGAAGTACTCCAGTGATTTCTATTTACAGCTTCACTTTCTTTTTAGGAAATGGCGCTACAAATCACTCCCTTTGAGTTCTGTAGTTGAATATGAGTTATATATATATAACATATGCACTCAAAGGTCTTGAATATCCCATTTAGTGTTTGGTTATGTCTAGGTCTTGAATACTTTATGTCTCTTGCTTCAAGATTTGAAATGGATTTTAGTATTCTTATTCAGTATGCTGATGTTATAATTTGGATATATAGAAATCTTCCATCCAGTTCATGGTCACCCTTGAATCTGGATCAGCTTATTGGAAGTTTTACCATAGAAATGGACCTATGGTTGGTTGTTGCTACTTAAGATCGATTGCCTTGTTGTTCATTAACTTGTGTGTCAACTAACAACTGTTGCAGTATTTGTCTGTAGAATGTTGACATTTTACTAACACAAATCATTTGTGTTTCATCTTGAACTTTAGCATTTCACAATTCTTTTGTGGTGCCTGTAAAATGCATTGCATTACTATATAGCAGAAGGATTCATAGGCTGTGAGTAACAGAGGCAGGGTTTCGAGTCCTTGTAGTTCGGACACTTTGCTAATCTTCGTGTGTATGGCAAGTTAAGTTTGAATTTAGGCCTATTCATATGTTATGCAGTAGCAGTTAGTTTTGTATGAAAGGAAATAATGTTTAAGATGATGGAAGAAAAACAAGTAGAATTTGATTTTGTTGGCATGCTTTGAGCTCTCTGCTTTTAGTTCTTCTCCCTCCCTGATTCCCACATGGCGCGGTCTCTCCGTCTGGGGAAATAAAGTTGGATGGCTCTTTATATTGTGGAAGGACATAAAAATCCACTCCCGTTGTGTCACTCTTGTAGTTTTCTTGTAAAATTTATGGTTTTGATTGAATTACCGGATGGATGGTGAAACGCAATTCTAAAAGCAGTTTTGTCGTGAAGTTTGTGAGGTTCTTTCAGCTATTCAGAGTCATTGTGTGGGGAACATATCAGGTAAGGAGACGCTAGCTTTCTTTCGTATCCTTAAAAAGTAGTGTTACTTTTGAAATTTGTGGAACTAGATGTTTTTTCTTTTGGGTTTAGAATTATTTGTTTCCTTTTGCCTTTGAAGACGCAGGGAAAGCTTTTTTTGTCAGCATCTTAAATTTTCAAGTATTGAAGAGTTTCTGTGTTGCAAGATGCCAAGATGCCAAGATGCCACGATGCCACGATGGTAGTGCAGCGCAGTGCAGTGCTTGAATGTGAACTAATAGTACTCTGATTTATTAGCTATCATTTGTCGCTTTCACCTGCCATTTAAGGTTAATTTGCTAATTGAAGGAACCAAAAAGGTTAATTTCAAAGTTAATCAAACTGGAGGCGGTCAAAGGTGAAAATGCATCCACTTCCTCCTCCCTCAAAGGCTGTAAAGCTGTAAAGCCAAAGCATATTACAATTTTTCTTGCATTTGATTTGCTCCTATAATCTATTAAAGTCTCTGTTGGGCAGTTCCCTTGTTACCCAAAAAAATTCGATTATAATTTTAAAGCGGTCAATGAGTTGACTAATCCCAGTATAATTGAGAGAGAGAGAGAGAGAGAGAATAAAGAAGTAAAAACAAATGAGTTTTCTGCCCAGACAGAATTAGCACAATTCTGCAGCATATTCAATTAACAAAGCCATATAAATTTCTAAGTCAAGCTTCAAGGAAGATACACCCAAAGATTCTGCCAAAAGAAGCAAGGAAAGAGTCCATATATGCATTAAGCCATTTTCATGTGATTACTAATTTAAAGGCGAGGGTTGAAGTGTAAATTTTGAGATTCCTTAACGAAGAAAATAATGGATTTCTCTCCTTTTTCTCTTCTTTTTCTCGTTTGGCATCTCACCTATCATTACCTCTTTTATGTCTTTTTCCGGCAATCCTTCCTTTCTCCTCGTCATGCCCACAAGCACAAGCAAAGTAGCAAAGCAGAACAGAAACAACTCCTCATCCATCCTTGCCTTGTCAAAATTAAACCCACTACTCAAAAAAGAATCTATGGCAACATTCCTTTTCTGAGTTTCTCTTCTCATCACCTTTGGCTTAAGATACAACAGAGTTAGGCAAGCTTTTCATTCTCACTTATATATGATCAATACATGCAGTCCTATATATCAATCATATATGATTGCTAATTTACAAACACTTCAGAGGAACAGAGCAAGATACATAAGTGATCAACATGACCAACCAAATATTAATAAAAAACCAATCAATATATAGAAAGAAAAAAAATGTAGGCAGGCTAGTCATGATGTCATGTTAGAAGTAGATCAAGTAGTATTTCAGACGGTGGTAGAACACTGAGTTCCTTGCCTTGAAGTGAGTGGACCAGTTGGGATAGAAGGACCAAAAGCCATGACAGCAAGACAGTCCACGTTCACTCTGTACTTCCCGGAGACCCAAGTCCCGACCTTCCATCGAAGCCTCCCGATCACTTTGAGGTTTAAAACCAGTCTACCAGCTGTTTGGTCACGCCCCACTTCATAACCAAAGGAGGGAGCCACAGGCAGACCCGTTCCTACCAAAGAAGCTGTCAAGACATTGCTGTCTTCATGTCCTTGGTAGAAGGGAGGAAGAGAAGTGTAAACAGTGATTTGTTGACCCTTGTATGCAGCATACACTTTAAGCTCGTCGTAGTAAATCCCAACTTTCTGGTTTGGGTTCTTGGAAAGCAGAGTGAGCTGAACAGATGAGTTGAGAAGGTGGCTGCCTGAGAGGTTGAGCTGGTAGATATCGGCTTCTTTGAGTGAGAACTCTGGTTTGGTGGGGTGCAGGATAAGCCAAACAAGTAATATGATAGACAGAATTGTGGTGGAAAGTGTAGAGAATACCAGGAATAGCTTCTTGTAGAGCTTTCCAATGTTCAGTCCTTGCTTATTGCCACAGTGTTTAGGAGATTTTGTGAGGGCTTGAGACATTTGCAGGAAGAGATAAGAGATTGGATTTCAGAGAGAGAGAGAGAGAGGGACAGAGAGAGACAGAGAGAGAGAGAGAGAGAGAGGATTTACAGGGCTAAGCAAGAGGAGGGAGATGATGGGGTTAATAAAGAAAGCACTGGGAAGCAGAAAGTAGCAATAATTTTGCTCTCTCTTGGACTTTTGACTGGCAGCTCCTCGTGGGACTTGGCTGTAATATATTTACTTGTAAACTTCTGGAATGCGCTTCGAATTCAATTAAAATGTTTAGGTATTAATCTTTATTATGGTATGTTGTTAAACCGTCAATTTGTACTCTTATTAATTTAATTAGGAGGACTCGTGTACGAATGTGTGATTTAGCAGTATAGCACACACTTTTAGATATCTGAAAATAAAATATTACGTGTTTGCGTAAATCATATTATCAACCATTGGATTATTAGAACATCCATTAATGTTGACCGTGTTCCAATCCTTGCTGTGTATCAATCCAACACATCTGGTAGGGTTGCTCTGGCATGATTTATGAATGGGCCAAGCCGGTGTGGGGAGCGAGCTTAGCCTTTTCCTAAAAGCAAATTGGATGGGTTGCTACATATATTCGCCAACTTACTAACTTGCAATTGCAAAAAGTTGCATGTTTGAATAGTGCGCAGTGAGAATGACAGGAAAATACAGAAAGTAGTGCTACTTCAGTGAACCCCTTTGCGGCTTTTGAGTTGAAAACAACTTAGGACTTAAAGAGGAAAATTTCTTGTTAATTAGGAAAACAGAGTAATCAATTTGCATTTTTATGATATGCCTTGATTGATTCACGAATATTCGAGGCTCCTCTTCATTTCATTCATTGTCTTTTTGTTATTTTCATCTGCATGGCCATGGCAATCACAGTGGTTATTGCATCCAAGGTATAAAATCAGTCAATATCAAGACAAATAAACATGATTCATGAATATACAAGCTCTGTGCTGCTATCTTAGAGAAGCCCTGCAACCAATTTTATTAGTTTAATTAATTTATGTACACTTCTCATATCCCATTATGCTTTAACAAGAATTATAATGTGAATTAGACCTACCATGATGATCAAAAGCAGAGGATACGAAGAATATCTGTCTTAGCCAGAATCAGAGATTGGAGAAACTTTTGGAATAATTGAGAGGAAAGTGAAGGCTTTTAATTTATAAAAGAGCAATAAGAGATGGCATAGCCAATAGCCGATAGCCTTTTCTTGTTGATTGAAAATGAGTGAGAAATGGTGCAATAGCCCCCTTCTCTATCTTTGTCCTCCCTATTTCTAGTAAATGCAAGATGGTCATTAAAAAATTGTGATTAGGGATTAAAATATAATTAACTAAAGGTGCAACCTTGCTTGAGTATAGAGTATAGAGACTGAGAGTTTTCAAGATCCGGAGTTTTTTATATTATTTTTTTCAACTTATTTAGGTGTGCATCAGAAAGAGTTCAAAAGGAGAGAAGACATGGAGAATCTGTAAACAGGCTTTTTGGAAATCACTGGGAAACATCATCAATCATTCATTTCTTGGTTTATTATGACTTTTTGTATCTGTTACTTTTATGTTAAGGAAAGGCCATGTATGGTAGAAGACTGTTAGTTGATGAACCTTCATTGGCCGTTCGATGTGAATACTCAGGAAAAATTGTTGACACCAAAGTGGGGGTCAGTGCCATTGGATGTGAATACTTGAGAAAACTAGGGTTTGGCAGAAAAATACCACTGGTTTTGGTTTGGATTATTATTATGAGGGACCCTCCTGTTAAGAATCTTGAAGATAATATTATACAAGACTTGCAGGCTTACAGTAGCTCAATTTTCGTTGAAATTGAGAGGTGTTGGGTTTCTGCTTTTTTGAAACTTTTTCAGGTTTTGAGCCGTTCAACAAAGTCTCAAGAGAAAGCACATCACCTTAGTGATTTCTCATCTGCTCATCTAATAAAAGTTTTTCTTTCTTCTTAAATTTTGCTTATTTCTTCGATCCGGGTCCAAAAAAAAAGGTCCCTTTATGATTTTGATTATATAACAGGGAAAGAAAAAAAATTATTTTTTGGCTTTTCATTTCATTGATTGTTTAGAGATAAACATGTTCAAATGGGGCATATGATAGTAGCCCTTTGGAAATTGGCTCCACCACCATCACCTTCAGCCAATCCAGATTTGTGGAGTGTGTGTTGGGTCACTTTTTAGTTGGCCCTAAAATCATTGCATTGGGAAGATAACCAGAGCTAAGAATCTGATAGATCACCAGCAAACTGCTGGTGGTGATGAGACTGACTCTTGTTTATATGCATTTGTATTTTTGTATCTTGATATCTTCAAATGCCAACATTATTTCACCTTCAAAGCTAAACCAGATATGCACAATTTCATCACGGCATGACTTGTATTCAGTCATGATGGGTTATTAGTACAAGAAAAGCCTTTGAGTTGGTTGCCTATAAACTAACACTTGTTTCGAACTTTTGAATTGGGCTACCCCTTATGGGAAATTACCAACCACAATTAGTGGGAAGAAGGCATGATCATTTTGATGACATGGACGACTTTGAGAAGTCTCTGTTTGGACAATAGTGCAGCACGCAGCAGTAGTGGAGGCTGTACCCAAAGACGTATCTATCTATTGCTGGTAGAAAATGATATTTATGAATTGGAGTTGCAGTGGAGAAATCGCTTTTCGTTCACCCCAATCAGAATTTATATTTGCAAAACAAGTGATATTTATTAAGCACTCGAAGATGTCACTGTTTGAAAGCACCACCCATTTAAGCTGTTCGAAGGGGCACTGAATAATCACTATCAAGTATAAAACACTGATTTTGGCAATTCCCTTTGTTAAATGAAACTGTTCTCCTTCTTGCCGTCTCAAATTACAAGATAAGTATAAATGAAGTCTGTATATCAACTAAGATCTGAAATTCTGAATGAACAAACCTTTGAATGACTAAAGCAGCCCTAAGGAAATTTTAAAGGAAACAAAAAATATTTACAACCTTCTTTTACAAGGGATACGGTGATAATATGAGTTAATAACGGATATCCACAAACAAGATGATTATGGAAGTGATGTCAGAAGCATCTTCAGGCCTGTATTTTTTTCTCTTCATTTTTGCTTCTTGGTATCAGATTCAAAAACTGAAAATGGTTTACTGGAGCTATACTACTCATCCTGCTATCTTAATTAACTTTGAGTACAAGAAACTATGTAGTTAACTATCATATGCATTGACATCAGCTTCTGCAGGAGAGGGATCAGTATTCACTTGACGAACAAACTGCCCTTTTATTCTGGGACGCTGCTCTGCAAGTTTCTTTCTGCTCTCGTAACGAACCTGTGAATCAAAAATCTAGTTAAGGAATTATAGACTTACAGGGTAGTTTGGTTTGAAAATCTTCGTTTTTTTGGGGGACTGGGGTTTTGGGAGAGAAGCAATGGCGGTAGTAAAAGTGAGAGTCATTATAGAAAGGATAACAAAGATACTGTACCTTCTTGTCATAGCATCTATCTTTCCGCTTCAAGCGGAACTTGTTTAGAGCTGCTTCTCTTTGGATGGACCGATGAGAATTTCCACTGTGAGTAAAGAAAGTGTCTTCATTCTTGCTCTCTGGGGCAGTCCTAAATATAGCTCCCTGATCAAGATTGCTATTACTTCCACAAGCACTTCCATAACCCACGGTATTAAGATGACCTGCAGTACCATTACAGAAACTACTGCTTGCACTCTGATCTGTTGTTGAAGAAACATGCCCTCGGTCCTCATCAAATCTTTGATCCTGATTGTGCAAAGTTTGGTCCAAGGGAGCTTTGGCATGTTGATACAATGTGCCGTATACTTGCTCAGATTTATCTTTTTGAAGATTTGCCGGATAAAATGTATTCATTAGGAACGAGGATTCCTGCTGGGCAGCTGAACTTGGCATTGGTGATGGACTTGATTGTGTACAAAACATTGGAGGCAGTGCAGTACCATACCCATTGCCTAGATTATTAAACCTTATACCTTTCACAGGAACTGGAAGAGGAAATAGTCTCTGCTCATGGCATGATGTTCCAATTTCAGATTGGTTAGATTGTCCTGTAGCTAGAGTGATAATACTCCTGGGAATACTTGAAGCTGTACCAGGAGTATCGCATTCAGCATTTGTATTGGATGCTTGCTTTTCAAATTTAGTTTCATGTGCCTTTTGTTCATCACAAACACCAGCCAATGTTGTACTCTGGGGCTGCATTGGCCTGTTGATGTATCTGCAAGATGGATCATTGATTGAATTAGAAAATAAGTCTAGTGAAAGAGTAAACTGATGTGCACAAATCACAAAAATCAAGTGCAGAAAATGAAAATGGAAATTCACCTTGAAAAGGCTGAGGCATTAGAATGGCCAAGAGTATGCCTTTTCTCAGTAGTTTGATTCTCAAAGCCACTGGAGTCGGATCTTCTCAAGGAGAGATCCAAGTGTGGAGCAGAATCAAAAGTTCTAGGTCTATTACTTGACGCAGAATTTCTCTGGTTTCTGTTTGGATAATTATTAAATACTCCAAAAAAGTCTGTGGCATCTTTAGAAGAGTTGACAAGGAGATCGTTATTGTCACAAGCTTCACTAGCCATATTAGCATCCCTCCTATGACTTTCTGGACTGACACCCTCGCCTAGTGAAATTGCTGTGTCCATGTCCTCATAGACATCAACAGTTGGCCCTAATTTGATAGACACATTGTAAAATGTTAACAGGCCTTCTTACCAGACTGAATAGACAAGAAGCTACTAAATTGGAAAGGTAAAGCCGTAATACCTCTAGCTGCATTTTTGTGCATAACAAATTTCTCGCCAAAATTGATGTTTGCTTCATCTTTTTGCATTCTCAAGTCACCCAGAAAATTTTGGCCCTGTATTTGCTGTGAAAATTCCTGCATATCTACCGGGGCACTCTCAGTTTCAAAGTCCGGCTTCGTGCAAGAGCTCTACAAGAGACAGAAAGCATGCAGTCAGTCTACTGAAAACTTCATGTAGCCAACCTAAATTGATTTACACATACATCAAGCATTCTGGGCATTAGATAGGTTGGTCATTACAATTCTACACTTGCTTGACGGGTTGTCAATCCACTTTACAAGGCATTCAAAGACATGCTAATTAATGCTTTCTCTGTGCCATGTACAAAATAGGAAACACAAACCTGAGAATCAGTCCCTTTCTCCATGTTCTCCTTGTTTCTTTGAACAGAAGCCCCACAGCCACTCGAATGATTGCTTGCCGCATCGTTTTCAGAAGTGGCTTCATTTTTTTGTTGTCCAACGCTCTCATCCTGGGGGCAATTTCTGGTTAACTGATTGACAATAAAATTCAATAAAGGTTTAGTCAGAAACAGTAAGACAAGATTTCCAAACTAAACTAAAGAAAGAACAGAAAGTTGAGAAGGCATACAGATTGCCTCCTCCAAACATGCTGCCATAGATTTGTCAGCTCATTCTTCCTAATCGGCTTAACGAGATAATCAGAAACACCTCGCATCATGCATTTGTAAACTGTGCTAATTGCATCTTGAGAGGACATCACTGCAAGATCACAAAAGAAGTGCAAATTCTTTCGTTAAACACCACTGCGGTGAAAAATCAAATCAGTTATATGTCATATCCACAATTATTTGTTTTGTAAGACATACTTATAACAGGAATGTTTTTGCAGATCTCATGGTCCATGATAAGCGAAAGCAAAGCGAATCCAGATATTGACGGCAGATCTATTTCTGTCAGTATGAGGTCTATGTTATGCGGTCGTGCCTTCAGTATCTCCCACGCTTTTAAGCCGTCAGGTACAGCAGCAACTGCTCAAACAAAAACAAGATCCATATGAAGTTCAATGAGTAATGTGTCAGCCTTAACACAGACCCTTAATAACACTAGCCTAAAAAGTTTCTTGCTTTAGCAGAAAGTATAAGCCTTCTAGCAATAAAATCTGCAGTATATTATCTGTACTAGTAACAACAAGCAGCAAATGCCAAAAAGAGTGACTTGAACCATTAACCCCTTTATTCAATAAACTCGAGACACGTTAAAGTAGAACTTAGAACTAGACGTCTTCCTGGTTATGGTTAATTCTAAACAAATTTACTACTATTGGCCTATATTCCTCGTCAGCACAGGCTTCAACTTCAAGCAAATTCAACAAAATTCTTCAATTATTCATCCGCACAGGCCCAGAAATTGAATACCTAATCTTTATAGTTAAGAAAGAAAAAGAGAGAAAAGAGAGAAGAAAGAAAAGAAAAGCAAATCATCAAACTCATTAGATGAACACAAGCTTAACTAGCACCAACAAACGATCGCCAAAAACATCCCAGTTGATTATTTAGCAAAAGACGCTAGATAATTAAACAAAACCAAGACTTTAAGCAAAAGCAACAACAGCACAGCAGAGCAGCCAAGAAATAAAAGAGCCACTGACCTCTGTAGCTACATTTCCTAAGAAGCGCAGCTATAATATGCCTGGTAGAGTCATCAGCTTCGACCAACAAGACCCTCATGTTCATGGTAGGCAACAGCTTATCCCACCTCATTGTCCCAACTGAAGAATCACACTCACCCCCATCCTTCTTCTCTGTCTCTACCCTGTCTTTCTTCGCTTCACCCTCTGCTTTCAGTTTCGCTTCCATGTCCTCACTACTCAGCACCGCCTCACCCATTTTCTATTTTCTATTTTCTTCTCTGTGTCTTTCTCTTTGTCTCACGTTGGTCGAACCCACGGAGGAAACAGAGAGTCCTTTGTGTCTCAGTGAAGGAGCTGGAGAATTCGAATTCTCAATATCTGAATCCTTGGCTAAAAGGAGAGAACTTTTTCTCTGCTAGAAAAATATCTGAATTCTCAGTCCGAAGTTTAGCGAAGGTAATCGGACGGCGACGATACCGATTCCCACGAAATCTAACGGTGTTAAATATCTCAACCTACCACGAGAGGGGAAAATATCTCGAACAACTGTTCCGGGTGGGACCTGTGTTGCCACGTCATCAACCCAATCTGATACTAGGGCCATAGATTGATCAAAAGGCGAGGCGTCATTGGCTTCTGCATTTGGTGGTCCAGATTTTAAAGAAATCATTTTTTTCTCCGAAGATTTTTTGCGCGGAGACAGGTGGCAAGGTTGTGGGTCCCTGGAGGGAAGATATAATATTAAGATCTTTGGCAGATATTTTTGAGTGCAGGAGGAGGAGGCGATGGATCCCATGGACAGGATTGAGACACGTGGAGCACTAGTGGGTGGAAGTTCATTTGTGGCCTTGAACTCTAAAGTAGTCAAGGGACCGAGCAATTGGGTGGAGGTTGGCAATCTCAGACTCAGACACTGTACTCGCTTGACTATTAGGGCATACAATGTGTGGTTGTTAGGCTGTGATTGGGTAAAGGCCGTTGACGAATTCTATTGGCTACAAATAATATATAATACCCACATTGCCATTGGATTAAAGTATTTATTTATTTATTTATTTTAATAAACCGACATTAGTGACTCTAAATCCTTCATTATAGCGACTAATAATATTTGTTCAATGGGATGAAGACAAAGATCAGTAGAGAGGATAAAGATTAAAGACCCCTCCATTTTACTCTCTTTTTTTCTTTCATGGGCCATTGTCCCGTGCTAGATGGCATCCATCCATGCATTCAGTCCCCATATTCTCAAAAGCTTTGTGTGTGTGTGTGTGCGATGCTCATCTCGACACATCGCATCATTTTCCATTTCAATTTTTTGTATGTAACCTAGCTGTTTCTTTTCCTTAAACCATACTCTTCGTTTGCACAATGATTGACTTAATTAAATTTATAAAATAATTACTTGGGTGTCTACCAAATACGTATTTGCTTCACTGTTCTATATTAATGTAATTTATTCCAACCAAAGATGACGGATTTAAATTCGTGAATTCTTCTACTATTAGAAAAAGAAATACCACTAAATTTACGGAAAAAATATTAAAATCTGTTGTTACGTCTTAGCGATTTATGTAACGGTCTTATAAACGGATTCGGTCTTATGAACCAAGATGGAAAAGTGGGTTTGGGCTGTTGAGTTGGAAGTTGGAATTAAGATGGGCCAGACCTGAAAAATTGGAATTGGGACAGGCTTCATATGGCCAGGCCCTGAAAATTAAATTGGGACGGGCCACCTCCGGTTTTTTATTATTTATTTTTTTCAATAATGAAAAAAAAGTTCCAACTTTGACACATAATTCTCACGCAACAGAAAGATATTTATGTGGTGTTTTTTTGTTTTTTTGGGTTCAAGTCTGTGGTCTGCCATATAACATGTTGGACCAATCGTATCCAGAGACATGCCTATCCGAATGGGAAGGATTCGGACGAATGAAATTTCGGCACTCAACAAATGGGTTGGGACGAGGAATCCAACGTACCATAACCACGAGCCATCAGGCCCATCACTACAACACAAACACGTGTCGGTGGGTCCCCCTCTTTGAGGCATTGAATGTAGACGTTGAATCAACCAAAGAAAACCATCCAATCTACACCGTCCAATCACGTAAGTACAGAAGATATGCGGTTAAGATTTCTACTGTGTCTTACACTTAGCTGTACAAGATGAAGTGGATAATGTGTGAAATTGCCACGCGTGACATGGCATATCCATTTCTGTCATCTTGTCCGCTTGCTCTAGAACCCATAGCTCCCTGCTCCTAAAACCCCTCTTATTGGCCCACTATTTTCTTTCAGTTTCCTTTCAACTTTCCATCTATCCAAACACTTCCAGAAACTTATCCCAAACCTAAATTCTGCGAGTATCACGAAATGGCTAGTCTGTTTACTTCCTTGCAGATGCAGACAACCTTTCTTCACCCCCTTCACCCCTCTTCCTCTTCGGCTTCTTCTCAATCAATGGTCACTCTCTCATCGACGCTTCTCACAAGGCCCCAAGTCTTCACGCTATCGTCTACCTCTTCCACTTTCTTCAACCCCTCTAAGCATCTGAAACCCATTTCCATTGTGATTAGACCCACAAACAAGTGCCATGGCAATTCACTCTCTGTACGGATGTCCTGGGACGGCCCACTCTCCTCAGTCAAGTTGATCATACAGGGAAGGAATTTGGAGGTATATAAATTTTGAGCTTACCTTACCTCTTGTTGGTTTTATGCGGCGGATAGTTTAAAGTTTGGGCTTTTCAAGCATTTTGTGAGGTTTGCATTGTTTTCTGTAATGTATATGTTTTGGACTAAGCCTTACAGAGAAGACTTGAATTAAATCACATCTACTATGATCCGTTCATGTTGTTTGTCGAAAAGTGCATTATGTGTGGAAAATTAGAAATCTAGGTTATATTTTGTAAATCCCATTCTGATAAATTGATTAGGTGTGGTGAGTTCCAAGGCATTTTTTCATGTGATCAATGATGCGATGATGACTATTGGTTGATGACCTTGATTCTGGTGCTGTTTCTATCCACAATGCTCTCCTCTAATTATACAAGGAGTGGACTTTGAATGTTAAATTTTTATCTGTGAATTTAGTTATCTGAAGCGGTCAAGAAGCATGTGGAAGACAAGGTTGGCAAGGCAGTTCAAAAGCATAGTCACCTAGCCAGGGAAGCTGATGTTCGGTTGTCTGTTCGAGGTGGAGAGTTTGGAAAAGGCCCAAGGATTAGGAGATGCGAGGTATTATTACCCTATGCGCATTGGCATGAATAGTTTAGGTAATCTGGAATCGCCATAAATGGTTCGTTCATAAGGCATTGTGTATTTGTGTTTGCTTAGGTGACTTTGTTCACAAAGAAGCATGGAGTGTTCCGGGCTGAGGAAGAAGCTGAGACACTTTACGCAAGCATAGATCTGGCTTCTTCTATCATCCAGAGGAAGTTGAGGAAAATAAAGGAGAAGGACTCAGACCACGGTCGGCACATGAAAGGTTTTAACAGATTGAAAGTTAGGGAGCCCGCAACACAAGTAGTGGTGGAAGAGGAAGAGGAAGAGACAGTTCCCCAAGAGGAGGAAGGAGACTTCATCAATGACGAGGTTTTCCTCCAAAGTTATTCAGTTTTATATTTTACATGTGTTATATCACATTTTTTACTGAATTGTGGTTACATCTTCTCTTTACTAATGGTTTTTTTATTATCTAAAATTGAAAAGCAACTTATAGCATTAGAAATTGTTGATTGTGGTATACGAAACGGATGGTTAGTTCATCGTAGTTTTCAAAGGCCTTGCTGTAAGCACGGCTGTTTCTGCTTTTAACATTTTAGATATTTCTACTCATAACATTATAAAGAACTGCAGGATGGGATTGAGTTGGCACTTTGCTTCTTTTTGCAATGCAATCGTGCAAAAGTTGCAGAGATAAAGAGTTTTTGTGTTGTTGTTGTTGAATAGTGCGGATAATCGTTAGACTGCTTTGGTTAGCTAGCTAGATGACGTTCTTCTCCATCATATACTCATTCTTTTCTTCTTACTTGTTCTAGATTGTCCGTATGAAATACTTTGACATGCCACCTTTGACTGTCGCTGAAGCAGTTGATCAACTGGAAAATGTTGATCATGACTTCTATGCTTTCCGAAATGAAGAAACTGGTATGAACTACAAAATCACAGCTGCGTTATTTTCTTTGTTCTTGATTACTATCAACCAGCGGTTGAAATTTTTCTTTGTTCTTGCTTAGGTGAAATTAATATAATATACAAAAGAAAAGAAGGAGGTTATGGGCTTATTATACCCAAAGGAAATGGTAAAGCTGAGAAATCGGGGCATGTGGTCGTAGAACGAGCTAGAGAACATTCCTTGGCAGAATAAAGAGGCCTAGCAAAGTGCAATCCTTCTGTACAGTTACGTTTTCAAATCACCTCTTAGATTCCTGGAGGCAACAGAGCGTTTAAAGGCGGAGGCCTGATGAGACGATCGTTGATTCAGAGTTTGAGAGGCATAGTTTTGTAACCTATGGATGAAAGTTTCTGCGGATGTGCAATTACAAACAAAATTCCATTGGTGCCCAGCACAAAGGAAGCTGATATTACATATTTTACTTTCATTGCATATACATTTGCTCAGTCATCTCTTCCTTCTCAGTTGCCTAATGCTAATTGAGATTTAACATAACATCAATGTGAAAAAGGATGAACGAGAAAGAGTGATAGAAAAACCGATACAGATATGGAAAAGATTTAATATGTAACCTGTCAAAAGGTGTCGCGACTCATTCTTTTTTCAAAACGTCGAAGTGGCTTTGTTCTTCGAAGGGTACAGAAGGTACATTATTTATCCGACAAAACTTCCATTTCCTCGTTGAGATTCTCATTCTCAACAACATATGCTGGCTTGTTTGTCGAAAATCTCTCGGACGAAACAGTTAAGAGCTTATTCAGAGACATTCCTTCCCCTAAAACCTTCTTCCTTAGTTCATACCTGGCTTTGATTCTGTCATCAAGTTTGTAACCAAGGAATGCCGGAAAGTTCAATAACTCTCCAACTTCACGACCAATCTCATTTATCAAGTACTCCATCTTCTTCTCTATGGCACTATGACTGTATTGCAGTATCTGTGGATGCTTCGTGCTCATGATAACAATGTCGCCGCACGAAAGCCCATAACTCAAGAACAACCCAATTACCTTTTGCAAATTATCACAGCTTGTCCTGGTGGCGGATCCCATTGCTGCAGCCATGTCCTTGGTTCTGTATTTGTACCCAATCTTCACCAAAAAGGCAAGTTTATATGCAAGGTTGTCTTCAAATGACAAGCCTAGAAACAAGGGTGCTTTAATCAAGAACTTGTAGATATCGTTTGAGCTAAACCCACATTGCTTAAGAAAATGAATTCTAGGACGCAATTTCCTCTCCCTGCTGGCGCTCACCACATTGGGGAAAACAAGCAAAAACTTGAATATTTGCTCATCAGTTAGGCCGGCCAACGACCTCAATAGCTCTACATGGCCTTTCGTGTGATCCACGGTGTAACTCAAAATTGCAGGGAGCTTACCCAACAAAGTCCCTGTGGCATCCTCATCTCCGCCGCTAAGCTCTGTGAGAAACCCAACTCTTGGAACCAGCTGGGTGTCCAGATCATAATTGAGAAGTGTGGGACGCCTCACAATCAAGTCGATTCCACCAAAGCGGCTCAAGAATGCGATGGTCCTTTCAATTTCTTCAACTGACTTGAGGCACAAAGCCTTGTACAAATTAAGTTTGTTCAGAACATCAAAAATCTTCTCACGGGGAACTCCTCGGTGAAGAAGCAATCTGACTTTTTGATCAAAACCCACCAAGAATCTTGCTTCAGTTGTACCGAAAAGGCGCTTCAGCTGCGGCGGCTCAATCTTTCCTTCAAAATCATGGCGCACAAAATGTAGGAAAGCATCAATTTCGTCAGCTGTTAATAGACTTGGACATTTGGTAATCAAGCGAGAAAGCTCAAGGCCATCAACTCCAACAGAGCGGAAGGAAAGAATCCGAGTACGTAGTAAATCCAAAGACGTCGACGTGAGTTCTGGGTTCTTGTCCAAAACCACTTGGGCTTCTTCCCCGTCGATCCCAATTTCTTGAAAGAATGAGAAGAGCATCCCTGGAAACAAGATATAACAAAAAAAATCACGTTGTGTTTTGTTTGTGGCAATGTGTTTGAGAATAGGTCTCTGAGAGTTGCTTACCTATTTCGGCGAGAGCATTGGTGGCGGAGTTGATGTAACGGCATTGGATAAGAATCCGTTGATTGGGTCGCAGACCCACTTGGGTTAACGATGGTTTTGGTTCAGCCCTCGGGGTTCTAGTGAACTTTAACAGAGAGAACCATTCATGGTTACGGAAGGTTGAAAGTGAAGGTGGTGCGAAATAAGCAGTAGGCTGAGGAGATGGTGGCAATGAAAAGAGAGAATCAGAAGAAGAAGAGGGAAAAGCGTGCGTGAACAAAGCGTATACAGCGACCATGTTCGTGATAAAACTGGTTTCTCTCGGCTCAAATGGAGCTTTTTATTTACAGTCTTAACCAACGGTTAACGTTTGTCATCGGAAATTAGTTGGGGTGAGACAATTTAAAGACAATGTCTGTCGGGGCCATACCTAAATGGGCTATTTCTTGACGGATTTCTAGAATGTTTAATTTATAGGCCCAATGGGCCTACAAATAACAATTTGAACGAAATCGTGCAAATTTGAAGTTCCAGCTTAGTTTTGAGGTAATTCTAGGCAGCGAGACAACGCTTCTTGCACGTTGCAAGACATATCCTTCAACCCCATTCTTGTTTTTGCAGAATATAATGATATCTTTCGTTAGAATGAATCCCTAGATTGAATTGAATTTTCTATCAACAGGTTTGCAGGAACCGGAACAACAGAACAATCCTTCGGAGCAAACACTTTTTTATCATGCCTTACAAATGATAGAACAAATTCACTATTTCACAACATTTTGATTCCTAAGGACAAGGCAGCATGATCATCACCATCTCCAAGTCCTAAGCGAGACCAAAACGCATATACTCCTTTCTGGAAGGAGATCAAAGGGCCAATCAAATCCAAACACTGAAAGAAAGACCGCTGACGCCATTGATTAAGCGGCCTCTTTCCAGTGAAACATTTTTATGGTGACTGATCAATCAAGCCGTGTATTGCTTTTGGATGTCCTTGAGACACGTTCTCAGAAGCTTTCCTCCATTTTTATTGTCGGTAGGAATGCCTTTAATAAGTATAACAGAGGAGTCACCCTTTTTCATTTTTCTTGGTGATCTGCTCAAAGGAAACCTGCAAGACATTCGATAAGAGCAGAATAAATCGTTATTTCATACAAGCAGCAGCAGAATATTGAAATCAGATAGAACTTGCAAGTACACTTGCCCCTTCTTGGCATCTTTGCTTTTAGCACCTGGCATGTCTTTGCCAAATTCCTCCCTTCTTTCGTTAAGACTATCTGGTGTGTCCTCACAGACTTCATTGCTTGTGTCATTCTGTGAATTCTGTCCCTGGGCAATGAAGCAAGGCAACAAACACACCTTTCTCAGTTTCATATAAACACGTACAGAAACTCTACGATTATGACATCAAATGAAATGCTACAGTTTCAAAGTAATTAATAGCAGAAGTCCCTTTGGGCAGTTATACATCATGCTGCGATTCATTACTTCATTATGTTTTGCAAGAATGCTAAACTAAAACTTGCAACATGAAATCCAGAACCACAAGGTGGCACAAGTTGGAGGCCGCAATAGCCTCAGAATTTAAAGGCTGAGAAACAAAGAGGCATGCATGCTCTCAGCAGAACTTAGCAGTAATCTCCCTTACATAGATTTAAATCAGCTAAATAAGTTCTTCATCATTAGGGATTAGTTCGACTGCTACCCTAATAACAAGGAGGACGGAGATGAACTGAATAGAACTCCCAATTACAATTGGTAACAAAGAAACGAGTGATCAAAATATCACAAAATGAATACAAAAATGCCTAAAGTAGGAAAAGGAAACAACCATGAACGGAAGATGAACTAGATTTATACAACTCTGTGAATTCTGAACCCAAAGAAGATATACTGTGAGCAGATAATCCAGTATATGCGAATGCAGTGGAGGCAATGATCATATTAAATCCTTTACTCGAAACAAACATGAAAATCAAAACACATGAAATCACAAACTGTATACGAATTATCACACTAGAGATGACATCACATGTAGCATTTGAAAGTGCCAACAAAGATCTTGACGCCAAGGTGCATCATTTTAGTCAATAGAAAGTATAATGTAACAAAATCAGCATTAAGCCTTCTGAGTTGCGCTACCAAAATGCCTGCGCCATCCACAACCACTTACATGATTGAGATCTAAAAACCCTTTCAGACACCAACCACTTACATGAAGTTGGCATACTATATCTTTACCAACAATTTCATTGCAATACCAAACAAATTAAAGCATGTGATAATGAGAAAACAAAAAAGGAAAAAACAGAATTGGTAATTCAAGATCACCACACAAACAATGAAAACATACTCATAATAAAAACTCACAAGCAGAATCAAGCAAGAAATCAAACAAATTATTAAGACAGAATCTTAATCTTACTTCAGTGGACTTGAGAGCTATACATTCATCCCCATCAGCTTCCTTCAAAGCTGAAACCTTAGCCTTCTTCTTGTCAATGTCATCACCGCCTTCAACACCAACTTCCTCATCAACCACTTTTCTCTTACGTCTCCCGAACTTCCTCACTTTGGCCTTCTTCTCCCTTACTTTCCACACATTCTTCCTTCTAAACACTACCTTCTCCGTCTTCCAAACCCCACAACTCGTATCGATCACCGTCACTTCGCTGATCGAATACCCTTTCAGCTCTCTCAACTCCTCCTTCTCTTCCTCTTCCTCCTCTTCCACCTCCTCACCTTCCTCACCACCCACATTTCCCAAGTCCTTATTCTTCATCAAGCTGCCGTTTTGCGAGTCCAAGCACACTGCTTTGTCGAGGACATTTTCGTCATTTCGACCCCAGTCGGAGCTCTTCTCTTCGGCGGCGTTTGCAGTAGCAGCATTGCTGTCAGAGTTGGTCGTGGAAGCGACACAAACTCTGGGGTTTGCTTGTTTTCTAGGAATCTTTTTCCCTAAAAGTTTGGAACGTTCGTCGGAGCCGCCCATGAAAAATAGCTCCGACAGAACGGTGTTCATCAGGCCGATGAATGCCTCTCCCTGGTTATCTCGGTTCGGGCACGAGGTTGTGGACTGATTCACCACTCGGTCAGAACCCGGCCGAGTCGACTCTGTGGACGATGAGACATTGGGAGTTGGGAATTCCGAGGAAGAGTTTGTGTTTCGGCTAAGGAAGTGGTCGAGGTCAAGATTGTCGCCGGTCGGAAGGCCCTTGTTTGACCGGAGCCGGTCCAGCCAGTTCGAACCGGACTTGCTGGCAGGTACCGAACAGAGCATTGCTGAGGTGGACGGATCTGATTAGCCGACTGGACAGAGCTTGATGGGGGGGCTTCTACTGTCGAAAATTGCTGTCGGAGACGAGCAGAAATTAGGTTTTCGGTTCAAAGCTTGAAATTTTTTGTTTGGGTCTCTAAAGCTTGAAAATTCAAAGGTGCGCAGTCTGTTCTGGGTTATGGGTTACGTGGCAGGCAGTAGGTGTGAAGTTGCTTTTACTTTTACTATGAAGCATGAAACACGTGAGGTTTATTTTTCAGTACAAATTGGCCAAAAGATTCAATTTTCAGTAAAGACTGTTACTGGATTTGGTCTCAGTTGGTTGGATTCTCTGTGTAGATATGGTAACTATATGTTCGGAGTTATTTTCAAGCGCTGCAGCTGCTGAGAGACAGAGGTTTGTTCCTCAAACCAGAGCTTAATGGTCCACCTCAGAAAAACAGACCCAAACTCGGCAAAATTCAAGCTCTTTAAAATGGGCTGGACTGGATGCGAACCAGATATGATCCAATGATATGATCTAATGAGCATATACAAAGCCCCTAAGTTTTCTCAGAGAAAAACAAAGATCCCTTCAGTTTACGGTTCACAACCTCACACCATATTTTGGAACAAGAAGAAGAAGACCTGCCCCCAATGTTGGTCAAACAAGATGATGCTCTGTAGCCGCCCCACAGAACATAAAAACAAAATACAGATTGCCCAGCCCAAGTGCTGCACAAATACAAAAAAGCAGGAGTTCAAAGGTTCTAGCCAACGTGAAAAACAAGAAATCTCAGCCGCTGGCAGGCATGTACTTGGAAATTCGAACGTAGAACGACAAACGTACGATTTAGGAGTTTTGTCGTTTTGTCTTCTCTTCTGCTAAATCTATGGACGTATCAAAGTACCCATCTTTGTAGTCCGCCAATCTTCTATTTTTGCTTCTTCTGATTCCTTTCTCACGTTCTTTTGTTTACTTGCCGTCGTAAGGCTCTCCTCATTTTCCTCCACCAATTCTCAGTGTAAGCCATTGAAACGACACCGTCACATGAATGAATCCCGAACCAACTCCTTCCCGCCTCTCATGTCCCCCACGTCAATAAGCATCCCTTCTGATATTTCCCTTCTGGGTTTTATAATTTTCTTCCATATCCTCAAGGGTCAAGCTTTTCCTTCTGCTTGACTATTTATTTTTGCATTTGTTGAAGTTGACATTGATCATCGTCTAGAACCCAATTACCAAAACTTTGAAAAAGTATGCTGCTTTCGTTGTAATTTTGTTTTTTCTTTGGTATGGCTTTGATTGAGGCTTTGCCTGAATTATTGGAATGACCAGCAAATACAATGGAGTACACAGGTTTGATGGTGTTTCTATGTCCTATATGGATGGTCTTACTTGGTGTTGTGATCGGATGGTCGTGGAAACCCAAGTGGGCACCTTTTGGGAACGGCAAGGACAAATTCGGCTGCTCTGTTTATAAAGGCTTCGATTTTTCGTTGCCTTCTTCGCCGTCCCGGTCGTTAATGTCCCCATTAAAAGGCTTGTCATCGGCTCCGTGCTTGAATTCGTTTGACTTGGCTTCCCAAGGTTGTGAAGCCTTGTTCATGGATAGGGGATTTGAGAGAACCACTTCTGCTTCACCTTCCGAATTTGATGAGGGCAGGTACTTGGTATTTGTCATGCGACTTTTGTCACAATGCAATTATAAAGATTCGATTGTTTGTTAAATGTTTGTCAACTTTTATTTTGTAGGATTATAATATTGACTGATTAAATTCACTTTCTCCTTTGTTTTGTTATAATTTAAAAGATTAACTCAACATTATTAGGATGTCTAGTGCGTTTAAATACAAAATTATGTTGAAGGAAGAGCCTAAATTGGATAGATTTTTATGTTCAAATTTCTGACTAGTTTGTTGTACTTGTCTAGCACATCGCAGCTCAATGAAGAGAAGTCTAATGTAATGACAGAGGAGGACTTAGACCTTTTATGCACGCTTGTGGATATGAAAGATGGAGGTCCTACTTGGATACAGATGATGGAACGTTCCACTCCAACTATGAACTACCAAGGCTGGTGTAGGGATCCCGAGGTAAGGTTTTTCCTTATTAGTTGCTTTCTCTGGCCAATAATTTCACCTAAACCGGAATCTGTGGAGGGCAAGACGTTCAGTCAGTTACTTGCTTCTAAAGAGTTGTTTCTCGTCTCCAACACCAAGTCGCTTGAGTTTAGCCAAGCGGTACTGTTATGCCAAAGCGCATTCTTAACGGCTTTAAACCAGTGATGTGGGTTTTATCAAATGTAGCTATGGCTGTTATATGAGGCCTTCTCCTCTCGCTGTATCAGATTATGTGGGTAGTAACTCATTATACATCTGTTTCATTGTTTTCTTTTCTTCCTGTTGGGTGTTTGTTAGATTGGTCCTCCTCAATATCGTAGCAGAACTGTCTACGAGGATGCAACACCTGAGATAGTAAGGGACTTTTTCTGGGATGATGAGTTTCGATTAAGGTGGGATGACATGCTTAGGCATTCGACAACGATAGAAGAGTGCCCTACCACGGGAACCATGGTGGTACAGTGGATACGGAAGGCAAGACTTCCCTTTTGTATATTCTTCTAACTGATTGATGTTTGTTTCACTTTTACTAGTACTTCTCCCTTGCATATTCTATCTTACCTCTGCAATGCTTTCATTTTGCAGTTCCCGTTGTTCTGTAAAGACAGAGAATACATAATAGGTCGTCGAATTTGGGAATCTGGAAGGTTGTATTATTGCGTGACAAAGGTACGAATAGTGGAATTTATGTCTAGCATACATGTGCCTTCTTGACTCACTTCCTCTGATGATTTCCTAGCAGCAGGTTTTTCTGCTTTTGTTTGATGAATTGTCTCTCTTGTTATAGGGAGTACCCTATGCCTCTATCCCAAGGCATGACAAGCGAAGACGCGTTGACTTGTACTACTCAAGTTGGTGCATTCAAGCAGGTAAGTTAAGTTATGGCGCTCTTCTCTGGTTCCATTAAAAGGGGCATATCTATATTCAGTTTGGTTATCTTAGGCTCACTAGAGTTGGTCAAGCTGTCCTGTTACTAAGTGACCTTATTTGTACATAACCAGTGGAATCAAGAAGAGCCAACGGCCAGCTGACAGCATGCGAGGTTCTACTCTTTCATCATGAAGATACGGGTATTTCATGGGATATTGCAAAACTTGGAATACGAAAAGCAATGTGGGGGACCGTCAAGAAGATCGAGGCTGGCTTACGTGCCTACCAAACAGAAAGAGCTTTAGGACTGCCACTTTCTCGGTCAGCCTTCATGGCTCAGATCAACACCAAAATACATCCGGAGTACCTGAAAGCCTCAGGAGACACCGAGGATTCATCACAGACTGAGGTGGTGACTGTATCTGGCAAAGCTGTGCGTAGGCACATACCGAAGCTCCTAATATTTGGTGGGACCATAATCCTTGCTTGCATTCTTAATCGAGGGCTCTTGATGAAGACATTAGTATTTGGGGTAACCAGAAGGTTTGCAAAGGTAGGAAAGAAATTGTAAAGAAAGTGATTGGATCTCATCCAAGAACGTTGATTAGTATTTGGTAATTCACATTCTGAATAATTCCTTCTATATCGATTCTTCAACGGGAGAGGAAGAGCGCACTATGATTAAAAAAAACCCTCATTCCAGTCTACTCTTATGAGAAACATGAGAGTTGCTTTTCTTTTTCTTTTTTCTGTTGAATAAAGGATGTGAACGTTACCCCGGAGTTTGAGTTTGTATCCAGTAAATGGAGACATTTTGTTGCTGTATATAATGGATGTAACAGATGCTTTAGGTGTCCAATTCAGAGTCAGAGTTTTCAATGCTTTGTATAATAGATGGCTTCCTTGTTCAAATGATGATCCCTCGTTTGGAACTGGTGTTGGTGTGTGAAATTGTAACTTCACTGAATATAATACCGTCACATCATAGCACAAGGAAAATTAGGTTGCCTACTCTTAGTTTCGTTTTCTTTTAATGATGCAGGAAAACTACATTGGAGGAGGAGATGATCATATTTCATGAAATATGCACAGGTGGAAGATGTAAGGACATATCTTCCTATGCTGCTTAGCTGCAGGGGGTAAGGGGAGCTAACGAGCCACCAAGGTTTCAAAGGAGTCCAACCCGTCAAATTGGGGCGCCAACTTTAGCATCTGAGTGGTGTTGTTCAGCTCCACCTTCGGTTTTGGTACGACATGTTGGATGGTTTCTCCAATCCCACCTCCGAGTTCCTGCTTTAAGAAATTTGCAAATATTTAGCTTAATTAGAAAGTTAAAAATAAAACAGAAATCAGGGAAATCCGGGAGTTAAGATTCTGAGTGCTGATGTTTGTACAAGTGCAGAGGTGCACTAACCTTTGGTTGGTAGTGGTTTTTGTCAAGGAAATATATCCCAGCAGCAGCAGCAGCAACAGCAAAAGGCATTGACACATACTTAGCCATTGTAGCCTTTTGGGTTTACAGAAAAGACAATTGGGGCTTTTGGTGATGATAAGTTCGCAAGTATTGCAAATAGCTTTGAGTTTGAGTTTGAGTTTGAGAGAGAGAGAGAGAGAGAGAGAGAGAGAGTAAAGCAAAGAGGAATGTGAAATGCCTTGGTGGTGAAGTAAGAACAAACTACAGAGTGGTGGTGTGGTGTGAAAGAATAATCGAAAGGACAATATTGAAAAGCGGTTGTGTGAAAGAAAGAGGGTTTAGTGAAGGAAAAGCAAGGCTAATTAATGTCCTGAATCATCACGGGTGAGTGAAACCCATGCTCACTCATTGCTCATGGCAATTAGTAATTTTGAAGAGGGATAATCGTGGTATAAGGAAAAAGTTAATAATCACAGGTGAAGGAACAATTTAGATGGGTTAATTAAAGGAGTAATGCTACACTTACCACATTATTATCCCATATTTCTATACCACATGATGTGGCATGTTCATATCATATGCTACATCAATTAAATGAATGAAGTGTATTTTAATAAATAAAATTAGAAAAACAAAAACTAGTATTTTATATGATGTGGTATACACATCAGCTGCCACATCATGTGGTATAAAATTGTGGTATAAAAAATGTGGTAAGACTAGTATTATTCTAATTAAAGTTGAAAGAGTGGGTGGCAAGATAATGATTTTGATTGAGCATGTAAATTTGTTGATTTGCGTATCATGTTAGGTAGGCCCCGCCATGCCATGATCGGGCAAGCGCCGACCACATCCACAACACAACACAACGCATCCTCCTTCTTTCCATCCTCTACGCAACTTTGAGGGCAAGACTTCATTGAAATCGTGTAAAGTTGCATAATCTGTTTGTAATCTTTCTTTTTTGTGATTACATATATATATATATATATATATATATACGAATTCAAATTTAGAATCGATCAATAGTCATTGTCATTGGCATTGGCATTGGGCTTCCCGGACTTGCCATGGTTGCTGCTGCTGAATCTCCATTATTAATTTTTTGCTTGGCCTTGGCATTGGGCTTCCCGGACTTGGAGAAGCTCAATCCCAGCTTATGCGGCGCATCCAACAACGGAATTCTCCAACAACCGAAGGAGGCTCTTTGCTCTTTTGATGCAGAATTTGCGCCAACGAAACGAGACTAGGTGTATTTAAAGGGCCAGCAATGACAAATCTTTGCACTTTCATGTAAGCTATCCCCTACTAATAACACAATGACAAATGAGATAACTTTTTCACATATTATAATATTATTGACCGGAAATAACAAAACAGTGTTATCTCAATTGCAAGAAAGTTTGTCTGCGGCCCAAAGGATCAATTATAATGTGGAGGGAACCAGAAACCAAATGGATTTCAAAGGTCGGTAGCACAAGAACTTGCGACATTTTTGTCACGACATTTTTCTCCACATCACGGGTTATGGAACTTTCAAACTCCGGCAAGGACATGTCCAATTTCTAGTGACTACTGGACAAGACTAGCACGTACCATGAAGGCTAATCACACATGATAAGAAGAATCGACAATAGACCATTAACAATGCCAGGCACATGATTAGAATGTCAAAAACACAATTGATCGGGGTCTAAAACTAGAGTTGCATACCGCGTTTAGATGCGCACATTAAAACGCTGAATAATTTCAACTGAAGAAAACCAACATTAAAACAAAACTGTCAATATCTTCTTCCAACTCAGTTGCCAAGTTAAAAGCTTTTAGAACATATATGGGATGATGAGTGAGAGCCATTTCAACGTACAACACTGGGAAAAAATTTCTCAACTTGAAACAAAAATTTCAACTTCAATTCATCCTAAATTGTCTAAAATAAAATTTTTTAAAAACAGCACAACTCATATATGAACTCTCCTAATCAAACAAGCTGAATCCCATGTCGTCATCACTCTCTTCTTTGGGTTCTTCCTGCAAATACACAAACCAAGAATGAAAAATGAGGTTAGCCAACCCACCAACAATAGTGATGTCAATCATATAAATCAAATCACTACAATTATAAACCTTTCCAGACAACGAAAGTTCAAGCAATGTCGCGAAGAATCATAACATACAAAATGTAAATGCTACCAAGGAAAGCCAAGGTTCATAATCATCAAAACTCTCGTATATTTTATATGTCATACATAAAAAGTCTAGAATAATAAATACACTGATGCAGAGCACTTAAACAAAAGGAGCAGTCTTAAGCAAGGTATAGTAGGTATACAAAATCATCAAGACTGAAATCTATGCAGATATGACATTCTCACCTTCTTCTCCTCAACTGCAGGAGCAGCAGCACTGGCAGCAGCACCAGCACCACCAGAAGCAGCAGCCACAGTTACGGGAGCAGAACAGCCACCGGAGCCAGCATTCAAAATAAGGTCCTCAAGGCTCCTCTTCTCAGCAAGCTTGGCAAAGAGGCTCGGCCAGTATGATTCCACTGCCACATTAGCTGATCTCACCAAGGCGGCAATCTTCTCTGACTATTCAATTCAACATAAAATAGACAAACCAAATGAGGGTTCAAATTCAGGAAAGATAAGTAAAAGCAGAACCAAAAAATACTAATAAACCCAAAGAAACCTAAGGCTTAATCAATGATATTCCAGCTTTGTTTTCGCGCTTTAGATGATAGTTTTATATTCAACGTTCTCTCCTCTTGCTTTCACCAATCTAACGAAATAAAAAGAAGTTGAAAACAAAGGTCTTACAGAGATTATATGCAAACCATTTTGGAACAGAATTCCACAACATAAACGGATTCACAAAAACTAAAATGAAGGTCTTGCTGTGACTAGCATAAATGTTATGGCAGCCTTAAACATAAAATGGAAATCTGGATTATGATAAAGATTTTGTATACATTAATAGGTGGTATTGGGGTGATTAGCATAAAGGAGGCGTGTATTATGAAGTAAAGCATAAGAGATTAGGCGAATAGAGAGAAATAATAAGGCGTCCTTACTGTGATTGCGATGCCGTCGTCATGAAGAATCATGGCGGCGTAGGAACAAGCAAGCTCAGCGGTCGACATTGTAAAGCAATCAAACTGCAACAGTGAAAATCAAAATCAGTGACCTCGAACAAGATATAATTTCAGTGGGAAAGGGAGAGAGAGAGAGGGGGGGGACCTGTGAGACTCTACTCTGGGTGGCGCAGCGCGGAAGCAAAGGACGAATAGAACTTAGGGTTTTGTAAATGAAGGGATTTTATATACAACTTTTAGCCCCAGTTCGTAGTGTTTTGTGCTACTAAAAGCGAAAAAGCCCAGTTGTAGTGTGGCCCACCATCACCATCTGCTGTATTTTTCAGCAATTATGGTCCACTGCAATTCTGAACTTAACAGGCCCAATTTTCACTTGTGAAATGAAATTTGACAATTAAATTCCAATTATGTCCCTACTCTGGGGTGTCTTTTTTGCCGAATCCCATCCCATCCCACAACACACAGGTAACTGGTGAAGTACACAAAGTAATTTTTAGTCTAGTAATGTTAAAATAATCTAAGTTTAAATTCTTCAATTAATATAAATTATAGTTTCGAGATTTAGATAGAGTGTTGTTAAACAAACATTAAAATTATCTGAGTAAACCCTACTATCAAAAATATTTATTGAATTATTAATTTATTCTAATATAAAATGACCAAAAATGACATATTAAATTGTGAAACAAATATAATTTTAATAAGTACACCATACTGAGTTAATTTTAAAGTTCGTTTAACAACGCTTTTTAAATATGATGTGTGTCAAACAACGTAGAACAACTTAGCTTAATACATACATATACATATATTCATATTCGGAATATTTTCAAACATTGAAAAGAGAAGTTCTAGAATAATAACTTAGCAAAGCAAACCAGACATTTTTCTCCATTTCGTATGTGGAAGTCCCATACTTCCAAATTCGAAATCCATCACATAAATAAATAATAAATAAAATGCGTGACTTCTGCGAACGTACATCTTAATGTTCTTGTTATTCTATCTATGGGTGTTATTCTGAGGCCAAAAGATATAATCGCAACCGTGCTTGTACAAATTTAGTGAAAGATTGATGGAACCGTCAATTTTTCATATTGACATTTGAACAGCCTTCAAAAAAAGATAGTTCCTCCCCGCATGACCCACAGCAAAAAGCAAATGTATTGCTTAAAATAAATTTAGTGCCACAACCTTCATACCAATAGGTTCCAAAATGGTATAGCTTAAAATAAAGTTAGCGTCACAACCTTCATACCAATAGGTTACGTCTTGTTTCAGGCACATAGAATCAACACGACCAAATAAGAAAAAACCAAAGTATAATCACTAGGCATTATCAAAACCACACATACTGGCCATAATAAGCCAATTCAGGTTTCTTAATTACGAAAAATCTTTGCATTTAACACCAAGGATGCCGTGAGGATGACTTGCCAGAGGATCAGCCACTACCCGACCGCACCTGAAAATAGATCAAGTTTAATCAATAACATCAAATAATTTTATCGTGTTTCAACAATGCAGTAGCTTCAGAATCGAAAAAACCTATAAAATATATTTCTAGAGCTCTGCGTGTTCTAGGTGGCTTTTTAAAGACATTCAATTCAAGTCAACTAAGCTTACATGATTTCTTTCCTATGTTTTTTTCAACAGAACTAAGCTTTTCTTTTTTCTTTTCTTGTTTTTGGATGAGAGCTTCGACCTTGGGACTTCTAACAAAGTGTAGAGAAATACCACTCGACCAGTTCTAAGTGTCTACAAGGGTGTAGGTAATTCCTTAAATCCATCCCTACCAAAAAATCACCTGGAAAATCTGCGTTCATTTGTCAAATTACACTTCAATGTTTATAAATAGTGCCACTTGTCAGAACAGATTCCACTTACCGGACGGGGAGATTCTGACCCTGATCTTGATCTTGGCCTGCAGATTATAGACATGTATTGAACGTCATATATTAAAAAATAACAATAAGAATTTAGTTCACTAGAATTAGCTAATAGAAAGTGAGTAACAAAGCCAAATACCTGGAGGATTTGACAGGTGATGCAGACCTAGATCTTGATACTGATCTTGAGACAGATCGCTCCCGAGATTTACTGCATAATACAGAAAAACTCTCACGATGTAGATGAACACATAAAAAGGACAAAATTATCACAAGATAAAAGGGTGGGGGAGGACGGGGTCCAGTACCTCCGATTCCTTCTCACACTTCTGCTTCTGCTACGACTTCTACTCCGGCTCCTTGACGGACTGCTCTCGTACAATTTAACCTGCTCAGTTGATAAACAAACAAGCAACAGAAAAATCTTAGTGAGCCTAAGAGTCCAGATTTTAGCATCATTACTGTAATGTATAAATGCATAAACTATTCTAAACCTCTCAAAGAACTTTGAGAAGTAAATTCCTAAAGAGAGAGAGAGAGAGAGAGAGAGAGAGAGAGAGAGAGAGAGAGAGAGAGAGAGAGCAGGTACAGAATACATAAAATGAAACATAAGAGGGACATGTTTCAAGATTACAGACAAATATCTTTTGGCAGAGAATCATGGCTTCACAATGGTTTGGATAAACATACAAAAATCCACATGAAAGAAAGACAGCCTAGCAAACTTCTAAAAACATAAACGTTACCCGAATATAAGATCTTGTCCAAGGATTTTTAAATTCTGTATCATCAAGTTTCCGAATCTGGAAAAAGAAATAAAATGTAAGCTAGAGAATTCGTGTGAAAGCATAATCGCAGAAAAGGTCCAGTATTTCTACTTACAGCATATTTCATGTCATCAGAATTGGTATAATCAACTAGACCATAAGTCCCTGAATATAAGCAGCAACTCCATTGGGTGAGTCAATAAAATTTCATAACATAAAAATTCAGGATAAAGGTCAGTTGCATGCTATATCATGTTTTTCGTTTTCTTTTACGGTGTGTGATGACAATTTCTTGATAAAATGACATGCTATTAGGAGGGTAGACATTTTATTCTCTGATCCTACAGCAGCATTGCCACAAAGGAAAACGAGGGAGGGGGACTTGAGTTCAAAACTTAACTGCACCTTAAAATAGAGTAAGTTGGTGAATTACAGGATAAAGTTCTAACTGCCATAAAATATAAATCAAATCTATACCTTCGCTGTCACGAGAAACCTCAGCAAAACACACATCACCAGCTTTTCGCATATGGTCCTGAAATCGATAACCAGTCAGGTTACCAGTATTGCACAAACAATATAGGAGTGCAAAATTTGTGACAAAATTCCCGTACCTTCAAGTCTTGCCATGAAGCAGAAGAAGGGAGGCCACGAACAATAACTGGACAAAATGAAAATATGGATCAAACAATAAACAACTAAACAAAGGCTAATAGAACTCTCTTTACCGCATTGTTAACCATATCCTAATCTTGTTGAGCAATAGTGTACTATCCTAGAAGACACACCCCTATATTCAGAATGACGTGAAGCACCAAAGCGACCGCCACCGCTACCTCCACCACTGCTGCCTCTGTCATATCCACCACGACGATCGCTTGAAGATGGGCCCCTACCACCATGGGCAAGCTCCACCTGTATTGAGGATAAATGAGAGATCAATGAATGAAGAAGACTAAGACATGAAAGAAAACCACAGAAATATATTTTTTTTGTAAGTAACAGGGACTTTTAGTACCCTTAAACGGCAACCGTCAAAGTTATACCCATCACGCCCTCTGATTGCATCTTCTGCATCACGAGAACTCTCAAACTGAAAAAAAAGCATGTACATTAGCATCCATGAGAGAACCAACTGGTCCAAAATTCAGGAATCCAGAGCATAAACCATTATGGGTACCTCAACAAACGAGTAACACGGAGGGCGAGGTGGAATCTTCAATTCAATATCCACAATGCGGCCATACTGCATAAGAAATTCGATTTTAAAATGTTTTCACTAACAGAACTAAGCCCATTCCATCTGAAACAAGACACATAATATAATAATAACAGTTTATTTTCTATAGGACTGCCTAAAATCAATAAAGGAATTGCAAGCACCAAACTACTTAATCCCCTAATTTTCAAACGCAAATGGCACTACATATCATACACATACATTGGGCCATGTGATGTTAAGTACTTTAAGTACAGAAAACAATTATTTTACTTGCATGCGAATCAGAAGCTGGAAAATGATTCAAAACATGATGATGTAATGTGGATAATGAGATTTACAGAAATGCACTGGTTATTCTTTGATGTGATTTACAGAAATATAGGAAGCTCATATACCAAGTACAACTGATATACTATGAAAAATTTCATGCCAACCTTATAGAACAATTCTTCAACCTCTGATTCTCTTATATCTGAGGGTAGGTTGCCAACGTAGATTGTGCGAGAAAATCGACCACTCATATTTGACAACAGAAGACTCCGGCTGCAAACTTTTTTACTGCATTCAAGGAATGAATTCCCGTAAGTGATTAATCCAACATTTTGTAAAAGAGAATAATGCTGCAACTTTGGAGTCCAATTATCATCTGCATGCACCCTGTTGACAATATCAAAAGAAAATCAAAACCAAACTATGAAGCAAACCAAGAGAGCAATCCTCGAGGTGAGCCGTGCTCCACAAGCTCCATTGCTCATTTGCTCCAAGATGCTCCAAAGCAATATTTATATTGAAATAAAATTTGATCTCCTCATCCTCTCCAGAATTTTAGCAGATGTATAGATCTTCTGAGAGTGAGCAAGAATCTCCAATAATAAAAAATAATACCCATAACTCCAAAATGATTCTCCCACTCCCTCTCTATATCCCTATGTATGATTGCAAAGCTCATATTTGTCCAAGCGCTTGCCATCTATCATAAAGAAAGCATCCGTGTCATGAGATCAGGCAAGATTGACATACATTTATGAATTTACCTCATTCATCTCTCTTTAACAGCATTGAAAATTAGAAAACCCCTGTAAAACAAGTTAATATCTAGTAATTAACTTACTTTCGCTAATTACTGCAATGTTGTATATATCATGTCCAGGGTAAGGGATGGAGATAAATGTCTCCAGGCTCACGTAATTGGTAAATTACAGAGACATTAAGAATTTTTTTCATGGGAAGGTTTCTGACAATGAAGCACTTTCCAGCTTTGTGGATTCTGTTTGTTAACCCAACGTCTCATTAAATTACATTCAGGACAAGAAACAGGTGTGAATTCTTCAAACTTAATGCATATATATACACACAAGTTGTACTACTTGGAGTAATACTCCTGATTAATGCTCCAATCTGAAAAACTCAAAACAATGCATAACAAGGGGAAAGGGAAGAAGAGTACAAAAGTCATTTCCTGCATTGCATGCATTGGAACATTATGATTAACACGAAATTAACCAATTCAGCAAAGAAACAATAAAAAGTCTTCCTGAACATATATAAAAACCCATACTTGTAATAGATGTTTCCCAAAATCATTATCTACAGTCGTTACTGTTTGAGACCAGTAAAATAAATGAGGTACAATATTAACAACAACTCCTTCCCCCTCACATCCAAATATCCTCTGGTTAAACACCAAGTCAGCACTAAGTCTACTGTTTGGTAAGCCGTGACTAAATAGACAGTATACATGATAATCGAAAGCTATTCAACCATTCAAGCAAAACCCACATCAAATTCCCAAATCAACCAAACCTAAAAAACAAGCGCGCGCACTTAAAGGCATTATGGGTTTTACGGACACTACCGAAATCAAATACTCTTTAAACAATACCGACTTCTAAAAAAACCCTAGACAGTATTATAGGCAATCGCACAAGTCTCGCAAATCAAAACCCTAAATGCAGAGAAAGAAATAGGAAACAGGACGAGTATCAAACCGGAAATGGATTGGAGAGCTTGACAGCTGGAGTGCGTTTCTGGGCAGCACCGACCAAAAGACTCGCGTGCCTGTACCGTGCAAACGGTGTGTGAAGAGCTTGAGACTTGAGCGCTTGGCAAATTGTCTGCTTTCGCTGCGCCAAGCAATGAGAAAATAAATTGGGCTAGGGCAAAAAAGGGGCAAAACGGGAAATGACTGATATTAAATGCAAGAGAGACAGAGAGTCGACTATCAACGGCTGACGTGGGTTTGAGCCTTAGGCTGGGCCTGAAATCAGAATATAAATATCAGCCCAAATCTTGGATCATAAATTGGGGCAGGACCTTGGGCTTTAATCAAGATAGAATTTAAGGCCGCCCATTATGAATATATATATATATATATGTATGTATAACTTTTCGAGCAGTGAACTGGTGGGTGGACCCCGTCCGGTTCCCCCGAAAACAAATACCAAACCGGAAAATATGACGGGTTAGTCATATATGAAACCAAATTGAACTAATAATTGTTGGGTTTGATCCTGTTTGAATTATTAGGAAGCTGATGCCATTTTGTATATGCACCGTTGTTGACTAAACATAAGATAATTGCTTTTTGCTTCTTCTTTTTCTACTTCGTCCGCTTCTGATCACGTTGGAGGTTTTTTCAAAGTTTATGACTTCCAAGGTTGCTTCCCCGGTTATTCTTTTGTTACCTAAAGTTGACCATCAAAATACAAGCCTTAGCTTTCTTCTTCTTTCGCCTAATGCCGAAACATCCTTTCACCAAGTTGTCTGTTTCTCAATTTCAAAATACCATCCACGTTCGTGTTTGGTTAAATTAGCTAGGAGCCTGGGACGATCAATCCATGCGTGCAAATTGGGTCAGAATGGGCAAAGGTGTTCCATGAGACCAGAGGTTGGATATATTCAAACTAATAACTTGACTGCCTTTTTGCCCCATGAGGAATTGTTTTGACATTATTCCATATGTTGAATGAGTCCATGACTATACGGCCAAAATGGACTTGCCTACCAACCCAACCCATATAACATTGTAACATCGATTTCATTAACATAATAAGAACTAAAAAGTATATGTGAATTAGTCGAGTTGGTAATAAGTTCGTACTCTTATACCCAAGTTCGAGTCTCATTTCATCTACTAAATTATAGTAGTTTAGATTATCGTTTATATAAATAAAATAAATATCTAAATAATAAGAAAACCCCTGAATGAATATTACCCCTTTGTTTTGACTTTAATACATTTTGATGGTTGCCTTTAAAGTGCCATATAGAAAGCCATCACTTGAACTCTCTCAATCTTTTATCCATTTGAAGCACACGACAGCACGGCAGTGTTGCCAAACAGAAGCAAGAGCCCACTTTTCAGTTATTGTCTCTTTAGCCTGAAACTGCATGCATTGGAAATATGCAGCTTGCCAGCGAAAGCCGAGAAGGGGGCCCAAGCTAAGCAACCTGAACCTGGTCGTCCGTGAATCTGTGATTACGGTCTTAAAACGGCAACCCTCTAAATCCGAAAATGACCAATCATATATTAAATATTACGAAGACACACAAAAAAAGTAACGATTAATTGAAGCCTTGTAGGGTTCTGTCTTCTGTTTAAGAATTTGAAGCCTTGCATTTTTTGAGCTCATAAATTGACAAATTTGTTGCTAATATGTGATTAGATTAGAATTGATAGTAAAAGCCAATAAATTTGGTTTCGGTTGATTTCGTTTGCATGACTGGATAAGCATAGCGATAGATTTGGCTGTCACAATCAGACTCATTGCCTTAGAGAAATAAAACAAGAATCAATTGTATTACGTGGCAATAACGCAACCGTTGAACAAATTTGGGGCAAATTGAAATCTGGGCAGGCAGAGTCCCATCATATACTCCGGTCTGGTCCACCACCAAACAAAAAATGCGACAACTTGTGATTGAAAATTAGCAAGGATGATGGATCATAAAAACCAGACTGATGATGGGTTCCGTTCCTTTACAACAAAGCCCCTATTAGTATTTCCCATCATTTAAAACATGTTTTCCAAAATTCGAAATCTCGTGTTTGGACTTAATAAGAAAATAAACACTTTTACTTTGTAAATAATACGATTTCTTCGTACCAAAATACACAAAAAAAAGAAATTTACATAATATTTTTCCATTTTGGATATGGATCAAAATTCCGTTGCTTAAGACAAAACAAATTTTAAAAAAGACAAATTTGTTATAGTTTTGAGATGAGTGATAGATACTTGCATCTTTTTCTTATCAACGCTGGACCACTAGTTACACAACCGCTCCGTTAAGGGTTTTTCTCAAATCCTCAATAGATTGGAACCTTGCGATGATTTTATTTTTTTCTCTTTTGGTAGTTGGGCATCAAATCGTTACTTTTTTATAGTAAGCGTAAGCAGTATCAAATTATATAAGCATGTATGCATGATGGTTGTCGACCAAATAATATAAGCATGTAGAATAATTATTTGTTAGTTACAAAACAATTGTTTCACCAACAACTAATGGTCACTTTTTTGATTATATAAACAAAATAAAAACAAGGAATGATAAGTATTTATGCAAACAAATTATAGTTTACGGTTTAGGACTTATTAGCACTTCATAATAATTATCATGCACTCTTATATTCCTTATTTTTTTTCAATTATAAATTAGTGCACAATGATTATTTTGAAATGTCATCAAACTTTTTTTATTGCTTCAAATCAATTATCGACTTCATTTTTTTGAGCAGTGAAAAAAATAGAGAAGAAAAAACAGTTACTTATTTAAGGAGCTTCTTCCAAGGATAGACTCCACCTTATGTCTCCACATATTTAGGGACTCATACATTTTAAGTTATGTTTATGATTTAATCAAAATGGAGTGTTTGGCAAAAGTGGAAAGTCACGTACTAAGCACCTAACTTACTTCTTGTGACATATAGGACTTCTTTATTTGAAAAAAGACGAGAAATGACCAAAAGACCTTCAAAAGCGAGTCATGTGTTTTATCTTATTGACATTTTATATGGAATTGCAATAAATATGACATTGGGATAAATTGACTAATTTTGTATATTTTACAGGGGAATTGGTTGCCAATGAAAAGTATTAGGGGTATATTAACATTATTAGTATAATTGAGGGGGAACCAACATATTATCCTATTCTGATAATGCAACTCGCCTCGCCAAATCCTTATAATATTACATTTAACCCTAAAAACCACCCTCTATCTCATGTCGTCGTTTAGCTCCACCAACCTCTCCTCATCCATTTGGGGTTGATGTCCCTCCTCTTTTATCTTGGTCGACACCTCTCCTCCTCCATTCCTCGATATCCTTCTTCAAATTTTCTGTGCGTTATCAAAATATCCATGTTGATTTCTATTCACAATTCAGGTATCTATTAATAACACTAATTAATTAGAATCTTTGAAATGAAATTTGTATTTAGTGTTTTTTGCTTGATTGCTCTTGAGTTTTGATTTTGAATTTGTGTTTTTGTTTGGTTGTTTATCAAGCAATGAAGGAGGGAAGAACTTATGATGTTGAACCTTCGTCACCCAATAATCCAATTTTACCCAATTGTCTATTTGAGAAATGGATTGGCCCGATTCATTGTAATCGATCGACTTTGATTTTGAAGTATCTTCATTGAATTAGGTCGGGTTGATTATTAGGTCAAGCTGCAACCTACTTCAACCCGATCTCGACTTTTGTATATGTCATGCATCCAAATCCAGGTATGTCAATATTAGTTGATTATTTACGATATTCTACGCATTTGGTTGGTTAGCAAGTACACAAAAGTTATATATATATTTAGCAAAATGTTTTAATGGTGATATTTTAAATAGTTAAAAATTGTCCTCGTTAAAAAAAAAAACATAACTAAAAAAAAAAAAAAAAAAAAAAAAAAAAGAAAAAAAAAAAGAGTAAAAAAAAATAAGTTAATTTAAAAAATGAAGGAAACGATTAACAAAAGACAAAGATACGTCATCTTAATTTCTTCATAACCTATAATTATTAAATTACTAAACGAGATTGTCAAATTTTTATTCAAATCAAACAGAAGAAGAGATTCAAAGTTCATTTCGACCACCGATAAAGAAAACTAGAAAACAGATGCTAACGCAATCGAAAAGACTAGAATTCATTCATACACGTATATACGTGCTTCCATTGTCAACATCAACTGTCAAGTTGCTCAAATACATAAGAAATTCAACATGTCTTTGTATTTTTATTCATCAATAAAATAAAACAATTCCAACTTATACTTTTAGGAGATGTTTAATACCAATAAAGTTTATTATTGAACAAAATAAAACAATTGTAAAGTTTTATTTAAAATATTAAAATAGAAAAAAGAAACAATATAGAGCACTTCTAAATCGGGAATTACCTTTCTAATTTTTTTTATTTTAAATGTGAAGTCAACAACCTCTTCTGGATTGAATATGAAACGTAACCACCTAATTCAAAAAAAATTATTCTGACCCAAACATTCAGAAAACGTTATGATGTATATCCAAAAACCAGATTGTTTTTTGGGGGCGTAATAGAATAATGAATGCTTAATTTGTTTCCATATATTATAGATGCATAAATAAATAAATAAATCCCATCCCATCCCATGCGTGTATGTAGGTCACACATGCATGATGCATGTGATATACACACACACATATACATATATATATATGTATATATAGTAGAAAAATCACAAAACACATGGGCTATTGTGGAAATAAAAAATAAAAGGAAATTGGGGTTGGTGGGTCTACCTTCCAAATCATCTCATTCATAAGAGAGAAAGAGAGATAGCAATGTATCATCATCATCATCAGCATTATCATTTTGGTACGTTGTGAGGAAGGTCCAAAAAGGCAGTGCTGCGTAAACGGACGATCCCAAGCACAAACAAATACCCTTTTCTTCTTTGTTCTCTCCCGACTCTCATCATCTGTGAAATATACAAATAATATATATATAAGAGAAAAAAAAGGTATTGCTCTGTCTTACCAAATTGCAGACTTGTTTCCCCTTTTGTTTTGCTTTTCCCTTTTTAATCTGTTATACTTAAAGCGATCTTAAGGTGCTTTCATTTCATTTCAATGGAGTTTCTCTAGATTAGCCAGGTAAGTTTTTTTCAGGGAAAATAATCATCTGGCTCTCTCTGAAAATTAAAATTTGTTTTTATTTTATGTTTTTGTTGAATAAATCATCTATTTTTGCTCATCAGTTGTTGTGAACAATAACTTTACAGATAATCTCGAGAAAAAAAAAATACAGTATTTGGATCAAATAAAAGGGGTTGTCTTTGATCATGGCGGTTGCTGAGAATGCACCAAATTTCGACAACACAGCAGTATCATCAGACTCAAATGCACAGAACGATCTTGCAAACCCAAAACCCAGAGTTGATTCCTCTGTCGTGTTGAGTGCGGAACCCAATTTACAGTCAAACGGAGACGATCAGAATCCGCAGGACAAGTTTCAGAACCAGGAGAAAGTAACAACTTTGTCAGTCCCCACAAGCAATCACAAGCCTCATATGGGTCAGATGCAAAATGGGTTTGACACCAATGGGGTCGATAACCATCAGATGGTGGCGGTCAAGTCTGGCGGGTATGGAATTGATCAGAGGTCTAATGGGGTGAGAAATGGAGGGGATGGGGATGAGAGTTTCAAACGTGATATGAGAGATTTGGAGGAGTTGTTGTCCAAGTTGAATCCCATGGCTAAGGAGTTTGTGCCTCCCTCACTTGTCAACAATCATGGGTTCAGTCTTGCTGGTGGGTTTGGCTATGCTAACAATTTTCTAGTACAAACTAATTCTGACAACGCCAATGGACTTATTGGTAGAAGGGTATGTATGATCTTTCCATTTCCTTGCCAAAGTTAAATTTTGCTCTTGGTTTCTGAAAAAAAAATGTAGAAATGAAGTGATGAAAAAGTCGAGTTATTTTTCCTTTTGTTTGGTTTCTGAAAAATGAAAGACTCAGCCAAGGAAAATGTTCTGTTTTCTTCTTGGGCTCACTTGAATGGGATAATTTGTTGTATGATGGATATACTTATGATAATTTGGTTTTTTTTTTGGGTCTTCCGCAGAAGAAGAATGGCTATAGTCAAGGTCGGCGAAGGAACTATTACAAAATGAGTTTGGCACAGAGAGAGGAGATGATCAGGAGGACTGTGTATGTATCTGACATTGATCAACAGGTAATAATTATATTGTTTGTGGTTGTCACATTTTGAAAATTTTGTGTATTCAAAAAATAATAGTTGTATAACTGCCACTCCATTTTCTGCATATCAGGTTACTGAAGAAAACCTGGCTGCTCTCTTTCTTAGTTGCGGACAGGTAAGCAAGTTTTTACTATTCTCATCTGTACTCGTTCAATAGAGATAATGCCAGAATGGTGGATCATAATTCTGAGTTCTTTCTCATCTTCTTCCAAAAGGTTGTAGACTGTCGTGTATGCGGTGATCCAAATTCCATTCTTCGATTTGCCTTTGTTGAGTTTACAGATGAAGGTATTATCAAAAGCTAACATACTTCAAGTACATTGACATATCCATGTCTTGTTACTATGAATTGATGAATATTTGTCTTGTTATGCTGAATCAACTATTTTATGCTCGCAGAAGGTGCAAGGGTTGCCCTGAGTCTGTCAGGAACCATGCTTGGCTATTACCCAGTGAGAGTCCTGCCTTCGAAAACTGCAATTGCACCTGTTAATCCAACATTTTTGCCAAGGGTGAGGACCATAATTGACTGCTTGTCATCAATATATAATTCTACTAATTATGATATATGTATAAATTTATTGCAGTTTTGAGTGTTACAAACTGATTAAGTTATGCTGATTTTACCTGTTCTTTACTTACTTGGATTTATTCTGTTATTGTATTCAGTCTGATGATGAGCGTGAGATGTGCTCAAGAACTATTTATTGTACAAATATTGACAAGAAGGTATTTTTCAACTTTTTAATCTCGTCTGGGTGTTTTAGGACCAGAACTGGTGCACCTGTTCCTGATTTTATTTGTTCACTTGATGCAGGTCACTCAAGCAGATGTCAAACTGTTTTTTGAATCACTTTGTGGAGAGGTTTGTGTTTCCCTCTGTGACAAATTTTTATTGCTGCTCGTTCTAAAACTGCAACCTTATTGTATTTACATTTTCCTGGCTTGTATAGGTTCAACGCCTGAGGCTACTTGGAGATTATCATCACTCCACTCGTATTGCGTTTGTTGAATTTACTGTGGTAAGGACCTTATGGCTCCGTATATTTATGCTGGGTTTTTTTAGCACTCACAAGCCTACTGTGTTATGTGCTGTGTGAGTTTGTGTGGGTGTGTTTTCATCTCTTTTTGTGAAACCAGTGGACAGTGTATGATGGCGGGTGTCTCTGTAAACTATGACAGAGAACTCAGTTCGTTTACTCAATTTTGTGTTCTAATTACTTGAGGTCAAATGTACAAGTTTTGCTTGATCATCTCAATCATTTAGACGTTTCTTTTCTGTCAGAACAACTAGTTAATTTATTGTCTGAGTTACTATATACAGCATTCCACCTATTTTTTCCGGTGGTCTTTTGTATTCTAAGATTTTGATCACTCATGCTAGCATGCTGTAATTATTATGATCTGCTTATAACCTGGAATCTAGAATAGTTTGTACTACTGTTTTATTATCTAGAATGGTTCCTTACCACAGTAATACTTTTTTATCCATTTTAAGTTGGCTTTTATTATCTGATTCCAATAGAATATCACAGTAAGTTTTAACTATTGTCACTATGTAGCAATTGCATTATGGTAAACAGAAACTCAGGTAAAACATGTTTATTCACTACAAGTAAACAAGTTCATATTGTCATTGTACTTCTTCATTGTTTTTTAGATGATTGATGATTCATATGTGGGCCATTGAAACTTATAAATTATTTTCAACTAGGAAAGGTCCTTCTGTTCTTTTAATCAATTTTGCATTTTTATCAAGAATGATTAGACTAAAAGTCTTTTTTCTTTTCTGTTGTTAAATGTTAGTCTCCTTCTCCTTTCTGTTATGCTCGGTAATTCAGATAGCGCTAATCTGAGAATGATTCTTATTTACATTCGCAGGCTGAAAGTGCAATTGCAGCTCTTAACTGTAGTGGTGTCGTTTTGGGATCACTGCCGATAAGGTTAGTTTGGCAGAATGTTTAGCTTACACTGTTCTCTCCCGACAACATACGCCCCCAACTCCAATGTTCTTTCAGGAGCAATTTACTTTGGACCTCCTCGTCATTTGAATGTGTTATATGTATGCAGGGTAAGCCCTTCAAAGACACCTGTTCGGCCCCGTGCTCCTCGCTCTCCATTGCAGTAAACCACATTTTCATGTTTGCTGGACTAGTTTACTGATAGATATATCGACGCATGCATGCACAGAGAAATATTTTGGCGTACTTGTGTTTATCTATGCTTTTGTCCTGGTTGCTGGTGGTAGGGATGTTTGATACCTACTACGAGGGGTTCTGTGGGTTTATTTTAAAGTTGTAGAGTTGGAATGGAATTCAGAGGAGCTAAATGGTTTAATTTTATTAAGCATTATGATGAAATCTCTTTAGTGTTTTGATGCTTGTGATGACCATAAACTCTTAAAGAAGAATTCTTCTAAGAGTTTGTTGGTCTTAATTTGTGGCGTAGCAGCGTAGGCGTACACATGTTGCTTCGATGGCAATGGCATGAAGTGGGTGAAGAATTGATGTTTGCATGCATAGTTTAGTAATTAGTTTAGTTTAGTTTCAAATCCATATGGAGTTAACATATATTATATATATATATATATTATGTGGTTATTGACAATGAAAGAATGAATGGATAAGATTCATAAAAGAAAACCCTTAATGAAGAGGAACAGGAGAAGAGAAGTAGACTTTGTAATCTCAGGTCAGTTTCTTCTTCTTGTTGGATCTTGTCTGAGAGGATGCTGTTGCTGTTTCCCTGTGACTGTGAGTGTGTGTGAGGAGGCTGTTGGTTCTAGTTTGGCGTTGGATGTTGTTGGGTCCCATTGCTGTGGCTGCTGCTGCTGCTGCTGCTGTACAAGAATCATCATAGGAGATGGAGAATAGAAATAGAACGGATGATACACTCCAGGACCTCCAGCAGCATTACTAGAGTTAGAGTAGTAGTGGTGTTGGCCCCGACCACCACCACCGCCGCCACCACCATATCCATTGTAATTATAACTCTGCATCTAAATGTTAAAACCATTTGTAATTATTATCAAGACAACTTGTTCGTATCATGAATGAATGAATCATTGATCAGCCCAAGTAAATTCTAACCGTTGCGAAGTTGTCCTGCTGGTAAACTGGGTATCTGAATGACGAAACCAAGACCATTCACACTTGAGAATTAATTTATAAAACAAATGAATTGTTAAATAAAAAAGTACATATATAGACAAGTGTTTCTTAATTACCCGTAGGCAGAATAATAGGGGAATGCATATTGGGGGTTGTGTTGATGGAAATAGAAATACGTAGAGGTTGTGTCGATAACGGGTCTGGATGATGCTCTGGATTTCTTCATTCCCTCCTCAGCTTCTGAAACATACAACAAGTATTAAGTATATATAGCGAACTCAGGAAAGGTCATCAGACTAGGTTTTTAGACCATTCAGCAAACCACCACGTTCATGAGGTTGAGGTTGAGGAGTGGCTGAATGATTCTTCTGGGCACCTAGGACCGCAAGATTACAATTTGCTCTCCTTCCATCAATGATAGGATTAGGATTTTCACAAGCTCTCCCTGCTGCTTCTGGATCCTTGAACGTCACCTGACAATTAAAAATATACAACTGCTCATTAAAACAACTGGACTTGCTTACAAAACTAAACCATATATATAATATAGGAAAGAAAAGAAAAGAGAAGAAGAGTAGAGTGAACTTACAAAACCATAGCCTTTTGATCTTGCTGTGATTTTGTCAGTGATGACAACAGCCTCTAGGATCTCCCCGAACTGCTCGAAATAGCTTTTCATGGTGTCTCTTTGAGTCTCCCATGGCAATCCACCCACAAATATCTTGGTGTGGCTTGTGTCACCAAATTGTACATGTGTGCCACTGTTTGAGTTTGAGGAGCTCACCATCTTTAAATTATTTGCCTGAGTGAGTGTATGAAAGATTTATATATATATATATATATATATAGAGAGAGAGAGAGAGAGAGAGAGAGAGAGAGAGAGAGCAGCTAAGCTAGTCCAAAGCCAAACAAACAAAGAAGCAAAACTAGCGCCAAATGCAAAGCCTAATACAATAAACCCAGGAAGGAAGGAAGAAAAACAACACCACCAAACAGAGCAACAGACAGCGTGATGGTTTATGGAGAGAAAAAGTGAGAGATATAGCCGTTGGATTGGGTCACAAATAATAAAGGTAAACAGAAATCAATCAATTCAAGCCTTTACTTAACCTTTTGTCGTACCTCGTTTTTTCTTTGTTACTAGATCCTCATAGTAACAAAAGATATCAGATTCGAGAAACAAAGATACCCTTAACAAGAGAATCAATCGATCACTATTCACTACTCTTTTTTTTCTTTAGAGAAACGTTGAAAAATATGATCCAAGGAATAACAAGAAAGGTGCAGTGCTGCAAGTCCAAGTGGTAAGTGGAGCAAATCATTTCCAACAAAAAGCTAAAGGGACTCAAAAATCTCCATTTTCACGTTTGCTTTTCCACACTTATAATAATAATAATAATAATGGGATGGGAGGTCCAAACAAAGATACTGTCGCCTTGCTGTATTCAACTATATATATCCTTTGGTGAGGATAGGAATAAGAATATTGATTGAATCTTGTACAATTTTTAGGAGGCTCAAACTCAAAACAATGCCAATTATCCCATCCAGGCACGCCAATTAATTACCCTTTTGACCTCTTCAAACATGCTTGTCCCACTTGTGTCTATGTTACCAACAGCTGCAAATTAAACCAGAAAACAAATTAATTTCAAGGTAAAAAATGTCACATTAATTTTCTTGTCAGCACTATTGGTTGAAATTGAAAGATAGTTGAAATCTGATGAAAGAAAGCACACACCATTCGAATCAAATTGACTCTGGTGCCGTTGCAGCTGGGTGAGATGGAATGTTGAATTAGAAACCTGAGATCTTCTGTGAGTAGCTGTTGCACCATTCTCAAAGTCCACATGAACAAACTCACTGACAGCATAGTCACTCACGCGAGCTCCTGCACCACTGTTTATTTTCTTGAAACTGTTATTTCATTTCTTGGTACCATCTGAAGCAGAGCGTGTTGCCTTTCTATGACGTTTGATGACCCGCTGACAATGTTTGTTCCGTGATTTAATTGTTTTGGATGGGGTTGACATGCAACCAGCCATTGTAGCTTTTAAATCATGCAAGTCCCAACTACAACGATGCCTTCATCAAGTCCTCTCCAACCTCTGTGCCTACAAATGAAACAAAATACATCAGAGAAGATTAAAGGATTTCTAGAAAGCAGTTTCTATGATCACAAACAATCATGAGAACGCAATCAATTCTTTCATCATGAGACTGTTTCAGTAATTTATGGCTCAAACGCTAGAACAGTAAACCAACTTAACACTTTGAAATTATTAGAATCAAACGGATGACACACAGAGGTCTCTATGTTTAATGAGTATGGTGGCACTATCAGAAAGCACCTTGGTTAGAAGCGACTGGTAACTTGAAGCACTACACTATTTATTCAATCAATTTGTAGATGAAAATTTGTGCAATCATCATAAAAATCAAATGTCTGATTCAAACCTTCTCAAACAAAGTGGGATGTCTCTTTCCCAGTCCCATAGATAAGCCACTTATCTATCTTAAGCCCCAAATCTTTAGTTCTGACTCACTAGAACATAAACATGACCAGAAAACAAAAAGATAGTACAACCACCTCAAGAACAACTCAACAAAACCTTAGTCCCTGTACTTGCTATTATCTATCTTAAGCCCCAAATCTTTAGTTCTTACTCTAGTTTAATTAATTAGTACCTTTGTCTTAAGTAGTTGGTATTTGCAAAGTAAATGGGAGCATCAATCTCAAGTATGAGAATTTGAGAATTCTAGGAACATTGCTTGCATTGGGATACTGCTCAACATTTCTGTAAACCATGGAATTCGGAAGGTTTCCTCGAACAAAAGTCCTTGGCCTTGCCACAAACAAAAGTACCCTGATCACAGATATTGCAACCTACACAAAAGAAAAAAGAAATATTAGTTCTAATGCGTAGTTTTAAGTTGTTAGATATAGTGTTGCTGTCACACACAATAATGATACGTACTGCTAAGACTAGTCCAATTTCAACACTGCCAAAAATGACGTCGATATAGGCACTCATGCAGACAACAAAGTCAAACTCGTCAACCTTCCAGAGGTGAATTGTGGCTTCATAGTCTATGACAACAAGCAAAGCTCGACTAAGTGTTTCTATGTCTGTATATTCCCCAAGTCTGATTCAGTCAGGATTTCCAACAACTCATCCAACTTAGGCCAAACCAGATTCCTAACAATTACATACTACTTTTACAGGCTAAAATCTCTATTTCTCCCTCTAGTAATAACTTTTCGACTACATCTTTCTCTTTTCAGGATGCAAAACACAGAATCAAAAGCAAATTTTTGTATAGCGGCCATCAGAAATTGAAGCGAGTTCATAATTTAGCTAAAGTCAGGAAAAGAAAAAAAGGACCCGCCTAGACCCGCCTAGGCGGCCGCCTAGCGCCTAGGCCGATTTTTTCAACTGCCTAACTAAACAAAAGCACCGTTTATAGGTTTTGAGCTCTAATTATGAACATTATTACCGAATTGAACATTACAGAACAAAATCCACCACCTGTTCTAGATTTCTGTGCATAATAGATTTTCCAAAATAAGCAAAATATAAAGATAATTTAGTTAAAACTACAAATAATCTGAATGCATTCCACTAAAAAGCAGGAAGCAGAGTAATTGAAGACTGAGCTTAGTAAAAATAAAAACCTTGGGTTGAAGAAACTATCCCACCAGCCAGAGTCTGGGGCTTTAGGCTCGACTGGAACCAAGCTTAAGTTTTTCTTCAATTTTCCTATCTTTCTTGCTTTTCTTCGATTTATTGGGAGACGCCATGAGAGCTCAAATGAGGAATTGCCCACCTCTTTTTTGGCCTTGAACTTGAAGACTTTGATGGGAAGTGATTCGGTGAAGCGAGCCAGGCAGGGAGGAAAATATAAAGCTCGTATAGCCATTTTTGGCCTTTAAAAAAAAATACATATCGCCGAATGGCTATACTATTAAAATAAAATTTAAATGGTATAGACGCACGGCTGTACGCTTTAAATATAATATATTTAGAAGGTATAGCCGATCGGCTATACTGGCATCCTTTTTTTTTCCCGCGCCGATTTTTCTTTATCCGTTTCCTTTTTGAAGGAGTGTACAACAGCACTTTTAAAGCTCGTGGTGTAGCCATTTTTGGGATTTTTCCGGCTATACTATTTAAATAATATTAAAATGGTATAGCCGCGCGGCTGTACGCTTTAAATATAATATATTTCAAAGGTATAGCCGCCCGGCTAGACTGGCATCTTCCCCACCCCTCTTCCTCTTCTGATTTTCGTTTAGCAGGGCTACAAGATCAGCTGGCTGCCTATATTCCATCTGTCAATATAAAGCGTATAGCCTTTTTTCGGCAATTTAAAAAAAAAAAAAAAAAAAAAAAAAAAAAAAAAAAAGAAAGGCTATCGGTATGCTAAAATAAAATATTTTAATGGTATAGCCGCACGGCTGTATTCTTTAAATATAATATATTTAGAAGGTATAGCCGACCGGCTAGACGCGCATCTGTTTTTTTTCCTCCCCCCTGATTTTTGTTTATCTGTCATCTCTTTGAAGGAGTGTACAACAGCACTTGTAAAGCTCGTATAGCCATTTTTGGGCTTTTTTCCGGCTATACTCTTTAAATATTAGTCTCCCGGATATACTGGCATCTTTCCCCCCACCCCTCTCTTCCTCTTCTGATTTTCGTTTAGCAGGGCTACAAGATCACCTGGCTGCCTATATTCCATCTGTCATCTCTTTGAAGGAGTGTTCAACAGCACCTGAGAAGCATGTGCTTGCAGACGCCACGTCTCATAAACTAGACACGCACCCATGAGTTAATGCAATTATGTTCTTTGCTTCAATGCCATCGTGTATGGTCTTCTAGCCAGAAAGTCTTTTAAAGGAACACAAGAATAATTATTCCTCTTCAGAATCATTGGTTGAGAAGGAATTGGGCGTGGACAAATTAGAGATCTCTAAGAGATTTACAGAGCCCCGTCAAGAAGGCAACAAGAGAAGGATTCCAGAAAGACTTGATTCTGATGTACAAAAGTTGAGAAACCTTCAAATAACCGTGGAAGACCTGAAGAGGAATGTGGAGATTACTGAAAAGAGCAAAAAAGGGCGAAGGTATTGAATTTGAAAACGTGAAGGGGCAGCTGGAAGAAGCTGACGAAGCCATCACTAAGTTGTAATATATCTCCACTGTCAATTCTTATATTGTGAAGTAAACAACATACCAAGATGATGCTCGGAAGTTTCCGCTTATCGGGTCTCCATATGACCTTGTTAAGGATTCTCCAAGTGCCCTTTAACTGCGAGAATGCCGTTACTGCAAGTGACCTTGCAGCCCCATGCACGACATCGGAAATGGAAGCTGGGAGGCCATTGCTTTCATAAGGAGTTATGAGCCAGGGAAGCAGAGGATAGCCAACCCCACCAACTAAGCATTCTCTAATCTCTACTCCTCCAGATAAAGTTCTAATATTTTCATTCAAACGCTGTCCACCTTCACAGAGCTTGAAAAACCCTGAACACTTTAAAAGTCTAGACACCGTCATGCACCCAGACCAACCAGTTACAATGTCAAGAAACCTGAGGTCAACAATTCCCTGCAGCAAGAGCATGTTGTAGTTGTCCTCCATGTCACACCAATCGTCTGATGTTTGAACGGTAGGAAGGGTCGTAATGATGTGTACCATCTATGGCTCCACAACAATTGGGCAATCCAAAGGCTTCTTCAAGTTTGGACTTTATTTCTTCCATTCTGTTGGAATCAGGCCACTTGAGATGGTGCTTGGCACGTTCTTCCAATGCTTCAATGAATCTCCAAGTCACCTGAGAAACTGTGGACTGGCCTACTTGAGACTCACGGCTATACCCTATTTATATTTAATTTTTAACGAGTATAGCCACTATTTTTAATTATTTTGAGACTCAGGTTAAAGAACCCCAAACAACCTGATTCCTAGTATTAATATTTGAGGCAAATATTCAGAAAGTAATATGATTTGTGTTTATTGATTTTTAGGCGGGCGGATTGTGATGGACATCTACTCTCATCTTTCTTGTAGAATCGGAGCAACTATTGATTATAAATGGAGAAAGCATGTAATCTGATTCACATATTTCTTTCTTTCCATTTTTTATTCTACATAATCATGTGTGACCAAAACCATCATTTGCGATATATCTGTGATTGATATTGGAAAATCAACATATCTCTTTGTTTTCCCATCATAATATTCTGTTCCCTGCAAGAGAATCAACACTTACGTAAATTTGTCCTGAAGAACAGCTGCTGCAATAAACTCCTGCTAGAAACCTTTGTAAATATAAGAACCAAATGAAAAAGATACCGCACAAATTTTGCCTTACCTCAATAATGAACAGATGATGACCTGGAAGGTTTACACCCCATGCCAATGTATTGGTACAAACCAATACCTATAATTTAATACAGATGCCTAATCAGTATATTGAGTAAGAAAATTATATTTTATATTCTCTTTTCCTAATATGTTTTTCAGGAAAGACTATGCTTACTGAGGTAAAACAGAAATGCCTGAATCTTGTTGTTTGCAAAAAGCTTCTCAACCAGAGTTCTATCTTTGTCATTCAGACCAGCATGGTGTAATCCAATGCCAAACTGCAAGGTGTGCCTCAAGTTAAAGAACCATATGCTGGGCTTCTTCTGGCATACTAAGAAACTGCCTTGGATCATCCGACATTGCCAACTTCAATAACAGAAAAGCACAAAAAAAAATTGAATCAACGCAGCAGCCAAAACCAAAGAAAAAAAATCCAAGCATGAGTTGAGAGAAAGGCTCAAGACCGAGTATTTGAATTTTGAAGATTGGATTGCGAGTGCAAGCTTCGTGTTCGTTTCTCTGTCTCTTCTTTTCACTCGCGCACCACATTCCTGTGCGAGTGCAAGCTTATTCTCTCTTCATTTGGAAAAAAAAGGACGCCTAGACCTGTCCAGGCCGCCTAGAACCGCCCAGGCCGCCTAGACCCGCCTAGGCGCTGCCTAGATCAGCCCAGGCTGCCTAACTCCCTTATAGCATCAGAGTTGTTATCTTAGTGGAGATTTCAATAGCTGAATGACATTTGATAGTTTTCATAGAGAGTCCAGTCCAATCCAATCAACACATCAGCCGAAACGAAAGAAAAAAAATCGAAGCTTGAGTTGAGAGAGAGAGAAAGAGGCTTAAGACCGAGTCTTTAAAGCTTGTAAGCGAAATGGCCGAGTGCAAGCTTCGTGTTCGTTTCGAATGAATTTAAAGGGTATAGCCGGACGGCTATACCTTTAAAATATTCAGACGTATTCAAAAAGTGTAGCCGCACGACTATACCTTTAAAATAATATATTTAAATAGTATAGCAGCCTGGCTATACTATTTAAATATACAATTTTGTCAATGTTATTTTAGGGTTTAGGGCTTAAAATACCACTTTTGCTAATTAGGATATAGTTATTTCTTCAATTGTTTTATTTATACCAGTGATATTGGGGAATGAGAATTTAAATTCTTTCCAATGCCTTCCATTCTAATGATTTCCAGCTATTAGCTCATTAGGCAAGAATAAAAAATGAATTTTATTTATAAGAAATAATACGGGTTAAACCCATAAATACAACAATAAAAAATAGGAATCCACCAACATTTTGGGGATAAAAGAATCTTGAATTTCATGGTATAAAATTGCTTGTGTAAGAATTTACTTTCTAAAATGTATCCATCATAATTATGAACTAAACCCAATGACAACCTTTTTCTCACTGCATTTGACAACCCTGCTCTTTTGCTATGAGATATCTCAGTTCGCATTGTATTCTCTGCATATGAAAAATTGGATACAAAACAGTCTAATGAGACAATGAAGAAAAGAGTTTTGAAATAAATTGAAGGTATCAGAGGTCATATGGCATTGATATATATATATATATATATACGAACTATTCTAAATGAGATTTCAAACAAGGTGTTAGATGAGAAGTAGCAAATCATTCTTACATATACCTCTCTTGTATCTCGCAAGCGTAGGAGATCCAACCTTTCATGAGGACGCCGGTTTGATAAAGATGCAAGCTGCATCCAATCATACATTAATACCGGCAATTATAGCCCACAATATACTCAATTTTAATAAAGAGAAATATAAAGTTACCCAGAAGCAGAAATGCTCAGGATCTTGTAGTGAAGGCATTAGCACTTCCACGCCGAGAAGTCTCTCAAGTCGTCTTCGATTTGTAAAGAGATACTATCATACATCAAAAGGGCACATAGGTATACTTAGGGGTGGCAATTTCGGATACGACCCGATACACGACTCGAAACCCGCACGATAAAAAAACAGGTCAATTTCGGGTCAACCCGTTCTGACCCGTTTAATAAACGGGTGAGTTTCGGGTCAACCCGCTATAATACCTACCTAACCCGTTTATTAAACGGGTCGTGTCAACCCGCTAAAAAATGAAGAGAAATGGAGACTTCAGCACACACACAAGGGGTTTCGAACCCCTACCACCCTCATTTCTCTCAAACACCTTATCCACCATGCTACAAACAACTTTGTGATTTATCATATGTCTTTTAATATTTATAATTTTTCTTTTTCTTTTGTGTTTTCCTTTCTTTTCCATCTCTCTTCTCCTTTTTTTTTTTTTTTTTTTTTCTTTCTTCTTTCTTCCTCTCTCTCTCTCTTCTTTTTTTTCTCTTTCTCTCTTCTCTCCTTTTTTCTTCTTCTTTCTTTTCTTTCTCTTTAGTTTTCTCTCATCTCTCTTTTTCTTTCTCTCTCTCTCTCTCTCTCTCTCTCTCTCTCTCTATTTTTTTCTTTCTTTTCCTTCTCTCTTCTCTCCTCTCTTTATCTTTTTTTTTCTTTCTTTTCCTTATATTTTCTCTACTCTCTCTGTTTTTTTTAATTTAAATTTTTTTCAATTGTGAGTTTCGTAACATGCATATAATTATTTATGAACCCGTTACACAACTCGAAACCCGCACGATAAAAGACGACACGAATCCGACACGACACGTTTATTAAATGGGTTGGGTTCGGGTTGAGCATTCTTGACACGTTTATTATCCCGACACGACACGACCCATTGCCAGCCCTAGGTATACTGAACACAAGAATAAGGGAAGAAACCATTCTTATGTACACTGGCATTACATATAGACTGAAAATTTTAATGGCTTGAATAAAGACAAATTGTCACAAGTAAATAAGATATGTTGATCTAGAGATAAAGATCCTCCCCAAATGTTCCAAGCAGAAGCTTCCTAAAGATGAAATCTGAATATGACAGACATTTCAGTTGAACAAAAGGTTTAACCTAATAAAACTAATCTTTCATTTCCAACCATTACAACTGACCACCAAATTGAAGCATGCAATCTCAGTCAGGCAGTAATATTCACCCAAAATAATGGAAAATCTGATTCAGGATATTCTTAATGGTCATCCAAATACCTATTATAGAGGACTAAGAGATTTAACTTATGGAGATAACCCATTCAAAATAACAAAAAAGAAGGTAAATTCCGAGTTCATTCAATTGATGTAATTCCTGAGCATTTTACCTTGACGTGTTACTCTTTTACCCAGCCCTATCCATAACTGAGCATACTCTGCTGCATTATTTGTCAATTCCTGTGATTGGACAGATATAGAAGTTAAACCACATAGGCACAACCAATATGAGGAGGAAACACATGGAAGAACTTTGTCCTGCATCTTCCTACAGTGATGCATGTTACACTTCAGGCTATTAATACATTAGCTACATGGCCTTTTAGCAATGACATTAATAGACTTAATTCAGTGACAACTATAATACATTTGAAGATTTACAACCAAATTCCATCATGTCACGTGTCACATGTCAAAACAACACTTTAAGCTATGCCTATTGTATCTCAAGTTTTGCCAATTGAAGTTGAAAACTATGCAACTTTTCATCTAGAAAAATGTGTGACCAATTGATTAATAATTTTTTATTATAAAAAAACTCAAAAGCATTGTTAAGCACCAGATCAAGTTTAACTCAAGCTTCTTACTATTCTTTACAACAAAAAATTAAAAATATATATATATATAAAAAAGAGCACTGTGAAGACCCGTATTTTAAATAGATAAAAGAAGATATTTATCTTTTGGATAAACTTGGACGATAATATCTTTTAAAGATATTTATCTTTTAGATAAACTTGGATGATCTTATCTTGTTATGATATTTATCTTTTGGATAAATTTAGATGTTCTTATCCTTTTAATATTGAAGTTTATCCTATCCCTATAACCACTATAAATAGGAGCATAACCTTATAGTTTAAAAAACATGAGAGAGAGAGAGAGAGAGAGAGAGAGAGAGATGATGATGATGAAATTCTTGGAAGAGATATAGGACTTAGCTTGTATTTTCTTAACTTAGAGAAATGCTTTGGAATCGAGGTAGGGATTTCTTGGGGGTCTTTACAGAAGATTGAATTAATTAAATTTGTGTACTATTATAATGGATGTTCTTGATATAAGATATTTACGTATTGTGAACTATTTGAATAAGGATAACGTTGGCATAATTATATCATGTCATGGTAATTGGTTGGAGTTGTTGGATTGAGAAAATAATGATGGAAAATAGGGTAATGGAAATAGTCTTTTGTGTAGTTGAGTCTAACTCTTGGCAGGTAGCAGGTCTCAGGGATCTCACAGTGCACATGGTTTTTATTGGGTGATTCGGGACTGGCAACAGGGAGTTAGACAAGATGACTAATAAAATGGGAATTATGGGATGATTGAAATGGGTGTTAGTTCATATAAATAGGCATTCGGGACCAAGTGGTATAAGCATGGTATGGGACGTGCAGGTCTGCTTGTCCAGTTATATGAATTAACGGGAGTAGATGAAGAGCATTCATTCATGCATTATTATTATTAATGTGATATTTTGGCTGTATGATTGCATGTCACTTAATTTAGTTATATCAATCTACTGTGGTAAGGTCTCATGTCCCTATTGAGTTGTGGTTGCTCACCCCTCACCGTGTTTAATTTTTCAGATGAATTAGTGGGCAAGAAAAGAACTAAACTAGTTGAGACTGAATTAGATGAGAGTAGTAGAGCTTTGTTTATTTATTATAAAGTTGTAAGATTTTGGGAGCTATTTTTATAAGAGAAGTTTATTTTGAACCCATGTTTCATATTTTTATTATTTTGTTTTACATTTTATTTTCTCATGCACCGGGCGTGGGTTTTCCGCCGACCCCCGGGTCCGGGGCGTGACAAGCACACTCCAATAGAGAGATTACAACAAACCAAATTGTCATGAACTTACGTCTGCTCTCTCTCTAAACCTTTGTGGTGGATATATGTTCTGTACCCATACGGTACCTGAAGAGCACATCAAAAAAACAAAAATATTAAACAAGAGCAGTAATTAAAGATCAAATGAATGGCTAGACATCTCATAAGACAACTCACCCATCTTGGTCCCAAGATTGAATTATACGAAACCGTCGGCCACTTTCAATCTGCATGAAATAGTATTATTATAAGTATGTGAATGGATCATTAAAAAAAACATCATAACTTCAAACAAAATGCATTAAAACAAAAATCTATGAATATTCAATAAAAACAACAGAACACGTGGATCACATGGACTGTAGAAGAGTACCAAGTAGGCATACAAAACTTGCCAGATAAGTTTGTCAACATAGTTATTTTGCAGCAAATGCACTTCTACGTTTAAATATTTTATGAATGTCATATGTGAAAAATACGAACTGCTAACCAACTTACCATAAGTCTATACCGAGGTTAAAAAATGAGTAGCAGAAACTTCTGAAATGGGAGGACAACATCCATTACAAAGAGTGGCATCAAATCAACACCAAAGTTTGTCATTGTATCATTCCCCAACATCCTTTCGGCAAATTCCTCTAGGAAGTTCTTCTGTATAATGTTGTTAAGTGTCACACTGGCAAAAACAAAAAGAAGATATTGAAGGTAGACCACAGAACTGAAGGAAACAATCTTGGTAAACTCTGAAAGCTATAACACTAATTAAGCATAAAAAATTAGCAAGCACATATCATGCTGACAAACCTAAAATATATGCCCATTGAATGCAAGATGGAAATAAAAGTTTGAATGGCCCCACCAAAATGATTTCCTAAATTCATATTTATAGATTAGTAATTTCATATTACTTGGATTTTTTTAATTTCCAAAATCTAGAACCACAATTGTTATACTCTGTAAAAGTGAGAATGCCAGACTCAATCTATAATAGGTGGAACTCCTGGGGGATGTGCAATCATGCCCATTACAAACAGCATAGGTACAGAAAACCATAAAGCAATAATTGTGATGTCAAATAATGCAAGCATCTCATTCAATTATTATAAGCACATGTTCTAGGACTAATGAAAAGAACTGTTGGGCACAAAGGACATTTGTTACCTAGGAAAATTAACACAAGTCAAGGACTAAAAGGGATTAGAAGATATAGACTAACTCAATTAAATAGAATCAGTAACAGCAAAACACTCACGTCGATCCATTGACTGAAATAGGCATGAAATGCCCACAAGGAGTTGTGACAGGTTCATATTAAGCATAGTGTGCAATCAAAGTCATCACTGCGTTCTGCTTTTCTATGGCTTCTCCTCCCTGTGAAATTAGCTTGTATTCTCTCTAATTTCTGAAAACATTCCTGAAGAGGATTGCTACAGAATACCACACAAAAGATGAAATAATATAACATTTTAGAATTTCACAGTGCTAGGCCACTTGCTATAGAATACCACACTAATTATTGTTGAAGGTGTCTTCCCCTACAATGCTATGCCACTTGTACAGTCAAAATATTTAAATAAATAAAAAAGTAGTTGCAGAGCAGAAGATGTAAGGATTTTCTATGTGACTTTATTAGACAGTAACATTAGGCTTCTAGTACTAGAAAGAAATCAATAAAGCAGAAAGGCATTGGTGAGCAACGCCAATGCGCCTCCCTCCACTAACCGACCTCTCCCTGCATGCGTGTTGACAACTAATTTATCCTTTCCTTTTCTTTACCCCAACCAAGACCACCAGGAATTATAAATCTCTCATTCCCTCTTCATTTGCCTCCCAATTCTCACTCTCTCAACAACAGAAACACAGTTTTCTATCTCTTCCTTTCACTCCACACGAAACATACCCCTCATTTCTTATGCCTTTCCTTATACATGTCACCTTTGCTCCTTCGCACCAGCAAGCTTCGTCTGTCTTCAGTTGGGAAAAAAAGGACACGACCCGCCCTGGCGCCCAGACCCGCCTAGATCCGCCCAGGCCGCCTAGGCGCCGCCTAGATCCGCCCAGGCCGCCTAGGGTCCCTGGTGTTGGTGACCTCCTGCCTAGCGCCTAGACCGATATCTCGAACACTGCTCAAAACCTGGAATGGGCTTGCTCTGTGCCCTAGACATTCGTAGTGATGAGTTCGAGTCCGATTCACCAGATGGAAAAAAAACCGAGTATAGCCGTGCGGCTATACTGTTTTTAGAAAAATTAAGAAAATACCGAGTAAAACCGCCCGGTAATGTTGTTCTCGCCATCATGCCAAGTAACAAGGAAAAATAAACCAGAAGTTTATATTTTGAAATGAGAAGAATGTTAGATAAGAAGGAAGACTTGGGGTACATCAATATCAGGTATAGTTTTCTTTGACAATTGAGATTAGGAAGACTTGAGATCAGGTGAAGTCCTTTTCTATCTGTCTCTGGCAGCTGGTATAGTTTGGATGGAATTAATTTACACCAATATCAGGTGATTTTCTTTGACAATAGTTTATTCATATCGAATATGCATAGTGCATTAGCAGGTGCTCATGTTTAAGAGTATTTTTTAGCAATATCCTGGAGGCGGGAGAACAGCTTTACTGGTCTAGACAACAAACATGAACATGTGATCAGAACCATTTATCACTTTGACTTCATCTGGTGGATTTAACTATGCTACGAATTAGATTTCTTCGCCTATCCTTGTTGAGGAAAAAATTGGAAATTCTATACATAGAATCTAAATTACCTTAAGTACAAAGCTTGTTCTTCTATTCCTTCACTGCTCAATGTAACAACGTTCATCCACAAAGTGCATTCACTTCTTAAAAATCTCCATATATGGCTTCAAAGAGTCATGAGGATCTCAAAGCACTCTTTCCAGCATTGTCTGACTGTGGCCCAGTTGCCTGACTCAAAGAAACTCAAAGAGTTGTCGAGACTTGGCCTCATTGGTTGGCAAGATCTCATTTTATCACTTCAACTCAAAGGAATAAATGATGCTCTGCAAAAATCTGTGCTGATAAGTTCATTCTTTTAGAAGTTTATTTCTCTTCCTCAAAACAGAGTTCCTGAAATCTTGTTAAGCTGCAAGCAAACAGCAACCCGTTTAGTTTGGATAAGTCGTGATCACGAGGAATGAATGAAACTAAAAGTGAAAGAAAGAAGTTGACTGTAGTAAATTCAAAATAAAATCAAACCCTATAGTAAGAGCAATCACTAGTTTACTGGGAAGCATAATGAAACTCATTTCAAAGACACGTACCGGTTCAGAAGAACATTAGGATTGTAGGGAAACAGATTCTTTTGGTGTAGACCTTCAATAGAAATTTTTAAGTGAAAGTAAGCACTCTTTGGCTTCTTTGAAATACTGTCCTCCATTTTGGGTGTGCTTGCAGCCATTTTCAGTTTCTTCATCAGGTTCATCATCAAGAAATGTAAGATGATTTTTTGTTGGTGCAAGAGAATCCTCTCCCCAGGAACTCAAGCCACCCAATGAAACTTTTCTTTTCTTGCAAAATGATTGATTTGTAGCTTGCCCACCCACTAGAAATTCCACAAATAAGCTCCATGAATCACACACTTTACGCAAGCACCTAAAAGCATTAAGGACGGTAAGAAGCAAATGAAAGATACAAAGAGTTGCAATTAAAAACAACCAAATTGATTCTTGTTTTGCTAATTAGTTAAGAAGTCATGCAAAAGCAGAGGGTTAATGTTTTATGGTTTAGTCACCGAGGTCGACACCAGAAAATGCAGCCCACCACGGTTTAGATTTCATAAGTTGAGAAAAGGTGTGGAAAGAGAAAAGACCTTAAAAGATATTCTGCACAACTGATTCTGGTATCTTTTGAAATAAGGTAATCAAGAAGCACCTGATGGTCATAGCTCAACTGCAAAATATGAAGAAAAAAGAAAGTGCATAATGTCAGTGATTCTTTTTTATTCTGCAATACCATATACTTCAAATTAACAACTAGGAGGCATGCCGAAGTGGAAATGCAGATATGTAAATGTCCAAGAGGGAGCATCTTGCCTCTAATAGGAAAAGATGGAACAAGAGTACAGGATTGAAAAGATCTGAGACACGGAAAAGTAAATTGCCATTCCAATCCTCCAATGCAACCTTTTCCTTTTCATCCCTATATAAACCCAAAAATCTTGTTATAAGGAATCCATGACAATAACTTTTAAAACAATGGAAAACTAGGATATTAATTCCTTACTGTTCTGCACAACAAGGTACACAAAGCAGATGCAAGAGCACTTTGAATAATACATCATCCTACAGTTCAAAAACAAGCCAAGAAATGAGGACATGAGTCTAAAAAACTGCAAGAAAAATACGACAAATGAAGAATACAGAACTGCAATTTTAGTACGTGAAATTGTTGAATAAGATGATGCATTCAGATAGACAAAACAAAAACAAAATATGGATACAATTTTTCATTTTTTGGGTGTGGGTGAATAGATTGCCTATTTTGCTTATATCACGTTGCATATAAACAGAGACAAAAAACTCTTAGTTTCAAAGATAAAGAAGACATACCTCTTTGATATACTGTTGGATGAAGGATTTGGCAAAGTCAACACATTCTACAAAATACATTTCATGGTCCACTGTCATATTAGCTGGAAGATGCCCTTGAAGCCAGTTATAAAGCTCCAAGAGACCTTTCTTTCTTAGACAGTAACATTAGGCTTCTGGTACTAGAAAGAAATCAATAAAGCAGAAAGGCATTGGTGAGCAATGCCAATGCGCCTCCCTCCACTAACCGACCTCTCCCTGCATGCGTGTTGACGACTACTTTATCCTTTCCTTTTCTTTACCCCAACCAAGACCACCAGGAATTATAAATCTCTCATTCCCTCTTATTTGCCTCCCAATTCTCACTCTCTCAACAACAGAAACACAGTTTTACATCTCTTCCTTCCACTCCACAGGAAACAAACCCCTCATTTCTTATGACAGCTGCTGGACACCTTTACAGTCACTTGATAACTCTTGCACAAGATATATACTCATTAATGGGAAAGTATCGTATATTGGAACAAAAACTTGCACAAGATATATACTCATTAATGGAACAAAAACCTCTCCCGACGACATTTCGTCGGTATAGGAAACTTTCCTCTGGAGAGGTCTAATCCGGCAAATAGTTGCCGACATAGACATGTGCCGACGAAATGTCATCGCGACATGTGTTCTTGCTCTTTATTTATTTAAAAAAAAAATATATATATATATATAATTAGTTTCTTTACTTTTATTTTTTGCCCAACTTCTTTAATTTAATATATATGTCTTTAAGTAATATCTTAGCCTTTTGTAAATACTTCAATTAGTAATTATATTATTATTTGAATATAGACGGACCGCTCTACCGTTTAAATATTCGAATATATTTAGGAAATATGACAAAGGGCACCTAAAAAGATAAGCAACATCATTATATCACTTCTCATACACATGCAACACACAAACAAGGCGTAAATTTTCCCTCAACCCTAAGCGCCCACAGAGGAACAAAGCTATAAGTTAAATACATACCATGTCTAATTGATTCATTATCTCAAGGCTCAGCTTTGCTACAGAGAAATCCAGATTTTTATAGTTATATTTAAAGAGAACGGTCTAGCCACTCGGCTATACTCTATAAACAGAATATTTAAAAGTACAACCGTGCGGCTATAAGCCATAAACAGAATATTTTAAAAGAGTGTATAGCCGCCTGGCTATACTCCATAAATAGAATATTTTAGAAGAGAATATCGCCGCTCGACTATTCCGTTTTTTAAGACGTTCATAATACAATTCGAGACCCTTCCTTGATATGTAGCTGAAGCGATGAATGTCCAGATCAATCTCAAAGTAGTTAGGACCCTGCATGTGAGAGAGCTTGATAAAGTCAAATAACATGGTTTTTATGTTTCATCTTCTTAACACTCAGCAACATAAATGTTCAATGTTTACCTTGTAAAAATTGTGCGAGGGGCGTGAAAGAACTGGTTTGTCATTATATGCATGTACAAACTTCTAATCAGCAGAACTCCGACCGATATCCTTATGATTTACCACCCCAGCCAAGATCTTTAGTCTTTCTCTGAAAGGTACAATGGAGTCCTTTGCAAATCCTTTAACTTTTTCCGTCTCATCGTCAACCATTTTCTAAAAGCATCATTCAAATTTATCAACAGACTGAGTGTTCCAATAGAACATAAGATCACATTTCCATCAGGGAGAGTACATCATAATAAAGTACATGCCTATCCATAAAGCAGAACATAAGGCAATAACATAAGGCTTCTAGTACTAGAAAGAAATCAATAAAGCAGAAAGGCATTGGTGAGCAACGCCAATGCGCCTCCCTCCACTAACCGACCTCTCCTTGCATGCGTGTTGACGACTAATTTTTCCTTTCCTTTTCTTTACCCCAACCAAGACCACCAGGAATTACAAATCTCTCATTCCCTCTTCATTTGCCTCCCAATTCTCACTCTCTCAACAACAAAAACACAGTTTTCTATCTCTTCCTTTCACTCCACACAAACCAAACCCCTCATTTCCTATGGCTTTCCTTATTTTATGTCACCATTCCTCCTTCTCACACACTATATGCATGTCACCTTTGCTCCTTCACACCAGCAAGCTTCGTCTGTCTTCATTTGGAAATAAAAGGACACGACCCGCCCTGGCGCCCAGACCCGCCATGGCGACCAGACCCGCCCAGGCCGCCGAGATCCACCCAGGCCGCCTAGGCCCTCCCAAACTCCCTGGTGTCGGTGTCCTCTCCCGCCCAGCACTTAGGCCGATTTTTCGAACACTGCTCCAAACCTGGAACGGGCTTGCTCTGTGCACTAAACGTTCGTAGTGATGAGTTCGAGTCCGATTAACTAGAATATTTGAAAAAAAACCAAGTATAGCCGCACGGCTATACTATTTAAAAAATAAAAAAGAGTAAAGCCGGCCGGCCATACTATTTTTACAAAATTAGGGAAAACGAGTATAGCCGGGTGGTTATACTATTTTTAAATAAAATTTAACGCGGAAGTACTATTTTTAAAATAAAATTTGGAAAAAAAAAACAAGTATAGCCGCGCGGCTATACTATTTACCAAAAAATATGGACCACCATTCTTACCTTTCTAAGAGAATGGATTCATAGCCCTGGGTACTAATAAGCGAAAACCAATTTGATTCCCTGCGCTCATCTTTTCCTGTGATTTTATCTGATTTACCTCCATCTATTTTCATATAGCTTTGGAATTCTTCATACTTACACCCATTATCAACAAAGCGAGCAGATCTTTCGTACTGAAGTACTTGGCCGCCAGAGATATTCCCAACTGGATTGCTTGCTAATGGAAAACCATCTGTAGAATAAGAGAAGAAAATTAAGAAAACAAAATAAAATCCTTTCCCAATAAGTAGCTCAAGTAAAAATTACTTCAGCAGTAAGATGTTTTGCAATAAGCCGCGCGGCTATACTATTTTCCAAAAAATATGAACCACCATTCTTAGCTTTCTAAGATAATGGATTCATCTTCCCAAGAACCTTTGGATCTACCATATAAACCACCTTTGGCTACGATTTTTTCTCTTATTGTTCCTTCTTTTTGTGTAAAATTTGGATTTTATAACTATGGTGCATTAATTTGATAAAATTTTGATAAATCACATCAACATGTCATGTGAATATGTACACAAGCAATAAAATAACTTCTCAAGTGAGTCAGCGAATTACTAGAGTATTTTCAAGATCACAAATTTATTGATTCAATTTAGCACTCCGGACATAAATTTGTTTTGGTAAGGCTCCGTAAATGAAATATTTTAAACGTATAGCCGCACGGCTATACCCTTGAAATATCATAATCTGGATTTAACATAAGAGTGATCTAACATATTCTTCCTCTTACTGCAAACTTCATCAGCCTTCCCTAAGCGAGAAAGCTCATAGCCCTTGGTACTAACAAGCGAAAACCAATTTGATTCCTTGCGCTCATCTTTGCCTGTGATTTTATCTGATTTCCCTCCATCTATTTTCATATAGCTTTGGAATTCTTCATACCTACACCCATTATCAACAAAGCGAGCAGATATTTCGTACTGAAGTACTTGGCCACTTGAGATATTCCCAACTGGATTGCTTGCTAATGGAAAACCATCTGTAGAATAAGAGAAGAAAATTAAGAAAACAAAACAAAATCCTTTTCCAATAAGTAACTCAAGAAAAAATTAGTTCAGCAGTAATGATGTTTTGCAATCAAACAAGACCACAAGGCTTGCACTCTGTAATATGTAGTTACAGGCTGATGCCCAATACCTCCATGTATACTGATAAAGTCATCATCCGAGTCAAACTCCAAAATACTCACTGATTCAAACCAAGCTTCCTCTTGGAAAATTACTGCAAATGAATAACTTTCAAAATATGAGATTCAAGAGCTATGAATATTCTTGTCAGCACTACTGGTTGAAATAGAAAGATAGTTGAAATCTGATGAAAGAAAGCACATACCATTCGAATCATATTGACTGTGGTGCCATTGCAGCTGGTTGAGATGGAATGTTGAATTAGAAACCTTAGATCTTCTGTGAGTAGTTGTTGCATCATTCTCAAAGCCCACACGAACAAACTCACTGACAGCATAGTCACTCACGCGAGCTCCTGCATCACTATTTATTTTCTTGAAACTGGTATTTCTTTTCTTGGTACCATCTGAAGCAGAGCAGGTTGCTTTTCTATGGCGTTTGATGACCCACTGACTGTTTTTTTCTTGATTTAATTGTTTTGGATGGGGTTGACATGCAACCAGCCATTGTAGCTTTTAAATCATGCAAGTCCCAACTATAACGATGCCTTCATCAAGTCCTCTCCAACCTGTGTGCCTATAAATGAAACAAAATACATCAGAGAAGATTAAAGGATTTCTGGAAAGCAGTTTCTATGATCACAAATAATCATGAGAACGCAATCAATTATTTCATCATGAGACTGTTTCAGTAATTTATGGCTCAAACGCTAGGCTAGTTAACCAACTTAGCACTTGGAAATTATTAGAATCAAACGGATGACACACAGAGGTCTCTATGTTTAATGAGTATGTTGGCACTACCAGAAAGCACCTTGGTTAGAAGCGACTGGTAACTTGAAGCACTACACTAGTTATTCAATCAATTTGTAGATGAAAATTTTTGCAATCATCATAAAAATCAAATGTCTGATTCAAACCTTCACAAACAAAGTGGGATGTCTCTTTCCCAGTCCCATAGATAAGCCACTTATCTATCTTAAGCCCCAAATCTTTAGTTCTGGCTCACTAGAACATAAACATGACCAGAAAACAAAAAGATAGTACACCCACCTCAAGAACAACTCAACAAAACCTTAGTCCCTATTATCTATCTTAAGCCCCAAATCTTTAGTTCTTGCTCAGGTTTAATTAATTAGTACCTTTGTCTTAAGTAGTTGGTATTTGCAAAGTAAATGGGAGCATCAATCTCTAGTATGAGAATTCCAGGAACATTGCATGCATTGGGATACTGCTCAACATTTCTGTAAACCATGGAATTCGGATGGTTTCCTCGAACAAAAGTCCTTGGCCTTGCCACAAACAAAAGTACCCTGATCACAGATATTGCAACCTACACAGAAGAAAAAAGAAATATTAGTTATAATGCATAGTTTTAAGTTGTTAGATCTAGTGTTACCATCACACCAAATAATGATACGTACCGCTAAGACTAGTCCAATTTCAACGCTGCCAAAAACGACGCCAATATAGGCATTCGTGCAGACAACAAAGTCAAACTTGTCAACCTTCCAGCGGTGAATTGTGACTTCATAGTCTATGACAACAAGCAAAGCCCGACTATGTGTTTCTATGTCTGTATATTCCCCAAGTCTGATTCAGTCAGGATTTCCAACTACTCATCCAACTTAGGCCAAACCAGATTCTTAACAATTACATACGACTTTTACATGCTAAAATCTCTATTGCTTCCTCTAGTAATAACTTTTCGACCACATCCTTCTCTTTTCCGGATGCAAAACACATAATCAAAAGCCAATTTTTGTATAGCGGCCATCAGAAATTGAAGCGAGTTCATGATTTAGCTAAAGTCAGAAAAAAAAAAAAAAGGACCCGCCTAGACCCGCCTAGGCGGCCACCTAGCGCTTAGGCCGATTTTTCCAACAGCCTAACTGAACAAAAGCACAGTTTATAGGTTTTGAGCTCTAATTATGAACATCATTACCGAATTTAACATTACAGAACAAAATCCACCACCTATTCTAGATTTCTGTGCATCATAGATTTTCCAAAATAAGCAAAATATAAAGATAATTTAGTTAAAACTACAAGTAATCTGAATGCATTCCACTAAAAAGCGGGAGGCAGAGTAATTGAAGACTGAGCTTAGTGAAAAGAAAAACCTTGGGTTGAAGAAACTATCCCACCAGCCAGAGTCTGGGGCTTTAGGCTCGACTGGAACCAAGCTTAAGTTTTTCTTCAATTTTCCTATCTTTCTTGCTTTTCTTTGATTTATTGGGAGACGCCATGAGAGCTCAAATGAGGAATTTCCCACCTCTTTTTTGGCCTTGAACTTGAAGACTTTGATGGGAAGTGATTCGGTGAAGCGAGGCAAGCAGTGAGGGAAATATAAAGCGTATAGCCTTTTTCGGACTTTTTATTAAAATAAATAGTATAGCCGAACGGCTGTACCATTAAAATAATATTTAAATGGTATAGCCGCACGGCTGTATGCTTTAAATATAACGAAGGTATAGCCGACCGGCTATACTGGCATCTTTTTTTTCCTCCCCGCTGATTTTTGTTTATCTGTCATCTCTTTGAAGGAGTGTACAACAGCACTTGTAAAGCTCGTATAGCCATTTTTGGGCTTTTTTCCGGCTATACTATTTAAATAATATTTAAATGGTATAGTCGCTCGGCTGTACTCTTTAAATATTAGTCGCCCGGATATACTGGCATCTTTCCCCCCACCCCTCTCTTCCTCTTCTGATTTTCATTTAGGTGGGCTACAAGATCAGCTGGCTGCCTATATTCCATCTGTCATCTCTTTGAAGGAGTGTACAACAGCACCTGAGAAGCATGTGCTTGCAGACGCCGCATCTCATAAACTAGACACGCACCCATGAGTTAATGCAATTATGTTCTTTGCTTCAATGCCATCGTGTATGGTCTTCTAGCCAGAAAGTCTTTTAAAGGAACACAAGAATAATTATTCCTCTTCAGAATCACTGGTTGAGAAGGAATTGGGCGTGGACAAATTAGAGATCTCTAAGAGATTTACAGAGCCCCGTCAAGAAGGCAACAAGAGAAGGATTCCAGAAAGACTTGATTCTGATGTACAAAAGTTGAGAAACCTTCAAATAACCGTGGAACACCTGAAGAGGAATGTGGAGATTACTGAAAAGAGCAAAAAAGGGCGAAGGTATTGAATTTGAAAACGTGAAGGGGCAGCTGGAAGAAGCTGACGAAGCCATCACTAAGTTGTAATATATCTCCACTGTCAATTCTTATATTGTGAAGTAAACAACATACCAAGATGATGCTCGGAAGTTTCCGCTTATCGGGTCTCCATATGACCTTGTTAAGGATTCTCCAAGTGCCCTTTAACTGCGAGAATGCCGTTACTGCAAGTGACCTTGCAGCCCCATGCACGACATCGGAAATGGAAGCTGGGAGGCCATTGCTTTCATAAGGAGTTATGAGCCAGGGAAGCAGAGGATAGCCAACCCCACCAACTAAGCATTCTCTAATCTCTACTCCTCCAGATAAAGTTCTAATATTTTCATTCAAACGCTGTCCACCTTCACAGAGCTTGAAAAACCCTGAACACTTTAAAAGTCTAGACACCGTCATGCCCCCAGGCCAACCAGTTACAATGTCAAGAAACCTGAGGTCAACAATTCCCTGCAGCAAGAGCATGTTGTAGTTGTCCTCCATGTCACACCAATCGTCTGATGTTTGAACGGTAGGAAGGGTCGTAATGATGTGTGTACCATCTATGGCTCCACAACAATTGGGCAATCCAAAGGCTTCTTCAAGTTTGGACTTTATTTCTTCCCTTCTATTGGAATCAGGCCACTTGAGATGGTGCTTGGCACGTTCTTCCAATGCTTCAATGAATCTCCAAGTCACCTGAGAAACTGTGGACTGGCCTACCCCGAAGGCAGCTCCCACTGATACTTGAGACTGACGGCTATACCCTATTTATATTTAATTTTTAACGAGTATAGCCACTATTTTTAATTATTTTGAGAAGAACCCCAAACAACCTGATTCCTAGTATTAATATTTGAGGCAAATATTCAGAAAGTAATATGATTTGTGTTTATTGATTTTTAGGCGGGCGGATTGTGATGGACATCTACTCTCATCTTTCTTGTAGAATCGGAGCAACTATTGATTATAAATGGAGAAAAGCATGTAATCTGATTCACATATTTCTTTCTTTCCATTTTTTATTCTACATAGTCATGTGTGACCAAAACCATCATTTGCGATATATCTGTGATTGATATTGGAAAATCAACATATCTCTTTGTTTTCCCATCATAATATTCTGTTCCCTGCAAGAGAATCAACACTTACGTAAATTTGTCCTGAAGAACAGCTGCTGCAATAAACTCCTGCTAGAAACCTTTGTAAATATAAGAACCAAATGAAAAAGATACCGCACAAATTTTGCCTTACCTCAATAATGAACAGATGATGACCTGGAAGGTTTACACCCCATGCCAATGTACTGGTACAAACCAATACCTATAATTTAATACATATGCCTAATCAGTATATTGAGTAAGAAAATTATATTTTATATTCTCTTTTCCTAATATGTTTTTCAGGAAAGACTATGCTTACTGAGGTAAAGCAGAAATGCCTGAATCTTGTTGTTTGCAAAAAGCTCCTCAACCAGAGTTCTATCTTTGTCATTCAGACCAGCATGGTGTAATCCAATGCCAAACTGCAAGGTGTGCCTTGTTGAAATATAAGTGGTGAGCTGATGAGAGTGTGATTAAAGTCCCTAAGCTGAAATGGTGTATTCACTTAGTCTCTAAAATAGGCAAGTGTGAGGCGTCAGTTAGTGTTAAGTGGCTATAGCCACGTGTAAAGATCTTAGAAGGCAGTTTTGGATGTAAGGCTGTGATTCTCAAGTGATGTAAGAGAATCCAGCTATTTCTCTAACGGTCATATAGCACACACTGTGCTTGCCCGAAAGTTTCAGAGCATACAATACAAAAAATACAGAAGTTTTGTTTTAGCTAAGCTCTCGGTTTTCTCTTGCATATCGTTTTTCTCTTCTTCTTCAAAACCTATACAAAACTCTAACATGGCCTCAGAGCCAGGTTCGGTGTCTTGATCTGGGCGTAAAACTGTGAAGGTCACTGAGCTAAAATCGAAGCTCAGCTGAGCATCGGAGAAGAGAAGCAAGCTGCTGAGATTCAGACCAAACGATGGCTGGATCTGGAAGTTCTGAGGTACGAACTCCGATCTTTTCCGGTGAGAACTACGAGTTCTGGAGGATCAAGATGGTGACAATCTTCAAATCTCTTGGGCTGTGGGGTCTGGTAGAAAAGGGGATTCCAGTCTCTGATTCGAAGATGAAGACCAAGAAAGTTGAAGAATCATCGGAGGAAGAAGCTGAAGCAGAGATGTGTGTTGTGCTCATGAAGGATGCAAAGGCACTGGGCATCATACAAAACGCTGTCTCTGACCAGATCTTCCCTCCGATTGCAAATGCCGATTCAGCAAAAATGGCTTGGACTCTGCTCTACAGTGAATATCATGGAGGTGATCAGGTTAGATCTGTAAAGCTTCAGAATCTTAGACGAGAATTTGAGTATATGAGGATGCGTGAAGGTGAACAACTTACTGCATATCTTACTCGATTAAATGAATTGATAAATCAAATGAAAACATTTGGAGAGGTGTTATCAAACGAGAGGCTGGTTCAAAAGGTGTTAATCAGTCTTAGTAGAGTTTATGATCCCATCTGTTTGGATTATTAAATTATCTACATAAAGATGATTGACATACAACATCTGTCCCTATGAAACAAACTACAAAAAGTGAACAGGTTCCAACTTTCTAAAATCTCACTGCAGAATTTCTGTTGTAATTTTCTGAGGAACGCTTATCAATCAAATGAACTTGCAAGTCTGGTGGTTTGCTTAAAGAAGTGTCATTGGGAGCAACAAAAAGTGAATTACAGCACTCATGTCCCTGTACAGGATCTGTTCTTGATTGCCGCTTTCACTTATACGTTAGCAACACTTTGCTTCCTGACATTTAAGCTTTCAAAAAGAAATCTTGCTGCAATTCCAAACACTTGGACCGCATTTTTCACATGAAATTTGTACTTATTCCACTATATGTTCAGTCTCATTTCAACACAGAAAAACCTGCAACTGTTAAGGAAGAATATCCAATTAACTAAACAGCAAGTCATGACTCATATAGTTTATACAGTTATGAGTAGCAACACAATGATAGCTGACGGGAAAAAGACGGATTTCGACTACTCTGAAATAGTGAATCACTATTACGAGGAATGCGGCAAACAAAAATTGTACTAACATTCTCCACCTAAAACACAGGGAGTGAGGTACAAGCATAAATGCCATTTGCATATTAAAGAATAAGCAAAGCAAGAGAAGCTAAACACATGCCATTCACAGAAATGTTTAAACTTCAGAATCAACAGTTTAGCCTAACGCATGCCATTCACAGAACCTTGTTATTGGCAAGACCATAGAAACTCCATGATAGGACAACTTCATCATTTCCTTCCACAGAAGTCATACACCAAGTCAGCAAATTTTGTATTTTTTTTCTTCTGCGCCATGTCGTAAGTGCGAAGAGAGAAGAATATAAGGCGCGAAACAAAGAGAGGAATGGAATTGGATGAATTAAGAGTCACATGATCTCTTCTTCTATGGATCTGACTTGTGCTTCGAATCACTGCTTCGGCTTCCCAATCTCAAGGTCAAATTTGCAGCTAAATTTTTTCAATTTCGGGTTTCAGACTTTCAGTCAATCGCAGTGTTTGAAAAGTCGGCCTAGGTGGGCAGCTAGGCGGCTAGGCGGTAGCTAGGCGGTGGCTAGGCGGCTAGGCGGTCCCTAGGCGGTCCCAAGGCGGCTAGGTAGTAGCTAGGCGGGCGCCTAGGCAGGTTAGGTCTTTTTTCGGCGCCGAACCCGGAGGACGAAGCAGTGACTGCGAGAGAAAGTTCCGTCCACTGCGAGTGCAAGCTTCGTGTTCGTTCGAATAATATTTAAAGAGTATAGCCGCACGGCTGTACTTTTAAAATACTCGAATCTGATTAGAAAGTATAGCCGTCCGGCTGAACGTTTATAATTTCTATTTATACAGTGGTGCCTTGCGGCTATAATGGTAAAATATTGTATTTAAAGCTGACGGCTATACTGTTAATATATTGTATTTAGAGAGTATAGCCGTGTGGATATACTGTTATAATATCTATTTGTGCATGTATTAAAATAAATAAAAGGTGTGATACTAATAATAGATTTTTCTGTATTTCTCGGACCTTCTCACGTTTGGATGCCTCCTCTTTTGCAGTCCTTCCTTTATCTAGCACATCAAAATGATTGTAATGCGACAAATAAATTCATAAAGTACAAAACAAAAAGAAATTTCTAGTGGAAAAAGCAGATGCAACAATAACTCACCAAGTTTCTTTGCAGACTTCCCAGTTTCCCTTTCACCTGTACAACCACTGTCTGGCTCTACTTTTGCAGAATGATTAGAACCACCATGATCCTGGGAACAAAAACAAATGCAACAGCCAAAAAAAATTGAACAATAAGTTTCTAAAACAATTAGTCCAAATGAATAAAAGAGAAACTGATTGGTACTGTGGCATCCTCATATATCCGAAAACGGCTCTTCGCTTGTTTCATGTTCTTAGCAGCGATAGACTCTGCAATGTAGGCACCTTGCTCACTGGAAAGCAAGCCTTCATGAAATCTGAAACAACATAAGTGGAAAACAAAATTGAAACAAGTCATAGAACCAAAATAAAAAATCAAGTACACTAATATATCCTAAACAAGATACGTAAATGGAGGCATAGTTATCAGGAAAATTTAAATCTCCATCGATCCTGTTACAGCCCAAGAAAACTCAAAGATAAGCAAACAGATTACTGACATTTTTCCAAGACCCAAAAGATGCAAAATGGACCATCATATTACGCAGGAACATAGCCTAACAACAAATGATATACCCTATCTTTGCAAGCATCTAGAACAAATGAACACATCTAGAATAGAGGAGAACGGGAAGATTCAGGAACATCAAGGTTACCAAAAAAGAACAGAATTCTATTTTATTTCTGTCTTTTACCTCTCTACTGTTTTTACATGTGAATTGTTTTTTTTAAACAAACTAAATACCGAAGGATTGAACCTTCAAAATGTATTGCAATTTCCAAAACCAAACAAACAAAAAAAATGAATAAAGATCTAAATGTTCATGTCCACTTCTTGGGATTGGTATATTTTGGATTTTATAACTGTCAAAATTGTTTAGTAATCATAGCATTAGCACTGACAAGACCTTCTTATGGAGCCATTAGCCCCTCAGTCAGCTTTGAGAAGCAGTGTTTGCATCACATTGTACCTGGGATCAAGTTTCCGCTGCCATCCCTGCAAAACATAACCAGTGATGAGATTTGTATAAGATCAGTTAATTGATGATCACACCAATGATAATATAAATTGGAGCAAATTGCCTCTCAGATTTGTATAAGATATCAGTAATTGTCTATTTCTGCTACTCATGGTAAACCAATTATATAATACAAAAAACTATCATATTTGTTTTTCTGAGACAATTAAATTAAATTTATAAAGAGAAGAGAAAGGAGTAAAGGATATATGGCCAACAGAAAAAAGCAGAAAAACAAATAAAGAAAAGACAACTTAATAATCTACGTGTGCTTTAATTTAATGTCTTTGTGCTTATAAATTTCACATGCCTATATTGCGAAGATTACAGAATTTCATAAGAGAATTTCCATGCCTTGGCTGCAATAGATAAAGGAAAAAGAAATTACCTCAAGAACCAAAGTGGTTACCATGACAGTACAGACATTGCCATCGACATTGACTCTATGACGCCTATCTGCCTCCAGTACTGCTGCAGGATGGACCAGATCACCTTCTGGAGTACCCCAGAAAGCAAATGCCTCCTCCACTTGCTGTAAAAAGAAGAAGATTAGACTAAAATCAAATACATAATGTAGATTATTAAGGAGGGAAACTTGTAACAGAAGCTTCCTGAGTTCATAATATCATTGAGGAACTGCATTTTGTCTACAACCATAACACACACAGTGATGAATAAACGAAAAAAGGAGTGAATACTACACACACACACACACACACACACACACACATATATATATATATATCACATATTTCAATTGTGCTTGACAAAATTCAGGCTTTGAGACAAGAAAGTATTACCAGAGGAAGTTGGATTGAAAAGCATTCTAATATGAAATTCTTTCTTTGCATAATCTGAGCATAAAGGAGGAATTGAAAGGGCAAATATCAAACCTGCAACTTATTTAATAAGGAACACCCAAACAAGATGAATGCAACGGATCTCCAGAACTGTTAAGGAAAAACTAATAAGGCAAAACCTTTGAAGGTGAATTACTTGCCCATTTTTAGAGAGGAGATGGTGGAAGACAGAACAATAGAGAGACAAAAAAAAATCAACCATGTAGGGATAAGATATTAGAAAGATAGTAGCTTTTTTTATATATATTTTTTTTGGATTTGTTATGTATTCAGACCACATTCAGGTATATCAACTGATATAATTCACAAACTTCAAGACACAACAAGATACTTAAAAGACCTAAGCACAATTCAATCAAAATAGTCCAAAAGCATAAATGCATTGCAAGTAACATCAAAGGTATATATATGTTACCAGGTCCAGGAGCATCTTCAAAAGTGCGTGCGTCACAATGTGAGCAAGCGCAGATTGAATCCGATCATCCCCTTCAAGATCATCGACACATTCCTCTTGTTCATAAGTTTCCACCAAAACAGCAGGATCCACAAATGGGGCAGCTTCCCTTGCAATCTCAAGCTCAAATTTGCAGCTAAATTTTTTCAATTTCGGGTTTCAGACTTTCAGTCAATCGCAGTGTTTGAAAAGTCGGCCTAGGCGGGCAGCTAGGCGGGCGCTAGGCGGCTAGGCGGTGGCTAGGCGGCTAGGTAGTAGCTAGGCGGGCGCCTAGGCAGGTTGGGTCTTTTTTCGGCGCCGAACCCAGAGGACGAAACAGTGACTGCGAGAGAAAGTTCCGTCCACTGCGAGTGCAAGCTTCGTGTTCGTTCGAATAATATTTAAAGAGTATAGCCGCACGGCTGTACGTTTAAAATATTCGAATCTAATTAGAAAGTATAGCCGTTCGGCTGTACGTTTATAATTTCTATTTATACAGTCGAGCCTGGCGGCTATAATGGTAAAATATTGTATTTAAAGCTGATCGGCTATACTGTTAATATATTGTATTTAGAGAGTATAGCCGCGCGGGTGTACTGTTATAATATCTATTTGTGCATGTATTAAAATAAATAAAAGGTGTGATACTAATAATAGATTTTTCTGTATTTCTCGGACCTTCTCACGTTTGGATGCCTCCTCTTTTGCAGTCCTTCCTTTATCTAGCACATCAAAATGATTGTAATGCGACTAATAAATTCATAAAGTAAAAAACAAAAAGAAATTTCCAGTGGAAAAACAGATGCAACAATAACTCACCAAGTTTCTTTGCAGACTTCCCAGTTTCCCTTTCACCTGTACAACCATTGGCTGGCTCTACTTTTGCAGAATGATTAGAACCACCATGATCCTGGGAACAAAAACAAATGCAACAGCCAAAAAAAATTGAACAATAAGTTTCTAAAACAATTAGTCCAAATGAATAAAAGAGAAAGTGATTGGTACTGTGGCATCCTCATACATCCGAAAACGGCTCTTCGCTTGTTTCATGTTTTTAGCAGCGATAGACTCTGCAATGTAGGCACCTTGCTCACTGGAAAGCAAGCCTTCATGAAATCTGAAACAACATAAGTGGAAAACAAAATTGAAACAAGTCATAGAACCAAAATAAAAAATTAAGTACACTAATATATCCTAAACAAGATACGTAAATGGAGCATAGTTATTAGGAAAATTTAAATCTCCATCGATCCTGTTACAGCCCAAGAAAACTCAAAGATAAGCAAACAGATTACTGACATTTTTCCAAGACCCAAAAGATGCAAAAAGGGTCATCATATGACGCAGGAACATAGCCTAACAACAAATGATATACCCTATCTTTGCAAGCATCTAGAACAAATGAACACATCTAGAATAGAGGAGAACGGGAAGATTCAGGAACATCAAGGTTACCAAAAAAGAACAGAATTCCATTTTATTTCTGTCTTTGACCTCTCTACTGTTTTTACATGTGAATTGGTTTTTTTAAACAAACTAAATACCGAAGGATTGAACCTTCAAAACGTATTGCAATTTCCAAAACAAAAAAATAAATAAATGTTCATGTCCACTTCTTGGGATTGGTATATTTTGGATTTTACAACTGTCAAAATTGTTTAGTAATCATAGCATTAGCACTGACAAGACCTTCTTATTGTTTAGCAATCTGCGTGTACTTAATTTAACGTCTTTGTGCTTATAAATTGCACATGCCTATATTGCAACCTTGGCCAAAGTTGCTTCAATTTGCTCATTATACGGGTTTTTAAAAAAATGGATCTGCTTTTCATATATTTTTCCGTTCTTTTCTTCTATTATTTTTTCTTTTGTCAAACAGTAAAAAAAAATTTGCTGACCGTCATTATTTAGGCGGGTATAGTGAGCAAATTTATGGGTACCAACATCGTTTTCTCTATGAAAATAGGTATGATCTTCTTGGCATGTATGGATTTTATTTATAAAGTATGATTTTGGCACTGTAGTTTGGATGAAGTTCCAATTTGGTAAAAGTTTCCATTCTCGCGATATAACACTGAAGTTTATTACAGTCTACGTACAAACAAAGACATCTTTACCTGTAGCTCTTTTGCTGACTTTCTGGCATATATGTAGCCAATTGTATTCAACGTATCAACACCTGTAAGCTGTAGAAAACAGACCATATCACTGAAATTTATATTCAAAAGCTTAGGAAATAATCATAGAAACAGCTCCATCAGATATTAATCACATTAGCATATCGTAAAATCAGTTCCTACATCTTGAGCAACGAACTACTGCTCAGCAATTTTTTCACCTTCAAAAGGCAATGAACTGTTGGGCATAGTTTGGACGATAGTCCCCATTAAACGTCTCACAGCATAATATACTATTGAAATTGGATGCAGTAACAGTATTTATTTGACTTTACAGGAATGCCATCCATGATGAAATCATAAAATGAGTAGCTAAATTACAAGCCAACAAAATTTCTTTTTCCTCAATAAGTTACTAAAAGGCACCAAGTACACTACTGACAGACAAATCTTATAAGACATGAATCAAATTGGCATGTAAGTGCAGACAGAGAAGCAGAATTTTTTTTCTTGCTTGCACAATCTATAATGAGAAGGGAAGGTAATAGATCCAGCAACAAATAACACTCTCAAACCAATTGAGGACGACAAATTTCTATTACTAACATGTAAGACAATTCAAATACCTCGCGATGTGCTCCAAGTTCTCTATGTTTCTCTATTGAATCTTGTCCACCAGAAAATGCATACCTGTTTATCTGCGTACATGCACACAAATTCTTTATTTTGTTAATCCTGAAGAATTTTTGGACCATTTGGACTGTGTGATTTCAGGTAGAAAAATTTGGCACTGTGAAACTACGGTTTGGTGGTGTGGGAAAGCTAAGAAAAGAGTAGATGATGGTTTCGGAAAAGGAAGACAGCTATATATTTGAAGAAATAGAGAAGCATGTTTTTCACTGAGAGTTTAAAAGGTTACAATTTGAAACCTTGCATCAATTGAAGACTTTGGCCCTAGAATCAGAGAATCGATAATGATTGTGCAAGAGTCTCAGTAAATAGAAAGGTCGTGCAAATAAACCCAAAGCAACAGCAAACCCAAACCTTGTTCTTAATTTCCTTTGCAGAATCAGTTACATAAATGGCAGAATTTGGATCACTGGGTTAGTGAGGATAAATAAACAAAACAGTACCCGCATTTTCTCTTGCAGCTTTTTGGGATCGAACCGCTCCCCTTCTGAGAAAATATCTAGTGAAGCCATTGATGCCATGGCTAGCTGGCCAATATATTCCTCAAAAAGCTCACTACCAAAAAGCATAGCGAAGATTGCTGCAGGATCAATAATTGAGTCGCTGAAAGAAAGGGAACCATTCAAAAAATGTCAGAAACACGCAACTATGTGTTAAGCTAACACACACATACACTGTGACAAATGCAGGCAACCTATGAGGTGCGTGTCAGACACCTTTCAATCTTAGAATTCATAAATTCACAGATTAAGAGCAAGAAACTAACGTTGAGATCCCTGATTTTCCAAAAGCATCGTATGCTTGGTGCTGGCCTGGGTCACTTAAGACTTGGTAAGCTTCTCCCAAAACCTGAATCCAGGGGTACTGCCCCAAGAGTTGTGCATACCGTCATTACAATAGAGAGGAACATCCCCTTGAGCAATTAAGGTCACCTGAAAGGCTATTTCATACAAAGCATTGAATGGAGTTGAATAAATGGGCTAGGCGGGCGCTAGGCGGGGGCCAGGCGGGCTAGGCGGGGGCTAGGCGGGCTAGGCGGGGTCTAGGCGGTCTAGGCGGGCTAGGAGGAGCTAGGCGGTCCAGGCGGGCTAGGTGGAGCTAGGCGGTCTAGGCAGGCGCTGAAGAGAGAGAGAGAGAGAGAGAGAGACGAGGATGACGACGGAGTTATGTTTAGGGTTTAGAAATGGGCCGCACGGCTATACTATTTTTTATAATAAAAAACCGTAGTATAGCCGTTCGGCTATACGATTGATTAAAATTTTGAGCCTTAATATTGCTAACTCCTAAAATTTTGAGGTGGGTCACAACTCACAAGTCGGCAATCAAAATTTTAGGAGTTAGCAATATTAAGGCTCAAAATTTTAATAAATCGTATAGCCGAGCGGCTATACTACGGTTTTTTATTATTAAAAATAGTATAGCCGTGCGGCCCTTTTCTAAACCCTAAACATAACTCCGTCGTCATCCTCGTCTCTCTCTCTCTCTCTCTCTCTCTCTCTCTCTCTTCAGCGCCTGCCTAGACCGCCTAGCTCCTCCTAGCCCGCCTGGACCGCCTAGCTCCTCCTAGCCCGCCAGACCGCCTAGGGCCCGCCTAGCGCCCGCCTATCCCGCCTAGACCCCGCCTAGCCCGCCTAGCCCCCGCCTAGCCCGCCTGGCCCCCGCCTAGCGCCCGCCTAGCCCATTTATTCAACTCCATTCAATGCTTTGTATGAAATAGCCTTTCAGGTGACCTTAATTGCTCAAGGGGATGTTCCTCTGTCTATTGTAATGACGGTATGCACAACTCTTGGGGCAGTACCCCTGGATTCAGGTTTTGGGAGAAGCTTACCAAGTCTTAAGTGACCCAGGCCAACACCAAGCATACGATGCTTTTGGAAAATCAGGGATCTCAACGTTAGTTTCTTGCTCTTAATCTGTGAATTTATGAATTCTAAGATTGAAAGGTGTCTGACACGCACCTCATAGGTTGCCTGCATTTGTCACAGTGTATGTGTGTGTTAGCTTAACACATAGTTGCGTGTTTCTGACATTTTTTGAATGGTTCCCTTTCTTTCAGCGACTCAATTATTGATCCTGCAGCAATCTTCGCTATGCTTTTTGGTAGTGAGCTTTTTGAGGAATATATTGGCCAGCTAGCCATGGCATCAATGGCTTCACTAGATATTTTCTCAGAAGGGGAGCGGTTCGATCCCAAAAAGCTGCAAGAGAAAATGTGGGTACTGTTTTGTTTATTTATCCTCACTAACCCAGTGATCCAAATTCTGCCATTTATGTAACTGATTCTGCAAAGGAAATTAAGAACAAGGTTTGGGTTTGCTGTTGCTTTGGGTTTATTTGCACGACCTTTCTATTTACTGAGACTCTTGCACAATCATTATCGATTCTCTGATTCTAGGGCCAAAGTCTTCAATTGATGCAAGGTTTCAAATTGTAACCTTTTAAACTCTCAGTGAAAAACATGCTTCTCTATTTCTTCAAATATATAGCTGTTGTTGAAATATAATCCTTCTACAGATTTCTTAGAGCTGATGTCATTTTCTATTTTCTGTTATGTCTATTTTAAATAATGTAATGAGAACCATTAGATCATAGTCTAGGTGGATTCTCTAGCTTAGATTTGGTATGACACGTGTAAGCACCTAATAGGGTGACAGCTGTAATTCTGTTATGAGAGAATCACATTTCTCTCACTGTCAGACACACTATGTAAGCTGCAAAATTGTAAGAATTCAATGGAACAGTGCCTTCCCATTTTCTCTTCATTCTCTCTACCTAAAATCTCCAGAATATACACCTCTTCCTAATCTGAAAATACATATACAAACCCAGAATTCTAACAGCTGTCTTCCTTTTCCGAAACCATCATCTACTCTTTTCTTAGCTTTCCCACACCACCAAACCGTAGTTTCACAGTGCCAAATTTTTCTACCTGAAATCACACAGTCCAAATGGTCCAAAAATTCTTCAGGATTAACAAAATAAAGAATTTGTGTGCATGTACGCAGATAAACAGGTATGCATTTTCTGGTGGACAAGATTCAATAGAGAAACATAGAGAACTTGGAGCACATCGCGAGGTATTTGAATTGTCTTACATGTTAGTAATAGAAATTTGTCGTCCTCAATTGGTTGGAGAGTGTTATTTGTTGCTGGATCTATTACCTTCCCTTCTCATTATAGATTGTCCAAGCAAGAAAAAAAATTCTGCTTCTCTGTCTGCACTTACATGCCAATTTGATTCATGTCTTATAAGATTTGTCTGTCAGTAGTGTACTTGGTGCCTTTTAGTAACTTATTGAGGAAAAAGAAATTTTGTTGGCTTGTAATTTAGCTACTCATTTTATGATTTCATCATGGATGGCATTCCTGTAAAGTCAAATAAATACTGTTACTGCATCCAATTTCAATAGTATATTATGCTGTGAGACGTTTAATGGGGACTATCGTCCAAACTATGCCCAACAGTTCATTGCCTTTTGAAGGTGAAAAAATTGCTGAGCAGTAGTTCGTTGCTCAAGATGTAGGAACTGATTTTACGATATGCTAATGTGATTAATATCTGATGGAGCTGTTTCTGTGTTTATTTCCTAATCTTTTGAATATAAATTTCGGTGATATGGTCTGTTTTCTACAGCTTACAGGTGTTGATACGTTGAATACAATTGGCTACATATATGCCAGAAAGTCAGCAAAAGAGCTACAGGTAAAGATGTCTTTGTTTGTACGTAGACTGTAATAAACTTCAGTGTTATATCGCGAGAACGGAAACTTTTACCAAATTGGAACTTCATCCAAACTAAAGTGCCAAAATCATACTTTATAAATAAAATCCAAACATGCCAAGAAGATCATACCTATTTTCATAGAGAAAACGATGTTGGTACCCATAAATTTGCTCACTATACCCGCCTAAATAATTGACGGTCAGCATATTTTTTTTTTTACTGTTTGACAAAAGAAAAAATAATAGAAGAAAAGAACGGAAAAATATATGAAAAGCAGATCCATTTTTTTAAAAACCCGTATAATGAGCAAATTGAAGCAACTTTGGCCAAGGTTGCAATATGGGCATGTGCAATTTATAAGCACAAAGACGTTAAATTAAGTACACGCAGATTGCTAAACAATAAGAAGGTCTTGTCAGTGCTAATGCTATGATTACTAAACAATTTTGACAGTTGTAAAATCCAAAATATACCAATCCCAAGAAGTGGACATGAACATTTATTTATTTTTTTGTTTTTGAAATTGCAATACGTTTTGAAGGTTCAATCCTTCGGTATTTAGTTTGTTTAAAAAAACCAATTCACATGTAAAAACAGTAGAGAGGTCAAAGACAGAAATAAAATGGAATTCTGTTCTTTTTTGGTAACCTTGATGTTCCTGAATCTTCCCGTTCTCCTCTATTCTAGATGTGTTCATTTGTTCTAGATGCTTGCAAAGATAGGGTATATCATTTGTTGTTAGGCTATGTTCCTGCGTCATATGATGACCCTTTTTGCATCTTTTGGGTCTTGGAAAAATGTCAGTAATCTGTTTGCTTATCTTTGAGTTTTCTTGGGCTGTAACAGGATCGATGGAGATTTAAATTTTCCTAATAACTATGCTCCATTTACGTATCTTGTTTAGGATATATTAGTGTACTTAATTTTTTATTTTGGTTCTATGACTTGTTTCAATTTTGTTTTCCACTTATGTTGTTTCAGATTTCATGAAGGCTTGCTTTCCAGTGAGCAAGGTGCCTACATTGCAGAGTCTATCGCTGCTAAAAACATGAAACAAGCGAAGAGCCGTTTTCGGATGTATGAGGATGCCACAGTACCAATCACTTTCTCTTTTATTCATTTGGACTAATTGTTTTAGAAACTTATTGTTCAATTTTTTTGGCTGTTGCATTTGTTTTTGTTCCCAGGATCATGGTGGTTCTAATCATTCTGCAAAAGTAGAGCCAGCCAATGGTTGTACAGGTGAAAGGGAAACTGGGAAGTCTGCAAAGAAACTTGGTGAGTTATTGTTGCATCTGTTTTTCCACTGGAAATTTCTTTTTGTTTTTTACTTTATGAATTTATTAGTCGCATTACAATCATTTTGATGTGCTAGATAAAGGAAGGACTGCAAAAGAGGAGGCATCCAAACGTGAGAAGGTCCGAGAAATACAGAAAAATCTATTATTAGTATCACACCTTTTATTTATTTTAATACATGCACAAATAGATATTATAACAGTACACTCGCGCGGCTATACTCTCTAAATACAATATATTAACAGTATAGCCGATCAACTTTAAATACAATATTTTACCATTATAGCCGCCAGGCTCGACTGTATAAATAGAAATTATAAACGTACAGCCGAACGGCTATACTTTCTAATTAGATTCGAATATTTTAAACGTACAGCCGTGCGGCTATACTCTTTAAATATTATTCGACCGAACACGAAGCTTGCACTCGCAGTGGACGGAACTTTCTCTCGCAGTCACTGTTTCGTCCTCTGGGTTCGGCGCCGAAAAAAGACCCAACCTGCCTAGGCGCCCGCCTAGCTACTACCTAGCCGCCTAGCCACCGCCTAGCCGCCTAGCGCCCGCCTAGCCGCCGCCTAGCCGCCTAGGCCGACTTTTCAAACACTGCGATTGACTGAAAGTCTGAAACCCGAAATTGAAAAAATTTAGCTGCAAATTTGAGCTTGAGATTGCAAGGGAAGCTGCCCCATTTGTGGATCCTGCTGTTTTGGTGGAAACTTATGAACAAGAGGAATGTGTCGATGATCTTGAAGGGGATGATCGGATTCAATCTGCGCTTGCTCACATTGTGACGCACGCACTTTTGAAGATGCTCCTGGACCTGGTAACATATATATACCTTTGATGTTACTTGCAATGCATTTATGCTTTTGGACTATTTTGATTGAATTGTGCTTAGGTCTTTTAAGTATCTTGTTGTGTCTTGAAGTTTGTGAATTATATCAGTTGATATACCTGAATGTGGTCTGAATACATAACAAATCCAAAAAAAATATATATAAAAAAAGCTACTATCTTTCTAATATCTTATCCCTACATGGTTGATTTTTTTTTGTCTCTCTATTGTTCTGTCTTCCACCATCTCCTCTCTAAAAATGGGCAAGTAATTCACCTTCAAAGGTTTTGCCTTATTAGTTTTTCCTTAACAGTTCTGGAGATCCGTTGCATTCATCTTGTTTGGGTGTTCCTTATTAAATAAGTTGCAGGTTTGATATTTGCCCTTTCAATTCCTCCTTTATGCTCAGATTATGCAAAGAAAGAATTTCATATTAGAATGCTTTTCAATCCAACTTCCTCTGGTAATACTTTCTTGTCTCAAAGCCTGAATTTTGTCAAGCACAATTGAAATATGTGATATATATATATATGTGTGTGTGTGTGTGTGTGTGTGTGTGTGTGTAGTATTCACTCCTTTTTTCGTTTATTCATCACTGTGTGTGTTATGGTTGTAGACAAAATGCAGTTCCTCAATGATATTATGAACTCAGGAAGCTTCTGTTACAAGTTTCCCTCCTTAATAATCTACATTATGTATTTGATTTTAGTCTAATCTTCTTCTTTTTACAGCAAGTGGAGGAGGCATTTGCTTTCTGGGGTACTCCAGAAGGTGATCTGGTCCATCCTGCAGCAGTACTGGAGACAGTTAGGCGTCTTAGAGTCAATGTCGATGGCAATGTCTGTACTGTCATGGTAACCACTTTGGTTCTTGAGGTAATTTCTTTTTCCTTTATCTATTGCAGCCAAGGCATGGAAATTCTCTTATGAAATTCTGTAATCTTCGCAATATAGGCATGTGAAATTTATAAGCACAAAGACATTAAATTAAAGCACACGTAGATTATTAAGTTGTCTTTTCTTTATTTGTTTTTCTGCTTTTTTCTGTTGGCCATATATCCTTTACTCCTTTCTCTTCTCTTTATAAATTTAATTTAATTGTCTCAGAAAAACAAATATGATAGTTTTTTGTATTATATAAAGCTTGTAAGCGAAATGGCAATTCGAAATTAAAGGGTATAGCCGGACGGCTATACCTTTAAATTCAAAGAGTGTAGCCGCACGACTATACCTTTAAAATAATATATTTAAATAGTATAGCAGCCCGACTATACTATTTAAATATACAATTTTGTCAATGTTATTTTAGGGTTTAGGGCTTAAAATACCACTTTTGCTAATTAGGATATAGTTATTTCTTCAATTGTTTTATTTATACCAGTGATATTGAGGAATGAGAATTTAAATTCTTTCCAATGCCTTCCATTCTAATGATTTCCAGCTATTAGCTCATTAGGCAAGAATAAAAAATGAATTTTATTTATAAGAAATAATACGGGTTAAACCCATAAATACAACAATAAAAAATAGGGATCCACCAACATTTTGGGGATAAAAGAATCTTGAATTTCATGGTATAAAATTGCTTGTGTAAGAATTTACTTTCTAAAATGTATCCATCATAATTATGAACTAAACCCAATGACAACATTTTTCTCACTGCATTTGACAACCCTGCTCTTTTGCTGTGAGATATCTCAGTTCGCATTGTATTCTCTGCATATGAAAAATTGGATACAAACAGTCTAATGAGACAACGAAGAAAAGAGTTTTGAAATAAATTGAAGGTATCATAGGTCATATGGCATTGATATATATATATATACGAACTATTCTAAATGAGATTTCAAACAAGGTGTTAGATGAGAAGTAGCAAATCATTCTTACATATACCTCTCTTGTATCTCGCAAGCGTAGGAGATCCAACCTTTCATGAGGACGCCGGTTTGATAAAGATGCAAGCTGCATCCAATCATACATTAATACCGGCAATTATAGCCCACAATATACTCAATTTTAATAAAGAGAAATATAAAGTTACCCAGAAGCAGAAATGCTCAGGATCTTGTAGTGAAGGCATTAGCAGTTCCACGCCGAGAAGTCTCTCAAGTCGTCTTCGATTTGTAAAGAGATACTATCATACATCAAAAGGGCACATAGGTATACTTAGGGGTGGCAATTTCGGATACGACCCGATACACGACTCGAAACCCGCACGATAAAAAAACAGGTCAATTTCGGGTCAACCCGTTCTGACCCGTTTAATAAACGGGTGAGTTTCGGGTCAACCCGCTATAATACCTACCTAACCCGTTTATTAAACGGGTCGTGTCAACCCGCTAAAAAATGAAGAGAAATGGAGACTTCAGCACACACACAAGGGGTTTCGAACCCCTACCACCCTCATTTCTCTCAAACACCTTATCCACCATGCTACAAACAACTTTGTGATTTTATCATATGTCTTTTAATATTTATAATGTTTCTTTTTCTTTTGTGTTTTCCTTTCTTTTCCATCTCTCTTCTCCACTTTTTTTTTTTTCTTTCTTTTCCTTCTTTCTCCTCTCTCTCTCTTTTTTTTTCTCTCTTTTCCTTTCCTCTTCTCTCCTTTTTTCTTCTTCTTTCTTTTCATTCTCTTTAGTTTTCTCTCATCTCTCTTTTTTCTTTCTCTCTCTCTCTCTCTCTCTCTCTCTCTCTCTCTCTCTCTCTATTTTTTTTCTTTCTTTTCCTTCTCTCTTCTCTCCTCTCTTTATCTTTTTTTTTCTTTCTTTTCCTTATATTTTCTCTACTCTCTCTGTTTTTTTTAATTTAAATTTTTTTCAATTGTGAGTTTCGTAACATGCATATAATTATTTATGAACCCGTTACACAACTCGAAACCCGCACGATAAAAGACGACACGAATCCGACACGACACGTTTATTAAATGGGTTGGGTTCGGGTTGAGCATTCTTGACACGTTTATTATCCCGACACGACACGACCCATTGCCAGCCCTAGGTATACTGAACACAAGAATAAGGGAAGAAACCATTCTTATGTACACTGGCATTACATATAGACTGAAAATTTTAATGGCTTGAATAAAGACAAATTGTCACAAGTAAATAAGATATGTTGATCTAGAGATAAAGATCCTCCCCAAATGTTCCAAGCAGAAGCTTCCTAAAGATGAAATCTGAATATGACAGACATTTCAGTTGAACAAAAGGTTTAACCTAATAAAACTAATCTTTCATTTCCAACCATTACAACTGACCACCAAATTGAAGCATGCAATCTCAGTCAGGCAGTAATATTCACCCAAAATAATGGAAAATCTGATTCAGGATATTCTTAATGGTCATCCAAATACCTATTATAGAGGACTAAGAGATTTAACTTATGGAGATAACCCATTCAAAATAACAAAAAAGAAGGTAAATTCCGAGTTCATTCAATTGATGTAATTCCTGAGCATTTTACCTTGACGTGTTACTCTTTTACCCAGCCCTATCCATAACTGAGCATACTCTGCTGCATTATTTGTCAATTCCTGTGATTGGACAGATATAGAAGTTAAACCACATAGGCACAACCAATATGAGGAGGAAACACATGGAAGAACTTTGTCCTGCATCTTCCTACAGTGATGCATGTTACACTTCAGGCTATTAATACATTAGCTACATGGCCTTTTAGCAATGACATTAATAGACTTAATTCAGTGACAACTATAATACATTTGAAGATTTACAACCAAATTCCATCATGTCACGTGTCACATGTCAAAACAACACTTTAAGCTATGCCTATTGTATCTCAAGTTTTGCCAATTGAAGTTGAAAACTATGCAACTTTTCATCTAGAAAAATGTGTGACCAATTGATTAATAATTTTTTATTATAAAAAAACTCAAAAGCATTGTTAAGCACCAGATCAAGTTTAACTCAAGCTTCTTACTATTCTTTACAACAAAAAATTAAAAATATATATATATATAAAAAAGAGCACTGTGAAGACCCGTATTTTAAATAGATAAAAGAAGATATTTATCTTTTGGATAAACTTGGACGATAATATCTTTTAAAGATATTTATCTTTTAGATAAACTTGGATGATCTTATCTTGTTATGATATTTATCTTTTGGATAAATTTAGATGTTCTTATCCTTTTAATATTGAAGTTTATCCTATCCCTATAACCACTATAAATAGGAGCATAACCTTATAGTTTAAAAAACATGAGAGAGAGAGAGAGAGAGAGAGAGAGAGAGAGAGAGAGAGAGATGATGATGATGAAATTCTTGGAAGAGATATAGGACTTAGCTTGTATTTTCTTAACTTAGAGAAATGCTTTGGAATCGAGGTAGGGATTTCTTGGGGGTCTTTACAGAAGATTGAATTAATTAAATTTGTGTACTATTATAATGGATGTTCTTGATATAAGATATTTACGTATTGTGAACTATTTGAATAAGGATAACGTTGGCATAATTATATCATGTCATGGTAATTGGTTGGAGTTGTTGGATTGAGAAAATAATGATGGAAAATAGGGTAATGGAAATAGTCTTTTGTGTAGTTGAGTCTAACTCTTGGCAGGTAGCAGGTCTCAGGGATCTCACAGTGCACATGATTTTTATTGGGTGATTCGGGACTGGCAACAGGGAGTTAGACAAGATGACTAATAAAATGGGAATTATGGGATGATTGAAATGGGTGTTAGTTCATATAAATAGGCATTCGGGACCAAGTGGTATAAGCATGGTATGGGACGTGCAGGTCTGCTTGTCCAGTTATATGAATTAACGGGAGTAGATGAAGAGCATTCATTCATGCATTATTATTATTAATGTGATATTTTGGCTGTATGATTGCATGTCACTTAATTTAGTTATATCAATCTACTGTGGTAAGGTCTCATGTCCCTATTGAGTTGTGGTTGCTCACCCCTCACCGTGTTTAATTTTTCAGATGAATTAGTGGGCAAGAAAAGAACTAAACTAGTTGAGACTGAATTAGATGAGAGTAGTAGAGCTTTGTTTATTTATTATAAAGTTGTAAGATTTTGGGAGCTATTTTTATAAGAGAAGTTTATTTTGAACCCATGTTTCATATTTTTATTATTTTGTTTTACATTTTATTTTCTCATGCACCGGGCGTGGGTTTTCCGCCGACCCCCGGGTCCGGGGCGTGACAAGCACACTCCAATAGAGAGATTACAACAAACCAAATTGTCATGAACTTACGTCTGCTCTCTCTCTAAACCTTTGTGGTGGATATATGTTCTGTACCCATACGGTACCTGAAGAGCACATCAAAAAACAAAAATATTAAACAAGAGCAGTAATTAAAGATCAAATGAATGGCTAGACATCTCATAAGACAACTCACCCATCTTGGTCCCAAGATTGAATTATACGAAACCGTCGGCCACTTTCAATCTGCATGAAATAGTATTATTATAAGTATGTGAATGGATCATTAAAAAAAACATCATAACTTCAAACAAAATGCATTAAAACAAAAATCTATGAATATTCAATAAAAACAACAGAACACGTGGATCACATGGACTGTAGAAGAGTACCAAGTAGGCATACAAAACTTGCCAGATAAGTTTGTCAACATAGTTATTTTGCAGCAAATGCACTTCTACGTTTAAATATTTTATGAATGTCATATGTGAAAAATACGAACTGCTAACCAACTTACCATAAGTCTATACCGAGGTTAAAAAATGAGTAGCAGAAACTTCTGAAATGGGAGGACAACATCCATTACAAAGAGTGGCATCAAATCAACACCAAAGTTTGTCATTGTATCATTCCCCAACATCCTTTCGGCAAATTCCTCTAGGAAGTTCTTCTGTATAATGTTGTTAAGTGTCACACTGGCAAAAACAAAAAGAAGATATTGAAGGTAGACCACAGAACTGAAGGAAACAATCTTGGTAAACTCTGAAAGCTATAACACTAATTAAGCATAAAAAATTAGCAAGCACATATCATGCTGACAAACCTAAAATATATGCCCATTGAATGCAAGATGGAAATAAAAGTTTGAATGGCCCCACCAAAATGATTTCCTAAATTCATATTTATAGATTAGTAATTTCATATTACTTGGATTTTTTTAATTTCCAAAATCTAGAACCACAATTGTTATACTCTGTAAAAGTGAGAATGCCAGACTCAATCTATAATAGGTGGAACTCCTGGGGGATGTGCAATCATGCCCATTACAAACAGCATAGGTACAGAAAACCATAAAGCAATAATTGTGATGTCAAATAATGCAAGCATCTCATTCAATTATTATAAGCACATGTTCTAGGACTAATGAAAAGAACTGTTGGGCACAAAGGACATTTGTTACCTAGGAAAATTAACACAAGTCAAGGACTAAAAGGGATTAGAAGATATAGACTAACTCAATTAAATAGAATCAGTAACAGCAAAACACTCACGTCGATCCATTGACTGAAATAGGCATGAAATGCCCACAAGGAGTTGTGACAGGTTCATATTAAGCATAGTGTGCAATCAAAGTCATCACTGCGTTCTGCTTTTCTATGGCTTCTCCTCCCTGTGAAATTAGCTTGTATTCTCTCTAATTTCTGAAAACATTCCTGAAGAGGATTGCTACAGAATACCACACAAAAGATGAAATAATATAACATTTTAGAATTTCACAGTGCTAGGTAGAATACCACACTAATTATTGTTGAAGGTGTCTTCCCCTACAGTGCTATGCCACTTGTACAGTCAAAATATTTAAATAAATAAAAAAGTAGTTGCAGAGCAGAAGATGTAAGGATTTTCTATGTGACTTTATTAGACAGTAACATTAGGCTTCTAGTACTAGAAAGAAATCAATAAAGCAGAAAGGCATTGGTGAGCAACGCCAATGCGCCTCCCTCCACTAACCGACCTCTCCCTGCATGCGTGTTGACAACTAATTTATCCTTTCCTTTTCTTTACCCCAACCAAGACCACCAGGAATTATAAATCTCTCATTCCCTCTTCATTTGCCTCCCAATTCTCACTCTCTCAACAACAGAAACACAGTTTTCTATCTCTTCCTTTCACTCCACACGAAACATACCCCTCATTTCTTATGCCTTTCCTTATACATGTCACCTTTGCTCCTTCGCACCAGCAAGCTTCGTCTGTCTTCAGTTGGGAAAAAAAGGACACGACCCGCCCTGGCGCCCAGACCCGCCTAGGCCGCCTAGGCGCCGCCTAGATCCGCCCAGGCCGCCTAGGCGCCGCCTAGATCCGCCCAGGCCGCCTAGGGTCCCTGGTGTTGGTGACCTCCTGCCTAGCGCCTAGACCGATATCTCGAACACTGCTCAAAACCTGGAATGGGCTTGCTCTGTGCCCTAGACATTCGTAGTGATGAGTTCGAGTCCGATTCACCAGAAGGAAAAAAAAACCGAGTATAGCCGTGCGGCTATACTGTTTTTAGAAAAATTAAGAGAATACCGAGTAAAACCGCCCGGTAATGTTGTTCTCGCCATCATGCCAAGTAACAAGGAAAAATAAACCAGAAGTTTATATTTTGAAATGAGAAGAATGTTAGATAAGAAGGAAGACTTGGGGTACATCAATATCAGGTATAGTTTTCTTTGACAATTGAGATTAGGAAGACTTGAGATCAGGTGAAGTCCTTTTCTATCTGTCTCTGGCAGCTGGTATAGTTTGGATGGAATTAATTTACACCAATATCAGGTGATTTTCTTTGACAATAGTTTATTCATATCGAATATGCATAGTGCATTAGCAGGTGCTCATGTTTAAGAGTATTTTTTAGCAATATCCTGGAGGCGGGAGAACAGCTTTACTGGTCTAGACAACAAACATGAACATGTGATCAGAACCATTTATCACTTTGACTTCATCTGGTGGATTTAACTATGCTACGAATTAGATTTCTTCGCCTATCCTTGTTGAGGAAAAAAATTGGAAATTCTATACATAGAATCTAAATTACCTTAAGTACAAAGCTTGTTCTTCTATTCCTTCACTGCTCAATGTAACAACGTTCTTCCAAAAAGTGCATTCACTTCTTAAAAATCTCCATATATGGCTTCAAAGAGTCATGAGGATCTCAAAGCACTCTTTCCAGCATTGTCTGACTGTGGCCCAGTTGCCTGACTCAAAGAAACTCAAAGAGTTGTCGAGACTTGGCCTCATTGGTTGGCAAGATCTCATTTTATCACTTCAACTCAAAGGAATAAATGATGCTCTGCAAAAATCTGTGCTGATAAGTTCATTCTTTTAGAAGTTTATTTCTCTTCCTCAAAACAGAGTTCCTGAAATCTTGTTAAGCTGCAAGCAAACAGCAACCAGTTTAGTTTGGATAAGTCGTGATCACGAGGAATGAATGAAACTAAAAGTGAAAGAAAGAAGTTGACTGTAGTAAATTCAAAATAAAATCAAACCCTATAGTAAGAGCAATCACTAGTTTACTGGGAAGCATAATGAAACTCATTTCAAAGACACGTACCGGTTCAGAAGAACATTAGGATTGTAGGGAAACAGATTCTTTTGGTGTAGACCTTCAATAGAAATTTTAAGTGAAAGTAAGCACTCTTTGGCTTCTTTGAAATACTGTCCTCCATTTTGGGTGTGCTTGCAGCCATTTTCAGTTTCTTCATCAGGTTCATCATCAAGAAATGTAAGATGATTTTTTGTTGGTGCAAGAGAATCCTCTCCCCAGGAACTCAAGCCACCCAATGAAACTTTTCTTTTCTTGCAAAATGATTGATTTGTAGCTTGCCCACCCACTAGAAATTCCACAAATAAGCTCCATGAATCACACACTTTACGCAAGCACCTAAAAGCATTAAGGACGGTAAGAAGCAAATGAAAGATACAAAGAGTTGCAATTAAAAACAACCAAATTGATTCTTGTTTTGCTAATTAGTTAAGAAGTCATGCAAAAGCAGAGGGTTAATGTTTTATGGTTTAGTCACCGAGGTCGACACCAGAAAAATGCAGCCCACCACGGTTTAGATTTCATAAGTTGAGAAAAGGTGTACAAAGAGAAAAGACCTTAAAAGATATTATGCACAACTGATTCCGGTATCTTTTGAAATAAGGTAATCAAGAAGCACCGGATGGTCATAGCTCAACTGCAAAATATGAAGAAAAAAGAAAGTGCATAATGTCAGTGATTCTTTTTTATTATGCAATACCATATACTTCAAATTAACAACTAGGAGGCATGCCGAAGTGGAAATGCAGATATGTAAATGTCCAAGAGGGAGCATCTTGCCTCTAATAGGAAAAGATGGAACAAGAGTACAGGATTGAAAAGATCTGAGACACGGAAAAGTAAATTGCCATTCCAATCCTCCAATGCAACCTTTTCCTTTTCATCCCTATATAAACCCAAAAATCTTGTTATAAGGAATCCATGACAATAACTTTTAAAACAATGGAAAACTAGGATATTAATTCCTTACTGTTCTGCACAACAAGGTACACAAAGCAGATGCAAGAGCACTTTGAATAATACATCATCCTACAGTTCAGAAACAAGCCAAGAAATGAGGACATGAGTCTAAAAAACTGCAAGAAAAATACGACAAATGAAGAATACAGAACTGCAATTTTAGTACGTGAAATTGTTGAATAAGATGATGCATTCAGATAGACAAAACAAAAACAAAATATGGATACAATTTTTCATTTTTTGGGTGTGGGTGAATAGATTGCCTATTTTGCTTATATCACGTTGCATATAAACAGAGACAAAAAAACTCTTAGTTTCAAAGATAAAGAAGACATACCTCTTTGATATACTGTTGGATGAAGGATTTGGCAAAGTCAACACATTCTACAAAATACATTTCATGGTCCACTGTCATATTAGCTGGAAGATGCCCTTGAAGCCAGTTATAAAGCTCCAAGAGACCTTTCTTTCTTAGACAGTAACATTAGGCTTCTGGTACTAGAAAGAAATCAATAAAGCAGAAAGGCATTGGTGAGCAATGCCAATGCGCCTCCCTCCACTAACCGACCTCTCCCTGCATGCGTGTTGACGACTACTTTATCCTTTCCTTTTCTTTACCCCAACCAAGACCACCAGGAATTATAAATCTCTCATTCCCTCTTCATTTGCCTCCCAATTCTCACTCTCTCAACAACAGAAACACAGTTTTACATCTCTTCCTTCCACTCCACAGGAAACAAACCCCTCATTTCTTATGCCTTTCCTTATTTTATGTCACCTTTCCTCCTTCGCACCAGCAAGCTTCGTCTGTCTTCATTTGGAGAAAAAAGGACACGACCCGCCCAAGATCCCAGACCAGCCCAGGCCGCCTAGATCTGCCCAGGCCGCCTAGAACCGCCTAGATCCGCCCAGGCCGCCTAGAACCGCCTAGAACCGCCCAGGTGTCGGTGTCCTCTTGCCTAGCGCCTAGATCGATATTTCGAACACTGCCCAAAACCTGGAACGGGCTTGCTTTGTGCCCTAGACGTTCGCAGCGATGAGTTCGAGTATGATTCACCAGAATAATTTTAAAAAACCGGGTATAGCCGAGCGGCTATACTATTTTTGGAAAAAACGAAAACCGCCGAGTAAAGCCGCCAGCTATAATATTTTTTAAAAGGTAAAAATAGGTATAGCCGCGCGGCTGTACTCCTTTTAAAATAAAATGAGGAAAAAACCTAGTATAGCCGCGTGGAAGTACTATACTATAGCCAACTTCAGGTTGTTCGCTTGGTTGTGGGCAAGACAGCTGCTGGACACCTTTACAGTCACTTGATACTCTTGCACAAGATATATACTCATTAATGGGAAAGTATCGTATATTGGAACAAAAACTTGCACAAGATATATACTCATTAATGGAACAAAAACCTCTCCCGACGACATTTCGTCGGTATAGGAAACTTTCCTCTGGAGAGGTCTAATCCGGCAAATAGTTGCCGACATAGACATGTGCCGACGAAATGTCATCGCGACATGTGTTCTTGCTCTTTATTTATTTAAAATATATATATATATATTAGTTTCTTTGCTTTTATTTTTTGCCCAACTTCTTTAATTTAATATATATGTCTTTAAGTAATATCTTAGCCTTTTATAAATACTTCAATTAGTAATTATATTATTATTTGAATATAGACGCACCGCTCTACCGTTTAAATATTCGAATATATTTAGGAAATATGACAAAGGGCACCTAAAAAGATAAGCAACATCATTATATCACTTCTCATACACATGCAACACACAAACAAGGCATAAATTTTCCCTCAACCCTAAGCGCCCACAGAGGAACAAAGCTAGAAGTTAAATACATACCATGTCTAATTGATTCATTATCTCAAGGCTCAGCTTTGCTACAGAGAAATCCAGATTTTTATAGTTATATTTAAAGAGAACGGTCTAGCCACTCGGCTATACTCTATAAACAGAATATTTAAAAGTACAACCGTGCGGCTATAAGCCATAAACAGAATATTTTAAAAGAGTGTATAGCCGCCTGGCTATACTCCATAAATAGAATATTTTAGAAGAGAATATCGCCGCTCGACTATTCCGTTTTTTAAGACGTTCATAATACAATTCGAGACCCTTCCTTGATATGTAGCTGAAGCGATGAATGTCCAGATCAATCTCAAAGTAGTTAGGACCCTGCATGTGAGAGAGCTTGATAAAGTCAAATAACATGGTTTTTATGTTTCATCTTCTTAACACTCAGCAACATAAATGTTCAATGTTTACCTTGTAAAAATTGTGCGAGGGGCGTGAAAGAACTGGTTTGTCATTATATGCATGTACAAACTTCTATCAGCAGAACTCCGACCGATATCCTTATGATTTACTACCCCAGCCAAGATCTTTAGTCTTTCTCTGAAAGGTACAGTGGAGTCCTTTGCAAATCCTTTAACTTTTTCCGTCTCATCGTCAACCATTTTCTAAAAGCATCATTCAAATTTATCAACAGACTGAGTGTTCCAATAGAACATAAGATCACATTTCCATCAGGGAGAGTACATCATAAAGTACATGCCTATCCATAAAGCAGAACATAAGGCAATAACATAAGGCTTCTAGTACTAGAAAGAAATCAATAAAGCAGAAAGGCATTGGTGAGCAACGCCAATGCGCCTCCCTCCACTAACCGACCTCTCCTTGCATGCGTGTTGACGACTAATTTTATCCTTTCCTTTTCTTTACCCCAACCAAGACCACCAGGAATTACAAATCTCTCATTCCCTCTTCATTTGCCTCCCAATTCTCACTCTCTCAACAACAAAAACACAGTTTTCTATCTCTTCCTTTCACTCCACACAAACCAAACCCCTCATTTCCTATGGCTTTCCTTATTTTATGTCACCATTCCTCCTTCTCACACACTATATGCATGTCACCTTTGCTCCTTCACACCAGCAAGCTTCGTCTGTCTTCATTTGGAAATAAAAGGACACGACCCGCCCTGGCGCCCAGACCCGCCATGGCGACCAGACCCGCCCAGGCCGCCGAGATCCACCCAGGCCGCCTAGGCCCTCCCAAACTCCCTGGTGTCGGTGTCCTCTCCCGCCCAGCACTTAGGCCGATTTTTCGAACACTGCTCCAAACCTGGAACGGGCTTGCTCTGTGCACTAAACGTTCGTAGTGATGAGTTCGAGTCCGATTAACTAGAATATTTGAAAAAAAACCAAGTATAGCCGCACGGCTATACTATTTAAAAAATAAAAAAGAGTAAAGCCGGCCGGCCATACTATTTTTACAAAATTAGGGAAAACGAGTATAGCCGGGTGGTTATACTATTTTTAAATAAAATTTAACGCGGAAGTACTATTTTTAAAATAAAATTTGGAAAAAAAAAACAAGTATAGCCGCGCGGCTATACTATTTACCAAAAAATATGGACCACCATTCTTACCTTTCTAAGAGAATGGATTCATAGCCCTGGGTACTAATAAGCGAAAACCAATTTGATTCCCTGCGCTCATCTTTGCCTGTGATTTTATCTGATTTACCTCCATCTATTTTCATATAGCTTTGGAATTCTTCATACTTACACCCATTATCAACAAAGCGAGCAGATCTTTCGTACTGAAGTACTTGGCCGCTAGAGATATTCCCAACTGGATGCTTGCTAATGGAAAACCATATGTAGAATAAGAGAAGAAAATTAAGAAAACAAAACAAAATCCTTTTCCAATAAGTAGCTCAAGTAAAAATTACTTCAGCAGTAAGATGTTTTGCAATAAGCCGCGCGGCTATACTATTTTCCAAAAAATATGAACCACCATTCTTTGCTTTCTGAGATAATGGATTCATCTTCCCAAGAACCTTTGGATCTACCATATAAACCACCTTTGGCTACGATTTTTTCTCTTATTGTTCCTTCTTTTTGTGTAAAATTTGGATTTTATAACTATGGTGCATTAATTTGATAAAATTTTGATAAATCACATCAACATGTCATGTGAATATGTACACAAGCAATAAAATAACTTCTCAAGTGAGTCAGCGAATTACTAGAGTATTTTCAAGATCACAAATTTATTGATTCAATTTAGCACTCCGGACATAAATTTGTTTTGGTAAGGCTCCGTAAATGTAATATTTTAAACGTATAGCCGCACGGCTATACCCTTGAAATATCATAATCTGGATTTAACATAAGAGTGATCTAACATATTCTTCCTCTTACTGCAAACTTCATCAGCCTTCCCTAAGCGAGAAAGCTCATAGCCCTTGGTACTAACAAGCGAAAACCAATTTGATTCCCTGCGCTCATCTTTGCCTGTGATTTTATCTGATTTCCCTCCATCTATTTTCATATAGCTTTGGAATTCTTCATACCTACACCCATTATCAACAAAGCGAGCAGATATTTCGTACTGAAGTACTTGGCCACTTGAGATATTCCCAACTGGATTGCTTGCTAATGGAAAACCATCTGTAGAATAAGAGAAGAAAATTAAGAAAACAAAACAAAATCCTTTTCCAATAAGTAACTCAAGAAAAAATTAGTTCAGCAGTAATGATGTTTTTGCAATCAAACAAGACCACAAGGCTTGCACTCTGTAATATGTAGTTACAGGCTGATGCCCAATACCTCCATGTATACTGATAAAGTCATCATCCGAGTCAAACTCCAAAATACTCACTGATTCAAACCAAGCTTCCTCTTGGAAAATTACTGCAAATGAATAACTTTCAAAATATGAGATTCAAGAGCTATGAATATTCTTGTCAGCACTACTGGTTGAAATAGAAAGATAGTTGAAATCTGATGAAAGAAAGCACATACCATTCGAATCATATTGACTGTGGTGCCATTGCAGCTGGTTGAGATGGAATGTTGAATTAGAAACCTTAGATCTTCTGTGAGTAGTTGTTGCATCATTCTCAAAGCCCACACGAACAAACTCACTGACAGCATAGTCACTCACGCGAGCTCCTGCATCACTATTTATTTTCTTGAAACTGGTATTTCTTTTCTTGGTACCATCTGAAGCAGAGCAGGTTGCTTTTCTATGGCGTTTGATGACCCACTGACTGTTTTTTTCTTGATTTAATTGTTTTGGATGGGGTTGACATGCAACCAGCCATTGTAGCTTTTAAATCATGCAAGTCCCAACTATAACGATGCCTTCATCAAGTCCTCTCCAACCTGTGTGCCTATAAATGAAACAAAATACATCAGAGAAGATTAAAGGATTTCTGGAAAGCAGTTTCTATGATCACAAATAATCATGAGAACGCAATCAATTATTTCATCATGAGACTGTTTCAGTAATTTATGGCTCAAACGCTAGGCTAGTTAACCAACTTAGCACTTGGAAATTATTAGAATCAAACGGATGACACACAGAGGTCTCTATGTTTAATGAGTATGTTGGCACTACCAGAAAGCACCTTGGTTAGAAGCGACTGGTAACTTGAAGCACTACACTAGTTATTCAATCAATTTGTAGATGAAAATTTGTGCAATCATCATAAAAATCAAATGTCTGATTCAAACCTTCACAAACAAAGTGGGATGTCTCTTTCCCAGTCCCATAGATAAGCCACTTATCTATCTTAAGCCCCAAATCTTTAGTTCTGGCTCACTAGAACATAAACATGACCAGAAAACAAAAAGATAGTACACCCACCTCAAGAACAACTCAACAAAACCTTAGTCCCTATTATCTATCTTAAGCCCCAAATCTTTAGTTCTTGCTCAGGTTTAATTAATTAGTACCTTTGTCTTAAGTAGTTGGTATTTGCAAAGTAAATGGGAGCATCAATCTCAAGTATGAGAATTCCAGGAACATTGCATGCATTGGGATACTGCTCAACATTTCTGTAAACCATGGAATTCGGATGGTTTCCTCGAACAAAAGTCCTTGGCCTTGCCACAAACAAAAGTACCCTGATCACAGATATTGCAACCTACACAGAAGAAAAAAGAAATATTAGTTCTAATGCATAGTTTTAAGTTGTTAGATCTAGTGTTACCATCACACCCAATAATGATACGTACCGCTAAGACTAGTCCAATTTCAACGCTGCCAAAAACGACGCCAATATAGGCATTCGTGCAGACAACAAACTCAAACTTGTCAACCTTCCAGAGGTGAATTGCGACTTCATAGTCTATGACAACAAGCAAAGCCCGACTATGTGTTTCTATGTCTGTATATTCCCCAAGTCTGATTCAGTCAGGATTTCCAACTACTCATCCAACTTAGGCCAAACCAGATTCTTAACAATTACATACGACTTTTACATGCTAAAATCTCTATTGCTTCCTCTAGTAATAACTTTTCGACCACATCCTTCTCTTTTCAGGATGCAAAACACATAATCAAAAGCCAATTTTTGTATAGCGGCCATCAGAAATTGAAGCGAGTTCATGATTTAGCTAAAGTCAGAAAAAAAAAAAAAAGGACCCGCCTAGACCCGCCTAGGCGGCCACCTAGCGCCTAGGCCGATTTTTCCAACAGCCTAACTGAACAAAAGCACAGTTTATAGGTTTTGAGCTCTAATTATGAACATCATTACCGAATTTAACATTACATAACAAAATCCACCACCTATTCTAGATTTCTGTGCATCATAGATTTTCCAAAATAAGCAAAATATAAAGATAATTTAGTTAAAACTACAAGTAATCTGAATGCATTCCACTAAAAAGCGGGAGGCAGAGTAATTGAAGACTGAGCTTAGTGAAAAGAAAAACGTTGGGTTGAAGAAACTATCCCACCGGCCAGAGTCTGGGGCTTTAGGCTCGACTGGAACCAAGCTTAAGTTTTTCTTCAATTTTCCTATCTTTCTTGCTTTTCTTTGATGTATTGGGAGACGCCATAAGAGCTCAAATGAGGAATTGCCCACCTCTTTTTTGGCCTTGAACTTGAAGACTTTGATGGGAAGTGATTCGGTGAAGCGAACCAGGCAGGGAGGGAAATATAAAGCGTATAGCCATTTTCGGCCTTTCTATTAAAATAAATAGTATAGCCGCACGGCTATACTATTAAAATAATATTTAAATGGTATAGCCGCACGGCTGTATTCTTTAAATATAACATTTAGAAGGTATAGCTGACCGGCTATACTGGCGCCTGTTTTTTTCCTCCCCGCTGATTTTTGTTTATCCGTCATCTCTTTGAAGGAGTGTACAACAGCACTTGTAAAGCACGTATAGCCATTTTTGGGCTTTTTTCCGGCTATACTATTTAAATGATATTTAAATGGTATAGTCGCTCGGTTGTACTTTTTAAATATTAGTCGCCCGGATATACTGGCATCTTTCCCCCCACCCCTCTCTTCCTCTTCTGATTTTTGTTTAGCAGGGCTACAAGATCAGCTGGCTGCCTATATTCCATCTTTCATCTCTTTGAATGAGTGTACAACAGCACCTGAGAAGCATGTGCTTGCAGACGCCGCATCTCATAAAATAGACACGCACCCATGAGTTAATGCAATTATGTTCTTTGCTTCAATGCCATCGTGTATGGTCTTCTAGCCAGAAAGTCTTTTAAAGGAACACAAGAATAAATATTCCTCTTCAAAATCATTGGTTGAGAAGGAATTGGGCGTGGACAAATTAGAGATCTCTAAGAGATTTATAGAGCCCCGTCAAGAAGGCAACAAGAGAAGGATTCTAGAAAGACTTGATGCTGATGTACAAAAGTTGAGAACCATTCAAATAACCGTGGAAGACCTGAAGAGGAATGTGGAGATTACTGAAAAGAGCAAAAAAGGGCGAAGGTATTGAATTTGAAAACGTGAAGGGGCAGCTGGAAGAAGCTGACGAGGCCATCACTAAGTTGTAATATATCTCCACTGTCAATTCTTATATTGTGAAGTAAACAACATACCAAGATGATGCTCGGAAGTTTCCGCTTATCGGGTCTCCATATGATCCTTGTTAAGGATTCTCCAAATGCCCTTTAACTGCGAGAATGCCGTTACTGCAAGTGACCTTGCAACCCCATGCACGACACCGGAAATGGAAGCTGGAAGGCCATTGCTTTCATAAGGAGTTATGAGCCAGGGAAGCAGAGGATAGCCAACCCCACCAACTAAGCATTCCCTTATTATATTTAATTTTTGACCGGTATAGCCGCCCGGCTATACTGTATTTTATTTATTTTTAATTTTTCAAGCGTATAGCCGGGCGGCGATACTTTTTTTATTTTTTTATTTATTTTATTTTTTACGATTATAGCCGTTCGGCTATACTAATTTTTATTTTGTTTTAACGAGTATATCCGCACAGCTATACGTTTTTTAATATATAATTTTTAACGCGTATAGCCGCACGGCTATACCTTTAAAATATATATATATATATATCTAGAGTATAGCCGCGCGGCAGGACTGTTAAAATATTTGAATATATTTAAGTAGTATAGCCGCCCGGCGATACTGTTATTTCTCCAACAACCAAACAAAGGGGCAAAACGTCTCTTTCGGTCTGTCTCTGGTGTTTCTCTTTAAACGTCAAACAAGAAGAAGCAAAGTCTTAGCCCTCCGCATGCTGTGAGTCTGTGACTGTTGGCTTGGATTCATTGAACTTGTTTGAAATTGAAACCAACCAAGACAAAAGTGAAGGGACATATACAAAGAACATAGAGAGTAGAGGGAAGCCTCAGCTGTGCAAATTGCAAGCAAGAAAAGAAGAATGGAATTGGAGAGAAGGTGACCACTTTCCATAAACGTATGGGGTCCACGCCATCTTTCTTTGATCTCTTCTCTGCACGCATAAAACTAATACCAGTTTTTTTATGTCCCCACTTTGACCAGACAACACACCATGCTGCTGCAGATAGAAAGAATTAAATGGTTCCATTTGTCTCCTTCCCTAACTTCTGACTTGTAAGTTGTAAGTTGTTGTTCATGGGATGGGATCAATTACCTCTTACCTCCATCAGCAACAAAAGGGTATCTGCACTGCAGCCTAGCTAGCTTTGCTTTCACTTCCAACAACCCTCTATCTTATCATCTCAAAGAGTTCAGTTAAATCTAGCAGGCCAGAGAGACTACATCAACTAGTTTAAAATGGACCACTGAGAGAAGGCCAAATCTAGGGGCCAGCTTGCTGGGTTAGGTGTGCTTTGGATCTACTTATTTAAATTACCTATTTTATAGTAAGCCAACATCTTCAATAAACTAATTACCAAAAAAAGACATCTTCAATAAACTAATCATTAGAGGTGTGCTTTTGTTTCAGCAGGGGATCTTTGTCTTCTGATTTCACTTCTTTTTCCATCTTTCTTTCTCTCCCATGTGATAATGACCTTCCCTCAATGGAGACCCCAAAAATGAGATGTTTCTCTTGGGTTCAGTTAAGTCCCACCTAACTTCCTTTATTTAATTATTGTTTTATCACTCTTTTGCCAGTGACTAATTACTTTAAGAGATATTTAGTGATATACTCATTCTTAGCACTAATATTATAGATAAACCATACGCCATTGAATTTCTATAAATAAAAAAAAACCAAAAATAACAGTTGGCCTTATTGAATTTAATATTGATTATTAAATTATTAAATTACTTTGGTGCCCTATTGAATGTTTTGGGTATTTTTATGAGATTTTGGGATTGGGTTTGTTTTAAGAAATTGATGGCAGTTTTGTAATTTATAAGAAGTTAAAAGCCTATTTGTTATGTTGTAAATGAGCTTTGAGTGTGTTTCTAAAGTTCATTTCATATAGGGTATTTTTATAATTTGAGCCCCTATATTGGGTATAATAGTGATAATAGTGAATCTCCCTTTTGTATGCTTCTTTTGACATCACCAAAGCCATAAGGATGATGCATATCTACACTACAAGCCTCTAAAATAAGGTGTACAAAATTTCAACCAAAATTTTCTTTGAATCTGTTGAAGAAGATTTCATTGGCCCATACTATTACCTCCTCCTCAATATCAAACTCATTCACAAAGTCTAAAGTAGAGTCCAGCCTACAGTGCTATGCCACTTGTACAGCCAAAATATTTAAATAAATAAAAAAGTTTATAGGCATGTAGTTGCAGAGCAGAAGATGTAAGAATTTTCTATGTGACTTTATTAGACAGTAACGTTAGGCTTTTAGTTCCAGAAAGAAATCAATAAAGCAGAAAGGCATGGGTGAGCAATGCCAATCCGCCTCCCTCCACTAACCGACCTCTCCCTGCATGCGTGTTTGACGACTACTTTATCTTTTCCTTTTCTTTACCCCAACCAAGACCACCAGGAATTATAAATCTCTCATTCCCTCTTCATTTGCCTCCCAATTCTCACTCTCTCAACAACAGAAACACAGTTTTCTATCTCTTCCTTTCATTTCACGCGAAACAAACCCCTCATTTCTTATGCCTTTCCTTATTTTATGTCACCTTTACTCCTTCTCACACACTATACATGTCGCCTTTGCTTCTCCGCACCAGCAATAGTTAATATAACTACAAATCCTCTCTCTCTCTCTCTCTCTCTCTCAGCAAGTTATAGGATCACCTTTTCAGAGCTACACATCTCTCCCAATCGGCTCCATTATCCCAGTACTAGCTAGAACTATAACTATATACACATATATAGCTTGTCTCTAGTTCTGAAGAAAAATGGGCAACTGTTTTGTTCTCTCCAAGCAGGAGAAAGTTTTGAGGGTTGTGAAGACAGATGGGAAAGTTTTAGAATTCAGGGCACCAACTCTTGTTAAGGACATGTTGATGAACTTTTCGGGCTCTGGTATTAGTGTATCAAAGCAAGCCTCAGAGCTTCTCCCTCCTAATTACAAACTGAAGCTTGGGAAGGTTTACTATATGATTCCTCTTCTGGGTTCTGTTACAAGTGATGCGAGCAGTGCAGGTATTATTTCATCTGTGGATGTTACAGAAAAGGACAGGGCTGCTACAAGAAGGATTAAGATCGTCGTAACAAAGCAACAGCTTCAAGAGCTATTGACAAAGCAAATATCAGTGCAGGAGGTTCTTTCAACTTCAGGGCTTGAACAGAAATCATGTTTGTCTAATGATTCTTCAACAAATTGGAAGCCGAAGCTTGAATCCATCCCTGAACTTGAAGGAAGCGAGTAAAGTTACTTTCCAGCGTTTTGTTCATAACCATAACTTACTTTGCCAGATAAGAAGGAGAGGCTCATAGATGCCCCCTGCATGTTATAATTATATACTGTACAATATGGAATTGAATCAACATGTTTTTATCAGTTTAATGCTTTCTTGCGAAACACGTACTGAATGGCCATTAATATTTTTCCAGTCCTGTTTCATCATCATCTTTTGTGCAGTTGTTGTTAGGTAGGTTCTTACTCGGCAGACACAAATCTATATATAATATATGGTTAACAATTAATTAATAAAAAGTGTTTGCGTACTTTCTACACATTTTCTTAAACAATTCAAGTTGAAATCTTAGGTGGTAAGAGAATGAAATCATGCTTTTGACTCTTCTCAAGTGTGATTAATAATCTGGCTTACTGTTTTCCATTTTACATGCTTACTGATGTGGGCTGAGGCAATCAAAAGGGGTGTTATTTTAATAGAGGCCTTGACCAATACTGGCACAAGCATTGGTGCGCCAAAATTTTCATCACTCTGGCAAACAAGTTCTTAAATGCAGAGGCATTTTGGGATGAAGCTGATACTAATTGGGGTTGAGACACATGTACGTATATATAATTGGGGTTTATTATTTATATTTTGTTAGAAACAACTTTGTACAATGCAAGAAAGCGCAATGAAAGAGACCAAAACAACACACAAAATAAAAAGCCACAAAACCTAGAGCAGAATACGAACAGAGAAGGCTTGCTTTCACTGGATCGCAACATCAATGACCTTGCGTTCAACTTTAGTTTTGGGAATGGATATGTAAAGAACACCATTCTTAAGCTCTGCCTTTATGTTGTCCTTCTCACAAGTATCAGGAAGCTGAAGGCGGGTATTATAGGAGCTAAAGCTCCTGCTCGACCATGAATCATCACCACTTTCTTCCTTTTTGTGCTCTCCCTTTATAACAAGAACATCATCTTCTACAGCCACCTTGACATCCTCCTTGGAGAGGCCGGGCATGTCAAACCTCATTTTGATCTCATGTTCATCATCTTTGATGTCCCAAGGTGCACGTACTTCCCCTGATGCTCTGTTTCTGCCTGGAAATGTCACAGTGTCCTCCAGGAGCCTGTCCACTGTGTCCAGCATTTGGCGCATGGTCCTCACTGGGGAGATGGGATCCAATAAACCTGAAAACAAATTGAAATTCATTTTTAAGCAAACAAGTTTGATGGTGCTTTTTAAAGAAACAAAGAAACCACCAAATAAACATTAAGAACCTCCTGTCTAATTTTCCTCTGTTTACTCTGTTCAAACAAGTCAGAATTCAATTAAAGAACAACGTATGAGAGATTGTGACACTTACCAAAAGGTGAAATGTCGACAGCCAACCTCCTTGGCCTCCTCTCGACTTCAGTTCCTTGGTTGCCCTGATTGACTTGCACGTCCAGCTTGCCATCTCCACCAGCCTGAGCTCTCCCCACGGGCAGCCTATGCAACCTCGAAGGAAAGGTGGCTGAGCACGGCGCAGTGACATATGTTTTGATTGAAGACCTAGCTTTGGTTGATAGCAAAGGTGATGAAGATGACAAAGCCAAAGTTGAAGACATAGTAATTGCTATAAGCTAATACAGAAAGAAAATATACGAAATTAGAGTTGTTGCGAAGTGGCTCTACACTCTACAGTGAGCTTCTCCTTCTTTTTGCCAATTAGAACTTTGGGATTGCTTGGTGAGCCAGGCAGTGACCATTATGCAATATATAGGTTAACTTGTAGTAGGATTCTGGAAAGGAAGCTTGAAGAAGGGTCTTGAACGTTTGAGACAGAAACTTCTGGACCCAACGACACCTGTAAATTTTACATTTTTCTCCTGCTTTCCGGAAAGATCCATGTCATGACATGCATCTTGATATTGTCATGTTATGCCATAGAAAATGTGATTTTGTAATTAGACCCTTGTGCTTTAAAGATATTTTCAGACAACCCCTTGTCCTGTATACTGCTGTGTTGTGTTCTTATCCAGTACAAGGTTTTGATATTATCTTCTCCGCAAATCCATCTCTGTCTCTTTCCTCCTTTATCTCTTCAGTCCGAGAAAATGAAAACTAAAAGATTATGAAATTATTTTGTATGTAGGGGCTATTTGTTTGCCAAAGTTAATTTGACATTAGAACCCCATTTAACCATAACGTAATCATTCACGGGCTAGCAAGCAATAGGAGCTATTCTGACCTGCGGACAATTTGGGGCCCACATGAGTAGTGAGGCAGAGTATTTAATTTTTGTTTTTGTTTTTCTTGTGTGGTATACGGCATACCAAAGTGAGATGTCAGTGGTCATTCTTTGTTGTTTCTCCTTGTTAATTGCTTATGGCGGACTTTTCTGAAGCAACTGCTTTCAAATATTCACCTACCTTTAAACACACAGAAAGAAAGAAAGAAACAGAGAATTCAGAGAATCCGAGAAAGTTTGACTGTTGTACTGAAATGCGCTATTTCTAACTTTGTACATAAATACAAAGACTCATCTCAGACTGCATCTTTTAGTGTTTAGTAATGACTCAAATGAAACTCTTTTGCTTAGGGATTATGATTATATGATTTCATCACATCTTACTACTATACTAACTTTTAATGTTACTCTTTTCTTTTGCAGCTCTCTCCCTCTTTTTTTTATTTTTTTATTTTATTTTAATACAAGACAAATAAAGCAAAAGCAAAAGCTAAGCCCTCCTCCCCATCTTTGCCTCAGCTTTCAGCATTCTCGAGAGTATTTAGTCTGACACAGTGCTCCATTAATATCCTCATGCCACAAGAAAACAGCATTTCCTTTAGCATTATATACTGCAAATGTTAACGTTATATGTCCACACATACAGTGAAAGGCCTGCCAGGCTGCTCCTAAATGCATGTTAACGTTATTTGTTGTTTAGCATTAATTCAAAACATACCAACTACTCAAACAAGAAGTTCCTATATCCCAAAGAAATCCCCACGCTTCTTCATATAATAGGATCAGTTGGTTTTACCATTATTGTAGTTTTTGAGTTTTTACCAGTCAACATTTTCATGGGGAAGATTGGAGGGGGCTCGTGGTTGACTGCGGTCAAAAGGGCTTTCAGGTCTCCTACCAAGACTGAGAGAAGCAACACCAGAAGGAGAGAAGAACTACACGAGCAAGAGGATCATGAAGAAAAGGTACAAACTTTGCTACAAGGCTTTGTATAGACAGATTTATTACGGCATGTTTGTTTGTTAACTTCGCTATGGCTATCTCTGTGTTTCTTGTTGACCAAATTATTGAAATCTGTAAATGAAGTACTTGTTCACCAAATTATTGAAAGTCGGTTTTTGCAGAAGAGAGGAAAACGCAGATGGATTTTTAGGAAGCCTGTGAGTCAGGAAACAGTTATACATGTACAACACAGTGAAGCAAGAAGCTTAAGTCCTACCACCTCTGCTGATGCCAGAGCCACCACTCAAACTGCAACTATGGCAGCTCAACATGAGGCTTCTGCTGATGCCCTTGCCATGGCCGTGCCCACGACAGCAGTTGCCACAGTGCAAGCTGTTCGTTTAACTAAGTCTAATTGCAGGCCTTCCATTTTCGTTAGAGACTATGCTGCCATTGTTATTCAGACTGCCTTCAGAGGATATCTGGTAATTGATAAACTTTAACTAGCCAATGCCATGTATATATAACATAATTGCTCCATTGACGGATTTTGGTAAATGTTTAAGGCGAGAAGAGCTCTTCGGGCACTCAAGGGGCTGGTGAAGCTTCAAGCACTGGTGAGAGGCCACAATGTCAGAAAGAGGGCAAAGATGACTCTACAATGCATGCAAGCTCTGGTTCGAGTGCAAGCTCGGGTTCTTGACCAACGGACAAAGAGGCTTTCATATGAAGGCAGTGCAGATTCCATTTTTAGTGATCCCAATAGCTTATGGGGATCACATTTCTCAGACAGGAGGGAGTCCATTGTAAGATATAATTAATTTATCCAATATGGTTTTAAGTCATTATTTTTTTTTAGGAGTTAAAAGCTTCATCTGTGATCTCTGTTTACTTGATTGTGTATTAATGCAGTCAAAAGATGAAGAAAGCGGCACCGTAGATGATCTGGTCCATTGGGATGATGTCCACCCAAAGACATTAGAGCAAATTCAGGCCATGCTACACAAAACAAAACAAGCTGCCTTGAAACGTGAAAGAAGTACCATTTCTTGTGCCTTCTCTAACCAGGTCTTGATCATCTGCCACATGTTCTGTCTTTTTAGTTTCTGTAACATCTCTGCATATTCTTTAACTTCTGCAATTAGAGCTCATAATTTCTAACTTTTAGTTTGTGCATGGTTTCATAAAAAATAAAAAGAAATGGAAAACCGGCAGTGGTGACCAAGATGTTAACGTTGGTCATGAGCATGAGGAGCTAGAAGAGAGATTTAATTTGCTTGATGGGTGGACAAGAAGAAAGCAATGTGAGAATTTTGCAGGCAGAGCTTCATGTGATCAGCAAAGAGACCCCATCAAAACCGTTGAAATGGACACTTCTCGACCTTACTCTTATTCAAGTACCCCCAATTCCAAAAGAGCAGATCATCAATATAATTTTCAGAGCCAGCTGCACTACCACCAACAACGACAAAGAGTGCCTCTGACTCCTCAGTCATATGATCCAGTTGCCTCTGCTTTACATCTAGGCCAGACAAGTCCCTCCCTCCAATCACCAATCACACCATTTGCATCCATCCCAAGAAATCTTCAAGTGCACTCAGCTAGTCCTCGTTGCAGTGTTAGAGTTAGAGGAGATCAGAGAAACCATCCAACGCCTCCGCATACACCCAACTTCAACTTAGGCTCCACTAATTACAACAATGGGTTTGTGGGAGTGATGAGTGGTTCTGAAGTGCCAAACTACATGGCTGCCACAGCATCAGCCAAGGCTCGGCTTCGGTCACAGAGCGCACCAAGGCAAAGGCATTCAACGCATGACAGAGAGAAGCCAGGGTCTGCAAGAAAACGCTTATCGTTCCCAGTTCCTGACAATGGCACTTCAGATTCTAACTTGAAGAGCCCAAGGTATAACAACAACATGAACGGAGGCCATGCTGTTCGACTGGAGCATAGGGCTAGTATGTCTTCTTGTTTTACAGATGGCGAGACATCTCCAACTTCCAGTGGTGATCTCAAAAGGTACTGGTTGAGGTAAGTACCACATGCAATGACAGTATGATAATATGATTAGGTGAGTGATTAAAGGAACAACTAACTAACTTTTAATTCACTGGATCTTGTTTAATTAGTCTTTCAATCCAATAAAGTTATCTTCTGTTGAGTTTCAACTGTCACATTGTTGGTGACGTAGACATTTCTTCAGCATAGTACTAAAATGCATATGGCCCAAGATAGCACAGATTTGAAAGATCCATGCAATTTTCACAGCGTCAAGTGGCATTCAACTTTGGGGAAGGTGCCTTGGTGTTGACTAGTTTAGCAAGTGTAATTACTCAAACTGAGACTAAAACCTGAGTTAACAGGCATCAATCAAATTGTATGGGCTAACAGGGTATGGCTGATGCGAAACAATGCTATTACTGTTGCAACTAAGTTTTTCTCCCTCTATATTGCGACTTGTGACTCTGTCACAAACAAATCTGGGCCTACCAGAAGCTAAGTGGGCCAATTGGAAGACAAACTCAGTCTGGTGCAGACGAGCCGGATATTGAACGATGAGATCATTTCTTACAATGTTTCTGCTAATAATAGCACTAACAAAAAGTATCAGCAGCATCAGCAGTGACTTAATAGCTATGGAACCAGTTAGAATAATAGCAAACAGCTTCTTATTTTAACCAGCTATAAGCCACTGATATTTCTCCTACAACCCGGAGATGGTTATTGCAACGTGTCATGAATCATGATCACATCATCTGCATTACGTCTGTGCACATTTCCAAGAAAATGCACCATAAAGAGACAAAAACAAAGGATTATATTAATTGTTATGAATAAACCCACACAAACTAAGATCGCCTTCTAAATATACATTCTACCATAATGGACATTCTAAATTTACTCATAATATTTAACATGGTTGGATTATACAGCAAGCCCCTTGAATGGTGTAAAGAATGAAGGAATCTGATACCTGAGTTCTGAAATATTCGAATATGATTTGTCAAGGATTGAGGAACATAAGTACAAATGTTTGAGGCAAATTATGGATGGGCCAAAAAGTATATAATCAATTTGATGGTAAGCTTATCATTAGTAGAAGAATCTTGCATAAACAGTGGAACCCTGTTGGGGAAAGAAAGCAGTCTACAAGTCGATGCAGATATTTCTTCCGACATAGATCCAGACACACACACAGCCCCACCTAATAGGCTTAGTATACGCAAAATATTAAAGTGATCCACCACTAGCAAAAAAGTTAACAAAGGTTCTTCAATAAAAACGATAGAATACAGTAAAGCTTGGAAAATTAAGAGAAATCTTGTCACCGAGTTCAGAACTCACTTGGAGAATCACAACAAAACTACCCAAGTTCATCTTCTGTAGTCAAAGAACCAGCCAAAACAACTACCAAACCAAACCAAAAGAACATGGTTTTCGTGTAACAAAGGAAAAATTGATTATGCTTTGTTCTGATTCAACCACAGAGAAACAATCTCTGGCTGCTTAGCCCTTGAACTTGCCAGGGTTGGGCTGCTATTACCACTACTATCAGACAGTGAAGCAAACGTCTTCTGAAGAACCCCAGATGGTGATGACACCGTTGTCGCCAATGGGCTACCCAATTCTCCATTGGCAGTAGCAGCTGTGATAGGAGACGATGGATTTGATGCTGCGCTGGTCGTGGGTTTTAGGACCTCAGCTAATGGCCCGCCTGGTGCCGAAGCAACCCATGAAGCAGGGCTGAGCCATGTTGAAAGCCCTGGTTTCATACCATTTCCATTGTTTCCTAAGCTCATTTGCGTCTGACCCCATTTCCTCATTGATGGAGTTATAACCTCCCATTGACAGTGTTAGGGAAGAAGGTGAGAGCTGCCCACTTGATGGAGCAGAGCTATTGTCTTTGTTGCTAATAGAGTTGGCCATGGTGTCTTCATCTATCATTGTTTTGGACCACGCGTCAATGAAACATCTTGGGGTTTCTTCCAACAGAGGATTACCTAAAGAAACCACATCTGGATTGAGAAACATATTGCACTCGTTGTCTGGTTGATCCTCTCCGCCGGCGTTGAAATTTGTGTACGAATTCAAATTCAAGAAACACTCTTCTTCAGAACGTCGGGTGAAAATAGAGGAATTAGCATCAAAGAAGGGGATCTTGGAGTTTAGCTCTGTTTTGCTCTGCATCAGATGCTGCCATTGTGGATCAGAAGTGGCCATTTGAACAGGTTCTCCTTTCATCATCAGCCAATCTAAGCTCCTGGAATGATATATACAAATACAAAATTATGAAAATGAAACACCCACAAACATAATTCGTGATAAATTGGAAGTACCACCATTTCCAACAAAAAATAGAACAAAACTTGTATATATGTTTGCGAATATCTGGTTCTCTGCTTCGCAAGTTCGAGTTCTACTAATTTATTAAAGACTACTAGTACTATTATTCCAAACACCTCCTTTCCTTTTCTTTCCCTCGCGTTCAGTCCAAACCAAACCTCAAAAGGAAAAACAAAAACAAAAAGATATCAGATTGAAGAATGAAATTGAAAACCTATCACCTACCTAGGCTCTCTGTCTGATGAAGCAGAGTTCATAGAATCAAAAGTTGTAGCCTTGACAGTGTCCCTATTCAGAAACATAGGAGACTGATGGTATGGTTGAAGAGTAGATTCAATAAACTGAGTCTGGCAAACATTCTTGTTGATGGATGTGGTGTCAGAAATTGACACAGTTGCCGGGGACATGGTAGGAGGAGCTTGATTGATGTCATGGCGAACCCTCTTGGTTGTGGTGTTGGCATGAACTTCCACATGCTTTCTTGAACGGGGACGGCCTCTGTGCATATGGCGCTCACAGTACTTCTGGTCAGGCGCCACATCTCTTGAACACCTCCATTTCTTTCCATCTGTTCTCTTGCACCTCCCTGGCTCTGGATCTGTACTGTTTGATAGCCTAAGATTGAAACCGCTACTCACTGCGTGCCAACCAAAACAGAGCAAAATACAAAGATGGTTACTTTAAAGGAAGACGTGATGAGTAAAACCCAACACATAAACTAGAACAGAGAGCTGAAAACCAATCAAACTATTATTAGCTAGAAAGAAACAGAGACTTTTGGGTGGGAGTTAATTTGATGAAAACAAATTGAGAGCAAAAACAGAGAGAAAGGTGATTACAGGGTGATTGAGAAATAGTTGGGCTTGAGGGAGCTCTGGTAATTGGGAAGAGGAGATCACGAGGCACAGGGAGAGATGCAACCATATACTTGTATATCATGGCTTGTCTCTCAAGCTCTTTCCACTGTGTATTTGTAAAAGGAAAGCCCAAAGATGTCGTCATCCCTCCTGCTATACATAATACATGTATATTATCAAACATATGTGGCTCGGACGAAAGAAACAACCTTTATTCTCTTTTCATAATTAAAGATTCAATCTTTCAAAGGACAGAGAGACAGAGAGACAGAGAGACAGAGAGAAAAAAAGAGACATTGGTTTGTTGTATGAACTAATCTTATATAAGAAGAGAGAAAGAAAGAAATGTTTGGACTTTGCATTTTGACTTGATAAGAGAAGAGTTACAAACCTGGGGACCTGAAGGCGGTATGATGAGCAGAAATAGGAGTGTTCGTTGTTCTGTTTGAAATGTCAAAAGGCTGCAAACCTCTTAAAACTTGACCGCCACTAGAAGAAGAACCAGCTGCAGCAGCAACTACGACATCGTATACACTATTATTATTAGGATAGTTATCAGTCACAGGGGGTCTGTTACATGTGGGACCATCAGCTTCACCTCTTTCTGATGATGAAAATGGACGACGGTGATTATCATGATGAACCATCATCATCATCTTCTTACCAGGCAAGGCAAATGATTCTGTACGTTGCAGGTTGCTCACAAACTCAAACCAAGGTCCTATTTTCTTCGGTTTCCTTGTCTGAGACGCCAAAAGCTTTGTTCACTCCAAAAAAAATATAAAAGAAAACCAGTTGCCTTATTTGGGAAACGACCTTTCCAGGAATATCAAACATAAAAAAATGGAAGCTCTTGCCCAAAAACTCTAGAGACCAACTTTTTGGTTCTGCTTCCAGGAAAAGCCTTATGCTTGTCTAATGCTTTCTTATGGGGATTTTTCAGAGACACCGACCACATCATCAAGTCTCAAGATATAGAATACAACAATAGACCCATGTCGTATTATCTTATCTTTCTCTTTCTCTCTCTCTCTTTTTCTTTCTGTTTCAATGTCTCTTATATTTTAATGAAATGAAATGAAGTCTTATCTCTGACGGTGATACTTGGGATTTATGATTTGATTAATGGGTTGCCGCCATTCTCGGCCTCTGCTTTGCTTCCATGCTTCCAACATTCGCACACCATGCTTGCTACTTGACAAATACACACATCTTATTTTCTCTCTCTCTCTCTTTCATCATTATTGTGGCATCTATCGTTTTCTGCATGTAAGGCTAAAACCCGTAGAAATCCGCTCTTTTCTTTTTCTTTCCAATTGGCCACTTTATTAGCAAACCCCCTTCCTTTCTTTCTTGTACACAAGATAGGCAATGATCATCTATCTAGTGGTGTGGTGACTCTGGTGATTTTATATACAATTTCTCCTTCGAAAGGAAAGTAGAAGGCGAGCAGCATCGACCATAAAAAATGTTACATACATCTGCTATGCTGCTCCATGATTCATTCACACTATTGTCTTTTTCTTTTCTAATCTGAATCAGTATTTCGAAACCGCATACTTTGAGCAATAGTTTGATGATCTTCATTAACTTCTGTTGTCATGTTAATGTTATTACGTGACAGTTTATAGTCACTTGTTTTGTTATTTTGATGTTTTGTTTTTGTATTTTTGGTAACTGACTTTAAAAAGACATCATGTTCGTGTTTGCTGTCAATGCCTCTAGGACTAGGACAATGACTAGGAGGACCCAACCCAACCCAACAAACCCTTCAAGATTCGTCCAAAAAAATAAAATAAAAACAAACCCTTCAAGCATCCCAATCCAACTCTCAGTCGGCTAATGAAATAAGGGATATTTCTTTATTTGCCAATTTAATAAGATTAAAATAAACAATGAATGAGGAAAGGAAATAAATAAACAAAAGAAAGCAGAAACCAAGAAAGGATGAAAACGGCGTCAGATTTGTCGTGATAAGCACCGTTAGCCCTTTGGTTGCATCCGGAGGTGCAGCGGGCCCAGTGGGGCGAAGACGTGATGCGTTAGCTAAAGAGAGCCCCACTCGCTCCTCTTAGCGCATAGACGGAGAGAGTCAATACAAAAATGACAAGTGGGGTGGTCGTGAAATTTGATTGGTGGATGGGTGGGTGGGATGAAACTCTCACGCGAGGGGGTCGTTGTGATGGGAAATTATACAAGTAAGGATAGCGACTGCACATGAGCTGGTGACAAAAGGATTGAATTCTGGGCCACTTTTGATCTTCTTAAGATTTTTATTTTATTTTTATTTAGTTTGTATGGGCTTTTCTTTTGTAAAATATCTCCACATAACTTTAACACCGAATAAAAGCAGCCACTTCCCACTCTTCTTTTATTCATCTACTTGGACTTGGAAGTTGGATTGTAGTTTTATCAGCATTTAATCAAACACTTAAATGTAATCACCTCATTAATTACCTCACAAACAACCCATAACTGCATTTGTATGCCTTAATTAATTGTCTCTGAAAGATTTGGTCCACAACCATGAATGTTATTCAGTTCCAATGGGTGGGATCAAATTTCAAAAACCGTTGTTGCTTTCTCTTATCAATCAACAACCTTTTTCTACCCACCCCTCCAAATCTAATTAATGGATTGCATTTTTTTACCCCATACTAATACTTTATTCTTTCTTTCTTTATACAAGAGATATTGATGGAATTCGAATACATGAGCTCGAGTGTATGAATAACTACTCTTCACTATTTCAGTTACAAGCCCCTTGAGTAATATAACCTCACACAAGAATATTACAGGAATATAACAAGTTTGTAATTTGGTGACACAAACAAGTAGTGGCAGAAAATAAATGAGGGATATCTCAGAATAAAAGGGGGGAGGGTTTAGGGTTTCAAAGGAAATGTTAGGGGACTTATTAGGAGATGGAATGGGGGATGAGGTGGCAGCTTGGGGGAATGGCAGAGGAGAGAGGAGGAGAGGAGAGGTGAGGTGAATTGAATTGAAATGAATTGATGATATTGATGGGTTGGGTTGGGAGAGAGACAGCTAGCTGGAGGGGTGAAATGGGATGTCCCCATCATCTGCAATGTGCAAAGACAAATGCCTCTCTCTCTCTCTCTCTCTTTACTTTCTCTTTCCCTTTGAAATTGAACTCCTACCCTCCTCCCCTGCCTTTCCTCTTTGTCGCCACCCTCCATTTGGAATCCTGACTTTTTTACTCTCACCTATTTTCTATTAAGGTTTCTTTTAGTCCAAAAGAAAAAACACAAAGCTCTCTATCTCTCTCTCACAAATGCACATGCATGAAAATAACCATGTCCGCATATATGATTTGATTATATGATGCATAAAAGTAAAGAGTAAGACGTCCATGTGCCATGCAATGGGGTGCAAGTCCAACGTATATATGAATGATTATGTATGATATAATGATAATAGTTGGGGTTGCTTAGAAGAGAAGAGTGTGTCTCCGACAAAGGAACAATCCATTCAATAACAATGCTATCTAATCCATCGGCATGGACAGCTTCATTTTTTTTGGTTTAATTGGTTTGTTTGAATGATTGAATTTGAATTAATGTTGTTGATCGATGAATTCGAAGCTACCACCGCCAAGGAAACAAACACCAACTCTTTTTATTCTATTATTTTATGATTTAATTATTCTTTGTGGTCAGAACTCAGAACTGAGAAGAGCAACTGATGATGTACTATCATTTTTATGATTAGGTTTGCTCTGTCTGAAGCAGCATCACCAGCGTCGTCATCTGGTTATGGTCAGGGATGGGCTCTTTTATCTCAAGGGACCACATACTTGATATTCATTCCATTCCCCAATCGTTTTGTTTTTGGCTAAACGCAACGAACACTTGACCTTTTTCTCTTTTGTCACTTCTTTTTCCCAATGCCATACCGTTACCATGCTTCTTTTTCTTTTTTTTTTTTTTTTTTTTTTTTTTTTTTTGGTTTTTTTTATATAATTTATGATCAAATGAAGAAGAAAACCAATTCCTCTTTATGTACATAGGATAAGGATAGGAGGAGGAGGACGGACGGTGCCTTCTCTTTCTGGAAACAATTCATGGTACAGCTTCTGAGTCTCAGGTCCACCACTTAATAAATGTATGCCATCCTCCTCCTCCAAATAAAGGGAAGGGAACGAGGGAGAATGGGCTTGCTCCCGTCGCCTCCTTTCTTGACTTGAAAAGTTCAAGATTGGGCCCTGCAACCAGCCAACGCTACCAACCCACCGTTTTTTAAAATTTTAGCTCTAAATCAGCTTCACACTCACATGGAACAAATTTGACATACCCAAAAGAACATACCATAGCCATACCATAAAAATTTCAACAACATATTCATAGCCATAACCGATAGTCGGATGCATAATTTCTCTCAAACCTAGTCACAGTTTTCATCTGATACGAGAATACAAATACTCAAAAGTGTTCCAGTAAATCACAAATGATTGGGCATACCAAACAGACCAATTATGTCATAATTAATTATTCTTTGCAAATGGAGGAGAAACTACATAGAAACCATCTGCATAAAAACAAGAGACAAAAAGGATCTTTCGTGCCACAGGATTCAACTGCACTGGCATTCTCAAGGCATCTATTCAGCTGCTTCTGCAGGTTGTGGAGCTTCAGTTTGTTTTAAACTTTCGAGAGTTGAAATTCGTCTATCCAATGACTCATGGAGGCCTCTCACCTGGAGAAACAAAGAAAAAACATTCACAATTCTTCTATCCTTTAAATGCCCAGAAACTATTAAACACTCATGGCTGTAAAAATGCAACCCCTCAAAGGCCGGATATAGTAAAGATAAGAACATACATCAAACAAGCAAGCATGCGAAAAAATACCATTGCATCATAAGTGCTTCTTAGGTAGCTTTCTCAAAATTTGAGTCAGCAGAGTGGATAGTGAATTTACAGGTTGCATGTGTGCGTGCATGAGCGCACCTGTGAACAGTTTTAAAGCACGGATACTGTCATTCTTCATGACCAGTTCCAGCAGCATTATGTTATTAGCAAAATTGCTTTTACCCAATCAACAGAAAGGACAAGTTAAATCAAGGACTCTTTTCTTGTCCTAAATAGTAAGGAATGCTTATTTCACACCACAAAGGATACATCATACACAATTTATTTTAAAGATAGCCTATAAACATATGCGGTCGACTGTATATAATATATATAGCCTTAGTTTTAATTGAAATCACCTCTTTTTCTCCCTCAATTTGATAAGCAAATCAGTTGAAAAGAACCAATATGGGTACCCGCTAAAATCAATCCAAATGACTCCAAGTAGACAATCAATAGATAATTGATTGCTCTAAAGAGCAACCATCAAAGCTCACATGTAACTAGTAGATAGGGATCCTAACCAGGATGCAAAGGAGGGAAATTTAAACTTTTTGAGCTCAATCTAGACAAAAAGAACAAAACATTACGGACGGGTTATGATTCGTTCATAGCCAGAAGGGGAACTATAAAAGACCATTAGCAATAATTTTTTGTGCAACATAATCGGTCTACATTGTTAAGATATCAACATTCTGTTTTCAATCTTCCTCTGCAAACATAACTTGAACTACCTAAACCCACGATGGAAACCACAATACCAATCAATGTCATCAATGGCCTAAAGAATTTCATGCCTCACGCCTCCTAAACAAACTAAATTGACCTACTCAGCAGCAATTCAAGATATTTACTCAAAAGCTTTAAGAACCAATGTCTTTTTAATTCCAAATAATAAAAGCAAATGTTCATCAATCATTTTCTGCAAGTTTGTTTTTAACTTTTCATATTCGATTTTGAGCCTAACAGCCGTGGGGTTTCACAAATATAATAGAAAAACAACATATTTTTTACAAACCCATTTTCAAGATCAACTTGAAGATTCAAAATTCCGTCTACACACAAAAATGGAGGGTACCGAAATGAGGGAAAAGATAAAGACCTAAGAATTGGGGATGCAAATTCTAAAAAAAAAGAAAGAAGAAAAGACGTACCTGTTGAGAAATAGCCTGGTGGGCAACCTTGTAATCATTGTGAAGGATATAGAGCCCAAGAAAGGACGCCACCGCAGCTCCGCCGAAAAACGATGCCAATCTCACTCTCAGAACGTAACCCATCTTCTTCTCCACCCTTTTTTTTGTTTTTCTTCTTTCTCCTTTTTGGCTTTTCGGCTTTGCTTTCTGATCTTCAATTCTACGGAGCCTTCGACCAAAGCGACGTCGTTTAAAAACTGGGCCTTTAGACACGCCCCTTTCGCACAAGGTGTGCTTATAACCCATAACGGATCGTATTCGTATGTTCTTGGACCTAGTAAATTTCAGCTTGGCACAATGTTTTCTAAATTGTAGCAATGCTTCTTGAATTATTTAATGTATAAGTAAAATTACAATCCTCAAACCAAGAACAAGACTTGCCATGTGAACAAATACCTTTCCACTAGAGGTGGTGGTGTGTTTGAATTCCTCTTCCTAATAGCAACTGTATATAAATAAAAAAATGTATTGAATTGTATCTATCTAACGTGACAAATTTCATTTGGTCATATGTGGTCAATCTCCATCACTCTCAAATGCTTTGAGTTCGTCTTTTACTCGTCAAAATTCGTTAGGGCTTTGGAACTCGTTTCAGATACAAGGGCATTTTACTACTCCAATGCCCACAAAACAAAACAAACGGAACCCAGTGGAGGCTTCTTTTTTGGTGAAACCAGTGGGGGCTTTCAACAAATAGAAACTTAGTGGGCGGGCGGATCTCAGCCCAATTAGCCAGCCAATCAGGTAAGACAAAATAAAAGAAAAATAAAAACTTTTGTTTAAGAATTAAAGCATCCGCGAACAAAAGGAGCAGATCAGAGATGCGCACAGAAGCAATTTTGTGCATGAATATCAATCACTGCAGAATCAGATACAGTTGAGTATGATAAAACAGGCTTTTAAACCCAAAACAAAAAACAAAACAAAGGAGGGCAAACGTGTCCAATCAGAGAATTCTACAAAGATGCAAAAGGTTGATGGTCATTCAATCTACGAGGATGTATTCATTCTCCCACATAATTCCAAAATAATCTTCTGTCCGCACACTGATCCACAATAAGATTATGCCTTTCCCTGCTCTCTCTCTCCTGCCAACACCAAATTAACACTGCTAGTGAGAACTTGTACAATGAAAACTAGGCAAGAAAGAACAAATTTAGCATTTGCTTCCTCATTGCAAGCACAACCTAATAATAAAGAAATTTTAGTTATTATATTATTCACTATCACCCATCAAATTTCAATATTTGAGTAATCGTACTTACTATCTTCTGGAAGTAAAGGCAGCAGCATTGCTCATCCTGTCACAATAACAACCCATTAAGCATATTACATAATGATAAATCAGTAGGCCTAACTACATAATCCACCACAACACAACTGCAAAAGTTTTGAAGGTTTAGAGAGGCACACCTGCCATGTTTCCCGACAAGATTCGAGCCCAACCGGCCATTGGTCAACCCTGAGCTCTGGGTACTGCTCGCACTCGATCTATCCAGAATTGCTCCATTTCCACCATTCAAAAGCACAGATGACTGGCTTGACTTAGTTTCAGGGCCATTCAGTTCCCAAGATTCCTTAGATTTGCTTAAAATCTTTACATTTGAGAGACCTCCAGGAACACCAAAGGATACACCATTTAATTGATGATTCTGCTTTACAGACTGCAAGTGATTATCAGTTGTATTAGCAGTTGAAATGACCACGTTTTGGGAATCAAGAGATGATATCTTCCTCGAGCGGTGAGTCTGTGCCACTGGAGTAACAGCCACAGAAGGCAAGCTTGAAGAGTAAGGAGATGATGCTAGAGCAGCAGCAGCAACTTTCGCAGCAGCAGCTGTAGCTGCTATCATCTCCTGTGCTCCTTCCCTAAGCTGAATGTAGTCACCCTCAATCACAAATAACTGAAAAATACAAATTAAAGTCCTCATGAGATAATATAAATCCATATAAAAACAGAAACATTCTAAATCATTTATACAACTTACTTCGTGATGACTAGCCACGAAGTCATCAAGCTTTCCATACTTTCTCTTGTAATCATGCCAGTGTAAAGGTGCAAGCATCTTCCCAAGCCTATTTGGTAGCTGTACTTTGAGCAAAAAATATTATCAACTAAACTAGAAATGAGAAAAATAGAAAATGCCACTCACTATAAAGACCTAGTAGATAAAATGTAGGCTCACCGTTGAACTGATGCGAATTCTACCACCAGCCGGAATTGTGCGAACCATGCAAGCCAACAATGACCTTTCATCAAGAAGCGCAGTCTCTGATGTCTTTCCCACTGCCGGTGCATTCGTGTGCCCAGTTGAGGCAAACAATTCAGGCAAAACTGCACCAGCAGCATTGTTAATTGTGGTTTCCATGAGGTTGACTGAAGGGATTGAAGTATCAGGTTTTGACAGATTGGTGGTAGAAATTGGTTGTTCTGTAGTTAAAACTTGTCCCTCCAAGCCATGACCAGTCAAGGTCTGAACATTTTGCTCCGAAGCCTGTTCAAATGCAAGTTAGTATGAATTTTTTTCTCTACATACTTTCTGCACACAGCCTAATCTTATAAAGGGAGAAAAGAAATTTAAAAAAAAGTTAAATACCTTAGTTTCACTGTTCTGTTCAAGAGAATCCAATCTTAAAGAATTGTGGAATTGGGAAGAAATTTGTTGCAAGCTCTGCTCAGGTTGGGATGAGACCAAGAAACCTCTATCAATTGACTGGAGCACCTGAAATTAAATAATTAAGGTGATTCTACTCAATTTTTGGGGAAAAAATAAGAAGAAAAATAACAAGAATACCTGTGCTTCCCCACTGGACGACGATATTACAGGATCAGACTCTGCACCTTGGTTAATTTGAACATCCAAATAGTCTTGATGACGTGATTGTCCATTAACAGATGTTTCATAGTTGTACTTTGCATCTGATCTTATTATGCTTTGATCATTTTGGGACGATGGAAGTTCATTTTGTGTAGATATCTGCAAACCCTCCGATGGAGCCTAAAAAGAGAAAATAAAGAATGTCAATATGTTACCATTGTATATTACAATAATCAGGACATAAAACGATATATTCTTGTATCACTACCTGTTGATTCTGCCACTGTTGATGAGATGACATTGCAGGTACTGAGTGAAAATGCCCAACATGGGACTGAGGAACATGTGGTGGCATTGAATGGGGTACCCCTTGTTGATGCATAAGAAATGGATGCAGAGCAGTCACCTGTCCAGGTGGAAGATAGGAAGGCATCCCAAGTAGAGATGATGGAGAAATTGGAACACCAGCAACATGGTCGATCTAATAACGATCCAGAAAAATTAAGGTTATCGAATGATATATTTAAATTTCTATTTATCAATTTCATTTCAAACTGAGGACCTTATCCATGTTTTATTTCCTTCCTCTACCTCTCAAATCCAAAATATTTCAAAAGAACTGTTGCCTAATTCAATACCAGTAATAACCACAAAAAAGAAGCAACTACCTGAGTTGATGCATTTCCAGTTGAAGGAAATGATTGAACATCATCTGAATTCCCATTTGGGATGGCACCTGTATTTCCACTTGATGTATTCATATCGAGCTGGTTTCCATTGTTCTGACCAAATTGAGATGCATCCTTCGAATTTGATTGTGCTGTGCGTGATTCATCAGTGTAAGTTCCACTCCTTTCTCTTGCATCAGCAAGCTCAAGTTGAAGCTGTTGTACTGAATGCATATGAAGTCTTTCCATCTCAGCAAACTGAAATCAATGATCCAACAAAAAATCAAAGACATGTGGTCAAGCCTAGCAGAAAACAAAACTTGTTACAATTAAGTACAGTATCAACATCACTTGTGATTTGGAAAAACTATAGCAAAAAAATACACATGAAAGTTCGGCATATAGACATGCACACAATGTGTGTGTGGCTGCATGCCCACATTCGCACATGTGCCCCAAGTTGCAAGAGAAGAAAATACCTTAAAACAAGATAGAGAAAGAAAACAAACCAACCTGTCTTTGACAACCAAGCCAGAGCTGATTATATTGTTCTGTACGTTCCCGCAATTCAGCTTGTATTGTAGTTGACTGCAAGGCATCCATTTCCTGAACACGAGTGATCCACGCTTGGGCCTCCCTCAACTGTTCGTCCTTATAGAGAATGGTTTCTTGAGCGAGCCTATGCTGAAAATATTAACACTATCAGGTACTGGCCTCGCTGCATCCCTAGAACTAAATTAGTATGCAACTCCTTCCTGAAAATACTATTCAATTTGTTCCAAATTGTATCTCACTTATTATTCAGTGTCTGACATTGCAAAACAATACCATGATGGGAATTTGTTTGCTCGGATAAAGAAAACTAATAGAAAAGCACACTCCATGAATAAATATATATATATACCATTTATATGCTTGAAAACTTGAGTTCTTAAATTCCACTTCAGTAAGGATATACATGTACATCAAATACGTGCAAATAAACAGACCTGTTCCCGTAACTCAATAAGCTGCCTATCTTTTTCTTGAATATGTTCTTGAAGGTCATGTATTTGTTGTATATGCTGCGCTCTTTCAGCTTCCGAATGGTCATGTTCTCTTCTGTAGCAAACAGTAACCCATTCAATTCTTTCATACGATTAAAAATTCAACCCACAGCACTATTAACCAAAAAAATTAAATACAAAGCCTTTAAATATCATGCAATAGTAAAACAAGAATATTTCATTACATTCAAGTAAATCCAGTGAAGAACTCGGCGTGCATTATGGGAAAGGAGCTTAAAAGCGCAGTAAAAAAGTTAAACAAACAGGCCAGTACCTGAAATTTGCTAATTCTTTGTTCTGTTCTCTAAGAAGGTCCTCCTTAGCCCAGGCCTGCCAGAACATTATGAAAATCAAAAGAATAAGAATTTGCAAATTATTCTTCCAAACAGCTCAACCAATAGCAAATAGAAACATATCAAAACACAAGCATTCAAGTTACCACTTCATTATCTAATTTTATAGCATGCAGCTCTCTATCTTTCTCTTCCATTTTCCTTTCCAGATCATGTATGGTCTGCTCCCTTTCATGTAGTTGCTCCTGTACAGTATGT